GGGGGTAGGGGTGATCGGATGAGAGAGGAACACTGAACGCGAACGGGAATCTCACGTTGCGAGCGTCAGCGCCGCACACGCACACGCACACACGCGGTCTTTGGGTGATATTTCCGGCTCGCGACGACAGAGCGGCGTCAGGCCAACGAGAAAGGGCCAAGACCTCGACGGATGGTGATATTCGAGCTTCCCGTCGTTACATCTGAGCTTACTACCTTACCTACCTCTTACGGTATGCACGTACGTGTGTATGCACATATGTACATGCGTGTAGGTAGGTATGTAGGTGCTTCTTGGGGCGTAGAGGTGAGCGGCCGGGCCAAGTTGCTTCGTTGGTTCCAGGAAACCACTCTCTCTCTCTTCCCGGACCTCTTGGCGAGGCCATCGCCGCAGCTAATTGAGCCAGTTAGCCGGTAGGATTTCCTCCTCCTCAGCCAGAAGAGCCCACCCCTCCTCTTCCTAGGGATGACGCGAGCACCATTTCTTCTTCTTCCCTTGTGGGAGGAGGCATTATTGTGCATAGACACGTACGTACTTATGGCTGTACTACGTAAGCACAGAGAAGGGAAAAAAAAACAAAAGAAAAGGAGCCAGACGCGCTAATTATGTAGGTGGTGTCCGGAAACGCGTCTATGACTGATGCCGATCTCTCTGTCTGGCGCGCGCGGCCGTCCCACCGAATCGTCGAGGGTTCGTGGTCCGGGGGAAGTGCGCCAGCCCGGTTCGAGCCAGGGCATGTTTAGGACGGTCTGGCTTACCCAGGCCTCTTCCGCCGGTCTCATCGCCATCGTTCAATCAACGACGCTGGCAGCTTCGTTTCCGTCGGACCATCAACCGCGCGCGCGGGGGGGGGCATCGGCCCAGCTCGAGACGGGCGGACGAATTCGTCGCGATCCAGCCCAATCGACGTGGCGGCTGCTGACCAGGCTACCGAAGGCAATCTATTGTGTAGTGATGCAATGTAGGTTACGATACGTGCCCGTACGTCGGCCAGTCCCAGCTCGGGTTGGCAGCACTGAGCAAGCCCAGAGCTGAGACTGAGCGTGGTAGAACGATGACACGATTGATTGGATCACGACGTGCACACATAATACTTAACACATTCCTCCTTCGGTGACCTCGGTAGTGGTTCGCCGTACACAGCTGACACTACTGCGACTGCTACTACTGCTACTACTGTAACTCGCGAGATCATTGGAAGTGGCAAGAAATAGGCTAGAAACAACACGGCCTTGTCGTGTCATTCTTCCCCTCCCCGGGGTTAAGGATCCGGGACCTCGAGGAATTCGATCCTTCTTCCCTGTCTGCCTACCTAGCTGTCTCTTTCTATCTGTCCAACCCGTCTTCCAACAAACAGCGACGGTCGCAGCAGCACGCGATCTGCGGTCCAGGCTACTGAGGCTTATACGACCCCCGTTTCGTGTGCGTGGGCGGGTATGTGTGCTCGCGAGTTGCCCAGAGTCGCGATCTCTCGACGAGCCATCCCGTAGACTTCGGCCGATGCATTGGACTGTAGGCATCGCCCTTCTCTCTCTTTTTAGTATCTCAGCAGCTAGCGTTGCCTGCGCTCTGCTAACCCCAAATCGGCCAACCCTGCCCGGTTGCCGCCGCCGGTGCCGGATCCTTCTTTGGCAGATCCTGTTTCCGGATCGCTGGTTGGTGTCTTACCGCCGCACCGATCCAGAGGCTTGCGCACCTGAACCTGACGCCAACAGGGAATCGCAGGCAGGCAGGCCAGGCAGAGCAAGCAAGCAAGCGTATGTTGCGTCAGATAGTCAGATAACAGGCATTGTATCTCTCTCTTCCTGCTTCCCCCCCTCCTTTCCCCCGTAGCTCAGCCTCGACGGTAGCGACGGCAGCTCTAGTTGGTTGGTCCGTTGTCTGGCCTGCCTAGGGCAGGTAAGGAGAGCAGGCATCGTGGATGCGGGGAAGGGGGGGGGGGGGGGGGTAGAATAAAACAACATGTCGCGGAATAGAGACAGGACAGGGAAGACGAATCTAGACCCCTCACCTCCGTCCGCTGACGGTGGATAAGTCGCATCGACATTTGCGCGCGCAAAGATTATGTAGGTGTAGGGTGGATCCGACTTTGTCGCCGACGTCAAGAATAATCTGCCCAGAACACCAACACGAGAGCGCGCCTTCGTCATTATGTGTCATCATCATCATCGCCATCGCCATCGCCATCAACGTGATCGTCAGCTAGAACAAGGAAAATACCCATGTCCGCCCCGCGCGGAAACGGTTGGCGTTGTTTCGGGTTGAGGTGCCCTACAGACGGGCAGACAGAGGATAGAGAGATGATGGCGACCAGGTTGCGCCGGAGTGGTACGGTACGGGTACGGTATCTCTCCGAACCTGCCTACGAACATACCATACCCTGCCCTGCTGGGCTATCTGCAACACGCGCACGCGCGCACGCACACACTCTCTCTTACAAACGATCCCTTCGGATCGTCTTGTTTGGTTTGGTTTGGTTTCGTTTGCGGAGCCCTTCGCGACCCAGCAACGCGCAGGGTGCACACATCCATCCACCATCCACCCATCCCATATCCATACACTTATAAATAGGCGATGTGTTATATATACGCACGGTACCGTCATAGGTAGCAAGAGGGGTGGGAAGGCGGGAAGGCGACCCATGCGACGGATGAATTGGGCGAGGCCACTACGTGCGTGCCGTGTCGGCGTACACTTCCGCGGTCACAGGTGCTGTAGGTCGAGAATGTAGATAGGTAGGTAGTAAGTGCGCAGGTGGTATTGGAATGCAAGAAGATGGGCGTTCGTGTTAGGCGTGTAATATATGTGTGCGAGAGTGTGGACGGAGTCAGTATCTGTAACTGGAGCTGGAACTGCGACCGACTGCGACTGTGACGGTGAACCGGGGAACATGTCGAAGAGGGTTCCCGTCCCGTCATCAATTTTCCTCGTCATGCACCGACACACATACATAACACTTACACATAACACATACTCGTACATACCTTACCTACTTACATGCACATCGTGCGTATAGGTGCGCATGTAGCGCGTGGACGCAGACGGGCGTGTGTGCGGACCCCCCGGGGGGGCCTGACTGACGATGCATCGTCGCCCTCGCTGCCACCACCTCACGTAGCATGCAGACACGCGCGTCTTTGTCGAGGAAGCGAGTTGCGTCTTAAAACCGGACTTTGCTTAGATGACCGTCGTCCGCGACTTGATTTGACCACGGCCCCCGCCCCTCCTTCGCTACCCACCCCCCGCAGCACACACGCACACATAACACGCGCACACACACGCCACCGTGCCTACCGGCCTGCCGGGGCTCGCTACACGGGACGGATCTGTCCAGATAGGCAGACGGGCAGGTAGATACGAGACCAGACGCGACCGCGACGACCGCGCGCGCGGTGGGCCGGTGGCAGGCCAGTCAAGCAGGGGGCGCCGACGGTGCCGAAAACAGAGTTAAAGGAAATTCTACACAGAAGCCTACCAGCCGAGAGAGAGAGTATGGGGAGGGGCGCGCCGAAGGCCAGACCCGGGCGAGACCAGACGAGACCAGACGAGACCAGACCGTCGGGAGGAGGGCCGGTAAGGTTAGCAGGTGGCTCAGGGCTCTCCCCAGGGGCTGCAGCCGCCTCTCTCTCTCGCTTTCTCTCCACACACACGCGTTTCCCCCCTCTGCGGTCGCGTCGCGAAGCGCCCCCGAGAGACAATCTCGTCGGTGGAGTCGGTGCGCGGTGTTCGAGCGAGCGAGAGAGAGATGGGGAGAGAACCCCCGACGGCGTCTGGCTATGGGCACCATGGAGGGGCCTGCTTCTTCAGCAACTGGGTCGCTAGAGGTGCGGGGAGGCGAAGAAGGGGGGGGACTGGGAAAAGGAGAGCAAAAGAAGAAAAGAAACGACGGTCGTATCGCGTCTTTTCCCTGTCCGAAAAACGGGAACGCCAGACGCGTAAAGTGCCTTTTCCCCTTTCCTCCCTTCGTATTTTTATTTATTTTATTTTATTCGTCCTTAATTCCCTCGCTACTCCTAGGTCCGTCTTGCCTCGCCTGCCCATCTAACGTAACCCTCCCCTATCTGCCTCGCTATTAGGTGCCTACCATACACCCGCTAATGTCCACTACTCATAGCTAACGTGCTTTACCTGCACCTACATGCTTACTTACATACTCATTACATTAGCGGGATTTGTTCCGCGGCGGACCCTGGAGTCTGATTTGTGGCTGGAGCCTTAGCGAGAACGCCTTCGACGCCCTCGACGCCTTCAACATCTCCGCTCGATGGGTGATCCCTGGGGGCAGACAGAGAACCCCATCACCGTCCCCTATCGCCTACCTCCCACAGCCACGCCATATTACGACCTACATCCATATCGCGGTGCCCGCATGGCCCAATTGCGTCCCGGTTTCGCCCCCTGTTCTGTTCTCCTCCAGATAGGGAGGTGAGCCGACGCCTTCGCAGCGGGCGCGACGGCAAGGCTGGTGAGTAACTGCGGACGGGTGCGGTTCGGAGTGGGCTTCTCCCCTCCCTCGGAGAAAGGAGGGTGCGGCCGTATCTACCTGTAGATCGGTCGGTCTACATCGTATCCATCTGGCCGTCTACCCGTCCCGCCATCTCTCTGAATATTCCACCGCTGGTATTCCCTCGCTTCTCTCGGTCTCCAATGCCCCAAACAACTTGCGGCGAATTTCTCCGAGAGGTTGGGGTTAGGGGTTGCCTTCCTCCCCCACAGGCTCACTCCTAATATATATTGACCGTGGCGGAAGATATATCCATCAATAGGCAGGCACATATATAGGTATATATGATCTATCTATTCTAGACTAGACGATCCCCGTCTAGATATGGAAACCCACGCGTGCAAGCAAGGCAAGCCCCCCTTCCCCTCCCCACGCCATCTTTTGTCCATATTGCGCTGAAACGGGCGGACAGACAGACGCGGACGGGATCTGACCTGTCAGATCGACTTCAGCCTGTGAAGTCATCCTGCAGCCCAAGCAACGCCTCCCGGCGTTATCACGTACCCCCGTCCGACAGTTATCACATCATGTGCATTCTTGTGCGATGCCAACCTCGTGTAGGTATAATTTCGATAGGCTCCTCTGCTTTACTCCCCCTCCCCGCCGAAGCGCAGATACTTGTGTGCAGGGAGGAGGGAATGGAGAGAGGGATGGAGGGTTCGTTTATGCGTGGCGGTTCCGGCGTGGCGGTCGCGCGTCTCTATCTATCACTTCTGACCTCTCACCGCCCGGTTTCTCGTTTCTCCGTATGTGCGTTCGGCACATGGATAGCGAGTCGACCATCTGAGGCCGGCTTGTCCGAAATGTTGGGTCCGCCGCGCAGCGAGGCAAGGCGGGGCGTCCCCCCGATCGATTCCGATGCCGGTATCCAAACGGGTGGATTGTCGCCTTCTCGAGGTAAGGGTGGAGAGGTCAAGGGATGATGACGATGGTTAATACCTCGTCGGATCCTTCCCCCTCCCCTTCCTGTCCTTGTTGTCATCAGCATAGGCAAGCGAGTGGAGGAGAGGGAGAGCTAGAAACGAGATGAGGTATGAATCGCGAACTACGTATGCAAAGAGAAAACACGAGCAACGGGAGGCGGGCGGTTAGGCAAGAAAGGAGTTGGACTACCTAAAGGGATGTAGGCAGGCAGCTAGGCAACCTGGAAATTATCGACAGACAACTCCGAGCGCCTCCCTCCGAACTGGGCAATTAGCAAGGAGCCGCCGGGTAGCCAAGTCGACTTGTCTCTCTCGTCCCTCTCGCCTCTGCCCCCTTCCCCTCCCACCCCCTTTTTTTTTCTAATCTCCGAATGGGCAGCGAGACCGAGCGACATTTGTCTTCCCGTGCTCCCGTGTTCCAGCGCCACGACCGAGACGACTTCGGGTATGTACGACGCGACTCACCTCCATGACACGTAGAGAGAGAGAAGGTGGCTTTTTTTTTCGGGGGAGAGAAAGAAACTAGAAAGGCGAAGAAGAAGGCGTCTGCGAGAGGAAGAAACTGAGACAAGAGATCCAAGAACCATACTGATTTTTGGAAAAAGCCACGAGCGGGCCAGACCCGAGTCGGACGCGCGGACGGCGCCGCGGCGCCTAGCTTTCTGGCGATCATTGTTCGTGGCTGATACCTGCGCACGCCTGCGTATGCGGCGTGTGAGAAATAGGAGCAGCAGTCGATGCCATCGGCATGCGCATGCGCATGTATGTACGCGCGCATGCATGTACATGTATGTGTATGTGCATGCGTATGGATACCTATGTATAGGTAGGTAGGTAGGTAGGTATGTGAAGCATGTGTAGGTGTGCCATCTACGCGCTGCCATGCCCACCTAAACCTACCTTACCTACCTACCATCCTATATAATCACGCCCGGGTCCATACCAGTGAAACCTGCGCTGAATCTCTCCTGTACGTATGTATGTATGTATGTCGCTGCCTCGTCTCGCCGCCACCGATCCTACGCACGTACGCACGCACGCAACGTAGCGTCTCACGAGGCGAGTCGCGTCCGCCCGCCCATCCGCCCCCTTTCCCTCCCTTTCCCCTCCCCCCGAGCAACGGCTGTCTCGTCTGCGCAAATCCCTCCTCTGGGCGAGCCGCCACTGCCAGGGACAGACAGCCCCCAGGAGAAGGGGTCGGGTACGCAGCGGCCGGGTATGGGCGCGCCGCTAGGCCCGACGCCGGCGCCGGCGGTCTCGCGATGTGCCGGCGCAGCGGCCCAGCTCGCCGAGGCGAGGCGACGCTGCCGCTGTAGGTAAGTGCATATAGATGGCGACCGCTGCGAGCCTCGCCGCCCGCTGCGCACAGCTGAGATCAGGCCGTCGCCGCCTCGTCCTGGCCCCCGTATTCGACCCTGCGCTTTTTCGGCACATGGTCCCCCTCACTATCGTTGTCATCGTCAACGCTTTCGTTGTCATTCTCCTCCTCGTCCTCGCCCTCGTAGTCGTCTTCCTGCTCGTCGTCCTCTTCGTCTTCGTCTTCCCCCTCGTCATTCCAGTCCACCTCTTCTCCCGCTGTCACCGCCGCTTCCTCCTCGCTCCCGTCCCCGTCGTCCTCTCCGCTAGACGCCTCGTACGCAAACGAGACAAAGTCCTCGCGCCACACGAGCGGCGGCTTCGACCCCTCGCGGTAGCCGCCCTGGCGGGGCTCGACAATGGCTTTCTGCGCGGTCAGGGTGCGCCGGCGGGTGCTCCCCTCCACGCGCGGGCCCTTCAGCACGACCGCCAGCTCGCTCTTGCCGCGGGCGCGCGGCCAGTCGACGTCGGTGAAGATGGGCCCCCGCGCGCGGCGCCGGCCACCGCGACGGCCTCTACCGTCGTCGTCGTTGTCGTCGTCGCCGCTGCCGCGGCGGCCGAGGTCGTGCACGAAGACGACCTGGTCCGGGGTGCGCGCGCGCGCGCGCAGCGCCGCCAGCTCCGGCGGGCACGCCGGTTCCAGCGTCTTGGCCGAGTCGAAGCGGCGGTGCGGCGGCATGCGGCGGGCGCCGAGCACGTCGCGGCGGTCCTCGCCGAGCCAGAGCTCGTGGGCGGCCGGCGTCGAGGACAGGTAGCAGGCCTCGAAGGGGACCATGCCGCTGAGGCGGTCGAGGTAGGAGGTGGGCCCGGGCCGCCCGCGCCCGCGCACCGACGCCGACGGCGGCGTCACCTGCACGGGGAAGAAGCCGCCGAGCGCGCGCGGCTCGTCGGGCCAGACGGCGCGCGCCCCCGCGCCCACCGGCGCCGCCCCGTTCGCCCCGCACACCGTCACCGCCATCTCGTAGAAGCGGAAGTCCACGTCGCTCGTCACCGTCTGCACCCGCATCACCCCCTGCGCCGCGTACCGCGCCGGGTCGATCGCGAGCCGCTCCAGGTCCCGTGCCGGCAGGATCGGGAACGTCGCCCCGCAGTCGAGCAGCGTCTTGAGGTGGCACGACGTCTCCTTCGCCTCGGCCTCCCCCTCCTCCTCCTCCGGGAGCCGCCTCGGGCCCTCGCCCCCGCTCGCGCTGCCCTCCTCTCCCTTCCCCCCCTTCCCCCCGCCCGGCGCCGCCGGGCCCCGCATCACCATCGCCCTGTGGGCGGTGAACCGCAGGTTCACGGCGTAGTGGCCAATGTGGTAGTTGCGGGGGCCGGCGACGCGGCCGAGGCACAGGCCCTTGGCGGCTCGGGCGCCGCCGGGCGCGGACGCGGACCCGAACGCGGGGCCGGCGAGCGGCGGCTCCTGCCAGAGCCAGCCGGGGCCGTAGCGCGCGCGGTAGCGGTCGAGGCGCGCGGCGCGGTCGGCGCAGAAGGCCCGGTACGACGCGCAGGTGTCGACGACGCGGCCGGCGTAGACGAGCGTGAACCGGTCCGAGTACGCGATCGCGCCGCTCTCGTACCCGGCGATCGCCGCGCGGATGTTGGCCGCCTCGGCCGCGCACCGGCTCGTCGCCAGCGCCCACCCTAGCACCTCCAGGCGCTCGCCGACGCGGCGCCGCGCCTCGCGCTGGTCCCTGTCGCGCGCAGCCGAGGCTGCGAGTCAGCAAAGACGGGAAAACCGGGGGTGCGTGGCTGTAAGGGGGGGGGGGGGGGGGGTGCCGGGCGACCTACTCGGGCATGTTGTTCTCTTCGTCGTCCGCCATCTGCGCCCTCTCTCGCTGCAGCCGGTCCAGGATGGCCTCGTGGTGCGGCGCCTGGCCCGGATCGCTTCTCCGGTAGTGCTCTAAGATGTATCGCTGCTGCTCGATCTCGCGGTCTTTCTCCTCGATGTAGCTCAAGTTCTCGCCCAGGTCGCCGACGACCAGGGTCTCCCACGGCTTCCGCTCCGACGCACCGCCTGCGTCTGCTGATGTCGTCGCCTCGTCTCCCTGTTCTGCGTGCTCCTTGCTCCCCGTGGCTGCGTCGGGCTTACCATCTTTATCCCCTCGGTTTGTAGGCCCGAATCGGGCTCGGAATCGCAGTTCGCGCTGCTCCCGATGTGTGTGCTCGTCCTCTGACATCCCAAGGCCTCGAAATACACGCCTTGGGCCTGGGGGCCCGTTGTCTCCGGGTGGCCGTTCGGGGGGTGGGCTTCCCGATGAGCCATGACTTCTGGGCATCGTAGCTTGTCCGTGTGTTCCTCTCGCGACGATCCTAACTTTCTTGACTGCCAAATAATTTTATTCCTCTTCTTTCTTTTTCTGTATCCAGCGGTAAATGGCTTGCAATGGTTATGCCCACCTGTCTGTTCCGGCCAATACCGGGCAAAGAATGCCACGAGTTGTGATCTAAAGCCGCAAACGGCAGGTTTCTGAACGGTTTAGACGCCTTCTGCACATGTCTCACTCGGTCCTGGGGCCTTTTTAGCAGCACAATTGCATTCTTTGTTGAAATCGGCTAGTGGTGAAATCCGAAAGAAAGCAGCTGGATTCCTCTGGAATGCTCAGCTTCCATCTTCAGTAATTGACGGATTCCTTGGGCCCCCCAAAAAGGAGACAAGAACAGAGCGTTGTCTAAAATTGCCGTCACTAACTGAACTCTTACTCTTCTTGACTTCTTCTTTTCGCTCGTATACTCAACACCTATCTTGAGCTAGGAGCCAACCCCTGCACGATACCATAAGGCCCTACAGGAATCGCTCACTCAACGAGACAGTGAATGCCAAATAGCTCGCGGAAATCCCCAAAAGCAAGCATTTCTACCACAGAGACTATTGGAAAGTCTCCTCTCAGACCGTGATTTCGTACTAACGAGTCAAGGATAGTCTATCTACTCTATTCTGGCTCGCTAATACTATCGCGGACGGGCACGATGGAAGGGACCCTGCCGTCTCTGGACGACCTCATACCGGAGATCGCCATAGGTCCTAGAGGAAAGGACCCAGCCCTTACGCTCCCGCAAATCATCAACTTTCTGAGCGACGAAGACAACCGGAGGCGCCCAAAGTTCAACGAGGAGCTTCAGAGCATATCCAAATACCTGGAAGCGGCTAACCAGGACCGCCTCTCAGGCGAGCTTGGCTACGATGACCCGGACACCGGCGCCCAGTTGGTAGACGCCTTCTTCCTAGTCAACGTTCACCGGAATTTCCAAAGATGGACCGACGAGCCAACCCGCTGGTCAACAGATGGGCTGCCTGGCCAGCCTACTGCTGATCGCCTTCCTACCTATCCAAGCCAATTTCCGATGCCGCCTCGCGACAGGTCGCGGTACAAGCAGAAGCGAATCCACCTTGCGCCTCGTACCCACGACAGTTTTGTGAATGTTTTCTACCCTATATCAAACATCAAAACCGAGGGCCACTCTGAATTTTCGTATTTTCAAGTCGCCGAGGAGTTGGCCTTTCAGGACGTCATAAACCCTGGTTCCATGATAAAGCCGCCCTACAACGGCTTCGAGTTGGATAATGTTGAGTACGGGGAATGCATGCGGCGCGGAATCGAGGGCACGGCCGCCAGAGCGCCCGAGACGCTGGCGGGTGATATGACCATCAGCCCGGGAAACCCCGGGTTGACCGGGCCAACGGATGAAAAGAACCAGGAAATGGTCGATCTATATACTGCGTTGGGGTGGCAGCGTGCCGCGCTTCAACAATGCCTGAATGCGTTCACCAGTCACGAGAATAGGGTCGTCAATACCCCCTGGACTCGAGTGGTGCTTCCGTTCAAGGAGCCTGTGCCGATACCTAGAGATGTAATCTATCACAACCGAACCATTCACCCGGACAAGGTCAAGGACGAGATCAAGAAACCGTTCCCCTGGGTCTCAGCGTATTCCGAATACTCGGAACTTCTGCATGTCTTGGCCGGTTGGCAGCGCCGTCAGTACAACATTGAGAACTGGTCCGACTTCCGGAGATCTGCGCTACCCCCGAACTTCGTCGGCCCCTACAACTACAAGGGCTTGTCTATTTACGAGGACTATTGGTTAGAGATAGGCTCATACCTCGAGCGACTTCGCGCGCTCCTGGTCGACTCGTACGGGACGGCTCCTCGGCCCTTCCTGCTGGCCATCCTACGAGATATCGAGGCTGGGCTTAACTGGAAGAAGACAGATCGGCAGTCTCGTGTGAAATACGCTCGCGCGGATATCTTGAAAATACGGGGGATCGATATAGGTTACAGTGATCCTAGTGCTATCAAGTTGGTCGATGAATACGATGCTCTGTGGCTGCGATTTCTCTGCGAGCCCTCAATCACGAACGAGATGGCTGATCCCGAAAAGCGCATCCGGGACAATGCCGAGATACTCTTCGACGCTCGCCTCCAGGACTTCTTTAACAACCCTGCTGCGTCCGGTAGCCCGGGGATCGCTGGATTAGATGTTTTTGAGTCCATGGGGGGGAGGTGGAGGCAGGAGAGGGATAGGACCCGGCCGTCTCTTCGGACCGTGCTAGATTATATCAACGGCGGCCGAGGCAACGCGAGACTACACCAGAACAAGACGTATCAGTTTAGCGAGCAACAGGCTAGACAATTCCTCGAACACCTGCAAGGCCTTGGACGATGCGTGTAAGTACAACCGCTAACCGTTATGCCGACTCCGGACTTCAGCTGACAAGAACAAGTGTCGAGAAACGAGACGGGGTCATATATGTCGGCCGGCCAGAGTATAACATCCACCCCGAGAATCGCATTCGCTGGCGCGCCGAAGACGCACAGGACTTCCTCAGCATTAGCGGTGGTAAAAGAGCTTTCATTGTCAAGTCTTTGGTAGAGCTGTATGGGACGAGCCAGCCGGGCGAGTCCACGAGGGATCGCTTCAGATTCGCCTTGGACCATCTCGGAGACAGTGCAGTTGGCGAGAAGCTCGCATCTCTCGCATCGTCGACGGCGGCTAACAGCAGAGATGAGATGAAAAATTACCTGAATAGTATAATCCAGAGGGAGTACGACTGGGTCCAAGGCCCGCTTAAAGGGTTTGGGATAGACGTGGAGCGCCAGACGCCTCTGTGGGAGGACCTGGCTGATTGGGACAGGTTGGGAGCGGAACAACGCCGAAGAGGGGGCGCACTTCCGGTTGCCGATGTGACGGTCCAGTTCCTCCGCAATCTTGCCTATAGGATGGGGTACACCATGTCGCACGTGGAGGACATCAAGAATCGACTCCGGTATAGACACGCGATCAGGGGACGAGTCGCCTGGTGGAAACCAGTCTCCCGACCCGCACTGGAGCAGGGGCTGGACCACTGGTTCAAGTCGATCCAGTACGGAACGGGCCCAGTGGAATTCAAGATGCCGAGTATCGGCAAGATCGTTGATAAGCTGGACCCGAAGCGGACCCTTCGCGACCAGCACCCAGGCCAAGACGCCTTCGGGACCATCCGAGAGGGTATCATCAACGACTGCGTCGAGAACCGCAGCACTCTGTACCCCAGCCAGACAAGGGTCTTCGAAGACTCTTCCGGCTACTTCAAAGACATCGACGACTACCAACCCGCCAAACTCTACGTAGGTCTTAAGCGGCCGAGCCTGTTCAGCTGGGCCAGCAGCGCGCAGCGGCGGTACCAGGCGCCGTACACCCGCAAATCGTACTTCAACATGAGGCGTTGGCCGCTGTACCACCAGACACCGGAGCGACAAGAGATAATCAAGAACAGGCGGGACGAAGTCGTGCGGGACGACCCGAGCGACCCGGCACAGAAATACGGCATCCTGACGTCGAGGTTGCCGGTACATGTGGACCGGCCGGCGCGTCCACAGCCGCCTGGACGACGGGGTCCTGAGCCGGAGCATCCCCCCGATCCTTTCGCTGGCTTCACGCAGGAGGACTTCGAGGGAACGGGCGTCGAGCTTCCCGATCCGTCGAGGGTGAAATTCGTCCCGTACACCCGGCCGACGTCGCGCTTTATCCCGGGACCAGCTGTCTTCCCCATGGCCGAGACGCTCCTGCAGCAGATCGCGCTCAGCCAGCAGCTGGAGGAAGGTAAGTCGAGAAGATCTCCTCGCCTCCCCCCAACCCCCCCCCGTCCTCCTTTCCCTCCCCGTGCACGCGTGCGTTACCCATTTTCAGACGATGCTAACCAACTGTCTCTACCACAGCGCTCTACCCCCAGCCCGAGCTGGGCTGGCTGCAGTGGCTCGCGAAGCTCTACCGGAGGTGGACCGAGTACCCGGCGCCGCGGATCCCGCTGCTGCCGCCCGCGTCGCCGTCCGAGATCCCGCGGAGCAACCCCAAGAAGCGCAAGATCCCGGCCGACTACTGGCTCGACGAGGAGAGCCTCCAGCCGGCCGTCAAGAAGGCTAACACCCGCCAGACGAGGCCGCGGCCTACGAGGCGGCCCTGGCGCCAACCTGACGAGGCCCGGCCCAGGAGCCCTAGAAGGAGGCCCCCGCCCCCGCCGGCCGGCCTGTTTGGCGCCCCTAGCGGCAAGGTGCCCCCCCCAGCGCGCCCCGCCCCGAGGTTCCAGCCGAGATTCGCCCCGACGATGAGCGGCGCCTTGGGCGCGAGCAGCCGCGTCACCGAGATCGAAGACTCGGGAGAAGACGCGTCCGAGTCTGGGGTCTCGCCTTCGGACTGGGAGGAGGACGAGGAAGAGGAGTACGAGGAGGAGGAGTACGAAGAGGAGGAGGAGGAGGAGGAAGTCGAGGAGCCAGTCGCAGTAAGCAGCGGCAGCGAGTACGAGCTGGAGAAAGACGAGCCGTCGGAGCCGGAGCCGGCGCCGCCGCCGCCGTACCGGGTCCTGACGGCGGAGGAGCAGCTGGCGCGGTCGTTCCCGCGCGGGTGGCGGGGCATCGACGTGGGGCCCGGGTTCGACGGGCTGCTGCGGGCGATCGAGACGAGCTGGCGGGCGCAGAAGCCGCACCTGGAGCCGGCGCCGACGCAGGCGGCGCTGCGGGCGGCGTTCCGCCACCCGCAGTGCGGCGGCGGCAACGTCGACAAGGACGTCAAGTTCTTCAACCCGTGGCAAGTCGTCCTGAGCCAGGGCAACGCCGCCCTCACCTTCTGGGCCGCCGTCGATCAGGACGGCCCTGCCGCCGTCCCCAGGAAGGCCCCCCTCCGCGTCCAGCTCGGCTGCGTCTTCGACGACGAGGAGCTGCCCAACGATAACGGCCCCCCGCTCCTGCTCCCCTCGCCCTTCGGCGAGGAGGCCGGCGTCGATGTCATCTGGGTCCTGTCCAAGGGCTTCGGCAAGTTCCAGGCCCTCGGGCAGAACTAGTTGGCTAGTTGTCAGGTGTTAGGAGGGGCGTATTTTATCGTCGAGTGCTGTGTTTCTTAGGGGTCGTGTAGCTAGGAATTGATACCACCCCCATCGCATCTCCTGTCTCTCCCTCTTTCTCTGTCTCTCGCTGGCTTCATCTATGGGTTACTTTTTTTCTGTGTAGTCGCATCTGTCTTGAACGTGGTGGGAGAGCGCGGTCGTTGATTACTTTCCCGACTCGGCGAAATCGCGCCCCCCTTCCCTTCCATCTGCCGAGGAAAAGGGGGCAGAAAGGGGGCTACGTCGTCGAGTCTGTCTGTATTCTATCTAGCGGATTAATTCGGATAGCTGCTACTTGAATAGAAAGGGAGACGTCCCGTTTCGTTCCTACGTGTGTCTTCTCTCAGAAACCTGCAGTGGTTTTCGAATTCGCGTATTAGACAAGAATTATATTACGACCCATAACAAACTGAGAACACATGGTACGCCTATATAACAAAGCCGACCCGAGTGAGACCCCCTAGTAAACATGGCTGGGCCCTTGCCCCCCTCCCCCCCTCCAGGCTCGCCCAGCCCGTCATCACACGATCTGGATAACCAGCTTCCCGATGCCGCCCTTGCCGGTGGCCACCTTCTGGGCCTCGGCGCGGATGGCGACGATGTCGTCGAGCGGGACGACGCGGTGGAGCGCCTTGACGGTGCCGCGGGCGAGCAGGTCGACGGCGCGGACGAGGTCGGCGCGCACGCTGGGCTCGCCGGACAGGAAGAAGTAGCGCACGCGCGTGCCGCGCAGGCAGAAGGCGTACCACAGCTGCGCCAGCGCGGCGAGCCAGTAGACGGGGGCCGGCAGCGGCGGCAATATCGCGCGCAGCAGCGCCGGCGGCGGCGCGCCCGCCAGCGACGCCACCACGCCGCGCTCGCGGTCCGCCAGCGCGAACGTGCCCTCGGGGCCCCACTGCGTGCTGAAGACGAGGTCGACGCTGCCGCGCGGCACCGCGTCGGCGAGCCGCGGCACGCGCGTGTAGTCCACCACGCGGTCCACCACGCCCGGCAGCAGCGCCTCGACCAACGGCACCTTCGCCGTCGACACCGACGCGACCACGCGCCCGGCGCCGAGCTCGCGCTTGAGCAGCTGCGCGGCCGGCGCGCCCAGCGCGCCCAGCGCCCCCGCCACGAACACCGTCTTGCCGCGCAGCCCGCCCTCGACGCCGTTCGCCCGCAGCTCCTCGAGCGCCCGGTCCGCCGCCTGCACCACCGTCACCAGGTTCGCCAGCGTGCACATGTCGACGAAGGGCACGTGCGCCGGCTTGCGGATCGCCAGCGCCTCCCGCGTCACCGCGTACTCGGCGCACACGCCCCCCGCGCTCGCCAGGTTCATCGGGCGCGTCACCGTGAACGTGTAGATCTCGTCGCCCGGCTTGAAGGCGGTCACCTCGGCTCCCACGGCGACGACGACGCCCGCGCCCTCGACGCCGAGGCGGATGGGCATCCTGCGCGCTGGGGTTAGTTGTCTTTTGTCATGTCTTATAGTGGTCGAGGTAAGGGGGGCAAGGGGTAAGGGGGGCAGAGGGGAGGGCGGTTAAGAAAAGGGGGGGAAGGGGGCGAGAAACGGATTTCTTTCCGGTCAGGACACGAAAATGACAAACTGGTAAACGGGAAAAAGGGGGTACAGGGGGTATAGACGTACTTGCTCTTCCCAAGCAAGAACCTCACGGCGCCGCGGGCGACCTGGGTCTCACCGGTCGCGATGCTGGCGGCGTGCACGCGGAAGAGCAGCTCCTTGGGGTCCCGGATCTGGGGTGTCGGCAGCTCGACGACCTCGTACCCGTCCTCTGGCCAGCAGTACTTTGGCGCCACCAGCGCGCGCATCGTCTTCGGGATCTCGGAACCGGCCATTTTCCCCTACCTACTTTCTTTGTCCTTGCCCTTTTCTTTCTTGGCACTCTGGGGTTTTATTTCTTCTTTACCCGTTTCCGATCACCCTCTCTTTTTATTCTTCTTTGTTCCTCTGCCAAATCCACCGGCTAGGTACCCTAGCTGGGCGAAAGGGATGACGAATGTACCCGTTCGGTGAATTTAAGACTCTTGGGTGCCCCCCCTGGGAAGACGGGATCTGAGGGTTGGAGATGTCTCGGTATCTAGGGTGCCTTGGTTAGTGGTATTTAGCTGTGTATCTCCTCAGTTTAGATATTGGTAAGATGTAAGTATGAGTATAAGTAAAGACCAGGATGGGTTTCAAGTTGGCAGGTCACACCCGATCCCCCTTATCCAGTCCACCGAAGTAGGTATTAGCAACGACGACAACCCGCACAAGCTAGGGATGGAGGCGGGATGTGTTAGAGAAGACGAGGAACACGGCTCGCGGCCAGGTGCTATATAAATACCTATCGCATTTACTCACGCCACAGTGCACGACAACGCTCCGACTTCATTTTCGGCGGGCTTCGGCGGGCAGCCCCGCCGAATATCCCACCGAGCCCCATCCTCAACCTCCCCCTGTCGCCCAGGCACACAATGCGTACGGAAGATCTGCCGCCTGTAGGACCGAAGGAATTAGCGGCGCAGCCTGCACCGGTCTAAGCGCAGGCAACATGGCACTCGTCACCCGTGCTGCCAGGTAGGTAGGTAGTTGTCAATAGGTAAATGAATTTCGACGGACGTGTGAATTGCGCCGGTCGTCGTCACGGCTGGCTACCTAACAGGCAGGACGACGAGACGTCGATCTGGACCGAGACCTGTAACTATACGCTAGCTGGCCCGTGGATAGAGGCTACTTGCCGACACTCCTGGAGAGGTAGGAAAGCTAACTAGGTGACGAATAGATGGGCAGATAGATCAATGTCTGTATCGACCGACGATACTCGTAGTACGATGTTCTGCTCTTAACCCCAAGCACCTGGCCATCCTTCCCCTCTCCCCATCTCTAGTAGGCATGTTACCTGCTTATGCTATGTGAACTAGCGCGTCCGACAGCACTTCCATAATACATCACCGATATCATAGCCTGCGCATTGGTACCTCTAGATAAATTGTGCATGGCTGAAAAAAGGATAAACGTTGGGACCGCAGAAGGTGGATGGGGACGCGACGGGGAGGGATCCGACCGCACCACAGACATAATACGACACGGATCGAAGGCCCCCAATCAAACACGTAGTTGAACAGCATTCCGGGTACTGTAGTTGGCACCCGCCCAGCTTTGGCTCTCCGTTAGGAGCCTAGAGGACTCTGTCACCACGCGCAACCCATATACCTAAGCGTAGGAGCGCTATAGCGTACCCGACACATGACAATACGAATGGCACACCAGAGTTCATCGTCAGAATACGGCTGCCATTTTTGCCGCCCTAATCTGATACCTGCCTTCCTGGCGCCGAATGCGATTAGAAAAGCATAGCGTCGTCAAATAAAAGTGATGATGTGAGCCCGTGCCGTACGTTCCCAAATGCCACATGCCACGCCGTCCGTCTAGTATCTCTTGCCGTCCCGGAGCGTATCCGCGTACTCCTCCAACGGGCTTCGGATTAACTTCGTCTCAGACCACAGGTTGGGCGTCAGGAATCCGTAACTGTTGGAGATGGCGGCAAAAGTCGCCTTTAGCGTGTTCTCGAGGGTCTTGGTCGAGCCGGACGACGAGGTGTAGGCGTCCTCAATACCGGCCAGTTGGAGCAGACGCTTGACGGCTGGGGATGCGACGATCTGGGTACCGCGAGGGGCGGGGATGAGCTGGACAGATTTGGTCAGCATTCACTTGTTCTCGCCTCTCCTCGCCTCTATTCTCTCCGTCTATCTTGGTATAATGGTAACCTACTCGGACGGTGACGGAGCCACACTTTCCGCTCTCCTTGACGGGTAGAGAGTGAGGGAGACCGAGGTTGGTACCCCAGTAACCACGTCGGACGGGGATAACGCTCAGCTTGGCGATGATGATGGCGGCGCGGATAGCCGTGGCAACTTCCTTCGAGGTCTTAATGCCGAGGCCGACGTGTCCCTCAGAGTCGCCGATAATGACGATGGCCTTGAATCGAGTTCGCTGACCGGCACGGGTCTGTTTCTGGACGGGCTTGATCTGTACGACGGGGAGCGTGGTTAGCCTTTGATGTCGCTTCCTCTCTACAATTCTGATCTGCACGATCGAAACGGATTTCCGAACTCGGCGGAGGCGACTCAGACACGTATTATATTCGTTGGGTTGCTGGCTAGGGCGAGCGCCGTACCTTCATGACCTCGTCCTTCAGCTTGGGTAGGAAGAAGTCGACGATCTGGTACTCCTTAATAGGGAGCGAGTGCAGGTAGATCTCCTCCATGCTCTTGATCTTTCCGGCCTTCACAAGGCGGCCCAGCTTGGTGACGGGCTGCCATTCCTTCTCGCTGTCCTTCGCGCCGCCTCGACGGCCACGGCCTCTGCCACGGCCACGGCCACGATCACCGCCTCGGTCGCCTCTCGCACCAAAACCACCGCCGCGGGCACCGCCTCGGTCAGCCATGTTGCTCTGGTCAGGAGTGGGCTGTCGAAGAGTTGTGTGAGATAAGGGAGGTTTGCGAAACGGTGAGGCTCGCGAACTGAGCTTTGGGCGGTCGTAGTCTGGATGAGGTTGATCGGAATCCGGTTTCTGGGAAATTTCACGGAGGGGCCCTGATAATTTTGGAATAGGTATTGATTTTTTCTCCTCGGGGTTTGTGGGAAGACAGACCCAACCGAGTGGTCTGTGCACACCGAACTCTTCTTTTATGTCCATATTCCTGGTATCTTGCGTGTATAGATGTAGGTAGATAACGGGGTCTGTCAGTACCTAAGGTAAGGTAGGTACATCTAGGTACCCATGCATAATGATGTAAGATGCCACCTGCTTCTACCATGTCTGCTCGGCTGTGCTTCATACGACACGTGCTCCCTCTTTTCCTAGGGAGGCGACACCCACGATGGCCTCGTTATCTCTTTAAGAATGTTGTCGCCTACGCCCGGGGGGAATGGTTATTAGCTAATCAACAGTGCTCAAGTTATAGGTAGAGACGCTGGACTCACAGTATCTAGGATGCTTTGACTGCACACGTACGCCCGTCTTGCTACCCTGAGATGAGTTTCGTTTTTGTTAATTATATCGTACAGGATACTGATGCAATGCCTAGATGATTAGGTAGGTTACGTTGTAGAATTCTCCCTCGCGCGCCCTGGGGTTCTGGCCCCGAAATTCTGTCTATTTACAGTACCTAGGTATGCCTCCCCCCCCTGATCTTGTTACCTCACGGCGCCCTACCCCGTGCTCGACTGATGGACAATGTCAAATCAAGGTATACCCCACGTGTCAACCATGCCTCATGCTCGCAAAGAGACGGAGAAAGAGAGAGAAATGGGGGGGCGCTCGCAGAGCATAGGTAGGTATCTCAATCTACGGAAGCGTAATGAATTCCTTGCCAAAGAGGGTATCTCATCATCAATTCGGCTGACAAAACGCCCCGCATCACCTTACTCATCCTTGCGGATTAAGGAGTCGGATAGACTAACTCGCTGTGCCCACTCACTATACATTGGTTAGCTCGCGCAAGCACGTGAGAAGGTGAACGGCGACGGGAGTCTCTACTTACGTCCAACTCCCATCGTAGACTCGCCGCGTCTCCGGAGAACCGTAACCGGCCTCCTCGAGGGCCGTATCTATGACAACTGCCGTTACTCCGGTGCCGCAGGTAGAGATGATAGGTTTCGACGGGTCCACGCCTTTCTCCTTAAATAGCTTCACGAGCTGCTCTTTCGGTAGGAATGCCTTGGTCTTGGGATCGAGAACGGCGCTGAAGGGTATGTTGATAGAACCTGGCATGTGGCCGGACGACAACCCTTCTCTGGGCTCCGGGTCCTTGCCGGTAAATCTGCCGTTCGGCCTCGCGTCGAGGATCTGCACGCCCTCGGCGCCTTCTTTGTTATGATCTAGGGCGACATCTCGCACCTGTTCGTAGCTCGCGATTCTGCCTTCGTCTATTTTGGGGATCGGATATGCGTTGCATTCGACGTTGTAGAGCTCCCCAGACTCGGTGGGGTGGCCCTCTTCAACCCACAACCTGAAGTTGTTCAAGACGTGCACCTTGGGGTGGCCGAAGACCTGGAGAGTCCAACCTACTCTCGGCGCGCTGAAGATGCCCACCTCTTTCGAATCGTATACCACCACCGTGTCTTCTTTGCGGATACCGAGTGAGCTCATGGCCTCGGCAAACCGCTCAGGCGTCGGGAGCATATGAGGATACGGACTTCGCTTATCGATAACTTTGTCGAGGTCAAAGAAGCGCGCCTTGGGAATCCGGGTCTCCCGAAAGACATCGATACCCTTTCGCTCATCATTCGGCAGGAACCAGGCTGCGCATAGAGGGATGACTCTCGGCTCGGGGCTGATCGGAGAGGGCGGGCTTTTCTTCAGAGCTTCTGCCAGCTCGGCAGGTGTCACGAGATAGGAGGAAAGACTTCGCCGTTGCTCTGTAGAGCTGAAAGGTAGCTTTTGAAAGGCAGGGAAGTTCTGGAAGCCTGGGAGGTCACGGAGGCCTCGTTGTGAAAGCGAGAAAACTCTCACTGAGCGTGATATTACGCGAGCAGCCATGGCCTGTCTGGTGCTGTGAGTGTGGAGGAGGGCGGGTTTATGTGACTGGACGGAGGGAATTCCAGCACGGAGCAGCTAAGGTGCTTCGGGCCGGAGGGCTTCGGAATGAGATTACCAGGGGTAGGTGAGGACCGGCCGCCGTTGGGGAGTGGGCAATCCAGATCGGCACCTCACCCAAGGGAAGAAGAGATTAGAGGCTCTTTGCAATGGAATGGAGAAGAACTTCGGATGAACAAATGAGCTGAGTGAGATAGTGATCCGACAGCTTGGGGAAACCGGAGGTGCGGGGTCTTTTAACGGGCAACGTACGCCTGTGACTTGGTCATTGCAGCACCTGCAGTTACCTGGTACATGTCTCTATCTCAGACAGGTAAGTCAGCGTCTCGACAGGGCAGAATTGAGAAGCCCCAGGAGATCGCAGAGGGTAGAAGAGGAAGAGCGTCTAGGCAGGTGACAAAAGAGTCAGGCAAGGATACTACTTAAAGGTTTTGGAATGGTGCAATGGACCCAAATCTGGAAGGCTTGCAAAAAAAAAAAAAAAAAAAGAGCGAACCCCTAGTTGCCCGGACAGGTTTACCAAGATAGCCCCCCCTTCAAGCAGGTCACAAGAGGGTGCTGATACACGCAGGGTAGATCCTTGGCGGCAATAGTGGATGCCCATTATCACAAAGGTCTTCAAGTCTGTATGTGTATGATAGGATAGTGTCTATAGATATCAACCTACCTAATGGGTACGGTGGAAATGGGTCAGATGTATCTGAGGTATTGAAGTCTGTTGACTGCAATATTTTCAACGATTAATGAAACTACCTATACCCAGCTATTCTGGCAAGGTACCTAATGTGGTGGGGTCATTCAATGTGTTTATTTATTCTTTATGCCTGCGGCCAGGTATGTATTTATGCGTTTTTTTTCAACTAGTGGATTTGTTGCGTAAAGTACCTGTAGTGGGCAGGTATCCTCCTGGGCGACATGCACGTATTATTTCCCATTCTGAGGCCAACTCCCATTTCAACACATCGTTCCGAAACCAAACAACACCGTCCAATAAGACAGCACGGAAATAATAAGCTACCCAAGCATCGAGGAAACGTCAAGTGCAGCCCGTTACGCGTGCCCAACTTCGAGGTCCCCTGCCGAACACGAGCAGGGTCATCTTGCCGCCGCCATCGCCATACGCAAGACAGAACCTAGCGATGAAGGTCAAGATCAAGGAGTGGAACGCCGTCGCATCGTGGAGATGGGATCTCCCCGAGGACGACGTGTGCGGCATCTGCCAGGTGCATTTTGACGGGACGTGCCCGACTTGCAAGTACCCTGGTGACGACTGCAGTCTTCGTATGCTGCCTTTATCCGCATCCATCCTCCCTCTACCGACAGCCATGGAGAATTGACCTATCTTGTCTCTCTAGTGTCTGGAAAATGCGGCCACAACTTTCACATGGTGAGCGCATGGCCCCGGCGAGTTCGGTCTCGGGTGGGTGGGAATGAACACGTGCTGACGCGGTTTGGAGCATTGCATTATGGAGTGGATAAAGCAAGATTCGGCCAAAGGGCAGTGTCCAATGTGTCGGCAGAGTAAGTCGAGCACTCGCTTCCCCTCTCTTCTCAAGGCTAGCGGCATCGTCGCTGAGAGGCTCTCCGCCCAGAATTCGAATGGGAGACAGAAGCAGGGGCAGGGCCGCAGCCGGCCCCTGAACAGCAGGACACAACCGGGATCTAATGATGGGAGAGAGGATGGTTTGTACAGAGGATTCCCAGTGAGAGCCCTATACACATCCTCCTTCCAGGAGGGGCACAGCACAGGGCGCCCTGTCTACGGCCGACTTCCGTTTGCGACGTCGGGGTTGGGTGCCTGCCTCGGGAAGCGCCTGTGGGGGGTTAATCATCGCTATTGGGACAGAGGCGGAAACGAAGACGAGCAGAACCAAGGCCCGAGGCGAGGCGCCGTAGTCTCACGCCAATCCCACGTGGGTGTGCCCGCATGTACGTCTATGAGGAGGATGGATGATCGGTACCTATCTACCTGGTAGTAAGTTACAGGTATGTGTAGTGACGGATTTCCGACCGCTGGGGCTCTAAAAGTGGCCAGCCCTTCTATCCTTACTACGTCATAGGGGATAGGTGGCTTAACGGTATAAGTTATACCTCAAAGGGGGCTAGGTACCTACCTAGGTAGGAGTGTATAATCCATACAGTCTGCAAGCAACTCTCAGACATCGTTGCGTATAGTTTAGGTGCCCGTCGTGTTCTGTGAGTGATTCACTCTACGAACAAATCCGCACAGGAGGTGCCTTACTCACGGCGTTCGGGAAGAGTTACCTTAGATACCTATGTACCTATGTACCTAGGTACCTACCTTAAGTAAAATTGGGCGGCGCCAAGCGACATTCCCCACATTCCGATAAGATAGAGGCTGTCGACCTTACCCGATCCTTGCACATGTTGGATTGTGGTGCTACGGACAAGCAAGCATAACACAGATATACATCCATGCATAATTTAGCTTGCGGTTACGGGCGAGGGCGGTATGTATAGGTATGTAGGTGCGGATTCGAGTGAAGTTTACCTAGGTACCTACCTACCTACCTACCTACCTCCTAAAGCTGCCCGCCTTAGGAAGTATACCTACCTATAGCTATTGTCTCTAGGCGAGGCGTGTAATTACAGGCGGGAGGTACCTACGTAGGTAGAGGAGGTAGGGAGGCAGCAAAGCAGGTACCGTCCGTACGGTGGGGTACCTCCACCTCGACGGCCGAGTGGCTTGCAGCTCTTGTATGACACCACCTTATGCACGCTTCCATCACTAAAACGTCTTGTACCTACCTGCCTGACCCAACCGACCTGATCCGGGCTCTGGCTCTGGCTTACACGCTTGACTTACCGGGTACCCAGCAAAGTCGGACCTCTTGCATCAGCAGAACTCGGGCCCTTTTGGGTCTTCCCGCCTGCACACCCGCCTTCGTTTCTCAGCTTCTCCCAACACCGCTCTGGAGTCACCATGCGCCAGCCTCCTCCTCTCCGACATTTGCATCATCCCGACCTGCCCTCCGCCGCTCGACACCATCCTTCCGCCACCTCCATGACCTCCTCCACCTGTTAGTCTTCGACGAGATGACCGAACCGCCTACAATGGAACGACCACCAACTGCCGACGCCGCCCACGACCAGGCTGAATCCCACCACCACCCCCGTCATGAGCCGTCCCCTTTCGCGCCCATCTTCGCCCTCGTGAACAATACTTCCACGCGTACCACCCATCATCCACATGTGCGCTACATCTTCAGCGACGATGACCCAGACATCCTAACAGAAGCATTAGCTGAGCTCAGCCGCGACTCGGACGCATCCACCGGCAATCCGTCCGGCGCCAATAGAGCCATGATACTGGACCTAGAGCCCGATTCTGGTGGCGGATACAACATCGCCTGGGCCTCGAGCTTATCGTCGTCGTGGGCGGTGCTAGATGCACAGCTCAGCCAAATATCCCCTGCCGCGTCGGACCGGGGGAGCAGCAGCGACCACGACGCCGGAGATGGTGCCGGTCGGATCGATCGCCTCATGCTGCGGATCGAGGGCGTCGAAAGCGGCGCCCTGGGCTCTGAGGGCGAGCTGTCCGGCGAGGCGAGCCGGCACGGCTCGGGCAGCGCCAGCGCCGGCGGAAGCGGCCATCACGATCGCGACAGGGTGGACGCCGGAGATTACGCCGCCATCGCCGACACGTTTGAGCGACGGATGACAACACTGCGGAAAATCGTCGATGCTGGCGAGGAGAGACGCCGGAAGATTGCCGAGGGGGCGCATGTCATGGTGGAGCCGACACCAGAGGCCGTGGGGGAAGGCAACCCTGCGGACGGATCGCGCTAAGGACGACCGAAAGTCGCCCGGCGTGCAAGGTGGACTAATACGCGTGTTTTCGTTTTTCTATCGTCTCCGGGGGGGCCGGGGGGGGCATTGGGACGGTAATCGGTAACTATTAGATTGGCACGACCAGCCGAGGGGGGCTGCCGAAGATTGTTGCACAGGGACACAGGACTGCGAATCGTCGCTGCGCTAAATCGAGCGGGCAGGCGGGCGGGCGTCTTACGAAGCTAGAGTCCGGATACTACACTACCGGAGATACGTGGGGCTCGACCGTCTCACGAGAATGACCAACCTACCTAATCGCGGCCGGCCTCGAAAATCGGGTTACGGGGCCGTTCGTTGACGAGATCACGAAGAAGCTGCGCTTGCTTTCTGGGGACATACGACAAGTACCTGCGCAGGTACCCTAATCATTAGTAATTTATAGGCGCATCGGCGTATTCTGCGAGTGCAATTTTCTCCTCCTCTCCGTGGCGGATGGGGTTTACGACGGGAAGTCCTGGGTCACAGCAGGTAGTCATGCGGACGCCCTGGGACGTATTTGCGTAGGCGCCGGGATACAGCTAGCCTAGTTAGATGGGCCTCCTATCGAGATCTACTTAGACATGTTAAGCAACGTAGGGCTTTGCACAGCGACATGGATATGCATTACCCCGGGGAACGGAACAAGCGATGCCGTCACGACGAAATCAACTCCTCCGGTGATTCCGCTAATAATACGGCATCGGCACCATCGATCGGATCTCGCGATCGCCCACCCCGTTCGTCGCAGGCAGAGCCTTCCTACTCCCCTCCCTACCTATACGTCGGCCTACGACACGTTGCCCGGCCCAGGCGGTCGGCGAGTGGACGGCACTCGTAGGCGTGCAGGTAGGCATGCGTGCGGCCGATCGGCGCCACCGACCTACGTCGGGGTGCAGGAATGCTAACGCCACCAGGTCCGCCCACGGGGGCGTCGGGCGCCGCCACGCTTCTCCGTCCCGTCCGACGGCTGGAACCCCGTCCCCCAGAGCGGAAGGCGGAGGCGCCGATCCGGATGCGGGCCGACGACGGCCGAAGGACGGGCGATCGCACGCGCGCAACCCCTCCCCCTCAGGTCTGGGCGTCTTCTCCCCCCGCCGCGAAGACCAGGTGTTCGCGCATCGTGGGAGGGTCTAGCTAGGTTCGCTGCGGGGGTGGTGCCAAAGACGTGCTACTTGGGACGAGCGTCGGCTTTGCTTAAAAAAAAAGGAAAAGAAAAGAAAAGGAATAAAAAGAAAGGGTGGTGTTTGGAGAGGGGGCCTGCTTGATGATGTGCGGGACTGGCCTGCATCCTGTATACGTACTTGGGCGATCCATACCTACGTTACATCACGTAGGGGGTAGAGGTACGTGTAGGCAGGCAAGGTAAGAAGGGTAGTGCGCGCACGTATTATTGCTGGTGTGACGGGCGGCGGACTTATGGGTGCGACTAGCTGGGCGGTTCGTGTTTCGGTGCTACCGTAGGCGCGCGCGGGGGATCGAACTCGAAGCCTCCTGGTGCGGGCTGGTGCGTAAGAGGTGTAAGAGGTTGTTGGTTCAGGTAGGTTGCGACTTGGAATTGCGATTGCGGCGGCGGAGGGGGAGAGGGGGAGCCAACGCCAACGGAGCCGGGTTTTTCGTCCTCGCTGGGTCTCACCTCATACGTAGATAGCTATATATATATGTATAGGTAGTACTTGGGTGGGAGGTACAACATTTCCTGTTGCTGTTTTTGAGAAGTTATCACATCTCTTGTAATTTTCCCTTACTATACTTTCCTGTCACCTAGAAGCACATGCCGTCGAGGCGAACGGCAACCTGCTGCAGGCTAATTAACTTAAAAACTTGATTTTTTTTTATTACAACTCTGAGTGCTACGAATTAGCAAATATAGTAGATGGTAGGCCGGACTGCGTTAAGAAATGTAAAAGTTTTTACTGCTACCTTTCCAGGGCTTCAACACGAATTTTCTCATCTATCGCTGTGCTATCTATCTAAGAGAAGAAATCACGCACGCCCTATATACCTACTCATATATGTAGGTATTCCCGACGCAGGAATAAAACAGGCGTACGTAACGATGGATGCATGGACCGCACAGAGCATGCAGTAACCTGTACTGTACGCCCCCCCCTCGTATGCCCTCCGCTGCCGAGACAGTCTGATGAAACAGGCCGAAAGCTGTAACAAGTGATGCCCCAGGTCGAGTCCGCGCCACCCAAATACGACCTACGTACCTGCTCATCCCTCCACCCAGTAGGCATGCTATTCCGCATCTGCAGGGGTTTCCCATCTCTAGGAATCTCTGGACTTGGGTGGTGTGGGTGTCTCTGTGTGTGTAGACACCTCCGGTAGTCTGCCTGTGTAGGTACCTACCTAGGTAGGTACCTAAGTATCAGCGTGCGTGTGAAGATACTGGCTGCGCAGTACGTCGGCATCATAGAATCTACAGCAGAGGTACCTCCTACGGTAGTGGTGAGATGTACTACGACAGCTAGCTTACATTCGGCATAGATTTGTAGCCTGTGATCGCGACCGGGTTCAGGGCCACCCCATTTCCGTGCCCTGGTCGTTCGTTGGTCGTACTGGCGACGGCAAACAGGAAATCCGTGGAAAGTTCCCCCGGCGTCTCTCTCGTACTTTCTCTTCTCTTCATTGCCCAGAAGGAAAAAAGGGCTTGGCGTCTCCCTCTCCCAACTCGTCTTCCTCTCCTCTCTCCCCTTCTTCTTCTTCCCCCAGGAATTGCTCTGGCTTTTACCACCAGGCCCTCATCGAGTTGCCAGCTAGCCCCATCACCCAAGCTGTCGAGGACCAGTCCGCCGGCCTGGACCTGCTAACAACACGAGCAGAGCTACACCGTACGACAACCGTCTCGCCTGCGCATCTAATAAAAGCGACGGTGACGACAGCTTCGATTGGTGCCGCGCGGCGCAGCGCATCGCATTTCCCGTCGATCCAACCATCCCCATAATAAACACATCCGCGGCCGGCCGATTCATTCCCAACCACTCCTAATACCCTCGCCCTCTCCTCGTTCAGTTCTACACTCTCGCTTCTTGTAAAGTGCCGAACACTCGCTATTCAATCCTATCGCACCCTATATATTGTTTGACGCGAGAGTCGAAAAAGATTAGAGGCAACGAGAGTAGGAGGAGGAGAACATACGCCAAACCGGAAAACCGAAGAGCGCAGGAATCGACTCCATCAGCATGTTCGCCTTCGTCCCCTCCAGCGCCCAGGTGGTGCGGCGCCAGTATGTTGAGCAGGATGGCCGCGTAATCTGGTTCTGGTATACTCGGGTACGTATCTCCCATGTTACCTGTTGTCATGGTAATGCCGTCTGCCAGCACTATGAGGCGTCACTTGTCGGTCCCGTGGGACTTCGGGCCTACGTGGGTGGATATCTGGATGGCGTACCTGGATGTGCACGAGATACGGAAGCGATGAGATAAACACAATACATACTAGCAACGAACTTAGCTAACGGCTCCGCAGACCGGCGTCATCGTCAAGTGGTCCATTTTCCTCGGCATCAGCGTCCTGCTCGCCCTGTATCTCATCCTCGGGCGCATTCACGCTAAGCGCCGTGTGCGCGCCGGCTTGAAGCCTCTCGCCTACCACAGCGTACGTTCTATCCTCTTCTCTAACTCCCCTGCCAACTGTTAGCTCCCGGTCGGCTCGACTAACCCCGGCATCGCAGTGGCTCCTCTCGCGACAGGAGAAAGCCGCCGTCGACCCGCGCTACGCCTGGCCCAACGCCACTTACAACGCCTACCATTCCCATCAGGCTCCGCCCCCGGGCTACGGCTACGGCAGCTACGGCATGCACCCGATGCCGCCGCCCGTCTACGACCCGAATAACAGGCCACCCGTCTATGAGGGCGCCGGCCCCAAGGTCGATCCCACACAGGCCGCCGGCGTCGAGCCCGCCACGGGTCCAGCCGCCCCCCAGAGGTAGAGCTGGCTCGAGGAGTTCAGCTCGGGCGCGTGTACGTGCGCGTGTACGATAGCGAGGCATAGATGCCCCAGACGGAGAGGAGACGAGAGGATATGGGAAACGAAGTGCTGAGGAATTAATCGAGAGTGGGACAAACCAAAGCCGAAACGATCGAGGGTACGTAATAAGGAAGAAAAACAAAGATATCAAGCTGGCCGGCATCCGGCGCAACGTGATCCGCAGCCGGTCGACGCCGACCTAAGTTACATGCTTTTCTATTTCGTTGGGACGACGCTATACTATGTACGGAGGTCAGGGGGAGGTAGTCTTATCGTATTCCTACCCTCTTTGCTCTCGCTCTCAGTTTTGTCTCTTCTTTTTGGCCGCCGTTCGCGACGTGGCCGTGCAGACGAAGAAAAAAAAGAAAAAAAGAGAACCTCAAACCGCACTGGTGTCGTATGCCTACCTCCCTACCTTACCTATGCTTAGCTACAGAATATACCTACACGACGACGCGAACTAGGCCCGGCCGAGGAGGCGGGAGTGATTTCGAGAGTGTAAGACCGGATGGGCAATGCTTAATTGATGAGATGAGGTGGGTTGTTCCCGGGTGGGCTACGTCATGACGCGAGGGCGACAACGGCAGAACGGCGGGGGGCAGAGCCGCGCCCTGCCGCTCCGTCCCGTCCCGTATCCGCCTATTACACCGCGCTGCTTACGCCGGCACTACTTCTCTTCCGGGGGCGCAAAAAAAGGGGCGCGAGCCATCAGCCAGAATTCGAATTGCGCCCTGTTCTGCGTATGTAGTAAATACATATAATAACCCGCGTATCCCCGTACGCCCTTCCTTCCATATCCCGTGCGCCTGGTGGTTACGAACGCCGTTCCCTGTATCTGGTTCCTCTGCTCAATTGCCATCGATCGGTCGTCCGGCCCCAGCTTGACGACGAGGGCGAGTAGGTCCCGGCGTTGGGCCTTGCCCTCTCGACGGCGGTCTCTTCCGCTCCCCCCCCTCCCCGCTGGACGTGCGTCGCTGCTAAAAAAAAAAATGAACGAGAAGCCGAACGCCGTGTATGCGTATGTTATGAGCGTGCATCGTGTATCACGCACGTGTGCACTGCCGATGTCGTTGTTGTACTCTAGTTTTCTTTTCTTCACGCCGCCTGGTCCCCCTAGTCTACGTCCATGGCGTCCGGGTCGTAGTCGGGGTCGGCGGCGGGGCCTGGTGCGCCGGCGCCCGCCCAGCCTTGATGGGCGAAGCCGTTGAGCCCGTTGAGACCATTCGACGATGGCGCGAAGGCTGGGGCGATCATTGGAGGGGGGGCTGTGGACGGGGAGGAAGATATGGGCGTAGAAGAAGAATGGGTAGTAGTGGTGGTAGTTGTCGTGGCGGCGGAGGTGGTAGGGGTTGTAGATTCCTGTTGTTGCCGCTGCTGCTGCCGCTGCTGCTGCTCCTCCCTCTGGCGCTCGCGCGCGCGCTGCCGGGCCTCGATGATGACCTTGCGCACGCTGTCGTGCTCGGGGGCGACGGTCAGCGACTCGGGCTCGCGGTAGAGGACGACCTGCATGCCGGCGAGCTCGCCGTCGCGGTTGGCCAGGACGGCGGGCGGGATGCGGTTCCGGCGCAGGTGCTTCTCGATGTCGGGCAGGAAGACGAGCTTGCCGTCGCGGTCCGACTCGTTGCCGCTGTCCGACAGCTCGTCCTCCAGGTCGTAGATGTACACCTTGTGCTTCGTGTCGTCCAGCTGCATCGTGTCGTCGCCCGGGATCGGCGCCAGCGCCGACGGCGACGCCGGCCGCAGCTGCGGCGACTCGACTGGCACGTAGAGTCGGTGGCCATTTCGCTCTAGGGGGCGCCGCGAGCGGCTGTGTGTTAGCGGGCGGTGTTTTCCCTCTCTCCCTGGTCCTCTCTCGTGTTCTGCTTTTTTTTTTTCCCCTTCCCCCACGTGTCTCGTATCAATCTCTTCTCGGCAGAGGAGGAAAGCCCGAGACTTACCCAGGTTGAGCAGGCTCAGTCGCTTAGATAGCCGTTCATTGTCCTGAGACTCAGCCTTTCTCTTGCGCATCCTGCGCATGCCGGCTCCAACATCGAGGCTCGGCGGCCGGGCTCTGGGGTGGTGGTAGGTGCGGCGGCGGCGGCGGCTGGCGATAGTGGTGGTGGTGGTGGTGCTGTGGTAGCGCAATGGCTGGGGAGAATCGGGGGAGTTGGGGTGTGGAAGTGGGAGACATCGGTGCTGGAATGGGAGTTTTGGCCAATTTGTTGGATGGCGGACGGCGAAGGTGTGGACGGGTGGAGTGGAAGACAATGGAAAGACGGGCGGTGGTAGCGGCAAGCCTCAGCAGCCAGGGACTGAGCCGTGGTGGAGAGCTCTCGGGAGCCAGCCAGCAACAATTGGCCTGTAGGATGGCCGCGATCCTCTGTGTTTAGGAGGAGGTACCTACGACCTCTTCTTCGTCTAGCATAGGCATGTACCTCAGGTACCTATACGTATTAGAACATATGTGGAAGTACATACATAGGTACGTACTGCTACGCACCTACATCCTTCAACCCTTGGCCTTCTCGGCGAACCTTCTTTCCACCTCTTTCCACCCCTTTTCCTCTCTCTCTCTCTTTCCATGGTACCTACCTGGTATTAGGTAATGGCTCGTCCATCCAGATCTCCCATGCGTGTTCTGTGCTGTGCGCTCGGCATCGGACGGCGGGTGTAGCTTGCCCCCTTTTGACGGTGAGGATGCTGCGATGTCCACATGCAACTCGCTTCGACTCGACCCCCCGACCAGACCGTTGGCTTCTTTCTCTTCTTTCCACCGCATGATGTGATGCGGTGCTGCGCGGTGCTGCGCGGTGCGATGCGTGCGACCCAGCGTACGTGTAATCTCTGCCAGCTGCTGATCCGTCCGATTCCGGTGCCGTGGCGGGACCCAGGCGGCACGTGAGCAAGTACTGTTGGCGAGTACCAGTACCTGGGGCCAGTCAGGTGGTGACTCAGCCCTCAGGGTAAGCTGTGGGGAGCGTGGAAAATGCGGACAGTGGCCGATGCAGTACCTACTGTACAGATACAGTGCCAGTCGAAGATAAGGAAAGGGAACAGGAAGGGAGAGTCAGAGTAACGGGTTCATTGCCTAAGGCTGCAAAGCTGCCTACCTGCCAGCTGCTAAGGCAGAGAAGAAGGCAGATGAAAATCCGATGCGGCGCCGGCGGCCCGCTGTTTGTAGGCGGCGCGTCGTTGAGTCAGAGTCGCTCCTATTATACCGCCGGTCTCTCTTGTACACCTTTCTGCCCAAGCCACTCTTTTTCATCCACCACCACCACCACCATCACTACTACCACCACCACCACCAACACCGCTGCCGCCGCTGCCATTGACGCGATCGTTGGCATTGCCGCCGCTGCTCCCTTTCGCTTAACCGCTTCTGCTGTAGCATCAGCCATTCCTACTGCCAGCATTCGTCGGCCCATCCCCTCTTCCTTCCCCTCCTACCCCACCATCGTTATCGCCCACGCCCTCCCCTGTACCGCCGCCACCACCATTCACAGATTCACACCCCGGGTGTCGACTCGGCTGGGAACGCTCTCTGTTGCCCGTACGCCGTTCCTACGGCTGCCCACTCTCTCTCCGCGAAGAGCGCAAAGCACTTGCGCGACCCCTGTCGCCATGGACAGCCCCGAGTGGACGGGCGTGCGAGTGCGCAAGACCTTCTTCGAGTTCTTCGAGGAGCGGGGGCACACCATAGGTACGGAAGACGACGCAGCACGCTGCGAGTGTAAAAATAACTTGACGCGAGCTTCAGATGGATCCCTCCTGTCACATAGAGCCCAATCTTTCAGGATCCTTGCTGATTTTCCCCGTCGTCTCCAGTCCCCTCGTCGTCTGTCGTTCCTTACAACGACCCCACCTTACTCTTCACCAATGCGGGCATGAACCAATTCAAGCCTATATTCCTGGGGACCATTGCTGGCAGCGACGATCTGTCCAAGCTGAAGCGTGCCGTCGACACTCAAAAGGTGGGATCCGTTGGCGGCCCCGATAGGGCGGATGGTATCGGTTCTGGGTTGCTGACTCACTCGATAGTGTATACGCGCCGGTGGCAAGCACAATGTATGGCACCTCAATTCTCGGCATCGTGGCGTATTCGGCTCCAGCTAACTGTCAACAGGATCTCGACGATGTCGGCAAAGATAGCTACCATCACGTACGCGCAACCTATCTGCCTACAGGCCCCCTCCGTGACGCTAACAATGGCCGTAGACCTTCTTCGAGATGCTGGGCAACTGGTCCTTTGGCGACTATTTCAAGAAGGAGGCGATCGAGTGGTCTTGGGAGCTTCTCACCAAAGTTTACGGCTTAGATCCTTCGAGACTGTACGTTACCTACTTCGAAGGCAACCCCGACCTCAACCTCGAACCCGACTTCGAGGCGAAGGAGCTCTGGAAGTCTGTCGGCGTGCCCGAGAGCCACATCCTCCCTGGTGACATGAAGGACAACTTCTGGGAGATGGGCGACCAAGGCCCTTGCGGACCTTGTAGCGAGATCCACTACGACAAGGTTGGCGGTCGAAATGCCGCCCATCTGGTCAATCAGGATGACCCCCTGGTCGTCGAGGTTTGGAATAACGTCTTTATGCAGTTCGATCGTCAGAAAGACAAGTCGCTTAAGCCATTGCCAGCAAAGCACATCGACACAGGAATGGGCTTCGAGCGGTTGGTATCCGCACTCCAGGACAAGAAATCTAACTACGCTACCGACATCTTCACCCCCCTATTCGATCAGATCCAACGCGTCACGGGCGCGCGGCCGTACACAGACACGTACGGAAAAGACGATTCGGACGGTATTGACACCGCCTATCGCGTCGTTGCTGACCACATACGGCTGCTTGCCTTTGCGATTTCGGATGGCGCCGTGCCTAATAACGAAGGTCGGGGATACGTCGTTCGCCGTGTGCTACGGAGAGGATCTCGATACGCCAGGAAGTATTTCGGCGCCGAGATCGGCTCGTTCTTCTCCAGGATCCTACCCGCCTTAGTCGAACAGATGGGCGAGCAGTTCCCCGAGCTCGTGAAGCAGCAGCAAGATATCAAGGAGATCCTAGACGAGGAGGAGGATGCATTTGCTAGGACGTTGGATCGTGGCGAGAGGCAGTTCGAGAAGTACGCGGTCCAGGCAGCCAGCAGCGGAACCAATAAGCTCTCGGGGGCAGATGTCTGGAGGCTGTACGACACATTTGGTTTCCCGGAGGATTTGACTAAGCTCATGGCCGAAGAGCGGGGCCTCGAGACCGACGAGAACGAGATTGCCATCGCCAGAGAGAAGGCCCGAGAAGCTAGCAAAGCCGTCAAGGAGGCGGTCCAAACCTTTGCAAAGTTGAACGTCCACCAGATTGCCGAATTGAAAGACAAGATACAGCTACCCCTTCCCAACGACGAACCCAAATTCTCGATAAAGTTCTCGGAGGATGACATGACCGGAAAGGTGCAACTCATCTACACAGGCACCGAGTTCGTCAAGTCCACCAAGGATATTGCGCCGAATACGCCCTTCGGAATCCTGTTGGACAGAACCAATTTCTACGCCGAGCAGGGTGGACAAGTTGCCGACACGGGAAAGATAGTAATCGACGATGTTGCAGAATTTGAGGTTCGCGACGTCCAACAGTTTGGCGGATATATCGTCCACAACGGCTTCCTGAAGTATGGAGAGCTCAAGGCCGGCGACGTGGTTACCTGCGAGTACGACGAGCTACGAAGACAGCCCATCCGAAACAACCACACGGGAACGCATATTCTCAACCACTCGCTACGCGAAGTGTTGGGCGACGAGGTTAACCAGAAGGGCTCGCTCGTCGACCAAGATAAGCTCCGGTTTGACTTCTCGCACAAGACGGCGGTCACTCTGCCCGAACTGAAGAAGATCGAGCATCTGTCAAACGAATACGTCCGACAAAATTGCAAGGTCTACGCCAAGGATGTCGAGCTTGACCTGGCCAGGCGCATCAACGGTGTTCGCGCCGTCTTCGGCGAGACGTATCCGAACCCAGTGCGCGTGGTGTCCGTCGGCATCGATGTCGACATGCTGCTTGAGACTCCTGAAAATCCTGAATGGCGGAAAGTCAGCGTCGAGTTTTGCGGCGGTACCCACGTCGAGAAGACTGGCATCATCAAGGATCTAGTCATCGTCGAAGAGAGCGGTATCGCTAAAGGCATCCGCCGCATAGTTGCCTACACGGGAGAGGCTGCTCACCGCGTGCAGCGCGAGGCCGAAGAATTCGGCAAGCGCATCGCCGCCATCGAGTCCCTGCCGTTCGGCCCCGAGAAGGAAGCCGAAGTCAAGCAGGCTACGGTCGATCTGAACAACCTCGTCGTCTCCACTCTCACGAAAGAGGATTTGAAGGTGCGGTTCTCCAAGGTCGTCAAGGCCGTCGTGGAGGAGCAGAAGAAGCGCCAGAAGGCCGAGAGCAAGACCGCTCTAGATGCGGTCACCGGCCACTTCACGAAGGAGGAGAACAAGGACTCCAAGTACTTTGTTGGACACCTCCCCATCTCAGCCAACGCCAAGGCCATCTCCGATGTTATGAACCATTTTAAGAGCAAAGACAAGACTCGGACAGTGTACGTCTTCGGCGGCAGCGAGGCCGAGGGCGTCGTGGTCCACGGCGTCTACGTGGGCACAGTAAGTTGACAATCGGGCGAGCGGTTTTCTCACAGAAAAGCAACACCACTAACGAAGTCTCGACAGGAACATTCGTCGCAGGGCGTCACGGCCGAGCTGTGGGCCGCGGCAGTCACCGAGGTGGTGGGCGGCAAGTCGGGCGGCAAGGAGCCCACGCGACAGGGCCAGGGCACGAACGCGGACAAGATCACGGAAGCAGTCGCGGTCGCGGAGAAGTGGCTCGCGGAAAAGCTCAAGATCTCGGAGTGACCTATCTCGTCATCGCGCACCTCGTCGAGATGTCGATAGATCACACTCTCATTGTAACATTGTAACCATAGCTACTCGTCTACGGACATGGCCTTGTTCTCTCCCCCTCGCCGCATCCTCTCCCCCTCCCCACCTGCGGAGAGAGACGATCGGGGGGCTCTCTACGGAGGGAAGACGGCGAGTCGATGCGGATCTGAGCCGGACGGTTTCTATATAGCAGCAGCAGCAGCAGCACTCTACTGGGCTTCTATTCGGTAGGGCCGGCTCCGGTTATGTAGGCTAGGCATTATGTATTAGTTTCACGGTCGCTGCGGAATCGCTCGTCTCATCGCGCGCGTTCTCGCTCTCGTGGACGACAAAAAAGACATCTGCGTGTCATTTCCCCCCAAACCATGTATACGCGCGTCCGCGATGTGGCTATGCTGTGCTATGCTGTGCTACAAGTATAGTAGAATACGCCAACTAGTCCGCCCGTGTTTCGAGAAACCGGTCAGGTGGGTGGGTTAGATGAATTATGTACGTGGACAGGCGTATATATATAGACTGAGTGCGTGCGTGTGTGTGTGTGTGTGTGTGTGGCTAGTGGTATCACCAGACTCCGTCCTCCCATACGTGCCTCTCGTCTACCTGCCTAAAACCCGTCTTGGATATACCTACTACTTCCCTCGCGATCTCACTTCCGTCCCCGCCTACCCACCTCACCGGTCGCTACCGCCTCCTTCGAATATATATATATACACATATATAATATATAGCCGGCGTCCGCGAACCCACCACCCATCTCCACACTCAGCCCCCCCTTCCTTGCCCTCCCTCTTTCCGCCCAGCCCGCCCGCGCCGCGGCGTCGTCACACGGTGACGAGGACGTTGGCGTTGCGGTACCAGGAGAGGAGGGGGTTCTCGCCGGAGCGGGTGCGGGTGTCGTCGACGTAGGCCCAGGAGCGGACGAAGGCCTCGTGGGAGAAGCGGCGGGTGAGCTTGCCGGTGAGGGCGCGGTAGAGGGCCTCGACGACGCGGAAGTCGGTGGGGAAGAGGATGTCGAAGTAGCCCTGGTGGACGAGCGGGGTCGAGACGGGCACGGTCCGGCGCGCGTACCGCGTCTGCACCACCGGCCCGCCCAGCCCGCGCACCGCCCCCGGCAGCGCCGCGAAGTCCGCCGCCACCAGCCGGTGCGCCGGGAACCGCCGCTCCAGCACGTCGAAGAACTGCATCAGCCGCGTCGGCACGTACTCGGGCCCGCTGAGGTTCGGCGCGAAGGGCAGCGCCGCGCGCAGCCGCCGCAGCAGCCGCCACGACAGCGTCGAGAGCGCGGCCAGGCGCGCCGCGAGGGGCGACGGCGGCGGCGGCGACGATAGCGACGACGAGAGGGAGGAGGACGACGACGATGACGACGACGAGCAGGCGAAGCGCGACGGCGACGAGGGCCCGTAGGGCAGCGGGTAGGCGCCGCCGGTGGCGGCGTGGCGCACGCGCAGGTAGCGCGCGGCGACGGGGTCGAGCGCGGGCTCGTAGAACTCGTGGAAGTCGCCGGCGGCGTCGATGAGCACGACGCCCTGCAGCGGCTCCTCGGTGACGAGGTCGTAGCGCAGCACGTCGTGGGCGAAGTTGTCGAAGACCTCCATGGCGAGGAAGAAGCAGGGCGACGGCACGGGCGCGTCCCAGTCGAAGATGGACTTGTTGATGATCTCGACCTTGTCGGCGTGGCCGCGGGCGCGGGCGGCCGCGGCGGCGTCCGAGGGAGAGCCGGCCGCGGCGGAGGAGGAGGAGGAGGAGGAGGAGGAGGCCCCGGACTGGCGCAGCTGCTGGGTCTGGAGCGCGGCGAGCGAGGACGAGATCTCGATGATCTTGTACTTGGTGCGGTCGTACACGGCCGGCTCGACGTCGCGGATGTAGTCGAGCACGTTGAGCATGAGCGTGCCGCGGCCGGCGCCCATCTCGTAGATGATGAGGTCGTGGTAGGGGTAGGTGGACATGACGTAGTTGGACAGGAGGTAGCGGGCGACGGCCTCGCCGTAGTAGGGGCGGAAGAGCTCGGTGGGCGTGTGCCAGAGCTGGCGCGTCAGGTCGGGGGCGCCGGCGCGCGCGTCCAGCGCGTCCTCGAACTCGGTGTACCGCCGCGCCAGCTCGGCGTGGAAGGCGGGCTCGTCCGCCAGCGCGTTGAAGTCGAACGGCTCGCCGGGGCTGAAGATGACGGCCTGCTTCGAGAAGTAGCCGTAGTGCGGGTTGTAGAGGCTGTCTGCGGGGGGAGGCGGGCGAGTTAGTTTTGGCACGCGTCCCCCGTCAACAACACCACACCCGTATCTGCCCCTCTTCTGTCCACCAACCTTCGATGAAGTCACGCATGAGCATCTTGACCCGGCGCGGGCGGTCCCGATGCGACCGCAGGTCGTTGGCGGTGACGGTAGGGTAGGTCTTGTACTCGCCGGACATGTCGAGGGTGATGACGGAGGTGCGCTGCTGCCATCCGCTCTCGGTGGCGGCGGTGCCCCGCTTGGCTCCCCTGAGGGTATCCCGGGTGGCCATGGTCCGCCTCGGGGGGTGCTGGTGGTGCTGGTGGTGGTGTTGCCTCTGCGTCGCCCGCCGGCGGCTGTGCTGCAGACACGACGACAGCGTAGCCAGGTTCCTTCGCGACTGGCAGGCCGGGTGTCGAAACAGGCGGCGCAGGACGCTGGACACGACTAGCGAGTCCATCTTCGTCGTCGCGCCCGGGGTCGTGTGGTGTCGGCTTGCTGCGTATTCGATCGTTCTTCTCTTCTTCGTACGCTCAAGTAGGGGGGCACTGGAGTCTGGACGAGTGGATGGATAGGTACCGACGCGGACGTGCGAGAGTGCGCCCTTTGTTCGGAGGGGTTGGAAATATGAAGAGCGGGTGACGATTTGGAGGGGAAGGCCTGCCTTTTTTCTCTACTGCTGCCTTTTCAGGGACCGGTCGGTCGGGAGTCGGTCGTTGCCGTACGGAGGTAATCGATAACGATAAGCCACATTGGGTACATTCCCCATGTCAATCAGTACCTAAGGTACCTACCCCAGGTACCTGTCAGTTTCGGCATTTTGATTTTGATGGCATCACCAGAACTGAGAACCAGTTAGGGTTACGGCGCCACCCGTCGATTGGGGCGGTTTCGTGGGTTATACGCACATGTCGCGTTACCTACTGTTCCCTCCTCGATCAAGCTAGGTACATACCCAGCCCGGCCATCACCTCAGGAACGGCATTGGAAGCGCCGGTATAGCAACGGGATGATCGCCGGGCGACCATGAAACGTATCTGCTGGAGATCCGGGTAAATCGAGACCGCAAACGGGACATACCTACCGGAGCTAAGAGAGAAACGGAGGAGTGTTAACACACAGCGGGAGGAAAGAAGAAAGCAAAAACACTCCACCGGAGGAAAGAAAAGGGGAACGACAGAAGAAGACGAAAAATGTCGCTGAGCGACCATCCCAGGGCCTACGGCACCGTCGCCGTCGCCGTCGCTTTCCTGGCCGGTGTCCTCGTCACCCTCGGGCTCAAGGACCTGTACCCGGACCTGGAGCGGCGCTTCCAGCAGCGGGCGGCGGCGGGCGGGCGGCGGAAGGCGAACGGCAGCGCGCTGCGCCCCAAGCCGAGCCTGTTCTGGGGCGGCGGGCCCGTGTCTCTCGAGGACCACGACGGCGACGCCGCCGCCGCCAGTGGGGGCGCGGGCGAAGACGGCATCCGAGACGGCATCGAGGGCTGCATCGGGCGCACGCCGCTGGTCCGGATCCGCAGCCTGTCGGCGGCGACGGGGCGCACCATCCTGGCCAAGGCGGAGCTGCTCAACGGCGCGGGTAACAGCCCCAAGGACCGCGTGGCGCTAGCCACGATCGACGCCGCCGAGGCCGCCGGCCAGCTGGTCCCCGGGCGCGGCGACACCATCTACGAGGGCACGGTCGGCAGCACGGGCATCTCACTCGCCGCGCTCGCCCGCGCCCGCGGCTACCGCGCCCACATCTGCATGCCCGACGACCAGGCGCGCGAGAAGTCGGACCTGCTGCACCACCTCGGCGCCGCCGTCGAGCGCGTCCCCGTCGCCCCCTTCGCCGACCCGGCCCACTACGTCAACCTGGCGCGCCGCCGCGCCGCCGAGCACGCCGCGCGCCACGCCGACGGTAGCGTCGGCTTCTTCGCCGACCAGTTCGAGTCGCCCGCCAACCACGCGGCGCACCGGCGCGCCACCGGCCCCGAGATCCTGCGCCAGGCCGGCGGCCGCGTCGACGCCTTCATCGCCGGCGCCGGCACCGGCGGCACCCTCTCCGGCGTCGCGCGCTACCTCAAGGAGGACGCCCGCCTGACCGCCGTCCGCGTCGTCCTCGCCGACCCCCACGGCAGCGGCCTCTACCACCGCGTCCGCCACGGCGTCATGTACGCGCCGACCGAGCGCGAGGGCACCCGCCGCCGCCGCCAGGTCGACTCCATCGTCGAGGGCGTCGGCGTCAACCGCGTCACCGCCAACTTCGAGGCCGGCCGCGACCTCGTCGACGACGCCGTCCGCGTCTCCGACGCCCAGGCCTGCCGCATGGCCCGGTGGCTCGTCGAGCACGACGGCATCTTCGCCGGCAGCAGCACCGCCGTCAACTGCGTCGCCGCCGTCGTCACCGCCCTGTCCCTCCCCGAGGGCAGCGTCGTCGTCACCATCCTATGCGACTCCGGCACCCGCCACCTTAGTAAGTTCTGGAAGCACATCGCCGAGATGGGCCTTGAGGAGGAAGGAAACGGGTCCAAGCCCGAGGACCTGCTGGCCCTGCTAGAGATCGAAAGGCCGACGCGGTGAACTTCCCTCCGCCATCGCAGTATATGTGTGCAGAGTCTTCGCGAGATACAATCTAAAGAGAACAACCCCGAATCTAGACATCAGTCACGAGGAATAGAGGGAGAGGACAGAAAAGAAAAGAAAAGGAGAGACTTGGGAGTAATCAATTGGGATTTACTAGCAGGCTAACCACCGGAATACGCTAAAAACCCACGAGGGTGTGCCATTCTTCATCTATGATACAGACCGCCACACACGCTGCCATTTGGAGTCGTAGTTATAAAAGGGGATTCGGCGCGGGAGAGGGCCACATCGTCTACGAACAAGCCCTCAAAAGGACACGGCTTTCTTCATTCTCGAATTCCCTCGCCTGACACTGTCCGTAACTCCTCGCAAACTCGTTGCAAATTAAAAAAAAAAAAAAAAAAAAAGACAAGAAAAAGAGAGAGAAAAGAGGGGAGCGGGGGTAGAATAAAACAGTGGATTAGGAGAAACAAGATCCCAGCCGTCGCCCTAAACTCGAATACGCCTACCATGAGTCCACCTGCCGTCTATGTTGCAGCGTGTGACACGTAATCAACCTCGTGAGAAATCCCATACTCGCAATTCATTACTCCCCTTGAATCCCTTCCCCTCACAGGCCGAATGAGGCGGGGCGCGCTAGCAGAAGCGAACACGTAACCTTAAGAGAACTGCGCGGGATTAATTTGCCAGCCCAAGTCCGGGGGCCAGATTCCAGACTCACCTTCCAACGTTTTCCGCAGTTCATACACTCGCAGAAGGTCGTCATCGGTTCGTCGGCGCTTCGGGTTTGGGCCTGAGTATAGCTGACCATCTTCTTCTTACAGCCGCTACACTCGAGGCTGTCGCTGATGCTCTTCTCGGCCATGGGCACCTGCGCCTTCTTCATGTTCTCGAGCTCGAGCTGGGCGTTGGCCTGGCGCTGCTGCTGGGACATGAGCTCGGCCGAGGACATGGTGACGAAGCTGTCGGCTGTGATCTTGCCGGCCATGACCTTCCTGCCGAGCTCGGCGTTGGTCTTGACCTTGAGGTTCTGGAACAGCGAGCGGATCTTGTCCTTGTACTCCTTCGTCTCCCCCTTGTAGGCCTTGAAGGCGGCCTGCTCAACCTCGACGGCGCGCATCACGACATTATCCGCAGACTCGTGCGAGCGGTAGGCGAGGCCGTTGTAGATGAGGCCGATGCAATTGTTGCGGACCTGGGAGCCGGTGCGGTCGACGTCTACCTTGTCGGCCTTGAAGGTGCGCTTCTCTATGTCGCCCTCGTAGACCTTGGTATTGCCGACCAGAGGCTTCGGGGCGGGCGAAACGGCCTTGGCTGCAGGAGAGGGCGTGCTGTGGGACTTGCCCGGTTGTAGACCCTTGGCCCGCTTCTCAGCCTCGATGCCCTTCCGCCATTTCGCAACCACTTCGGTGGCGATTCGTGCGATGTCCTTATTGGCATTCCCGCGTAGTTTGCCGACAACAATGCCCGCCTTGGTAGTCTAGATCCGCTTGGCGGTTAGCAGGGAGGCGATGCAGCGCTGGCTAGATAGAGCAGGTGGGTGAGGAGGGAATGGCATGAGTTAAGCAGATAAGGAATGTAGCTGGTGGATAGGACCTGGCTCTGCGGAGCCCAGCACGGCGTATGCGTGTCTCGGAGGAGGACAGGATGGGACATGGACCACATACGCGCAGCATCTCCTCGGTCGGCGATGCCTTCTTGAGCGACTCGATGAGGGCGATAATGTTGGCTGCCGGCTCATTGGTCTGGGAGGCCTTGTGCAGGGCCTTGACCCGGGTGTCGAGCTCTCGCTGGTCCATGGCGGGCGGTTTTCGGCGACGGCGATGGCAAGGATGGAGGGGAGGCAGCGATGGCGAGTCGGGAGAGGGTGCGGTAGACGTTTCGTGGAGGGCGGGGAAAAGGCCACGGAGAACGGGACTGCTGGGACGTGGAAGCTGTCGTGCTTGGCTTCTAGCAGCCGGTGAATGCGTACAGGACGACGCGCAAGGCGTGGTTTATAGAGCGGTGTGTCGTTGACTCAAGGATCCCGTCCCTCCAAAGCACTGCGGTTTTTTTTTGTGATGGACCTGGCCAGGTCGGGCAGAGTAAGAGTCGGGGAAAAGAGAAAGTGGACAAGAGGTGAATGAAGCTCTTCACAAGCCGTTCGCGGTCCTCTCCTTGGGCAGCCGCAAGCCGCTATGCCGGATTCCTACGCACTGACCCCACTCCCGGGCCTTCCGCCGGTATTTAGCCGAAGAGTACCGATATCTTATTCTAGGTACCTAAGGAGGTACCTTGGGTAGAGGTACGTACATACCATATTCATTTAGTGCCGAAGTTATCATTCGAGCAACCTGTACCTAGGTAGGTAGGTACAGATAAGCTAACATAGCGAAGACTACCAAGTAGCGCTGTTAGGAATCGAACCTATCCTTCGTTAAGTAACCTACTGATCTGGTACGGATCAGTTGACTCGTATCATAGGTACCTCTACTACCACATAAGTACCTGTAACCCACCTTAGGTACAGGTGCCTCATACCAGCGCCACAGCTCAAACTACCCCTACCAAAGCCTCAGAGAACCACTCAGCCACACCACTACCACTCCGTACGTCCATCTAATTAAGATCCGCTATTCATGCCCCAACTAAATAAACCAAAAAAAAACATCATCTCATATCCTTGAACATCATACCAGATGGGCTGTAGGCATATCAAGGGGCGACGAATGCAATATCCCTTACTCCGCAGTACATTTCTCTTATCTTCTTCTTGTCAGCCACGCAGGCGGCGCTACTCCTTGTGGTGCCGGATCAACGCCGAGAGCGAGTAAAGTAGTTAGGTAGTTGCATTGTGCAGAGGCAACCAGACACGGCTCGTTGCAATGCAAGCAACACCTCTCTCTCTCTCTCTCTCTCTCTGCCGCCAACAAACACGCAACAGCTCACACCTACAAAGCATCTTTTTATCTCTCTCCTCTGACCAAAAAGTACAAGGGGCAAACGGCCTCACGTCGCCGCAGCACTCGCGGAATAAGACCGCCCGCCTGTCTAGTCATCCCTGATTAATACCCCCGCAGCAAACACGCCAAAATGTCCTGCCCAATCTGCCCCTGACGCAGCCTCCAGCTTCTCTTTTACTCGGGAGTACAGCGAGCGTTGCACAGGTCTAGTACTAGAGAGGTACCTAACCTATAGAGCACCCTACCCGATAACCCTCTCCAGCACCCAAGGCAAGAAATAAGCAGCCGAACTACGTAACGCAGGCAGGCTATGCCGGGGGGGGGGGGGACTCTATAGGTATAGATCCAGACATCGACAAGCTGAGGAGGCGCGAGGCGATCAGGCAGAGTTCCCAAGCAGCAGAGGAGAGAGAGGCGAGCACGCATTACAACTCAGCAACAGCGCAAAGGTCTGACTGGAGACCAGTCATAGATAGGTCGTGCGAGGCACCTCCGAAAAAAGAACTGCTAGCAAATAACCCCAAGTGTGATAACTCTATCAACTCTGCCAGAAGGAAGCAGGTTGCGTAACCGAAGAACCAACACAGCAGAACAAACAATTAAAGGAAACGCCTGTATGTAATAGTTGCTCTCTTAATCCTTCCCAGAGAAGCAGAAACAGAAGAACGAGAATGCTCAATATGCTTTTGTTGTTATTATTTCTTCTTTCCACAGTCCATCACTTTCGAAAACCCAGGCCCGCAACTCGACTTTGCTCTCTTACTCCGCGTCGATTGAAGAGGGGTGAGTAAGTACCTACTATATCTACTCACTCCACCATGAATCCGTAACCAATCCGGAGCGCAATCCCGAGGCTCCTCAGGACACGAGTACCGGTGGGATCGCCAGACTTTCCCATCCTATTCAGAGACAACAACCACCGCCCAAGAATCTGCTCCATTGAAAAGCCGGCGCCTTCCCTAATAACCCTCCTCCTCTATTCTATTCTGCGGACTTCTCGCTTAGTCTCACTAGATCTTCTGCCGCGGCCATGAAGTGAAAAAGAACGGCGTCGCCAGACACCTGACGAGTCCGCTATCTCAAACCATGGCTGCGATGCAGTCTCCCAAATTAATATCCTTCTTCTCTTTTGCTATGACCGCCTCTCCCTTCTAGGACCTAGGTATAAAGGACGATACTAATAATAACCGCTCTCCCCGAAGTTTCATACCGGTTAGACATGCCCCCGCGAAAAGTCGAGCCCGCTGAAAACTCCAGACGCGGAATGAGAGGTGGGACCAGCCGAAGGTGACAGGAGATCGACCGCATCTGAAAGTTCAGTCGTAATTGAAGGGGGCTGGGCGGCGGCTATGGGAGCGGCGACAGGACTATCGATAGCTGGGAAGATAGGCTCGACCCGCTCGTTGCCCAGGTCGGTAGGCAGATCGAATATCAGGTTGTCGAGCCAAGACGTATAATTCGAATCCTGGCCGGGTTCCATATCCGAGAAAAAGTTGAAGTTGTTCGAACCGGTATAGTTGCTCAGGTCGGTGGGGTCGCTCATGCTATCCAACCCGGCGAAGTTGCTCGAGTAGATATACCCGTTCAAACTATCAGCGTTGCCCAGGTCGTTGAGCTCGAGGAGGGTTACATTGGAACCTCTCCAGCCATGGCCAAAGTCATTGCCCCATACTGGCTCCTGCGGGGGCATAAGAGCCGGTCTAACACCATCTGGCCGATTATCATTCGGGGCTGAAACGCCTAGTAGAACAATCTCGGGTGAGTTCGGTATCGACGCACCAGCCATGGAAGAGACCACAAATGTGGAAGCATCACCTCTACCTCCATTCAACCCTTCTTTCTGGGCAGCACCGAGGTCACGTCGCTTCACAACCCCCCCGCTTTTCGCAGCTCTTACTTCCCCGGGCACGGCACCCCTTACATTTTTCAAGGAGAGTTCTTTAGCCTTTGACAGCCCAGGGGCTGGCGTTATCGGAGTGCACTGGGTTGCTTGGTCTGGGGCGCTCCTTAAACCTAATAGGTCAGATTGTTGTTCGCTTCTTGACAGGTTTAACGATGGGTTGAAATCCGAATGGGTTATTCCGGCCGTCGTTGTGTCTCTGCGCTGTCTCAAGTCGCTGTATGCCATATGCCCTGGAAGGATCTCCTTATGATTTGTATTAGCTTGCAGTGTTGCTAGTTGCGAACTCGGACAGCGACGGGAATAAGTATAAAGGGGCATACCTCGGGGGTGTTTGGCCTATGGGATTGTAACCGACGTGTTTCCCCAGTCGTTCGCGCGTCCTTAATTCTGGGATGATGATATGTATGACGATCATGTCCGCAACCAACCCTTATATCACTAAGCGGGTCGTTGCTAAGCAGCGTATGGCTGGATGGTAGCTGCTGGATGTGCGATTGGAATCCTAGACCAACTGGCGAGGCAAGACAGAGGCCCGGAATAGGTGCCGTGGTCGTAGGACCGACAGTAGAAGATGGCTTTGGGCCCCGAGACGGACTAGTGAGACCGGGAATGCCGCCGGCCTCTTTCGACTTGGGTTCAGGGCCAGCCGAATTTCGACCTCGTTGTGGCTCTTGATGGCCAGCTTGGGGCTCTACCTCCGCGGAGTTCCTGGTCTCCTGGATTGGCACCACTCCAACTCCACTACATGCGTTGCAGATAACGTGTTTTTTGTTATCACCCTGTTTAACTGCCCGTTTCGCCGCAGGAGTCAGTCCAACCGCATCGGGTTCGTGGACTGCCCTGGTCTTCGCAGGATATACTATCCTCCCCTTCCGATTTCTACAATACGAGAATTAGGTGGTTAGCTTTCCTATCAACCTCCGCCCTATGTAGTATGTGCTTTACTATCACGTACCCGTACTTGGTATCGATGCCGTATTTGTTGTAGACGTATCTTATCGACGAGAGAGTGAATTTTTTACTATAGTTAGGGAATCGTGTGTTCACCTCGTCAGCCACTTTCGAAAACAGGGCCTCCCGGGTCCCTCGTGGGAGTTGGTGCTCGGGGATAACCCGTTCGAGGATGTAGTTGATGACCTCGTCTGAATACATTTCTAAGCTATTTATACTATACTGCACGCAATATTTAGGACCTAGTGTTAGTCATACCCAGGGTATCGGAGGGCGTACTTCTATTTAGATATATAAGAAGAGTCGGCGATAGAAGGCCTTCTTAATTCGAGAAGAGCGTAGTGAAGAATGGATAGTTTGTCTTGATAATACGTACGCGTGGAGACGTGTTAAGGATACTGTCTTATTAGTGCAGTTGTCGTAGGTGAGATAGTCATAACTGGAGTAGTTGGTTATGTTAGTCGTAGTCGCAGTTTGAGTGGCTGTAAGCGCCCGTAGTTTTCGATTCTCTCTAGTCCTGAACTGTCTACCCAAGAAAAGAGACAAAGGGGAGATAAGAAGGACGAGGGGAAGAGAGGAGTTCTCTCGACTTTTATCCCTCGACGGCCCCCTCATCGACCCGGCACAATGGTCGCGTATGTGTGGTGAACAAGTCAGGATGGAGCTGGCGAGAGAAAGGCTCGTTTCTCAAGTGCGAGGATGATGGGATGGAGGACACCAGTGTAGCCACACCAGAGTGGCGTCCTAGGCGGCGGGTGATGCTACAAGCAAGTGGCATTACCAGAGGCTAGACCGAAAGGGCGTTGTCATTCGATAGAAGGGCCCATATCGGCGTTGTCATGTTGCCACGATGGGTCATCGGCGCGAAGAGGATGAGTTCAGGGTTGCACTTCCGTGCACCCGAGCCGGATTTATATAAGGTTGTGTGGGTGTAGGTGTAGGTGGTGGGCGTGTTAGATGTGTGGGCGAGGGCGGCAAGTTAAGACTCATTAGCAAGTAATAGGATGTATCCCTTGGGCACGTAATTAGATCTGCGGTAGCCGCGAAAGGGGAGTTTCAATCGACCGTACATACGTGAAAACTGCCCGGAATTCCCAATGTACCTACCTCTGGTAGCGTATTATTACGCATACTATCGGCCACCACCCCTATGTATTTTACGTGATCTTAACGGTAGACGGAACTCCCACAAGGCCGCGCTTGATTCTATTCACTTGCGTAGGGGGGCAGGTGCTGTGTCATGTATGGGCATGTATATATAGATATACATGCCTATCTTAATGAGGTATTACTTTGTAGGCAGGTATAATAACCTAGGGTATGATGCCTACGTATCCAAGCACTTAAGCAGTGCCATGACGGGCCTACGGTAGAAGTTCAGCGTATTATACCGACCTCGAGCTTGCATACCTACTCTACCTCCTGCCTGCGACATAGTGACATGGTGCCACGGCTTGGTCGGGGGAGGCCGGGGCCGAGGTAGACGTAGCTGGGCCCTGTCGCCAACAGGTAACAACCGGAGCGAGGAGCACAGGCGTCTGTATTGCTCAGTGCCATGGCTGCCGAAGCCGGACCCGGGACATGCTAGGAAGAGCAAACACGCACTACGCCTGACTTGGCGCCGACATGGGATCGACTCCACGACACCGGATGGCGCGGCGTGGCAGCTCCGAAGCCCTCCTCATCTCTTGCCGAATTGCTAGCGCCATTTCGAGAAGGCCGTTTCGAACGTCCGGATGGCAGAGACGTGCTCCGGCATCGTAGCCATGAGCCGCTAAAAAGCATCATCCTACGTCTACCTGCGCGAGTCTAGACCCATCACCCACGCGGCAATTGAAGTTCCCCTTCAGGCATGACACTGTCCCGGCTTCAGAGGGCAAACCGAAGACGCCGTCGTGCCTATCCAGCGAAGGCTTGCAAATCAGTCCAGTCAGTTAGGCAGCTATTTGTTCGGCGTGAATCGGTATGCCTGTGAGAGGCCGAAAGCAACTTGACCGGCTCACTTTCCCCTAGTGATTCACGACGAGACGTAGGCGAGGATCTGTTGCCGGCATTTGCGATTCTGAAGGAAGTTTGTAGTTAGCTCTCCGGCATAGAGGGGGCACTTTGGATCACCGTCATATTCTTGCCTCGGGGGAAACTGGTTTGCGCGGGCCGAAAAACAGAAAATTAGTAGGTATGGGGATTTAACCGCATATTATAGGTACCCCCCTAAGGCTCGCAAAGTCGAGGATCGCCAACCCGCCGTCTCTGAGGTGCCTAACAGTGATGACGTTGGTACGGCGAGATTTGCGAATAGAAACAGGGGTCAGGTATAAGACCTCTCTACCCGGGCTTGGTGTGGCGAATACACCTACGTTGTTTGCCTCTACTTATTTATCGAGTCCATGGGCGTTTCCACTCTAGTATCAAGCCGGTGAAACCGAGAAATCTATACAAATTCGTCTAAGGCGGCGTGACTACAGCGACTTGCTTCCGAGGATGGCCCACCAGCATTCTACTTCCGAATTCCCCCCATCCTCGTCCCAGTCATCTTCACCAACCAGGACGTGTTCTTCCAGAACGGCCAAGCCCAGATCCCCTCGAGCTACGGTAGAGAGGAATCTCTCCACCAATTTCTTAGTGGTAAGGTCTCTCCGAGGGGCCATGATGACCACCCTAGCATCCTTATCGGCCATCAAGTGTGCATGTATAGCAGAAGAGAGCAGTTCAGGGTGCTCATCGTCGTAGAGAGGGTCTGCGACGAGGATTATCTAGATAGAGTTAATATTAGGAGCATCTGAGAAACGAGAAATTCCCAGTCGAAACCGACCTTGAACTGGTTCTTCCCGTCGAACTGCTCGGCGTTACCGTCATCAGAGCCCCACGTCAGAGCACCCGAGTCGACCGTCCCGCCCAGAGTCTCGATCGTCGACCGATTAACATCAATGTTATGCGCCAAGTTAGGCATTATGCTTGGGAGGTCGCTTAGGACTACGTTGGTCTCCCAGATAGCGGCCGCGGCCATGCCCAAGAGCCCGGTACCAGAACCAAGCTCGAGAACATCGAGTGACGGATTCGAGCGCCCCGGGTCGAGTAGGTGAGAGAGGGAATTCCTCGCGATCTGGTCGAGGGACTGCGCGAGCAGATAGGAGGATCCCCAGGTTTTGAGGCCGAGGCAGTCGCCGATGATGGAGGGTTCGCGGATGATCAGTTCGAAAGGGGAGGCGGCCTGGCTCTCGAACGGCCAGCTTCGCGTGATCTCGCCCATGCACGCCCTGCCGCAGCGCTCCGAAAAGCGCCGGCTCGCCTCGTCCCACAGCGCCTCCTTTTCGTCGTCATCCTGAATCCAGCCGAGGTTGCTCTTGATTATGCTGGATAGGTACGCGCTGACTTCGCGGCGAAACTGGGTAGTATTCTGATACGTCTCCAATATGATCTTCCGAGAGGTGCTCGAGTTCCAGATCGGAGGATCGGTCTGGCCTGACGTGAGTTTTCTCCACTCTGTCTACGCTGGGGAATTCTCTTCTTCTCCGCGAGCTTGCTTACCCTCAGCAGCTGGAGCGATGCAAGGAGCTCCTCGAACGAGGGCTTCTGCCAGACTTGAGGGAAGTCCGCTACCGAGATGGACATTCGTACGGGAGTCTTACAAGAGCTAAAAAAGAAGAGAATAATGTAGGAAAAAAAAAACAGAACTAGAGAAAAGGGGAAGAAAAGACAGAAGGGGTTCTGTCTTGTTACCGGAAAGCAGACATCGTGACGGCGGTACTGAGGTCCTGGGTTTGGCGTCACTTACGTGTACTATCGTAGAACTGGGTAGGCTTAGCTTAGCCGATGGGAGTGGGAAAGTAAGCAAAATTCTTATGATGAGTGGGAACGCAGCCATTCTTATAGGAGTGTGGCCAGGCGGGTCTACGATAATAGACTGGCAGATGCAGATTCGCTTTTCGGCGAAGGGAACCTCCTCGAGAACGAGAGGAAGCCTTGAGGTACTGCAGTACTTGCATTTCAACTCTCCCGGCCGCATCGTGGAAAGTACCATAGATACCTGCCTAGGTACCTCGATTAGCACCTACACGATTGGTCAATCCTATCGATAAGCCCGGCCCCTCTATATATTTTTGACTCAGCGAATTTCTCCCGACCTTTTTCCTCCTTCTCTCCTCAAGCATCGTCCTCGTCAATGCTGTGTTTCTGAGCTACACACAGAGAAGCCGCTCGCGCGGCTTCTCGCCAATCACCTGTTACTCTCCTCCGGGATGGTTCGAGCCTGGCGTACTCGCTCATGAGAAATTCGGATGATTCTTCACCACTACCTCAGTCGCCCGCCCTGCGTGGGATTGACGGGTCTGCCCGTGAGGGTCTCGCGTGATGATTTTTTCACGTCTGCGATATTGGCATCAGAAACGCAGGGCCCTTCACTCCGTGCATATCTGAAAGGAGAAGACGGGGGAGTTGGGTTCCTATGGGAGCCGTCGCGAAGATTGTGTGAGAACACTTGAGTGCAATACACAGCGTGCTGGCCCTCGCTCGAGGGTCAGTACAATTCGATTCCGATTACTCTGACGAGGACGGTGCTTCACCCCTTTTTTCTCAGGTAAGTTCTGTGGTAAAGCTAGCCGAATCTGGATACCTTCTAAATTGAGGATGCTGCTAATGATACATCATGCTCCCCCCCCCGATCCGCCGCGGAGCAACAGGTACCCAATAGCGATTATGTTGAGGTACGAACCAGCGTAAGGACTTCCGCCGAGCACCCTACCTAGCCTAGGTAGCCTGAGTCGAGCCATCTCTACCCTTCTTGTCTTCTTCTTCTACCACTACGATATCTAGTCTGCCCTTCGCCGCCGGGGTCGCTGGCTCCTTTGGGGTCGGAGCTCCCCTCTCACCCCTGGAGGCGATCTTTCTAGTCTCCCGCCTATCGAACTGGTGTAGCACTTTGGCATCTGGACTTCTCGGATCGACTAGCTTCTCGAGATTGGATGCCTCCTTCATCAAATCTACGTACGCGGTACGGTTGGTTGCTGACCTATCAGCGAGGTCGAGAACGCGGGCTCCCGTGTTGCGGATCTTATCCAGGGTGAGACGTAGATTCTGAGGGTCCTGGTCAGAGCTATCAACGAGTGGCTGTGACCGAATCAATACTTTCCCTGTCTTTTTGACTTGGTGCAAGTATGTTTCTACCTTCACCTGCTGAAACCCGAATTGGTCGTCGTCTGGGGACTCGCCGCTCTTGTGACGGCTGTTGTATCGGATTTTCTCCCGCCATATCTGTTGGAGGATATCGTCGCTGACATAGTACCGAATTCCCATCACCTCCTTTTCGAAGTGTTCGTGAAACGTGGCCCAAAATCTCTTGCTCTCGTCGATCTGATCGGCTAAGTCCCTGGCCGCAAGCGCGAGCTTCAACTCGGTACTGGTCCTGGCGTCGATCCTTGTAGCCGCGTTGGCTGGGCTGGCACGGCTTCGAGAGCGCCTTAGGGGAGTACTGGGTATGGAGGGAGAGGGAGACCTTGGGCGGCGTTCTTCGCGACGGCCACGATGTAGATGTCGGCTGCGTTCTTCATCGTCCTCGTGGCGGGCCGTGTATGGGTGCGGGTAGTACGGCGGACTCTCATAGTCATACGATGGCAGGAGGGCCGGGTGTGGACGGAGGAGGGCACCGGTTGGGTGGAATGTCGGGCGCCGATAGCCCCCGGCCCCTGGCCTCTCGGCGATGTAGTCCCGGATGCTTCTACTCATCGTGGATGCGTAAGAATAGCGGAGTGGTCGAAAATCCATGCCTCGTGCCCGCGGGCGGCCCCGTAAGAGTTATGAGGACGATGCCACGGGCGGTTATATAGTCTAGATGGGTTTGCTAAGCGTGGTGTTGTCACATCAGTACGCCGGGCATGTTTCTAGAGGATTGGCACGCTACATTCAAACTACACATTGAAGCGTTTGGAGGCTACGGTAAGCAGTGGTAATTGCCGATCACTAACGACGGAAACAGCATGTTTCTACTCACAATTGTCGTCGATCAAACCGTATGGCCTGGCGTGTTGTGCACGGCTTCACTATTTGCGGCCCCGTCTCAGCAATCGCCTCGCGAGCATAGGCGCAAGCCATCTTCTTATACGTGTGATTGTTTACACTAGCTATCGCTTCGCCCATAGAAATCAGAACTCCCCCTTGCGACCAGCATCTCTCAGCTTGGCGTAGGGCCAGTTGCTTCCACAGGGCTAGCAGCATAGGTGCGGCGCGGCGCAGTACCTCCCTCCCGGCCGGCGGGGAGGGGAAGCGAAGACGAAAAACCGCACCGTGGCGATGCGAAGGCAGATCGGCGCTCTAGAAGGCCCGGGTCTTCGGGCTCGCCCGCCAACCTCTACACGATCAGCAGGCGAGATCGGCCGCCGCTTGTTCCCCCCTTTCCTCCTTCCCCTCCCAGGCCGCGCCCGCGCTACGTGCGGACGAAGTCCCGCGACGGCGAACCTGCGAGAAAACACTGGGGATAGAAGGCAGGCAGCTGTTGTCGCGGGGGTATTGGTAGAGACGGCAATATAATGACAGTCCTAGTTCTCGCACGAGCATCCTCCGGCCCGTCTCCCCCTCCATTACTGTTCCTCGTTTCATTTTCCCGCACGTCTCCTCCTCGCTTAAGCCGCGCATCTTTCTTCCTTCCTTCCTTCCTTCCTTCTATTCCATCCTCTACATCTCCTTCCGACGCGCCCCCGGTGTCGTGTGTGGGTGAGACCGGCCGGCACGAGACTTGTATCAGTGTGGCTCCCCCTTCCCCCCCCCCCTCCTCCTCCAAACCCAACCAGCAGGGCTGACCCATACCCGGTAGGTACCTAGGTATTCTACGTTTCCCGACCCGAGGGACTGGGACGGGCCAGGGGGGCTAAACTGCTTTTGGCCTGCTTGGCAGGGGGGGTTCTTTTTTCAGACGGTACCCGGGTACCTGCCCGCGAACCAGGAAGATCCCGCACCACCTGATTTAGGGAGGGTGCGCACCACCTAACCTGACCTAACCTACCTAACGCACATGCGCTGCCCTCCCTGCCTCCCATCAGAGCCGCGGCAAGCCAGGGCGGCGGGAAGGGGGGGGGGGGGGAAGGCCTCTGCCGTGCGACGCGCCCCGCGCGCCAAAGGCAACGCCGGGGCCCCAGCGCCATCCGCGCCGCGCACGAGACACGCGGCGCCAGAGCAGAGGGCGCCAGCGGCGGCGAGATCTGCGACCTGCAGGCAGCGCCCACCGCCTGTCTACCTGTCTACCCTGCCCAACGCACGACTGCGCAGCACACCCTTTTTTATTTATCTAGGTACTTTTTTTTTCTGCGCCCGGCCGCATCGTCCTCGCCGAACCACTGCCCCCCCCCCTCTCTGTCTCTCTCGCGACGCGGTCCCCGTCTCCCCTCGCCCCGAGCGCGCGCGCGCGCCCGGCGCATCATGCGTTGTCGCAGCCCTACGGCGGCGGCGGCGGCGGCGGCGTGGCGCGGGCAGGCCGGCGCGGGCAGGGATCGGCGGCGGCGCGTGGAGGAGAAAGAAGAAGAAGCAGTCAGACCCGGCACCGCTAGCTGGCCCCCCTGTCTCCCTGTAGGAGGACGCGCGCGCGGGCGCGCGGGGCTTCTCCCGGCGTTAGCCGCGCTTTCGACGCCGTGTGCAGCCTCCGGGTTTCCACCCGCCGCGGCGCAGCCACAATTGGCGCCCTCTCCGCGCACTGCGCACGAGGGCAGCCGTGTGCGTGCCCCCTACCCGTCTTCCTCGCTCCTTTACGCATGCCTGACTGGCATGGTAAGTAAGTAGCAGGCGTGACTGCGAGTACCTCCCCCCCCAACAACGCCCACGCCGGCCCATTCGGCGGTACGCCCGACCACGCCCCTCTCGCCGCCCATTTTGCCCCCCCCCCCCCAAATTTACCGAGATGACATTTATCTATACTTCCCCGAGCCTGGACCGAGAGAAGGAGGTGAGGCACAGGTATGGTAACAGCAACGTAACGCCTACACTTGCTTATTCACGAAAGACGAGAGGAGAGAAGAGGTTTAAATAGGGAACCTTCCGGATAAAGGGGGAAAAAAAAACACATCTAACAAGTCATGAATCTCCGGTACGTCGGTTCTCTTCACGTTGGTATCAGGTCGTAAGTACACGCTCATATATCACCGGCAGCGGCAGCGGCAGCGGCAGCAGTGATAGTAATAGTAGTAATAATAATAACAGTAGTGCTAGTAATAGTGTAGTAGTTGTGGCCGGGGTAGGCGAGGCAGGGAGAGTTCGCTATTGGCTCCGTCCGATCCGCGCCCATATCGACCACCCCCCTTCCTCCCTTCCTCTCTCCTTCCCCTGCCTTTTCCGTGTCCGTAGATGTGTCGTGTAGGGTGTATGCGTGGGTGTACGGCGGTAGGAACGCCAGTCCCTCGGGATGATGCGAGTTGTGTACGGGTGTGTATGTGTGTCCATGTGTGGAGTGTGTGCCGTCCCATGCCATGCCGTCTTAAACTCCGATGCTAGGCGTAAAATCAATAGTGTCAAGGGGCGTTGTGTGTGTGTGTGTGTGTGTGTGTGTGTGTGTGTGTGTGTATGCATAGGAATACGGTGGTTGCGTGGTGACATAGGTACCGCTCCAAAAATAATAACAATAATAGACCAGGAACGGTAGAAAAGAATTATATCGCAAACCAAGCATCTCCCCCTTCCCAATTGAGTGGTCCCGTTCCGTATGATGATAATGCCTGAGAAAAAGGAAAAGGGAAAAACCGGTGGTAGTTCCATGCTGCTGTTCGTCGTTCGGACCAAATGCCAGATTTCCATCCTGTAAATGAGGGAATCCCCGTTTCCTTCTACCCGGAAGGGGGCGCATTGCCTCTCTCCTCCAAGTAAATCACGGGGAACCAATGCAAAAATACCCGCCGGCCGTTACGAGATATGCCAGGTCACCGTCTCGGATGACGTAGAAGGACAGAAAGGGCGTAGAACTTTTGTGTCGGAGCGGCGGAGGAAAAAAACAAGAAAACTCATGAACGCTTTTCCCCGAAATCAACATTTCGCGTCAATACTCGGCCGGATCCTCCAGCCCGACCTTGGCTCCGATTCGGCTGAGCCGATCAGCCAACCCTCGGCAAGGTTTCCCCATCCAATGAGTGTGGTGATGGCGCGAGTAGTTAATTAGATACCGCCTGCGAAATCTCCTCCTTCATGGTCGACAACCGTTCTCGCATGTCCAACAAGTCGGCAAGCTTATCCTCGGGCGGTTCCTTGAGCGCCGAGATCTCGTGATGTAAGGACTCGTAGCGCTCGTAGTACTTGTTGAACATCCTAGCCTTGATTAGTATATCCTTCGTTACCCGCTGCTTCTTGCTTGGCGTCGACTGTTGAGAGGACTGTTGAGAGGATGATTGGTCGACGTCGCGCTCCTTGCGCTTCTTGGACTGGCTGGCACCGTTCGGAGCCGAGGACCCATTCGCCACCCCGTTGGTCTCACGTTCCCCGTTACGCGCCTGAGATTTGGGAGGGCGCTGGGCCGGCTGCGGTTTGTGATCCTCGAAGTCCGAGGCGTTGGTGGGCGGCGAGGACGCGAGGGGCGAAGACTTGGTGGGCGAGGTATTCTTGCTCTTCATCGATAAATTAGAAGATGTAGCAGTTCCCGCGCCCGTATTTCTCGAATTCGGGCTCACGTCCGATGGGCGATGCTTCAGAGTCGTTGTCGTGGTGGATATCGGCTTCGGCAGCTCCTTTGGTTTGATTCGCTTGCTGAGGGGCGCGCCGGAACTCGAGCTGCTGTCGTCGTCTTCGCGAGTTCGCTTCTGCGAGCTTGGGACGGAAGCTTTGGCCGGAGGTCGGGGTGCTCGAACTACCGGCTTCGGCTTCGGGGCCGGAGCCGGAGCCGGCTTTTCCTTCAGCTTTTCTGCGGCTTTCGTAGCCGGCTTCTCTACTCGTTTCTCGACTGGTTTCTCGACGGGCTTGTCGACAGGCTTCTCCACGATCTTAGGTTTCATCATGCTCGAGCTCGTGGTTGACAGTGGCGCGTCTTCTCCGCTGCTCTCGGAATCGATCACCTTCTCCTCGGAGAGAAATTTCTTGCCCTTCTCTTCGGTCGCCTTGGCCCTGGCGGCCGGCTTTTTCGGCGCAGCCTTCTTGGGGTTGTTCGAGAGGAGGCGCTTCGTCTGCGCCTCGCGTTCGCTGACCTTCTTGGTCTTGCTTCCTACGGGCTGCGAGTTCGATCGAGCCATGGCCTCGCTCTTTCCCTTTGTGGTGTCAAGGTCGCTCTTGTTCCCGTCGTCCGTCTTCATTGCCGGCGCTCTAGTTGTCGGGGTGATGTGACCCTTTGCCAGAGTTGCCTGAAGCTTGCTGAGGACGATCCCTTTGCCTCTGTCTGTCGGGGGAAGCAGCCGCTCCCACTCGGAGGCGGACGTGGGAATTCGCTGCCGGTCAAACTGCCGGATGGCGTTGTCGATCGCGGCCTGGCGGTCGTCGTAGCTTCGGTAATCGTAATTCCACACGTCCAGCTCCTTCCAGTACATCTTGTTAAGGCTCCATTTCTTCGTAAAGTCGTCAAAGCTTGCCACCTTCTCTACCGTGGGTTTCAGGTCGGCTTCCGCTCCTCGCCAGACATCCTTCAAGTGATCGTAAGCCTGATCTCTCGTGGCTAGCTCGTGGACCAGGACGAATCGCTGACTCTTGTTCTTCTCGAGCAGCTGCTGCGAGGCAGAAAATGCCGGGTTGGGGGAAGCGGCCGCGTTAAGCGCAGGACTGGTCGGCAGTGATCGTGTTGTGGTACTCGACAAGACGCTGGCCATGGCGGATCTTCCAGCTGGCAGGGGCTTGGTCTTACCGCCTCGCTTAGTGTTGGTAGCCGTGGCCTTGCTTCTGTCACACATTGTTAGCCCCCATTCCGAGGTTGGGCGAGCGGGTGGATATCGTACGCCATAGCGCCCTTCTGAGCATTGGCGTTCGTAACCGTGTCTGTGTCCGAGTCGGCGCCGTAGGACGAGGAGCGGCTGACTTGATTCCCTTTCCTGGCTGCCTTCGCCGAGACGTAGCCTGGCGGTATCTTATCGAAAATAGACATCGTCTGATTCGGCAATCGTTGCGCTTTGGTGGTGGAGTCTTCGGGCTTTGTGAGGTACAAGTCGTAGTTGTAAGATTCAGGTGCGGACTCCACCCTCTGCTCTTTCGACGCGTAGTGGAAGCTCTGCGAAAAGGGTAGTGGTTAGTGGGATAAATATCTCGATTGGAAAACAAGTTGGCAGATATTTATAGGTACGCAATACACTCGGGTTCTTTTTTTTTTCTTCCCTCCCTCTCTTCTGTGCGCCCGTTGCCAGGCGACAGGTAGGTCTTGTTAACCTAACCCGGTGACTCGAATCTTTACCATCCACCAGACAATCGAAAACTATATATGGCAGATTCGTTGACTGCCGACAAGAGGTAGGCAGGTGGAGCTTATAACGACGTAGGTTTGCGTAGCAACAAGAGGGGGGCCGGAAGGGGGAGACGAAGTCAAACTTACAGGGCTACTGCCGAGAGTCAATTCTATCTCCTGGCCCTCCTGTACACATTTTATCATGTCCTCAATTACGCTATCGCTCAACGTGATGCCGAAGGCTTGTAACGGGAGGTAATCGCTCGAGTTTGCCGAGCTCTCCAGGAGGAAGCCGGACTCGGGGATGGTGATGGCGGCCATGGTGGGCGAGTTGTCGAATTCGTCAACGAGGGCGGAAACAAGGGGGATTGGTAGAGCTTAGGAGTTCGGTATACGGGTAGGAGGAGGTATAGGATAGGATCGTTGTCTGCCGTATGGCACTGGCCGAGGAGAGACACCTGCAACGCACTCTGCACCCGGCCAGACTATCAAGGGCACCCAACTTAACAATGATCGAATTCTCGCACAGCTCTCTCACATGGCTAGGTGTAGGACCCGGGAGAAGCGGCTTCGGGAATTCGTGGATTCGGGGCCCGGCAAGCCAAGGGAAACGAGAGAGGAAGACCCAGGTCCAGTTGGCGGCGGCAGAATCGGGTGGCAGCGCGACTGCGTGAGAGTTGTCAGGGTGAAATACGATAGACTAGAGGACAGACAGGAGAGGAGAGGAGAATAGGAAGTGGTGGAAGAGAGTGGGCGAGGAGGAGGTGGTACGGGAATGTGTGTCTCTGAGTCTTGGTTGAGAGGAGAAAGAGAGGAAAATGAAGGCAGTGATGGGTGGATGGATATGGATGGGATGGGGTGGGATGGTACCTAGAGAGTGGAGCGTGACGGGGGTGGCCCCAGCAAGTACAGTACAGGTACCACAACGCCTGCTTTAGCTGCTGAGTTCATCCCGCCGACGCCCACCGCCAAGACGCTAACCCAGTGGAGCGTAGCCTGGCTGCGTCCGCCGGTGGCGGCCACCTACCTACGAGATACCTGGCCGGGTACGCTCGCGCGTGGTGCCGTCTGCGGCGGAGCGCGCAGGAGGCACACGTACCCTGCAAGTAGCTTCACACAGGCACAGACGTACCCAGCGTCTGGATCGGGTTTCTAGAGTGCGTTACGCGGGTGACCTGCGTGAAGCATCTTCTCCTAGGCGTCGGGCCTGAGGCATTCCCCTGCTTGCTGCGTCCTCACGTTAATAATTACATTTACGATTTCCCCGAGGACAAGGCTAGGTTTGGGCTTGCTGCCACTATTAAGTTACTCGCGTACCTCCATTGCCTCGGCCTGCCCATCTACGTGTGTGTGCAGGGTACGTAGGGTACTTGTTCTCGGTGCGAATGTATTTCCAGGTGAATTCTTCGGTAGCCGGGCCGCGCTGTCAGAGAAATGAAGGAACCACAAATCAAGGGACCGGTGGTGTAGGTATGGTGAAGAAGATAGAGAGCGAGAGAAAGGGGAGAGAGGAACCAAGGAAAAAGACCAAGAGCAGCGGCCATTGTGTGCTATTGTGTCGCCGGCAGAGAAGAGGGAAAGGGGGGAAAACAATGCTAAAACTCGGTGGCTAAGGTACCTAGCCGAGCAGGCAAGAGTACCTACGGCAGGCGGACGCGGGTACCTGATCCGCCCATTCTCTGGAGGCAGGGAGCCAGGTATGCAGGCATGTACACAGCTACGTACACACGCCGGGAGGAGGCAGAGTTCGAGAGGATACGGGCGCCCGCTAGTCGACCTGCCTGAGGCGCCCTAACCCAATCTGCGTCATCTATTACTGTACATGATGTACCTACATATGTGCGTTCCTTGGGTTAGGTACCTGCCTCCGCCTATGGCAGCACGCAGAACGCCGACGGGTTGCTAACGCAACTCGGGCGGGTATTGGTGGATATGCGCAGAGGTGCCTATTCTATGTACCCGTACGCAGACGATACATCGGGCTGGGCCAGCCGGGGGCCGCTGCGGCGGGGGCCTGGCCGCCTAGGAGGTACCTACCTAGGTAGGTACCTAGCCATGCCTACCAATGTATATCCCTACGTATATCCCTACGTACAATACATCCATACTCCATTGGTACATGCCCCCAGCGAGCTAAACTTACTATTAAGCGGCCTAGAAGCTCTAAAAGTGTACGTAGACGTAGAAATGTACGGGTATACAGGGGGGGTAATAGAGGTAGGTCTGTAGGCGCATACCTGAGAGGTACCACACCTAACTCGGGCTGTGTGACAGGGGTGGGGATTCTCGGACGACTAGGAGGTAGGTACATGCCTATGTACATATATCCATGCGTTAGGTACGTATACCTACCTGGTATATACATGCACGGCTTTTCCCCTCGAGCGGGCCAGAATAGAGAGGGTAATCAACCTAGCGCACACCTCTCCTGCTAAGCGGTGGCGATAATAATAAGCAGCACCGGGGGGGGAAGAGTATGAATATGGTCGAATTACGGTCGGTATCTCCCAACGACGACCTTACATGTAGGTAGAGTAGGCTTGCTTTTGTGTACCTGAGGTAGGTATGCACGTAGGTGTGAGGCATATCGTTCATGGGTCCTATCGCATATCGTCCTCCTCGTTTCTCCCTCTGGGACAGCTGCCCAGAGGCTGAGCACGAGACTCCCGTCATTTCAATTGGAATCAATGCGTCTATCGTCATGCTGGAGCTTCCGACCATCTTGTGATCGCTGCGACGACGTAGGTTTGGCATATACATCGACCACGCTATAGGATCACGTAGTATACGTCCGTCCGCCGATACCAATGCCTAGGTTGGTACCGATATCCATCTCGGTGTGCGGTATGCATCATCACAGGTATCCGTACTTGCAGATACCTACCAGGCAGGTAGGCATGCATGTATGTATGTATTTTGCTGCGAGGTAACAGTATGGCTTGCTGCAGAGGCGGATCTGCTAACCAAACACGAAGATTTCTTCTTCTTCCATTACTACCTACCCTAATTATTCGCCGTTAGCCGGCCAGATATATCTCTGCACGCAACCGCTACCTGACCTGCTGGCCATCCAGATACCGAATTGATCTAACCGTCCTCTCGCACTCTCTCTGCGTCCCGCTGTAGATATGTGCTGGGAGCAGGATACGGTCAGGTCCAGAGAAGGAGAAGAAAAGGGGGGGGGTTCGAAGGAGTCTTTTCTGGGGCAAGCTTTTCTCAACCTCTCCACACCAGGGGTTGGCGCGATGGGCGGACGGCTAGAGGGACGTGACTGGCCAGGTAGTTTAGATGGGTGCTAATAGACCCATGACACATCCAGAAACCAGGGCAATAAAAAGAATCGAAATGCCCATACCAAATCTGCCCAATCCGACTATGTAGGTATGTGTGTTCGTTTGTGTGTATGTATGTATTAGATGTATATGAGCAGGTATTAATGTGATGCTACCGCCGCTGGCCGTTGCTTGTCGAATGACGGCGGATTTAAGGGACGAGAGGGGTCGGGAATTGCCTTGCCTGCCCCGAATCCCCCAGTCCCCGAATGACATCGGATTCTTCGGCACGACAAGTAAGGAATTGACAAGCCACGCAGACGAGGCGGGCCAAAAAAAAAAAAAAAGAAGGAAGTAGAGCAAAAACAAAAGAACGCAAGCCGGATAATAGGTAATTGGAAGCAATCGGCTCCGTGCGGAGGGAGTATACACATATCTCCCCGTCCGCGGATATTGCTGATCGCCACGCCCCCGGTCCCTTTTCTCCCCCAGGGAGGCCTTACTAAATTACATCATTTAGTGATTAGTTTGGGCGCGGGAGCACGAGGCACTATAGTACCTATCCAGGCCGGCGCCGTTGGTGCCAGTGCGTTGTACACATGTTTGTATGGATGGACGGATGGGCGTGCTTGTCTGCATGACTGTAGATAGGTACGTATGTACGTACGTACGTGTGTATATGTTATATGTGCGTGTGTGAGGTGCTGCTGCTAGGCGGGAAGCAGAAGGAGGACGGCGATGACGACGGCGGTGGTGATGATGTGGTCGAAGGACGAGCCAGCTCATCGTCCGCTTCACTTGCCAGACGGGGATCCATCCCGCCCCTCCCCTCCTCCTCCCCCCCGGACCGGGCGACAAGTTAGAGCAGGAGGATGGGAAATTCGGTCAAAGACGAGGTCGGGAAGCAGGCCATGGCATCGAGCAACCAACCTATCCGCCCGTCTTGTCCGCCTACGTGCCTATGCGGGCGCCTACCCGCCGGGCTAGTTTGGGTCGATACGCAGATAGGCGCTATAAGTCCGGGACGGGTGGTGGAACGGGGGAAGGGGAGGGAGTGAGCGAGCGAGCGAGCGAGCGAGTGGCCGAGGCGAACTAAGCAGGTATGTTACGTGTAGGCACGTATGCGTGTGCGTAGGTGTGGATGGATCTGTGTATGGATTTGTCAATGAACGTATGGACGTACATCCAGATCACCAGGGCATGTGCCGAAGATGTGTGTGCGTGTATCGATCTATGTGCGTACATGCGAGTTGCGTACGTACGTACGGCCCCGGTGTGCGATACCATGGAGCAACCCCAGCTCATCGTCGACCCCCAACACGAGCAGGTAGAAATACCTGACACATGCAATCGCTTAGCATGCCTCTTTTTTTTCTTTTTCTCTTTCCACAACTTGCATCAGGTTGGCGGATATGCATTAGATCTTCAAGCCCAAATATTACCAGGTACCTACCTACCTGTTAGGTACATGTAGCAGGGTATGGGTGTGTAAGTGTAGGTACATCCCTATATTATGTACCTGGGTACATACATATATAGCACAGGCTCATTACTCGTAGGGCTGCCCCTGGTCACGTATCTAAGGTTAGCAGCTTTGCCGCACCAGGCTTTTTTTTTTCTCGAGGAGCTGCTTCAGGTTGATTACTGTACCTACATAGTATAGGTTATAGAAGCACGGCACAGTTAGAGATGCTAACGGTAAGTGTATTTAGTACGGATGGAGGCAATGGATGTAAAGCATTGTGTGTCCGTGTCGATGCGTAATAATGCCAACCTCCTACGTGCCGGGTGCGTGACAATTTTCAATCGTATTTACATCACGTACATTTACCTTAGGTACCCAGGTACCTCGATATATAAGGTGGGCATATGTACCCTTCCTCCCTGGATTACATAGTGTAAGTACACACATCTCCCGGTACACCATACATACCTACACCTACCTCCCTGCCTCTCAATGATGTGTGGGCGGGAGGAGGATGTGGATGAATTGCTTCTTTCTTTTCCTCGGCGATTCTGGTCAATCCGGGCAGCCAGGTTTACTGCGTTGATCGTGATGGAGGCTAATAAACAAGGCGTGATTCTTTTCCCCGAGTTACCGGGCCGCCGGGATAATGATAAGTTGTCAGCCGATCAAGTGCTCTCCTCGCCTTACGCACCATTGCCCACTGGATCTATACGCTCACAACATGCCATAACCAATGCGTATAGACAGGCACCTGAGGAGGCAGGGCGGTCGGATATTGTTGTCGTGCTTCTACCCTCGAGTAGGCGACGCTTCTCCGCGTGCGGCGGTCAGCAGAATTGCACGTAATGTTGGCTGTGCGCTGCGCAGTCGCCGGCCTGACTCTGACTGGACTGACCGACGGGCGGATCCTGGTAGTGGTTAGGCTGTCCTTTTTCCCCTCCCCTTTTTTCGCGGCTTTGTTTCGCCCTCTCTCTCTCTCTCTCCCTCCCTACCTCCCTCCTTTTCTTTCGATATTTCCCTCCTGAGCCGGCTAGGCAGGCCGCCCGTCGTACCCGGTCCCGCGCAGAAGGACCTAGCTCCGTGAGAGGGGAGGATAGGAATCGTTGACCCTCTTCCCTCTCTCTCCTCTCCTCCTCTCAGGTGTTTGCCGGCCCTTTGCTGACATGCAGGGCGCCCACCCTGCTGATTGGCTGCGATATGCCATGACGGATGACGGCTGGGTCCAAGATGAGCCCCCCGGTAGCATCCCGTCAGAAATCAGAAATAATACCTACTAACAGCCCGCACGCGCCCAACTCGCCTGGGACGTCGGCCGCACTATACGCATGTCGTAGATCTGACTGAGACAACGAGGAGATGGTCTGCCTTCGGACCTGCACTCGGCATCCCAAACACACATGCTCTCTAATTCTGGCGCGTGCGTCCGTGTCTGTCCGTCTCCGCAGGGGCGGCGACAAGTCGTTGCTCCCGCCCAGGTCTATGTAATGATCGTACGAATGTATGTAGATACTACGTAGTCTCTCTCACAACTCGCACCGTGGCCGTCGTCGACTGGACCCGGAAAAACGGCCACTCACTCCACAACGTCAGATCATAGTCTCGACCAACCAAGCCTCCAGTCCCCTCTGGACCTACACAAGTCTTACAGGTTCGCGCCCGCCGAGCAACTGGTAGTAGAGGATCCCGAACAGCACGGCCCTCTGGTCTTTGCGGGGGAATCGTCCGTGTCGCTGCCGTGGCTGTACCAGGTAGGTATTGACCTACATGTGTATGATTGGAGGCATGGCCTATATGTATGCATGTAGGGGTGTAGGGGTATAGGTAGGTTCAATGTAGGCCTGTACGCTGCCGCCCCGAGCGCAGAAATACCTCTAGATTGGACATGATCGCCGTTTCTTCGTCGCTTCATCCCGTTTCCTCGTTTGCATTATCCTTGATCTTTCTTTTTCTCGTTCGTTCTGGGCATATTTTTCCGCCGAGAAAAGAGGTGTGGAGGGGAACCGAGCGAGAGCTGGAACGAGGCAGCGATGAAACAACAGAAACCCAGTTGTTCAGGTAGGTAATAGAAGATAGATATACAGACATACCGACAGGCTCAAGGGGAGGGAGTTCCAGAACGACGGGGAAGCCTCAGTCACGGAGGGAACGAGACAGACGGCCGCCCCAGAAGAGGCAGCCCCAAGAGGCGCCTCTACCGTATTCTATAGAGGTACCTAAGTAGGTACTTAGAGGTGTGTACCTACCTATCTGTATGGACCTACATGTATACCAGGTATTCAGTACACCTGTGGGTGTAGGTACCTAGCTGTCCTAGCTGGCGGGCCTGGAGGTTAAGAGGTAGGTACTTAACCCGGGCACCTTTGTAGGTACCTAGAGGTAGGTAGGTATGTACGCAGGTACGTGTACTGCAGGCCTCCATCGCTGCGGAGGGTGGCGCTGTCGGGGACGGATGAGGTACAGTACCTGTAACGCATAGCCTACTCGACCGACCGCCCTCCTCTTTGCAGGTGCCGTCGAGGTACTTGGTCGCCGGTCCACATTGGAATTTCTGGAATCTCTGACAATCTCGCCTACTCGATACTGCCTCCCTCCTTTTTTTTCACCATTTAACTCTCCTCTCTCTCACGAGTAGAATCTACCAGGCACTACCGGGAAATCTTGTCTTCATAGTGACAGGGGTTCGAAGGGGGGCCATGCATAGAGTCTCGCTTTGTCCGTTGAAACGTGTGGTAGAAATCTACAACCGAAATCCGAGACTCACCCAATGAGATGGCCGCAGCCGCTAGGTAGTGAACACCTTTTAAAATGAGGCGCCCGTCCTATCGACCTGGAAATAGGTCGGCCGTCATGCCAGCCGAACGAGAAGCTGTTGGCCGAGCAGGTGGACGAGCTATGTCTGCGTCTGCGTCTTTGCTGCCACTGCCACTGCCGCCGCCGCCGCTGCTCTTGCGGTAGGCATTGTGTGGGTTTTAGCCGTAGTATGGATCGTGGACGTGCGGATCCTGGGCGGCATGTCGATTATATGACGCCCAGGCGATACCCGTCGAGACGGAGAGGATTGGCTTTAGGGGGGGGCGCCGGCCAATCCTTACGTACATACACAACACACGCAACGGAAGCCCCGTATCATGACGAACCGGCGGTGCTAGCGACAAATCCACCGTGGTCCTCGGTAATAGGGACAAGATGCCTCCCTGCTCCATAACGGATGGAGTCGGTAAGTAAGTCGGATAAAGCAAGCTGCAAGACAAGCCTGCCTTTCTCCTCCCTCCCTCTCCCTCTCTCTATTCTCCTTCTACCATGTGCTGGCGCGTAGTATATCCGAGAGCCCTCCGGCCTGCCTACTACATACACATGCATGAGTGCAGGCAGTAGAGGCGAGCTGAGGGATTACGCCCTGACATCATTCAGCTGACACCAACCACGATTGTTAGAGCGTTGACAGGGGGAAGAGGGCGAGGAGGGGGGGGGGGAGGAAGGGGACAGGAGGCGCCGTTGGCGGGAACGATCGTTGAAACATTTGCCTTCTTTTCTTTTCGTCTGCTGTCAAATGCCATGTCTAGAGTACATACATCTGCCCCCATGTAGACTTTTTACGATTATACGTAGGTAGGTAGGTATATTGCTGTACAGATAGGGATATATATTTGGAGGCATTTACCATCATCTTCCATCTGTATCTTGTATGTTACCTACCTACCTAGATGTATGTTACCTACCTATGTATGTATGTGTATGTACTTCTCAGCTGCAGGTCATCCACGCGAGAATCTGCACGGGCTTACGGGCTGGATGCCGCCACGAGGGTCGACGACCAAAAGGAATTGCAAATTCCGTCTGGGTGAACATGGGACGTGGCGTCCGCCCCACTACCGGCAGCCCATCACCACCATCACCACCACCACCCACCATCGCCGCCAGCCATTACCCATGGCTATGAAGGTATGTATATGCATGTATATATGCCGTGGAGTTGCCTCAGTTACTCTATACACATCTTCCTACATACGTACATTTCATCTCTGTGTACCTGCCTACATGGCTTGTTACCTACCTCCTTTCGCCCTATCTTTGCCGTACCCATCGCCCTGCGGCCCCCCGGTGGCTCGACAAACGACAAATCGCACCACCCGGAGCTTTGCGATCGATATACCTACGTATTTGTAAACTTACCTACGTACGTACATACGCACATGTATTGTATACGTTGAGGCATAGGCGCGGACCCGGGTGCTCAATCACTGCTGTCCACGTTAACATGAGACCGAGTTTCAAGTGCGAGCCTGCACTACTCGCCGGGGGGCAAAGGGGAGGCCGAGACGATCGAAACGACGAATAGGTAGGCAACCCGAACGGAGGAAGATGAGGTATGCCGTCACTCGCCATCCCGAACACGTAGGTAAACCAATTTTCTGCGAAGAAGAAGCAGAAGGAAAGATTGCTTCGTGGTGTTGTTTGTCATCGTTGTCCTTGTTGACATCGCTAACATGGGCGACCATGCTGGGCGCTTGGCTTGGCCGTGCTTTGGTGGCGTGTTGGGCATGCGTATTGGGACGGGTGCGGAGGTCTTGACGCGGCTACTGCCCGTCTGAAAGTGGGAGATCGCTGCGTTGCCATGTTGCGTTGCGTTGCGTTGCTGTGCGTTGCACAACTGCGCTGGAAGGGCCGGGACGCGGGATTCGGAAGAGGAGGGGAGGGGAGAATCATCGTCGTCTGACAAGCCGTGGTAGATCGATCGGCCAGGCCCTACTACGTGCGCATCCTACGTTAACTAGATAGCCTACCTGCGTACCTACGGGTTGGCCTAGGTTAGGTAGGTTGTCGTATCTACCGACTCCGGACGGGAACCTTCGCAGGTCCCTTAAGCTTGCTATTGAAGTATTTTGAAGAGGACGTCTCCTTTGGTGTGTGCCTCCACGGAGATGAGCTAAAGAACGAAGACTACCAAGTAGCGCTGTTAGGAATCGAACCTATCCTTCGTTAAGTAACCTACTGATCTCACGGTTCTGTTGCGAAGATGCATTCGGTAAATGCCGTTAAGAAACTCCAGTATAGGAGGTTAGGTATTGGGAGGTAGGGTCGCTTAGCTAACCCAATTACCTACTATTGACTAATACCTACCTCTACACGTACGTAGCTGCTGGTAGCGGCAAAGCGTACTCATAACAATAAGATCCGGGATGCGAGAGCTATCCCCGTCTTCAAGTTCCATGGGTTACAAATGAAGCTAGTGTAGGTGCTCTTCGGTAGGCATCTTATTAGGTACCTCTGCCTACGTTAGATACTGGTTAGGGAACCCTCCAAACTCGTTACATTATCGGTACCTGACCGTCTAATGGCATTGTCATTCGGTGACGACGTCGTGTATCCCCTTTACCTACCTATTCAATCACATGGCTGGATTAGTATCGGCACGAATCGGTAGCTAGAGCTTAGGATGCGCCTATGTCCTACTCCCTCTCATCACGGTGGCGCCTTGGTCTCTCTATGGTTGGCCCCCCTCGTTCTCGCCGCTGCGATCTACGCCGTGTGCCCGATTGCCTCACCTGACTGTCCTATCCGAAGGCTCGGTAGACTAACGTACGTGCTACGTGGTAGCGTGGACATTAGGAGCGCGAACCATCTCTTCTTTCGGTCGGCGCTTGTCCCCCTTCAGTCGACGAGCGAGAGCGGACCCTCCCCAGGTTCTCGTAAGCCTGCCCGCGTATTGGGCCGTTGGCACTTATACGGAGACAGGTTGGGGGAGGCGGCCGGCGCGAGTCCACAACGGCCGCTTGGGAATCTTAGATTCGCCTATCCTTTATTCGACTATACTCTGCGCGGATAAACTCGAAGGCAGATGTATTCATACGTGACTTCGACCTAATACTACTAACCGACCTGTAGTAGCTGCTTGAACCCAGCGGTTTCTAACCGAGTCATTGCGTGCGTGTTGGTTAGGTCTGGGACGTACCTATCACCAGACTTCCAGGAACTCCTAAGGACACGGGGGGGCAGCGTCGGCACACGAGTATGAAAGATAGGTACCTGTCTGTGCCCGTGTATCCACCTGCCTACCTATTGCCTCTCGGTAAGCCGGCGTGTGCTGCGATGTTGTTGGTATTCCTATTGCTACTACCTACCTAGTGAAAAGAGTGTCGTTTTTTTTTCTTGGTCGACTTTCCCTTTTCCTTTCTTGGATCCCCAGCCCCCCGCTCCATCCATGGCAGCCATGCTCACATCCATCCCACGCTTGAGGAAACGTTGTAACTGCTTGACCTCGTAACCCCCCCATTCCCAGCAGAGGTACCTCGATGGGTTGAGGCAGATTTACAGACTTGTTATTGGGCACATGCGCGGCGGAGCGAGTGGGTTGCGGGAAATGCAAGCATCTGTCGAGATTGTCCGAGCTGCCCCGCCGTCACATTCTCGATCCGCCTCACTAGACCCGATAACTCTGAGAGACGAAGAGAGAGTGGCCATTGATGGTACGATTCTCCGAGTTCTCGGATGAGCCTGTGGTGATCTATTCTTTGTAGATAGTTACGACGGTTTTCCTCTCTCTCCCCTCTCTCACTCTCTCTTGTCCTTCTTCGTGTCGGCCAGCGTCACATGCCGTAGGTATAAGGTACCCTACCTACCTACCCGCACAGCATACCCACCTAATACTAGCGAGGAGGGAATAGTTGCTGGTTTCGGCGCGCATACAACCATGTGTATGTGTGCAGCACACCTGGTGGTACGGACCGTAATCTCGACTTCCCCTCTTTCGAGCAGGTACCTACCTAGGCCTAAGTAGACAGACATATCGATTGAAACTGATGACTGTAAGCTTGGGGTCTTTTCGTCCGACGGGAATGTAAGGGTAAGCCCGGAGACAGGCAGGTAGGTGGGTGAAGATAACCTCTTATGTCAGAGGCTCGGATCGGTTCCGTATCGCCTCCCTATCTCCTAGTGTTCTACCTAGATAGGTGTTCTCGCTAATAGCGTGGGAATTGCAACATTAAGGCAACCTACAGAAGCATGCTTGCTTTTGGGAGGCGGAGCCGTTTAGGCTGGGCGGAAAGCGTTTATAAGTTTTATTTTCCTCCCCTAGAGCAGCGTGAGAATGAGATGTAGAGGTCTAGGCCGGTCATTCGTCATCGTGCACGTCTGAGGTCTATGCCTAGGTCTACTTAGTAGGTAGGTCTTTTTTTTCTGGTTGTTTCCCCCCTTCTCGGGCATCGTATCGGCCTGTCACAAGCCGGAATTCGAGGGGACTGCTGCGGGTTTCAGTCGCACTTCGGTCAATAGCAGCGCTGGGCGACAGCACTGATCCCATACAATACATTCGATCGTGCACGGGCGGTAGAGGAGCGGTGGTAGCCATTCCGCAGTGGCGCCGGGGCGCAGACGCCGCTCTGGGCGGCAGCGAGGACGAAGTGCCCGTCCTACTAAGCGGATGAGATATCCTGCATTGGAGACAGGTTGCATCGGCCATGTGACCTCTGCGTATTCGCTTCTGCGCCTTGACATGTGTGAATAATACACCGACCAGGGGAGGGGGGGCCAGAGGAGACCGGGCGTGACAAATCCCTGCTTACATATCGACTCTGTCGATGCCAGCGGAATATAGAGAGACGACCACGGTCTGAGGACCATCGTAGCTATCTAGAGCGAATTTGCATCGCCCACATGGTAAGCCCCGTTGATGTGTATCTCCGAGATCAGACATCCCGCCCTGGCCGGCACAAATTAGAGAAGTATAAATAGACGTGTGCATGCCTGGTATAAATAAACAATTCGCCGGCGGCTACTTCGATCCCTCATGTGTATACCCGCGAGGGGATCCGGCTGACCCCTCCTTTCTGGATTTGATTCGGAGATTTATAGATTGCTTTCAAGAGGTGCCGCGTCCCGGAAAGGGATCCTGCGGAAGTCAGGTCCGGAGGCTGGATGTCTGTACATCCTACTGGGCGCGCACATCATCATACCCGGCGAGGCGCATCTTAATCAGGAACGAGAAACGGGAGCCAGGGCAAGCAGCCGTCCCCGGCGCAGTGGTGGCTCAACGGCCTCTCTCACCTTACCCACACAGGGCCGATTCTACCGCACGCTCCTAGTTTTGGGCAATTTAGGCTGTCTTGATGGATGGTGGGTGTAGAATTTTTATCATGTACAGGAGTCCTATGCCGTCGACGCCGCCATCAAATGATACATTCCGGGTCTGTATTACCACACTAGCCTTCATGTCCTCGGCGAGCATCCGTTCTGACGTTCGCTAGCAATCTCGATGCCCAAACAAAAAACGCCAATACCGCCGGAGCGAGAGTCCGGGGGGATAACTGGAGGCCGCAAGCTAACCGCCGACGGCTCTACTGCGTCTTGAATAATAGGATGGCGCAGTGCCCTAGGTAGAAGTAGATGAAGTGCTTTGTCTCTGCAGCTAGGATCAGCACGCGCACGAGCCTAATAACCGAAATCCCTCGGTGCTGAGTATAGACAAAGGTGGCATTGCAGACATACCATGGGTAACGAAGCTTCCGAAGTTCCTCCCCACGATGCAGTGCCAGGTGGGACCTTTTCGCTCGTCAAACTGTTAATCGTCATTTAGTATCCCCTGCCGACCGGGTTCGATCTCTCGGACGTCGAGCTCACCGTTCGCTTGATATGCTGGGCAATGTCCTTCTCGATCGTGTACTTCCCCATGGCTTCCTGGGCTACGTGACCAGCGTCAGAACCAGAATGTGTAAATAGACCGGCAGCGCCGAACCGACCACACGTACCGACGTCAATTGCTTCCTGCTGCATGTCCTCTGTCTATTGCTACGTTGTCAGTTCGCAGTGGAGATATATCCTCGTTCTCTAGGCAATCCTAACCATATCTGCCGATTTGATCTGAGCTGCAGGGCGGAGGAGAGAGACTCGTTAGCTAAACCACACCTTCGCGACCCGGTGCCGGGAGGCAGGGAAACCGACCTTCGAGCTTATCACGGCCATTAGCCGGCGGGGGCGACTGTTGTTCCGTCATCGTCATATTCTTGATTCGTGGCTATCGGTCTTGGAATCGTTCGACGCGAGGGCTCTTTAGCAGACGATATCATTAGCAAATACGGCCCGAGACCCGGGGTAAAAGGTAGAGGAAGCGCGGAGGTGCGAGAGAGCGCATTAACAGTTCTGAAGAAGGCCGGGGATGAGCTAGGGGCGGGAGGGAGGACGAGCAAAAGTGTGCGTGAATCTGTGCGCGTGTTGGCTGGGACAAACCTGGATCTGATGGCGGCCTCGATGACGAGATAGTACCTAACAGGGCGGGTTGGATGATGAGCTGCGGTTACTATGGGCGGATTCTGGTGTCTGGTGTCTAGGATTTGTAGAACCGAGTCAGGCGTGAGTTCTTGGCTGGTGAGGCGCGGGTATTGGGGGAGTCTGTGCCCAAATGTCGCGTGTTTCTAGACGGCTCGAGAAGCGTGAGATGCGGCGTGCAGCGATGGACCAACCATCGGCCTGGGCGGGTTTCCGGGCTGAGGAGGGCAAAGGTACATGCAGAGCGTACCTATATATATAAGGTCACGACGTACCTGTGTACACCCAGGTACGCACAGGCCATGTTGTCTGCCTTACGTAAGGAAATGGATACCTACTGGGTGATGGGCTCCGGTAATGGTGGAAGAGCCGCAAGTGGAGATATTATCTAATCATCTTGAGTGTGTGTTATCACGTGAAGATAAGGCGTTATCATCGACCGCAAGACATTTCTTGCCTTTTTTTCCCCCTAAAAATAAAAATATTCCACCACTTTGCCTGTGCACATATATGTCTATATCCGTATCCCCTTCCCTTCACCAGTCAGCGCTGCCACAACCACGACGCGTTGCTGTATCCTCCGACACTCTACCGCCATGATCTAAAATGCAGGATAAGCCATAGCGGTGAGACGTTAAAAGTTAGCTGACCACGGCCTCGAGATACGCTCTGCGACTTAACATTCTCCGAATTGCGTACACCCGACGACCTCACACAAAACACCATGGATTCGTCGCGAATCTTCGTCAAAGGTCTGCCACCAAATCTTAACGAGGCCGACCTGCGCAAGCACTTCGCATCCAAGGGCCAGATCACAGACGTCAAGCTAATACCTCACCGAAGGATCGGATATGTTGGCTATAAGAGCCCGCAGGAGGCGGCGAGTGCGGTCGATTATTTCAACCGCACCTTTGTGCGCATGTCCAAGATAGGTGTTGAGTTGGCCAAGCCTGTTAGTATCTAGACCTAGTTGTTGGAGTCAGCTCGCATGGGCTCATTGATGCTTATAGATAGCCGATCCCTCCTTGCTTCGAACGAAGCAACGGAAAACGGGACGAGCTGTTGGAGGTGCCTCCGCGGCCGCTCCGGCGTCTGGTTCCACGCCTGACGCAAAGCACGAAAATGCGAAGAAGAGAAAACGAGATGCGCTTGACGAATCCAACCCGAAGCTGCAGGAGTATCTCGGCATCATGCAGCCCGCAAAGACATCGGCCAACAAAATACACGGCGTTGTGCCAATGTTTTCAGATGAGCCCCCGACCAAGATGATGGCCGCTTCTGCTGAAGGAGGGGGATCTGATGACGAATATGAGACTATCCCGAGTTTCCAAAAGAGAACCGGACCTTTTAAGAACAGCAACGAGGGACAGGCTTCTACCGAGAATACAGTCGGCACCTCTCGGAGGGAGGATGTGGTAGTCGAAGGAGCGACGGGAGGACGAGCGGTATCAGATGTGATGGACATGGATTTAACTGAATCCAGCTCTCATTCTACCGCCGCTGCCGCTACCGTCGCTGCCGCCGCTACGGACGACGACTGGCTGCGATCACGGACAAACAGGCTTCTAGACTTAGTTGACGCTGAGGATGTTGTATCTAGTGTAGTGCCGGCCGAGATCCTGCCATCAACAGCACCAAGTGAGGAACAAGACGAAGCCGAGGTCGTCGACTCAACCCTCGATGCGAGCGGGATCGCGAACAACCAGAGCAAACCACCAAATCCCGACGAACTTAACACGAGAAACAGCGGTGATGACGATTATGATTCAATCCGAAGGACCTCGAGATTATTCGTGCGAAATTTGCCGTACTCTGCGACAGAAGAAGATCTGAGATCGTACTTCGGACGATACGGTGACGTCGAGGAGGTAAGATTTGGTTAATTCTTAGTAACTCCGGCTTGGTTTGATCTATGATGAACCCCAGATAGGGACAGCTGATACCTTTGCGTATCCGATGAGAAACCCTGGGCCAGTATTTTAGTAGATGCTTCGTGTCTGAGATCCATCCCTTGACCAGTTCTCGTCACTTCTCTGATTTTCATTCCTGCTAAAATTAACATAGGTTCACGTGCCAATGGACGAGGCGAACGAAAATAACCGTGGAATCGGCTTCGTTTTGTTTACCAGCTCCGACGACGCAGCCAAGGCGTTTCAAGCCGATCACTCCTCTTTCCAAGGAAGAATATTGCATGTGCTCCCAGCATCGGCAAAACGTGATCAGACTCTCGATGAATTTGCGCTGTCCAAACTGCCACTGAGGCAGCAAAATCTAATTCGGAAGAAGGCGGAGGCAGCCGTGTCGAGATTCAACTGGAATTCTCTCTACATGAGTCAGGATGCTGTCAATGCGTCCGTTGCTAATCGTCTAGGCATCTCAAAGGCAGAACTCCTTGACCCCACCAGCTCTGACGCAGCTGTTAAGCAGGCAATTGCCGAGACGTCTACGATTCAAGATACAAAAGCGTACCTCGTAGCTAATGGTATTGATTTGCACGCCTTCAAGTCCGGGCCGCGAGGAGACGAGGCGGTCCTAGTCAAGAATTTCCCTTACGGCACTACTATTGAGGAAGTTAGGAGCCTCTTCGAGGAACATGGACAGGTACTGAGAGTACTCATGCCGCCCGCCGGTACAATTGCCATTGTCGAGTTTGCGCAAGCTCCTCACGGAAAGACTGCCTTCGCGAAATTGGCGTACCGCCGATTCAAGGATTCCATATTATTTCTTGAAAAGGCGCCCAAGCACTTATTCACTAGTAAACACGCTACCAAGGAATCCCAGCGTGAAGCAGCCGTGGCAACCGAAGCACCGGTTGGCGCGCAGAAATTGTCCGTGTCGGAGCTGCTTGAAAGACATGATCAAGAACCTGTCGAGTTGGCCTCGCTATTTATCAAGAACCTCCACTGGGATACCACGACCGCCGAGCTGGCGAACGAATTCGCACGTCTCGAAGGGTTCAAGTCGGCTCAAGTGAAGACAAAAAAGGACCCCAAGAAGCCCGGCCAAGTGCTCAGTATGGGATTTGGGTTTGTCTCATTCTCTAACAAGGCGACCGCGGAGGCAGCCCTCAAGACCATGGACGGCCATGTTCTCCGAGGACACGCACTCCAAGTCAGGGCGTCGCATCGCGGGCGTGACGCAGCCGAGGAGCGCAGACAAGAAGACCATGCGAAGAAGGCTGCGGGTCAGAGGACGAAGATTGTGATTAAGAACGTACCGTTCCAAGTCAACAAGAAAGACATCCGAACGCTTCTAAGCACATATGGACAGCTCAAATCAGTCCGCATTCCTAAGAAGTTCAACTCTACCAGCAAAGGTTTCGCCTTCGCGGAGTTTGTGTCACCAAAGGAGGCCGAGTCGGCGATGCTGGCGCTGCAGGACACTCATTTGTTAGGACGCAGGCTTATCCTAGAATACGCAGAGGCCGAGGTGATTGACCCAGAGGAGGAAATCGCCAAAATGCAGAAGAAAGTTGGTAGTCAAGCCAACCGTGTAGCGCTGCAACAGCTCACAGGGGGGGGCCGCAAAAAGGTGACCCTAGGAGACGACGAGGACGAAGGGGAGGTCTAAAGGGGCAACTAATGTGTCTATAATTCCACCCTGTCCCTGACTAGGTAACCGAAGGAGTCCGGGCATTGCCACGTTGGGAGCTAGGGATTGTGGCTCATTGGGCGGGATCGCATCCCTTGGTAAGGAGAAGGCCCTTATTGCCTAGTTGATCGCCACTTTTTGTGAGCGCAGGAGAAGTTCGATGCTGCAACACACAGGCAACTCGCGATACACTATCCCTCCCCCTCCTTCGAGGGCGACTCTTTGACAACCCCTCTCGGCTGAATGACTACGAGTCCTAGACCTGGTGGTGATCCTCTATAACCGGTACCTTAATCAAAATCACATTCCCCTGCGACCCTCGCCGACGCCCGTCTACTAGCGGCGCCCTGAGACAAGTGAGAGAGGAAGGAAAAAAAAAAATCTACCTCAGTAACGAAGTGAACATTCCCGCTGTAAGTCGATTGTTATCGCTATTGCTCGTCATTGCTACCTTCATCCTAGACCCCTTACGTTCCAAAGGCACGCGCAACTCGTGGACGCGACGTCATGCACCCTCTTCATCGCTTCATTTTTCTGGATCATGGCGTCGGTACTATGCGCCGCATTTTCTTCAAGGCGCCCTTGAAAGCGCTCTTGGCGGGGTCTTCTACCTAGGGCATCAATATCGCTATCGGGGTGCACACTTATTGCTATACTCCTGGATGGGGAGTCCGGCGATGGGAAGAGGGTAGAATGTGAACCTCATAATATATATCGATCTTCAGTTCTCATGCCAGAGGTCCTCTCCAGAAACTCATCCCCAGTCATAATCGTAATAGGTATTCTCTACCGCTGCCATTCCTGTTGACATATCTTATCCTGCCTCCCAACGTTCTTGGGCACTCTCAAAGGCATTCTTTAGAATTCGCCATTCTTTCCTGGAGCATTCTTATCATCTTCTCCCCCATACCACCCCTTCAATGGAGCATTCACGACCCATCTTGCCATCTCAGCGATATTCCCCAGTATCAGACTATGCCTACGATACCGACCATGAAGGGTTGCCGTTAACACGCCGGCCTCTGGGCGAATCTACAGGCAACGTCCAACCGCATAGTCTCGCGGCCTTGGCGTTGTGCAGTCACTCCATATCCCCTCCCATTCATTCCATCCCAACACCACCCATAGTCCCTACGCAGGTCTTGACTTCGACCTATGGGACAAGCTACCGAGGCGGACGTTCTTTTCAACGAGATGCATCATTACGAGAATCTCCAATGGGTTATTCACGGGGCAGCAGCAACCCCATCTATGCTTACAAGCATTTCGCCGACTATCGTAATAAAGTAATGCAAAAGGAGCTCGAAAAGGAGCAACCGATATGGCCACTCTGGTTGGAAGATGCCTTTCTCGACGGTGAGTAACTACCGAGATGGATGAAGGGCCCTGAGACCTTCACACATGCTAACTATCCCCACAGCCCTTCTCCTGATCCCACAGATGGGCCGAAAGAAGTTCAGCTCCAAGACTATCCTATACGGTCGGAACATGCTTATTACTGAATACCTTTGGATCTACCACTGGTTACTTCACCCCCCGAAGCATGGCGAAGTCATCCCCAATAGACAGCAGAGGGAGAAGGGACCAGGCGGAAAGCCTCACCCTATGTACAGGGGAAGGAAGCAGGTGTCAAGTCACATCCAAGTCCTCAAAGGGTTCTTTGCAACCTTGGTCACTTGTCAGTAGTGACATGTCGTTGCCTTCTAGCAGATACACTTGAGCTAACAGTTGCTTCACAGTCCACTTCATCTTCCCTAGCAAGAGGGACGCAAAGGAAGACGACAAGAAGCTAATGAGAGATGACGACGATACGGAATCCTTTAAGAATAACCGCGTGCTCATTTCAATAGCCGACGGCCGTCTCCCCAACGAACGGCCCAACTATGAATACTTTGCGCGTCTCCTCGGGGCAGACAACGACGTATTTCTCCGCCCCAAGCAATGCTGGATCTTCGTTTCATCGTCTCAAGTCAACATTAAGGAGAAGCATATCAAGGCTGATGACGGTACGACGAAGAAGCAAATTACTGGGTATACACCTAATGGCCAATGGCTCGGAGAGGCTGATTACCCCCACCTGAAGCTCAACGAGGGCAAGGATTACAAAGATCTCCCCCGTAACGGAGACCGCCCGACCGTACTTCTACATGAATACACCAGAGCGCTCTCCCAAAAGGAATCGTCATCGGCTAAAGAGATTACTAACAGATGGGACGTCCAGTTCCCGGACCTAAAGGAGAAGCTCCTCACAGCGCTGAACGACACCCAGCCGTCTGACGAGCGGACCTCACGTTGCGTGGTCGGCCCTTGTGATACGTTTCACTTTGAGGTGACGCTCGACTTACACTCGACGTCCAAATTCCCCGATGGGTCGGAGCTCAATGGCATGGTGGAGTTGTCCATCAGCCGACCCGAACTGCATAATCACACCTGGAGGTCAGTGACGTCTGTTATGAAGCCCGACGAGCTACACATTTCGGGCTCGGAGCCCGACTTTTGGGACCGCACGAACCCCGTCGAGGTGATCGTCTCGCATCGCGTCGGATGCAACGGCGTAGGGCGATGCGACTGCGCCGGCCGCGGTAGTCGTGACACTATCGGCGTGCCATTTCCAGCTGCCAGCTGGGCTAACACGTTCATTAAGCTCGCCCCGTATGTCACCGCCGAACAGGAGCGGAGAGAGAGAAAGGGGGCCGACTCGGCGAGGGGTTCCCGGCCGACGCATGCTGACCGTGAAGCCGCGCGTATCAAGAAGGAGGACGACGAATCGTCGCGTAAGCCGGGAGGGAATGGTAAGATTCCCACCCCCAAGGAGCTCCTCTCCAAGGTCGCCATGTACCAAGAGATTTGGTCAGCGCCTAACGATGAGACCGGAAAGTCCGGGTGGGTACGACGCGCCGTCATCTTGTGGACATTCGTGCCTGTACACGAGCACACGGACGAGAAGGGCAAGACGGTGATGGTGGCACCAGGCACGAACTGGAGGTTTCTCACCAAGGTTGACCCGACCTCAGAATACCACCAGCAAAGAGCGTACCTCTCGGGCTCACCGTCCGTCTCCCGCGACAGCGTCATGTCACCCAACCCCGGATACCAACACCATGTCAACGCTGCGATGCATGAGAACCTGAGTGCCGCGTTTGACGCGCCACCTCCCATCGCCCCGGCCCCTATCCTGCCCGGGAACCATCATCAACAATCCCGTCAACCTCCACCAGACCCACAACACCGACTCTCCACCCTAGACATGCTCGATTCTTTCGACAACGGCCTTGTCACCCCTCCTCCGACAGCTTCGCTCCACGGTAGCTATCCGCCCCACTTCCACGACCCGAACACTGCCATCAACAATGGTGGCACTGAGCATTCCCTACACCACCAGCTGAGTTTTATTTCTGATGGCACAAGCGGTCCCGAAATAGCCCCTGAACGCGACAGCAACGCCGACCCTTTCCTCTCCGGCCTCGGAGTAGCCGGTTCCCAATGTGATCCCAATCTACAGAACTGGACAGCCACCTCACAGAACAGCAGTGCTGCCGGGCTCGGCCTGGATCCCTCCACAGGCTGGGGACCAGGGTACGGGGTCACCTGGGCCGATACCACCGCCCTAACGAGCGCGACTACCAGCGCGGGCGCGGGCGAGCCTCTGTGGGCAACCGCCCCGGGGATGCCTGCTTCGGCCCGTGACAGCATCAGCACATCAAGCTCGTCACACTGGGCCGGTGGCGACGACAGAGACGCCGGCCTCCACCCGCATAGCCATTACCCACCGCCCGCACCACTCCATCCGGACCAGCACGGCGACGGCGCCTGGCCGGTGTGGCCGACCGCCGACCCCTCCGCCATCGCCCCGGGGCCCTGGGCCCTCAGCGACGCGCATCACTACCCCCTCAACCTCGGCGACACCCCTCCAGACCTGGCCCCGTCGCGCTCCTCGGCACTACCACACGCACACCCGCAGCGCCCGCACCAGCACCCGCACCCGCACCCGCACCCGCTTCCCCCGGCGGCAGGGCGCAAGCGCGGCCGCGCAGAGAGCGCCGACGACGACGACGACGAGCGCGCGAGGTACCCCGCCTACTCGGTCCGTAAGCTATCGCACCAGCACAGCAGCGCGCGGACGCCAGCCCAGCGGCCGGGCGCGCCCGCAGCCGTGATGGACGACGGCCGGGGATACCTCTAAGGCACACGGGCAACCGCCAGGGCGCTCCCACCACCCCGCCGTTGCCACGAAGACGTCCGACATGGCCTGATCTGACCTTCTCCCGCGCGTACGCACCCCTCCCATCTCCCTCTCCCTGCTACGCCCATCGCCTCCTTTCCCGCCGGCCCATCGGTCCACCACTCTACCTAATACGCGCCTGGCGTCAGTTTCTCTTCTTCGCCCTTCGCATCCGGAACCATGCTCGCCCGCCACGGCGCCAAGTGTAATTACCTCTCTCTCCCCTCGGGCGGCTGGGGCCGGGCGCGCGAAGGGCGGGTATATCGGGTTGTGGTTCGACGGCGCGGCTGCTTGCTCTGCCGCCCCCTCGCCCACGCTCCTCTTCTACCTACCTACCTACCTACCTACCTACCTACCTAACTCACGACTTCTCTCTCAAAAGTTGGCTCCCTACACGCAGGCCAGGGCGGCTATCACCGGTTGGTTGGCGTGGGACGTGCCCGGGACCTTTTTTCTTCTCGGAAATGAACTCTTAATATGGCCTTTTTTTTTTCGTTCTTCGGGACTTCTTGAAGTCCCGCTGGTAACCTCCCGTCTCCAACCGTCTTCTCGTCGGCGGCTAGGACGGGTCTTATGCAGGTGCCTTTTTTACACTTTGGCGGGAATTGGGTTGTCTTCCTTTCTCTTCTCGCATTGTACCATCGATCACGGGGACTTTTGGCGGTCCCCTCTGCGGCGGTTTTGGGCGGTGGCCTTGGTGGCCTCCCTTGGGTCCAGGATTTGGTCGGGGTGTTCAGGGTAGGAGGCGATAGCGTGTTCGTTTCCTTATTATCTTGGTATATAGCATATATACATTGTCGTCAGCTTAACCCGCCTCCCGCATCCTTATCGATTCACCGTGACTTTCTTCCTAGCTGTGTCGCGATACGCTTGGCTTCGTCCCGGCCACATGCTCTTCTGTCCCTCTCCCTTCCTCGCCGCAACCGGCAGGGACCTCACGTTGGCCTCTTTCGAAAAAAAAATTTTTTTTTTCTCATTGCTGCTCGTGACGTTGACGAGGGAGGTCGGTGGGCAGGTCAAGATAAGTGCTACTACGTGTATAATTACTTCGTGAACGCCCGCGCCTCCCCCTCCCTCGCCCCTGAATATCTTCACGTGCAAACGAGCAGGAAAAAGAGGGAGAGGAGGGAAAAAAAGGAGGGAAAAAGGAAAGGGCAATCAAGACAGCGGGGGCTCTGCGAGAAATATTAGGTACCTAGCCGCTGGGGTGCCTTCAGACATGTAAGGCCGAGGAGATGGGACGCACTGCGCTGCGAGTCGGAGATCTCGGCCGCGTCTCGAGCGCCGTTGGGGTGGGTTGCGTGCTTGGGTTGCTGGGGCGAGTAAAGTCGTATCCACATCTGCTCGGCAGGGGTTGTCGTTGTCGGGTCGCCTTGGGGGACGCGTCTTGGCGTGCTGCGAGTGTGTGTACCCAGGACCAGGAAGGACACAGTCAATTCTTCGCGCAGAATCGAGGCTTCTACTGACTCAACTTGGACACTATTTACTATTCTTTAGGTACTCTTTTGATCGCGGCCTACCTGCGCAAGCCACCACGGATGACTTCCTCTCACCGGTGAGCGCCGAGATGGGATGACTTTCCGAGCCAAGCAATAAGTGGCCAAAATAGAACCGTCGATGATGTATATTATTGCCTATACCGAGGTCGAAGTCCGATGCAGGGTAATGTTGTAATTTCGCGGGTATCTCGTGACCGGGCGGCTCCGCGATGCGGCGCTTACAGGATTCATTCCCGTATGCGCGCAATACCTACTAGGAGCCGCGGAACCAGAGCTTGCTCTCCTATGTTTCGCGGGCACGTGGGTAGAAGGAGAAGAATAAAAAAAAAGAAACCCCTCCGAACATCAAAGTGGCTTTCCCGTTTGGGTTTTTCTTCTTTTTTTCTACTTTTCTTTTGGGCCCTCTCCCAGGTACGGCGCGTCGCCGCGCGCGGCGCTTACTGTCCGACGAGAATGCGAAACAGGGCGGCGGCGTCTGTCGGGGAAATTACTCGTGCTAGATAGGGAAAATTAGCGAGAGAGGGATACGCACGCGCATACACGTACGCGCATAGAGGTAGACGGACAGAGAGAAAGCGATAAAGAGAGAGAAGAGGTGGAGAGGACAGCGCAATAAGACCCAGGTATGCGGTAGCTACCTACCTACCTACCTATACCCAGGCTAGGCACAAGAATCTGCGCCAAGATGCAGCGCCAACTCCAGCCAACCGGAGCGACGAAGCTGGGAGAGTACCGGGAACGACGTTACATCAGAGAGCCAGGGCCGATTTTCGTGGCGGCGGCGGCACCACATTCGCATCGTGTAAGTGAGTCAGAGTAGGCGAGCAGCGCGGAGCACAGCGAGACGAGGCCGTCATCTTCCTACGTAGTACGTACGCAGATAGCTGGAGCTAAGGTCCCCAAGGTAAGAGGCCATGTCTTGGACGTCTCGGAGAGCGCGAGTGCGTGGAAGTGGTGTTTCGCATCGCGGCGGACGCGCCAAGGCCCCGCCAGGGAGAGGCGGGCCGTGGACAGCTAGGGTAGACAGCTAAGAGGAGAGGTATAGTAGGTAGGTATGTGTGCAACGCCTAGCAAATTTCTCAGGCGGGGTGGAGGTTTTCTCGGCCAGACAGACAGCCGGACTAGATAGACGCCAGTGCAGGCCAGCTTAGGCATTCGCTGTCGAGGCCCTGAGGTGCCCCGGACGCTGTGTTTGGCGTGCCGCCGCGGCGTCGCTCGACCAGAGGCGCAACGTCTCGCTGCGACGGCGCTGGTTCTCTGTCGCGCTCCCGTCGCGGACCGGGGTCGACAGCGCCCGCTTGATTGGTTTACGATGTAGAGAATCGCGGGTGGGGTGGGCAACTGCGGGGAGGGGGGTGAGGAGGTTGGGGCGTGCCATCTCGAGGGGGGGGGGGTGGATCTACGCAAGCCAGCAACCCTAGTACATTATCGGGGTATCGGAGAAGGACCTGGTACATATACAGATATCAAGCTGGCCAACCTACGTGGTATTTTGTTGCCTAGGGGGATTTCGAATTGATTAGATTTATTGTTTCGGTGCCTTAGGTAATTACGGGTTGATCTGGTCTCGAGGCAAGTGCAGGTGCCTATGTAGCAAATATGTTTGCTATATGAGTAGAGTTTTTGGCAGGCACTTACACGTAAACTCTATAGCACTTCAGGTACGCGGCATCAACCTAGATACTTGACTTCTGATTGGCCCGCCAGAAAGGGAGGAGTCCGCACATGCCTCGTAGTGCCTGCCTGAGGAACGCACCTGCTTCTTAGCTTACGTGTATATACCTTAGGTACCTAACTTATATGAGCATTCCCACCAAATCAAGTGGTTGGATTCTATTACTACGCGCACCCCCGCGTTTGCTTGCTTGCCGCTCGCGTACCAGAAGTACCCCTCTCATACAGTGTGTATACTAGTGTACATGGGTACGTACCAACCCCGTCAATTGGAACTTCGCACAACCCCAACCCACGCAAAACCCGGACAACCACCCCGGAGCATCTCGAGGTATCGATATAGTCAAGTTCGCACCGCAGCCACTGGCGCGCATGTATCCTCACCACCCCAAACCGCCCGGCCGCAACAGACGATGTCCGCCTGTCGCCCGCCATGTGGTCCCTGGCATTCTGGCAGAGGCGGCCGACCCCCCCTGTCGCACTCGGCGAACCCTGCCCGGCTTCGAATCTCGCCTGCTAGCCGGGCGCCATGTTGCGATCTGACTTATTACGTCGAGATGGGCCCAGAACTTCTTCGATTCCTGGCCCCATCTCAGCCTCCCATTCCTCGCTCTACAGCTGTACCGCTCGCCAGCTCTCAGCCATCTCGAGATCAGTCGTCCGGAGGTACTCGCCAGGTATTTCCACCCAGGACGGCAGATGGATAAGGTACCTCCTCCGGTACCTCAGGCTCTTCCCGTCCGTTGATCCATCTGATGCCATTGCCTATCCAACTCACCTATACGCGTGAGTCTTCTCTCCCTCTCCCTCTCATCTCCGTCCCACCCCATCCGCCTCTCAACTTATTACACGGTGCCCGTCCAAAGGCATCCCGAGAAACCAACACACACCTGTCAACTGACCTCCCGGTGAATCACCCTACGGCCCGGTCAGCCCCCGAGATATTGTCTTTCTCACCTACTCATCTTCAGAACTCACACCTCCTCATACCCAGACACACTCATACGCACCCAACCACCAACAGCGTTTGTGACATTGTCACCTAGAATTCACTTCGCCTTCATCAGACATTCACCAGCTGGAGGCCACTTTGTTCCCTCTTTCGTGCCAACTACATAAGGGAAACAATCCACTGCTGGTTCTCCTTTATTCATCACCCCACAATGAGAACAATCATCGCCACCATCTGACACCCTCAACAACTCCATATTGGTCTCCTAACAAAGGATACAGATTCATATTTCTACTCTCGATTCAGTCGATTCGGACCCCCTACGCGGCCCCTGGCGACTTTCCACATCTATCTCCTCACTTCCCCTAAACACATTCACCTATTGTACCTTACATTCTCTTCCTCGAGCCATCCGGCGACATCTTTCACTTCTTTCTTTGTTCGTCTTTTCCCAGGACCTAAGACACAGGTCGATACACAATCCTATTGTTCTGCCACAGGACCCTTTAAAACGCTCTAGAGGCTAAGAACACGTCTCTGGTACTTTTCCTTCTCAGAAGAACCCCTCCTACTGCTTCGTCTCGCGGGCGAGATAAGACGAGAACCACCGTCTGTAGTCGGATCAGATTGACCCCAAACCACATTCCCACAATAGCACGTACTTCTCTCTCAAGATGAGGATTTCGCATTTCACTGCTCTGTCGCTGCTGGCGACCATCCAAACAGCTACCGCTCACTCCTGGGTTGAGCAGGTCCACAAGATCGGCCAGAATGGTGCCTTCGTCGGAGATATGGGCTACCCTCTCGGATACGTCGACCGAGCACAGCCCGACGTCGACAACAACGCCCAGAACAAGATCTTGGACACCAAGTCGAACCCGGCCATCTGCAAGCCCAAAGCGAACGCCTATGCCTCTGTCAAGCGACTCTCCGCTTCCGCTGGCGACGCCGTCGCCCTGGTCTACCAGGAGAATGGACACGTGACCCAGCCTCTGCTCACACCTCGACCCTACCGTTCGGGTCTCGTGTCCGTCTACGGCACCCTGCAGCACGAGGACTCGGACGGCATCAACGACGTGCGCAACGCTTGGACGGCTGACGGCAAGGGCGGAAATGGCAAGGGAAAGCTGCTCGCGGCCCACTTCTACGACGACGGCCAGTGCTACCAGAACGCTGGCGCCGCCAACATCCCCGTCTACAAGCAACGGTCCGCGCAGCACGGCCTCTCCGAGCTCTACTGCCAGACCGACTTCCAGCTCCCCGCCGACCTTCCCTCCTCGGGAATCTACACCGTCATGTGGGTCTGGGACTGGCCGCTGATCCACCCCGACGGCACCAACACCACCGAGATCTACACGTCGTGCGCCGAGATCGAGCTCGGCTCCGCTAAGGCCGGAGGCAAGAACTCCGCTGGCGCCAAGATCCAATTCTCGTCCAACAACCCCATCGACAAGGCGGGCATCGCCTCGCAGCTCGACACGCCCATCGAGGCGACCGCCCTGTTGGGTACGGCGGCGCCCAGCTCGCCGGCTGCCCAGAACCCGGCGACCTCAGCTTCGGCTGTGCCAGTTACTTCTTCTCTCGCGTCTTCCGCCGTTTCTTCAGCCGTCTCTTCTTCCGCTGTCGCCAGTAGCCCTACGACTAAGGAGCGGGGCTCCGGCGGGGTCAAGACCGTTACGGTTACGGCGAACCCCGTCACCGCGACGCAGTGGAAGACGGTGACGGTAGGGGGCGGCGATGCGAGCGCCAGCGCCAGCGCCAGACCCTCGTCCGCCGCGCCGACCGTCAGCGCGCCGGCCCTCTCCGTCACCCGGTTCATGAGGGCGCGCGCGACGGGACACGAGCGACGAGACGCCGATTATGCGTCCTCCTAAGGAGGATTGTCGTGTTGAGTGGGGGGACTGCGTCCCCGCCATTCGTCGGGTCTTCGCTTCACCTTGCACATATTTACCTTGCCCATTCGTTGTCAATACCTAAGCTCCCTCTGCCCCTCTCCCCTTTGGTATCTCCTTTTCTTTCGCCCCTCGGCATTTCGCGGCAATGAACGGCTGGATCTGACATCCCGCGAACGGCATCGGCAGCAGCGGCAGCAGCGGGGTCTAGCTGGCTGACTCCGACGAGCGTACACGATAAAGCACGTTGGAGAAGTGATAATAGAGTGGTGAACTAGATTCGAAACGAAAAAAAAGAAAAGAACTTTAGAAGGAAGGGAAGGGGATGGAGGGGGGGGAGGTTGAGACATAACAAAGGGCGACGAGAGTCCTCCCTTCAATTCGAAGGCCCCTTTTGTTCTCTCTTTTTTTCCCCCTGCTCTTCCTCTTTTCACTTGCGTGCATACATACGTGCATACACACTCGTGCACATACCCATACACACAGATACCCCTCGCTTTGCCCATTTCCAGCGGTAGCATAGAAGCGGATATACTCAGGTCTTAGGTGGGGGGTTACATGCATTTTTCTGCCAGCGTGCCTTTTTTTTTTCCTTTCCCATTTTCCGCGGCACTACTAGGGGCCCACGCCCTCGTGCACAGTACGGGCGTTCTCTCTCGATGATTTCTCCCCCTCCCCCTTTTTCCCTCCGGTCAAGGCTGCTCTTCATCAGCATCGGTATCACTGCATACAGGAGGAGGACGCAGGAGTCCCGGACGGACGGACAGGCGGATATTGCCTTTTTTTCAGGGGCCCGTTTTCTCTCTTTTCTTTTGTCCTCTAGCGGCTTCGCCGCTTCTCTCTTCTCGGAGGAGGAGGAGCACATGTACGCGCGGATATGCCGTCGCGAGCCGCTCACGGGAGCAGAGAAGGAAGCAAAATTTTGACGGAATTCTGGAGCTGCTTTGTAGAAGGCGGCAGGCAGGGTTCCCCTCTTTCTAGGTAGCACAATCGAACCAACTTAAACCAATTCGTTAGTCAGGGGACATCTATCACGCGTGCGGAATCGCTGTCGTCGTCGTAGGGGTTGCAGATGGAGGTCACGGTAGTCATGCTAGCGATGGGGCGTCTAGGAGAGGCATGGAGGGGAGGGGGGACTTAGGCTTTATAGCGAGGAGTTCTCTCGCGCGAGCGAGTCCCGGACGGGCATGATTGATGACTTCGAGCTTCACATCTGGAGCGAATACCGAATGCCTTTGGGAACCTAGTCATCTAACCAACTTCCCGGGTATATATATATGTATATATGCGTGAGTGCGTGGGTGCGTGTGCATGAGGGCGTGAGATGTGTGTGTGCGCGTATATGTGCAGAGTAGGGGAAAACCTGAGGATTCAGGAAGCCATCGATCCACGCCCGGAGCCGTCTAACGCGCCTCCGTATATATGTGCGTGTGTGAGCACCGCACTATTTCCCAATAGCAAGGCATCGATTGATCCGGCGCGCTATACGTAAGTATCGTAGCCGAGCCGGGATGCTGCAGCCCGCATGTGTTGTGTTGTGCATGCGCACCGCCTTTTTCTTTCTCCTTTTTTTCGGTCGTCCCCCTCTGGCCTACCCTCCCTCCTCTTGACCCATCCACGCATCCATCTACCCAGTCAGTCGAGGAGCGCATACTCCGTAGCACAGCGGGCCATCGCACCACCCGCCTCGCGCGGCCCCCTCTCCGAACCAACTCCTCCTCCTCAGAACGCTCCCCCCTCACCCTATACCCTCACTCCGTCCACCTGTCGGCCGCGCACCGCATCCAGTTCGCCGCGACGAGCACGAGGCCGTGGCGGGCCGCGAACGCCGCAGGCGCGAAGCTGCGGCGCTCGACGAAGGCGTCGCCGCCGACGTCAGCGCGCGCCAGCCCCCGCAGCCCCCCCGGCGGCTCCCGGTACAGGAGGGAGAGGTAGCAGTGGGGCTTCGAGCTGCGGGTTGCGGGTTAGCGCGGGGCCCCGAGAGAGAGAGAGAGAGAGAGAGAGAGTAGAGGCCGGAGGGAGAACACGCACTCCTCCTTCGGGCCGGGGCCCAGGTACTCCGTCAGCACCTGCGTCTCGTCGTCGTCGTCGTCGTCCACGGCGGCGGCGGCGGCGGCCCGCAGGCCGCGCACCACATAGTGGCGCCAGAAGGCGAACTTGGGGTCGTCGGGGGTGGGGGCATCGGGGTCCGCCATGACGAGCAGGTACGTCGCGGGGCCGGGGTCCCCGCCCTCGGGCGCGAACGAGACGCGCGGCGGGCGCGCGCACTGCCGCGAGCGGAAGAGGGTCGCGCCCAGGTCGACGGCGGCGGCCTCGCCGGAGGGCGGCGAGGCGAAGACGACGTCGAGGCGCGTCGTCGGCGCAAACGTCGCCGGGATCAGGTCCGCGAGGAGCCCGGCGCCCGGGACGAGGCCGGCGGCCGCGAGGGACGGGAGGAGCGACGGCTCGGCCATGGGTGCCGCTGCGGATGGCGAGGGCGAGAGTGCTCGCCGTAGGTGCGGTGGCAGCAACGGGAGTGCGAGTGTCAAAGTAACAAAATTAGCGGCGGCGGCGGCAGCCAGACCCAGTCGCTATTCTCAGAGGAGAGCCTATGTATAGAGATAAGAGCCGGAGAGGATGCGAGGAAATATGTAAGCGGGGATGCTGTCTTAAACTCCTACGCCCCTTGGGACGGGGGTGAGGGGGGGCGGAGGCGGAGGCAGGTGGGGGGGAGGACCACCGAAGACTGCACCCCGGCCGGCCCCGGCGGTGTTACCCGCGAGGCGGGGACGAACGTTAGTGGTGGAATAAATATGCATACCAATCCCGCGAACGGAAGCTTGGCGACCCGATGGGGGCGGAGATGCCTACGTTGTAACTTGAGGCGTGGGTAGGCAGATATGTATCGGCTTGCTACAAGTCTAGCTTGGATGCCCTGCTCGGCCTTCGGTCTGTTGCCGGATTTGAAATGCTCCCTTCCTTGCCTAGTAGACTCGAAAGCGAGATAAACCCAACCCGCGCTTAATACGTACAGGGTGGGAGTAACACGAAAGCGTTGTGTAAATCCTTTGGAGCCGACCCGGCTGCTTCTTTAAACAGTAGATTCATAACGAGGAGAAAGCCTTCAAAGCCCACGGATGATATCGTGTTACGACATAACAGCACGTCGAAAATAGACGGACTTTCCTCTATCCTATTCATGGGTATACATATCTGGGTAGAAGTGCCCGGGTTTAGCCTGGCGCATCGTGCGGAACAGACCATGTGGTCTGCGACATGTCGAGATGCATGCTCTTAAAGCGACAGCCGGTGGCGGGATCAAGTGATCCAGGTATCGGTCGTTATCGCAGTAGGGATTCAGAGTGGGATGCTAGCGACGAAGCCAGAAGGTGGAGAAGAAGGATAGGCGGCTCGAGAGGCGGTTAGTCGCAGCCTTTCGACTGCATTGCCCCTTATCCTCCGTTAGTAGCACCGATTCTCTCGCGGGAGGCAGTCCCGAGCTCATATTGGAAGGTCCGGGCGATGAAGAGAGTGGGCAGGTTCCTTTCGGCGCTGAAAAACGGCTAGGCAATCTCTGACAACCTATCTACCCTACCCTCTACCATGGAATTTTACGCAGGCACAATGCAGAAATCAATGGGTATCAAGCTCGACGTCGTTGTAGCCGTAGCCGCCTTTGTCTCGGTCGTCATCCGAATCTGATAAGCCGCCGTAGAGGACCTCGCACACTCCGGCAAGCGGGATGTCCATAACCGCATCAGTGCCTTCACTCCAGATGTTCTTCCAGTCGAGCTGCCTGGCCTTCTCCTCGGAGATGGGTTTCCTGTTCGCGTCTAGCCGTATCCGGCCTTTGCTGTCGATGGTGGCGACCTGAGCAGCCTCGTCGACGATGGTCTCGAGCGAGGTCATGGGGAGGGTCAAGATCTCGGTGTTGTAGGCGGCGAGGGCGACGTAGATGTAGACAATGAGCATGACGAGAAATGAGGGGATGGCGAGCGCCCACCATCGGTTGGGATAGTAATAAATGCCTAGGGCGTGCAGGAAGGGCGAAGGTAGATATGACCAGAGGAGGTAGATGAGGAAGGTTAAGGAGGAGAAGAGATAGAGGACGAAGCCGTAGTACTCGTAGGTGGGCACCTTGGGGGATGCGCGCGGCACCGGCTCGAGCTCGTCGTCGGAGGCATCTGGAGTGGTAGGCCGCGAGGGGCGGAGCAGGGACGTTAGAGAGGGAGAGGGCGGCAGTGGCGTCGGAGGTCGGCCGTAGAACGGAGGAGCAAAGTAGTTCTGCTGGAGCGGAGGCGGAGGTAGCGGTTCGTCGTCGTTAGAAGAGGACAGCTCCTCGGACCGGCTGTCTGAGAGGAAGTCTTCGTCGGAGATGAGCGACATGTTGGCCTATCGACCCGGCTTCCAGCTCTGGTATTTTCACATCTGGTTTCCCGAGAAGGTTAGGGGGAGGGCCGGTAAAGTAGCGCTGGCACGCCTTGTCCCTTGGTTTGTCGCTCTCTCCAGTTGCGTGACGTCGCGTTGCTGGCAACTGACGAGGCTTGCGAGGGAGAAGAGGGTGTCTTGGGGTTGTCAGGGGGAAGAGAGTTGGAATAAATACCTGAGGCTAGGTACTTCGCGGGTGCCTCCGCCCAGAGCTCAAATCAGACCTGGACCTGAAGCTACCTCCCACTATTATGTAATTCGAGTTCTGCACGAGCCACGTTTTATTGTCCCACCACCGCGACTGACTTCCATGGATTTGGCATATACGCATACAACTACCTATAATTGGAAGCAACTCAGGTACATGACCTAAAGGATGTACCTAAGGTAGGTACCTACACGTACCTAGGTACCTGACGGTTGTAGAGATGCATGTACCTAAGTACATCCTGCCTCCTCTGGGAGGCTGGAGCTTGCCTCTTTTTATCAAGCAGAACCCATCCCATTGGATTTCCCCGGCAACAACTCTCCCTCCTACACCTCCCCTCCACACCTACTTCCACTCCGTCGCAGGACCATCAAGACCTCGGCGCAGCCATCGCGTCTGCCCAAAATGTCTTCCCAACAGCCGCTGCCGAATACCCAACCGCCGCTCGATGTCTATGGCGGAGGTAAGTAATTATCGTCCTCAGCCTCGCTCCCGCAGCTCTCTTCCGCGCCCTCTCTTCTAGCTCTCCCCTCGCCATCGCTGACAGCGCCCCGCCGCCAGACGAGGTATCGGCCCTGGTCCTAGATACTGGATACTGCCACACGCGAGCGGGCTTTGCCGGCGAAGACGTCCCCAAATCCGTCCTCCCCTCCTTCTACGGCAGCAAGAAGACCGGCGACGGCGAGTCTGCCACGTATCACCATGTCTTCGGCGACGAGTACCTGATTCCGCAGGCCAACTTCGAGGTCAAGAACTACGTGTCGCGTAACGAGAGTGTGGTCGAGGACTGGGACATCGCGACCAAGATATGGGAGCATGTTCTCATCAAACGGCTACAGCCCGAGAAGCCCACCCCGCCGAGCAAGAACGGTCTGAATGACGATCCGTCTCAAGACGGAGAGGGCGATGTTTCTATGGAAGATGTCGAGGAGCAGGAGAAGCCGCTCGCCGAGAACCCTCTCCTGATGACCGAGGCACCGTGGAATTCTGGTAAGGCGCGAGAGAAGGCCATCGAGATCGCCATGGAGAACTGGGGGTGCCCCGCGTTCTGGCTATCGAGAACCTCGGTGTGCGCCGCCTTTGCAGCCGGAAAGGCCTCGGCCTTGGTTATCGACGTCGGGGGCGCAGGTACGAATGTCACCGCTGTTCACGACGGCATGATCTTGAAGCGTTCCATCCAGAAATCTCCCATCGGGGGATTGTGGCTCTCTTCTCAGGTCCGCAGCTTGTGGGACAATAATGACCCCAGGATCGACGCCATACCGTACTACATAGTCGAGAATAAGACTCCCGTCGATGCAGGCGCCCCGGCACAGGCGAAGCTGCGACACTTTCCCTTCGAAATTCACCAGTCATTCCGCGCCTACGAGGAGGAGCGCCTCCTGACCGAATTCAAGGAGTCCGTCGTCGAAGTCTGGAAGGGTCCCGGCAGGTACATGAATCCGGGCAACGAGGATCTGGCGCGATCCCACCCAGGTCGTGTGTTTGAGATGCCCAACGGTTGGAACCAGATGTGGCGCGAGCAACGGTACCGGGTGTCGGAGGGCATGTGGGACGAGACAGCGGCGCTGCCGACGGCCGGCGAGGCGGTCACCAAGGCCCAGACGATCCCGGAGCTGATCCGGGCGGCGATCAACGCCGTCGACGTCGACCTACGACCTAACCTACTCGGAAACATTGTCGTGACGGGGGGCACGAGCCTGACCAACGGCTTCAACGACCGGTTGAATAACGAGCTGCTGGCCATGTACCCCAGCATGAAGGTCAAGCTGCACGCTGCCGGTCTCACGACGGAGCGGCGCTTCGGCGCCTGGATCGGCGGCAGCATCCTCGCCAGCCTCGGCACCTTCCACCAGATGTGGATCTCCCGGAAGGAGTACGAGGAGAACGGCGCCGGCATCGTCGAGAAGCGCTGCAAGTAGACAAAGCTGGCCCGCGTATAATCCCCCTCCCTACGGACGCATCCACACACCGACACACAGTATACCTGCGTATACCCCGAAGATATACCCTGCCCTACCGCTACCACGAATCTCGCGTCCGGGAGGGGAGGAGGAGCGAATGGCTAGCTACACACGCCACGCCCCTCCTCATGACCGAACCTACCCACCTACGATCCCGGGCGTCCGGTGGCCGGTGCCAATGTTTGGCGCTTACCTGACTTGATCGGAACTGCGCCAGGACGGCGTTCTGGAGTTGTAGCTAATACCACTATTGTCACATCCTGCTCCCCCCTGTCACCAAGACGGCCGGAGCAAGAGTTTGGAAGGCCGATGTCGATGGATTCGTCGTCGTCGCCGTCGTCGGCAGGTTCGCGTGTACTCTAGGTCTAGAAGGGCGCAAAAGGAAGATAGAAAAAAATAAGAACGTTTCGTGCACAACGCCTTCGAACTCGAGGCAGGGGGACAGCTGTAATAGTGCCTGTTCATGTTTCCTTTTGGGAGCGGAAGGGGGGTATGATGAGAGTCAGCAGTAGACGGCAAGACATACGAAACGTGAGTGATTCTAGTAGACGGCTTTCTATTCTTATTTTTGGTGGGTGTATGTCAGTCTCTTCCTCTACCTGTCCCGTCTATGAATGAGCATCTAAGAATGGTAATGCCCCCCATCTCGGCCGGTACAACACCCATCTAGCTAGATAGATAGGATAGCCCGCTTAGCCGATCCCGCTTCGCTACCTCGCCCGCTGCACGCAAACGCCGCACACGCCTGCCCTCCGCTCACCACCCGTTCCAGCGCACCCAGACGTCCACGATCTCGTCCTCTCGGCCGGCGCCCCGGCGGCTGTCGACGACGAGGTAATACGGGAAGGCGGCGCCCGCGATGCACGCGTGGTTGGGCCAGATGCGCACGCGCTGGCCGACGCGCAGGGGCACGGCGTCGGCGCGGCGCCCCTGCCAGCGCAGGATGCCGTGCTCCTGGCTGAGGCGCGCGACCTGCCAGCCGCCGTGGGCGGCGGGGAAGCGGGGGCCGGGCAGCAGCGGGGACGGGGCGGCGGCGTGTGCGAGCGCCAGCGCCTCGTCACCCCACGGCGCGACGATCCCCCACCCGCCGTAGTCCTGGCCCTTGACCTCGCCCATGTCCTGGCACGGCTCGCGGCCGAGCGCGATGCACCCGGCGTTGACGAGGGCCTCGTCGGCGCCGCCGTCGCCCCCGCGGCCGCGGTACACCGACGCCACGTCCGCCAGCACTGTGATCCCGATCATGGAGCTGTTGAGGTGCGCGTAGTCGCGGGCGTGCGCCGCCAGCTGCTGCACGTCTAGCGTCGGGTACACGCCGGCGTGGACTTCGAGCACGAAGCCTTCGGCCTTGAGCGATTGTATGAGGGACTTGAGGTGCGCCGTCGGCACTACCGTTAACAAAACCGAGCCGTCGGTTCCGTCAGCACCGCTGGTCTTGCCACCGCTCTCAGTGGCAGCGGTGGTGGCGTCGTCGCCATTGCGGCGGGTTTCGGTGTCAGCCGTCTTGGCTAGGTCGGGATGTTGGATGGTGGTCACGGTCGGGGTGGCCCCGACGGACAGCACGAGCGGCGGATGGTTGCCAGTCCGCTTGTCCCGGACCAAGACGGCGACCTTCCTCAGGGTTTCGAACTCGGCGTTCAGAATCCCCATCGCCTCCCAGTCGCGGCGCGTGGCGTACGAGTGGCCGGCATGGCTGTACAAGCCCAGCAGACGGCACGATCCGGCGGCCTCGGCGCGCAACAATGCGTCGATCGCGGAGTCGCAGTCAGACGTACCCGGGATGACTCCCGCGCGGTGTGACCCAACGTCGACCTTGAGGAAGACGAGAGGGACGTGGCCCCCCGACTTGGCGGCTAGGGACGCGAGGTGGGGCACCTGTTCGGCGTGGTCGACCATGACGACAAGCGCGTCGGGCCCGAGCTTGGCGGAGACGTGGCCCAGCCGGTCGACGCAGGATCCATAGAGGGGAAAGGAATACAGAACCTATATATAGGTGGCGACAATAAAGTTGGCACAGATGCAAGGAAAAGCGGGAGAGAAAGCGGGGAAGAGGAGGGTCCGCTCACGTTCACCTGCCGGCCTTTCTCCTGATACTCCTTCAGTAAGGGGACAACCTTCTCGGCTTCGACGATAGTGGAGACTATGAGATTGACCGGCGACGGACTCGCGTCTCTGACTTGCAATCTCGTCAGCTCTTCGGTCTAGACGAGTTCCAAGCATTAGTCCAGTCATCCCCGCTCGCCCTCCGCCCTAGGCCCGCACCTTGTGAGTTTTGACATGAGCTCTCCAGCTCAGCTGCAGTCGCCGTGCAGCTTCGATCATCATGTTGCAATTCTCCTCGACCTTGGCCAGATCCAAGACGGCAGCCGGGGTGGGAACCTCATAGAGGCTCTTGCCCACGAACTGGGCGCGGAGGGAGTCCTTGGAAAACTGCACGGCCATTGATGATTTTCGCTTCGTGTCCGCGCCTACAACCGATGATGTCTTGGGGAGAGGGTTAAAGTCTCTTGGAACGGGCTTCGTATCAGGTAGCTCAGCAGAACTGGGAAACAGGTGGTCTCCGTGCGGGTCGATCCCACAGGTGATGCATCGTAGGCAGGTAGGTATAACCAGCTCTAACGGGTCCGGGGCGAGCTAAGTGCCCTCTCATTGGCATGCCGCCGGAAACCCCGCCGCGGTCGTAGTAGCGGGTAGAGATGGGGTTCACACGTACTAGGTTATAGTGCCTTGCAGCGCCTATAAAGGATAAGGGCATGTCGCCGAGGCCGGGATGACGCTCTCGTGACCCACTAGACGCGTTTGAGGGCACGCTAAGTTGGGCCGTCACGCACCACGAGAGCCGCCTGCATCGTAAGCAAGATTCATGATGCGACAGGCTCTACGTGACGGCGTCTGTACGTCGTTGTGGCTCCCCCCGGCGCGTACCGGCAATCGAGCCTTCGAGTGTAGGCGAGAGTGCTTAGGAATACCTATCCGAATACAGAGCTGAAGGCCGAAGGCGAGACGGAAGAAGAAGGAGAAAGAAGAGGGGAAAGTTAATGAGAACCTAGCTGGAGTGCCGATCGACGAATGCCTCTGCATGCCTGGCGGATACCTACGGATGTTTTGAAATCGCCGGCGCGAAGTCGCAGACCGGGGGGTTCTGTTAGCCCGCTGCACAACCATGGCGGGGGACGCAAATCAGAGCACCTGACTAGGTAGAAAAGCAACCAGAGTAGCATTGCCGCATCCTACCCGCGTTCCGCCCGCTCGGGTTGAAGGGGTTTGGAGTGCAGAAATAGGGAGACAGACCTCCCAGGTCGTCCTCATTGGCAACGGGATGCTGCCGACAAGCTTACGCTATCACTAGTGAAGATACCTAGGTATGCCTAGTTCCGGAGCCTGCTAGCCTGTCACCACGAGGCGGCAGCGTAGGTAACTGGAGAATCGTAAGAGGTCGCGTAAGCTTGCGAGAAGAATACGGAGGCGATCATTCGCCGCCTCTCTCTTGTCCGGATAGCCAGCATGATTCGATTCGGCCGGGCTCGAGCCGATGGTACCTACTCAACGGCTCCAGAAGGCTGCAGTAGATATGTATCTAGATATCTCTTCACAAGGGCGAGCCTCGAAACTATAGTAAGTGCGTCACGCCAGCGTCGTTACACTGTTGGGTCAGGCATCTGACGACGCCGTCACGTCGAGGCGTAGGTATCCTGATCACTACGCTCCAGCACCAACCAGGGCACTCTTCAGTCACGCCCCAGCTCGTCCCCCAGTCAATTACAAACAGGACCCTTGCGTGCTCGCTGCCGCGCTCGACCTTTCTCGCCGTGTGCTAGGTAAATAGCGGTTGGCGACCTGAATAAGGCTGGCTGGGGACAGGTTACAAACCCAGGTTACAAGCCAGCCCAACTCCCTCCGCTGAGCCCGGTTCATGCCGAGGTTTACCCTTGTCCGCTGATAAGGGCAACAGGAATTTCCTCACACGCCCCTCCCAACCATAAAAATCAATCGATTTGAACATGTTTCACGTCTTTTTATTATTATTGCTGTGTACCCAGGTAGCTTAGGTAATTGATCCAACCCTACCCTAACCTGGGCTGGTCTGTAACCTGGAGCCAATAATGTCTTTTGTGGGAGGTGCCCACAGGGCAGGATCTATATTGGTCTTGGCCTGCAACGCCTCCCGGCACCTTGCAGTAGGTGAGACGACACCAACATCGCCATTCGCCGTTGATGGCCGCACTACCCTGGAAGGATCCTCTGGGCGGAATCGTCATCGAGAGGCATCCTACACCAGAAACCTCCGTTCTCTCGTCCGCCCTTTCCAATCCCGATGTCTTCCACGACCGTATGGAAGAAGTGGGCAGAGTCTTCGGCCTGTACCAGCCGAACGCAGTACCGGACGACACGACCCGGGTACTAAGGCACGCCGTGGACAACCTGCCGAAACTTGGCAGCCTCCAACTTATCGGAGAGATTCTGGAAATCGACCGCGACCATGAGAAGCTCCGGCAACTGAGAAACTTTTTCGTAGACGCAGTGCTAAAGCCGAGTTCGTCGTTCTTCTGTCTGGCCCCAAGGTTTCTGCTTGCTCGCTAACTGCTATGCCAGTCGGATCGACGACAGGGAAAACCGCTGTCCCCTCTCGTCGTTCAGCCGACTCCGACGAGACCGTCACAATCCTATCGGGAATGGAGGTGTCGACGCGAGATGAACAGCGAGCACTCAAGCAGAACTGTTTACGCAGGGATGGTTATCGCTGTATGATTTCCGGAAAATTCGACTTGCCCTCGAGACAGGACGAATTATACCATCCAAATCCTGGAGAGATCGGCAAATACACAATGCTGCCACATTCTCCCATTTGCTCTTAGGAGATTCAATGAGGCGAATGCGATGGAGGTATGCCGCTTCCTTACCTTGTCTTGTCTCCCTTCTGTTCTTATTGGAAAGCATGCTCATCATATGGAGACAGGCAGAGACGAAAGCAAGGATTTGGTGGGCGCTGAACCGGTACTTCCCTTCGCTTCGTGGTAAAATCGACGCCTCCAGTATCAACCAGGAAGCAAACGCCATCACCTTGTCCGTGAGTTTCCATCAACTGTTCCGGAATTTCAACTTTGCACTTCAGCCAACGGTTTGTCAGACCTACCCTGCGGATGGCTCCAAGAACACATGTGCTGACACGTCATTTTAATGCTCTTACAGGGAGAAGACAGCAGGTATCGAGTTCACACTTTCGCTTCCAATTTGGAACCTGTCACGTAAAACGTAGACGCCTACATTTACGCTTTGCGGTATGTAGGCATATAAGGGCTGGTTCAATTGCCACGTGACAGAACCCTTACCGCAATTTGTCACCATTACCTCTCACGACCTTACTGTACCTTTGCCCGACACAGACTTCCTATCCGTCCACTATGTAATAGCCAAGATTCTAAACATGAGTGGTCTCGCCTGGAAGATCTCACGACCAGATTGGCTTGTCGATCAAGTTGACACTATCAGCCCAGATGGTTCCACCGACCTGGGTGAGGTTCTCAACAGGCGGCTGCTAATTGGCATTTAGCGTCTTTTAGACAGGAAGATCCGAATCATTTGGAGGCACTAGAAAGCTGAGGCTTGGCTCAGAGCGGCGTAACTCAGGTTCGCGTCCGGCGCGGCACAGACATCGTACTGTGTAGGTAGTTATGCCTCCGCCAGCCCCTCTCTCGCCGCGCTGAAGAGTTCCCGGCGATCCTGGGGATCGGGGACCGGAGCGCCATACTAAACCAGATCGCCCCCCCGCGTATGGGCCATGGCCTCGAGGCCTACCCTGACTCATTTAGGACTTGGGGCGCCAGAAACCAGCAGCGGCTGATCGACTGGGCGGCGGGGGACGGAGGGGAGAACGTCCTCCACCACTTCACCCGCCAGCTGGCGCGGGTACCAACATGCCTCGATGGGCGGGGAGGGCAGCGCTTACTGGCTGTCCTCCCGGGGGACCCGCGGCCCATCGCGGGGCCTCAGCAGAGAGCAGGTGCAGAATTAGCCCTTATAAGCCTACATACTCAAGTCGTAGAATGTACCTAAGCCTCTATAACATAATAATATACCTATATTTTAACACCTAAGGAATAGGAAGATACCTAGTAGTGTAGGTACCTGGGGGAATAGAAGACGGTGGACGGCAGGAGTGATTAAAAATATTTTTTCAGAAGGGGTAAAAGATGCTGAATTTTCAGGATTTTCTGTGCCAGGCAGGTGATGATGATGATGGTGATTTAACGTCTCACGGGAACTATAACACCGGCAGCTAGGTACATGTAAAACGGCGGCTGCCTATTCGCCCGTTTAGTCGGAGCCTCCCCAGGAGACGGTCGGCGATCTCTAATCCGTATGTTTAGCCGCCCCCTTCGCGGTCGGCCCCCCCTACGGCTAGAGGTCCGCGGAACCGCGCCAAATATCTACCTAGCGTTACCTATAGTTCCTCCATACTAGCCTCTAGGGTTATGAGACGGGCCCGCGACGGCGGCGGAGCTAATGGTATGGAGGTACTAGACTGCTAGGAAAAGGTGCTACCTACGCGGAGCTCCCGCTAAAAACCTATGGTCGTTCTCCGCTTAGGCTCGTGGCCTTGTTGTACTACCGACCGAGGTCGGTGGCCCTTTCGTAGCTGGGCGGGCTATACGCGCCTGTGTCCGAGTACGTTCGGTATCCCTGCGTATGTTGTGCCGACCTCGTTGGCCGAGGTCGGGAGCGTATCGGTCGGGCTAATGGGGCGTAATCCTAAAGCGGGACATGGAAACCGATGGGAACTTGTCGAAGTGCTGTTGCCGGCCTTATTAGTCGAGGCCGGGGATCATCGGGTTAGTCATGGGGCACGACCCCAGGAGGGCGACAACCCGATGGTGTATTTAGGCTCCTCCTGCCCTTCCCAGCGTGGGCAGGAGAGAGGGGGGCCGAGAGAGCGTTAAAACGAGTCCTGGAGGACTTTAAGTAAAGCGCGCCCGCCGCCGCCGTTACCAGGATGGACTTTTTACCGGCGCCGTGGACTTTTTATTATACCAAGGGGCGGGACCGAGTCGGGGGTCAGGCCGCAGGGGGGGCGAGCCTGAAGTAAAGAGAGAATGAGGAAGTCGTGATGCTTTCATGGTGTTTTGGGGACCTCTCAGGATCGAAGATCCTGGTTGGTTGAATCCGAGCCTTCGGCATCTGATTGGCCGGAGCCTCTTAGAAAGTGTTGGTAGGTACGTACGTAATAGGCAAAGTGAATAGTAGACAGGTAGGAAACGTTAGGGTGAGACTAGTTATATTATAATGTCTAGGGACTAGAAGCTATCTCCTGTTATGGGTAGGGGATCAGTCCGATCCTTATATGCCTCCTAGCGTTACGTAGTAGATACATGGTACTTGAGCTTCCCTATCCTGGTTTACCGACCAACCATTACTTACTCTGTTTTTCTTTTCGCGATTAGTAATTAATAATCGCGGACTATCGTTCCCTTTTTACCCACCCCTCTAACTTTAGGTCAATCCGGTTACCTTCCACCAAGGTCCTTATAGCCTCGTTCGGCGATGCCTTCGTTATAGCATCGGCAGGGTTACAATTTCCGTAGATCCACCGGATATCGTTAATCTCCCGATTCTCATACGACTACCTTAACGCTATTAGATTAATCATCAGGCGCTTTTCGTTGGTACTACCTATCTAGACTAGGCACTAGTATAACGACAAGGAATCAATACATAGGACTAGTAGGGCCTTGGGTAACGTAAGGCGCTCTAGGACGGTATTAATCGTGCGATGGATTACGTATCCGACGTTAAACCCTTGAACCATTCCGTATATCTTACTAGTAAGTACGTTCCGAGTAATCCTCTTATACTTAGTCGATAACTAATGGATAAGATTGCCGACGATCCGCAACTCGTTGTCGTAAGTAGTGGGTTCCTCGTTACCTAATATGATTAGGTAACCTATTTATAAGCTCATGTCGGTGTTGTTAGCGAACGAGCCGTCCATAAAGACATATAGGCGTAAATCGTTCGGGTCGAGGGTAATATAGCTAAGGCCTCGATCCCTATTAGCTATCTACTAATCGATTCTTTTGTTAAGAACCTTCGCCTCCTTACTTCCCGGATTAATATGCTATACCGCCGTAAAGTAGTCGAAGGCGGCTTTAGGTTAGTAGATCGAGGAGATATACGCTCCCCGTACCCGTTATTCGACGAACCTTTAGGCTATATCGGTCGCTTTTAGGTCTAGTAGGTTTAATTTCTTAGCTTAGCCTTTCTAGGTTACGGTAAGCCCGTATCCGTCGTCGTCGAGTTTAAGGCGTAATCCGTTAAAGTCTTCGGTTACCTCTAGTTCGAGTATCTTTTAAGGCTTCGCTTTAATCCCTACCTTCGCGAGTATCTTATCTTCCTATTCGAGGAATTCTTATGTACCGATATTTAGGGTATTATCCGTTTAAAGACCTATAATTCCGAATAATCGATTAACGCTCGTAATTAATAAGCATAGGTTAAACGCCGACGGGTTCATTTGCAGTTCTCGTTAATAGTACTTCGAGTAGGTCTCGAACTAGTATATACCTGCCTCTACTAATCCGTATAGTAACTTAACGACTCGTAATAACGTCCCCTCGGGGTATTTATCTTTTAGTTCCGACGGTAGTCGTATAAATATTATTCGTTACATTAGTATCCTTAATTACGTATAAGCCATCGTAATATTTCGGATTATTATTTTTATTCCCTACTATCGGAGTATCGGTATTAATACTAGGATTAGTCGTTAACTCGCCCTTTATATAGTTAATACGTAAGTTATAATGGATTCTTTTTCGCGGTCTCCATAGCCTTGGACTATTAGTCGGGACTTCTTATACGGCATCGGTATATTTTTAGCTTTAACTTCGCGAACCATGCGTGATTTAAAGATAGTAGCCCCTTTATAGATAGAGTCGTTCCAGGTCTCCGGTTATAGGACGCCGTCGTCGAAGAGTACATTGAGCTCCTTTAGATCGGATGCCTCATATGGTCTACCGGGTATTGTGATCCTTCCTATTACGCGTAACTTTAGTACTAGAGCGTAGTCGTTCCTCTCTTTTGTGCTGGTATATACTACGGCAGGCTCCTCTTCCGGGATGATTTCGTATTCGTCGGGATTGATTGTATGGTGTGGGAGTTCAACTTGTAGTTCCTTCGTAGCTGCCGGTCGGGTATATGGCTTGACGTGGGAGCTCCTGAAGGTAGACATCCCTTTTATCGATTCGATTGTCACATCCTTGTCCGTGACGGCAATGACTTTGTGGGGTCCTTTCTACCCTCCTTTCTCGCGGAAGACCAGAACTTTACTGCCTAATGGTAGCAGCCCTGGAAGGGTCCTTAAAGTATTCGGTCCGTTCCGTATATTAAGGGCATTCCGGATAGACCTCTACGCCTTAAGCCTCTTTATTTCTATTATTACCTTTTGGACGGCCTAAGCTCTCTGCGTTTATAACGTCGTAGGTAGCGAGTCCATGTTGATTCTAGGGTATGCTCCGAAGACGAGTAGCGTAGGTATAAGGCCGTTTAGGCCGGCTATATCGTTTACTACTTTAATAGCTATCTATAGGCGGGATACTTTAAATAAGCCTTTTATCTCTTATATAATGATCTCGTATGCCTTACGAATAAGGCCGTAATATTCTTCAACCTTACCGATGGACTAGTATACCTCCACTAGTACTTACTTATAAGTAACTCCTATTAGTTATGCCTCGTTACGGAACTCTATACTATTAAAGTTCGTACCGGCGTCGTATATAATAACGTCTAGGGGCCTTAGGTAGGTATCGATCCAGCATTATTTAAGGACCTCCTAGGTCTCCTTAGCGGAAACCGTTCTTATGAATCTTGCCGCTTAGAACCTAGTCGCTATATCCACGGCGTGGAGTACTAACTGGCCGTCTAAATACATAACGTCGACGATTACCTCATAATTAAAGTCCATGTCTAGGTCCTTAAGGCTAAACCTAAACCTCTAGGGTAGCGCGCCCTTTACTTAGTAATAATAGCAGAATTTATTAATGGCTTTAATCTTACCGATAATAACGTTATAGCCGGCCTTATCGAGTAGGTCATGGAGCTTATTAACTAATGGGTGGCCGAAACGAATATGAATGCGTCGTAGCTCTGGTTCCGTAAGGTATATTACGGCGAAGTACGCTTTATCGCCGAGTTAGAGCCATAGATACCCCCATTTACGTATGACTATAGCTACTATATCATTCCGGGAAACTAATTAGTTATTAACGTTATTAAGGTAAATGCCGAGGCGATCTATGTCCTTAAGCGACAAAAGGAACGGGATATCTGTCTCTATTATATAAAAGTCGACATACCCAAACGGTATATCGACTGTTACGGTCCCTAGGGAACTTACGGGGAATCCATCTCCGAATCGGATATTTACTTCTCCTACCCGGCGGCTATCGATCTTTAATTATTATTTAGGATATTCTCGGGCGAGGGCATAATACTGTCCTTTTCCGGCGGTAGATACTCTTACCGCGCCTATGTCTGGCATAATGCCTTGGAAAACATCCTTGGAGTATCGGTCGAGGACGAAGGCGACGTTATCGTTCCTTGTCATCTCCTGTAGGGAGCATGAGGCAGCACGATACCGGAACGCCTGGTCGGACAGATAGACGGCGGTTATGTATTACTCGTTATCGTTAGGCTATTAGTCGGTACCGAGTTCGTCGTCTTATTCGGGTTCCGAGTTCTCTCCTTATTCGTCGATACCTTCGTAATCAGCTAGGAACGTCGCGTAATTACCCTTTTGTTTATCCCTGTTGGCCTTCCATCGTACCCTTGCCTCCTTCCTTTCCTTCTCCGAGTGTTTAGTAGACTAACATCCTTCTTTCTTACATATCCAGTATCTCCGCTTCCATGCCCGTCGTTGCCCGAAGCGATCTCTTCCTTCTTTATTGTCGTAATATTTACCTCCTCTGTCGTTACGGTGATACCTGCGGTCGACGTAGTATTGTTCATCTTCATCATCGTCGTCGCTATCTACCACAAACTAACGTACCCCTTTCAGATTCTCATGGGTACCGATTAAAGCGCGGAGCTTGCTAGCCATATCCTCGAAACGTATGGAAGGTTCGAAGAGGGCGTATTATAGCTAGGGAACGTTTCGGCAGGCTCGGTAGATTACTACGATAAGTTACTATTCCCCCTTAAAGTTAGGGCCAAGGGCCTTCTAGCATAAAGCCAGCTTATCTAGCATAGCCTAGAGTACCTCTAGATCCGATTTTCCTTCGTTGCCCTTTTTTAACTTGGTATTAAAGAAGGTAATAGCCGTTTAGTCGTGGTAATATTAGACCTTGTTCTGCTCCGTATTAAAGTAACGTTCCATAGTAAGATATATATCGGTAAAATACCAATGCCTTAGGACGTTATATAGGAAATAAATGGCTGCTCGTCCTAATAGGATGGTAGAGAAGACGGCATGGAATTAGGTTTATCTAATTCTAGTAATATAGTATACGTCTAGGAAGAATCTGAACTTATCCTCTAGGATATCGTATACTTCTCCCGTATAGTTGTTTTCCTTATTCCATGCTTTCTTAAAATGTCCTACGATAGTCGGGAGGCATAGCTCGTTTAGTACCCTCGTAAGCGGGACATCGTAATAGGTCTGCTGTTCTTGGTTTCCGACGGGTATGGGTAACTATCGAGGGGGCTCGGGCCCCGGAGCGGGTAGTAGCGGAAGCTTAGGTCCCGGCGTACGCGATTATCCTATCGGTAAGGAGGAACCGCGTCCTCCGGGGATCCCTTCGTTTGGATAACCTATTAGTGGTTAGCTACTAGGATACTAGTTATATCCTGGTTCCGGGGTAATATATTAGTTTCCCCGGGGGGGTTATATCCTCTCCCTCGTCCGGTCGTTTCCTTCTACCGACGGGTATGGCTAGGAGGGGGGAGGTAGCATCTACGGGTTATATGGGTTATATAGCCTATACGGTCTATATCCTGCCTAGAGGCCTGGCGGTAGGAATAGCAGATATCCGTATAGCGGATACCCTAGGGTTAGATACGGATACGGGTATCCGGCAGGAGGAGGAGGGGGCGCGAAGGGCGGTAGTTGGGGTGCCTGGAGTGGTTGGAAAGGTAACGGCGCCCTAGGTGCCTGCGGTAGGGGTGCTTGCGGACGGGGTGCCTCTTGCCGAGGGGGAGGGGGGGGGTTATTGGGTATCATTGGGATGCCAGTTCGTGGCGCTGGCGGAGGGTTAGGTGGTGATCCTCGTCGGCCCTTAGCTAATCCTGCCTATTGCGGCCTCGGCGTTGGCTCGTTAGGGGATCTAGGGTAGAGAAGGCTATATCTAGGCGGGATTTCGAACTACGGGTTAGTCGGAATAAAAGGGGGGTTGCCTCCGTATATAGCTCTTCGAAGTGGAGCGGGGGTCTATTATACTAATGATTCGGCCGCTGCTTCCCCGAACTATAAGGAAGTTAGTCTCCTTCGTATCGATCCTGTTAGTTCGGGATATACCGTTCCTTGGTTAGTTTCTATTGTTAGCGTTTTTTACGTTAACGCATTAGGCTACTTAGCCTTAGCCGTTTAGAGTTCCTAGTAATTCTAGGTCGGAGGGCCTTCCGCCCGTATTAAGTCGGTAAGTTCTCGGGAGTATTTCGCATTACTTCTTCTTACGTAGATCCCTTACCTCATTAAGGCATTTCGTAATAATAAGCGAAGTATAGCGGGCATAAGTTCGAAATCTCCTGCATTATAGCTTCGGAATCGTTCCTAATAGTTATTCAAGGCCTTATCTATAGTACGAATATTAAGGATACTAGTATCCGCTGCCTCGAAGTCCGCTATCGCTATTAGTACCTACGTTGCTTTTTATCGTAAATTAGCGACCTCCGCCGAGAATTACTGCCACCTAACCACTTATAGGTTAAACTAGGCTATTATCGCGGCTAGTCGTCCCGTAATAAGTTTAAGTAGATCGTAGAGATCGTTTACGTTCCTCGGGTCCTAACCTCCTGGGGGTCCTCCTGGCGGTTCGCGCCTGAAGATGGATGCGGGGGTGGGGTTTTCGGGTTCGTTATGCTCCGGCTCTGTTCGTTATCTACCGGCTCCTTGGGCCGATGTCTCCGGTTGTTTTCCTTCCGATATCTTGGTTGTTGTAAGGGATGTGGGGCGGAGTCGATATGGTGTTGTATTCGGGATGTAATAAAGAAAGAGGTGGGAAGGGGATCAGTTTCGTGATTGTGGAAGGTGATGGAAGTTTTCTTGCTGGTGTCGCTTGTGTCGCCACGGTGATAGTAGTTCTTCCGATTGAGTGGCGGTGACTCTTCTAACCTTGCTAATCTGTGTTGCTAAGTCTAGCAACACTAATCAGTGTTGGTAGGTACGTACGTAATAGGCAAAGTAAATAGTAGACAGGTAGGAAACGTTAGGGTAAGACTGGTTATATTATAATGTCTAGGGACTAGAAGCTATCTCCTGTTATGGGTAGGGGATTAGTCCGATCCTTATATGCCTCCTAGCGTTACGTAGTAGATACATAGTACTTGAGCTTCCCTGTCCTGGTTTGCCGACCAACCATCAGAAAGTGAAGGAAAGAAGGGAAGGTGTATACCAAGCAGGTAGTAGTAGAATTCGTCCTTCTACTATACCTCCTACCGACCTCTCTCAGAGGTACCTCCTTAGTAGGTAGGAGGTACTTACCTGTAATCACCTACCGGCTTGGATGGACCAGCACGTACCTAAGGTACCTAATATCTTACTGCCAGGTACCTAGAATAAGTACGTACCTCTTAGTATGTACATTAGGTACTTTAGGTATCTCTTAGTATGTACATTAGGTACTTTAGGTACCTCTTAGTATGTACATTAAGTACTTTAGGTACCTTTCTATTTCTTACCTAAGTCACACGGTCATCTTATAAAAACATACTTTAAGTTTTATCCTAGTAGATTAGGTACCTCTCTGTACGCAAAGTTAGTAAAAAAAAAAAAGGTTTCAAGTTAAGTTTTCTTGAAATTTAACTTAACTTTACTTAAGTTTTAAAAAATAAAAACCTAACTTGAAAAAGTTTCTAAAAATAGAAACCTAACTTAACTTCAACTTAAACTTTTTTTTCAACCCTGCCTATACGTATAGGCAAGTACATAGATACCTAATGTGAGTACAGGAAACCTCAGTGCCCGTGTCTTGGGGGGGCGGTTGTTCTCCGCTTCACACTCTTTAGCCCACATTCGTCTTTTATACAGACTCCTCACCCGATACCTCACCCTATCCCTCGATCTTACGAATGCGCAATAACGGACGGTTTAAAGCTGGCCGTTACTTATATGCCTACACACTTCTCATATCACTTATGGTATAGGAATCCCCTACTTATTATCCTCTGTTGACCCCCCTGTCGCCCTTGTTGAATTGGAGAAGGCAGCTTGGCCGATGGAGCCACACCAGGCGCTTGTGGCGTGAATGTAACCAGTCTGGGGCCTGGCGCTGGGTCCCTCTACCTCTTAAGGTCGGGTTGGGGAACAAGGCTGTTCCTTTTTGTAGGTACGTACAACCCACCCGTTGCGACGCGACTGGTTCGACTTGGAGCCGCCTCGCCGCCTCCGCTCTCTCCTCCAGCATCTACAACTTCAATCTCCAACAACTTCATCCTCCTCCTCCCTGCCGTTATTCCGCTCCTTTCCCTGGTCCCCCGAAATTGACTCTCTCGCCCGAGCCGCATCTACGCGAATTTCTTGCCATGCGTAGAGGGGCGCGCTTCGCCTTCTCCACCTTCAAATGACTCCGTCATCGTGGGACCGTGATCCTGTTATACCCGTCCTAACGTAAAACAATATTCAGGTCATCCCCTCCGTGCACCAGCGCCGCCTACGAACGTTTCCGAAGTCGCCTTAACAGGCTTACACGGCGCCGAACCCCCCTTCGCGCGCGCGTTTTGTGATGGATGGGCTTGTGGTGGACTCGCCAGGCCACGACCTGGTGGGTCAGGATGGCGTCCGCATAAAAGAGGAGGCTGATACTGATCAGGTTGACGGCACGTTCCAGGGCATAGACTGGGCTGCCCAGGAACAGCAAGATGACGATGACATCAACCGGATGTTTAACAACGATGGAGGAAGATTGCAGATGCCCGAGAATCTCGACAAGTTCGGCGATAAAGAGATCGATCAGACCGACAAGGCCGCAGACGCCATCGACTTCGAAGACATCAGCGACGATGACCTAGCCTCTGATGATGAAATATCTAGTCACGCCGCTGGCGCCGGCATGTCGCAAATCCCCGGCCTGACTGAAGACGAAGGCACTAGTCATGACACCGAATACATGGACGACCTGTTTGGGGGTGAGCCCGAGGGCGAGAATAACTACGTCACGTCCTCGCCCCCTGGTGGCGATGCCGCAGTGGAACAGCCGACTACCCTCGCGATGCCTGACAAGAATCCTATGACGAGGAGCCGAGATGTGACGGATGAAGCTTGGAAGAACATGACGTTTGAGGAGAGGCAGAGGCTCAACTTTCCCCAATACAACTCGTCGATCGATCGATGGATGAATCAGATGAGCAAGGAGGACGCTTCTGTACAGAAGGCTCCCGAAAATGTGGAGGAGCTCTTGGCACAGAGGTTTCCAGGCTTTGCGGAGCACAAGACGCTGTATTTCAACCAGCTGTTCCCCGAGTGGCCCGCCGAATATATGTATAAGGAACCCGCCAACAAAGACAGAGACCCCCCCGAGTTCGTACCCACCAAGCTCGATCTAGAACTCGAGGCCGATTCCTCCAAGCTATTCAAGATCCCCGAAAACGTCCTAGCCGCCCAGCGAGCTAGCTACGCTGACGAGGATGACTGGAGCAACGCCGCTGGCGCACAAGTCTGTGACGCGACGGACGGCTTTTCGGACGATTCGGATACGGAAGACTCGCCCGTCGGAGGGTTCAGGCTAGATGAGATCGCCACAATATGCGACGACTGGGGCTCCGCCTCATTTGTGCAGCCTCTTGCCGACGACGAGGAGATGGACGATTGGGACAGGGAATTTTTGCAAATGCGAATTAAGAAGTCGCGGCCAAAATTCAAGCCTGGACTTCCAGACATCTCGTCGCTCGACACCTGGGGCGTCGGGAACTTCCGGAAAGAGACGCTGCTATCGAGCAAGCGTGTTAGGCTCGACGTCGACGACCCGTATCTCCTCATTGATAATGGCGAAGATGAAGCCGACGACGATCAGTTGGAGCGGCCCTCCAAGCGCCCGAAGGTCGAAGAGAAGATGAAGCGGATGTCTAATGGCCAGCTGAGGAGAGATGTCATGCACCACTTCAACTTATCGAACGACGACGCATATGACGCCCTCAAGGCAAACCATAAGAGCAAAGTCAGAGCTACCCTGTCCAACCTCTCAGTCGAGCACAGCATGCCTGCTCTCAAGCTAGCCTTCCCCTTCTACCGGACGAAGGTCGAAGGCAAGCCTTGGGAACACCACCGCAAGAAGTTTGAGATCGAGAAGGTCGCGAAACGTGTCGTCGGTATCCGTAAACCCTCTAAAGTCAGGCGGAAGGATACCAAAGGACGGAGTAACCAGGAAATATTCAGGACGACGAAAGATCTCAGCTTGAATGATAACTCCACGGCAGTCCTCTTCGAGTACTGCGAACAGTTCCCGGTCATGATGTCGAACTTTGGTATGGGCAGCCGCGTGATCAACTACCATCGCCGCAAGGATCGAAATGACGAGGACAAGATCCCGAAACTCGACATCGGCGAAGGCCACCCGCTGCTCCCCGAGGATCGATCACCCTTCTCGATCTTCGGAACTGTGGAACCCGGCGAGACAGTCCCTACGCTACATAACGAGATGTACCGAGCGCCGATTTTCAAGCACGAACCTCGGTCGAATGACTTCCTCCTCGGCTATACCACCAATGCCACCGAAGGTCCAAGGTTTTACCTTCGCAAGATTGATCACGTGTATACAGTCGGCCAAATTTTCCCCTCGTTGGAGGTTCCCGGTCCCCACGCGAGGAAGGTAACCAATACGTCGAAGAATCGCCTCAAGATGATCGCGTATCGTATGATGAAGAAGAAGGACTCGCAGGATGTCGGCCTCAACGAGATTACCCCCCATGTGTTCGAGAAGCCAGATCCCCAGAATCGGCAGAAGATGAAAGAATTCCTCTTATACGACAGGGATAAGAAGACGTGGGTATTGCCAGAGGGCCAGACGTTGATGGACGAATCGGTGATACGCTCCATGATCAAGCCGGAGGATGCCTGCCTGATTGAGGCCATGCAAGTCGGCCAGCAGCTATTGGCAAATGCGGGTTACGACCCTAAGGACAAGGACGAGGACGACGAAGGCGCTGAAGAACCCCTAGTTGCTAAGATGGCCCCGTGGGAGCTCACGAAGAACTTCATCGACGCCAGCGCAGGCAAAGCCATGGTAGCTTTGCACGGCGAGGGCGATCCTACCGGTCACGGACTAGGGTTCAGCTTCATCAAGACTTCTATGAAGGGAGGCTACATCAACGCCGTCCAGGGCCCCCTAGCAACATCGGCAGACGCGATTGAACGCGAACGCAAGGCGAACGGTGGCCACTCGTATAACGTCAAGAAACAGCAAGATATGTACAACACGGCCATCCGCCAGATCTGGGAGAGACAAAAGACCACGCTGAGCGATCCCACCACTCACGACGACGCGGACGTCCTCGATACAGCAAACGAGGACGACCGCTTTAATTCACGACAACCCGACGCGACCCCCATCCCATTGGATGATGGCCGTAGCCAGTTCAGTCGCCTCAGCGCAGCCAGCCGCTCGGGCAGGAGAAAGCTCAAGATCACTCGCAAGAAGAAGAATGAGAACGGAGAGGTTACGACCGAGACCGTCGTTTTAGACGACCCCGTAGTCATTAGAAACTACCTTAAGCAGCGTAGGGAAATCGAAGAGAAGAACCGAGAGTGAGTTGATCCAAAACCTCCCCTTCAGCTGCGCCGTCCCTCCTGTACTGACTCGAGCTTTCAACGACAGCGTCTACAGTCTACAGCCGACAGCGGACGCAGATGAAAACCGCGAAAAGCAAAAACTGTTAGTGGTAGCCGTGAACGAGTTGTTCCCGGGGTTTGCTAACAGCATTGAAGTGTCGATAGGGAACTTTCGCGCTTGTTGAAGAACCAAGATCGGCGCCAAATCCGCGAGAAGCAGGGCAAGAATAAGAAGAAGAGCGCCCTCCCCCCCGACGCATCACCGGATCCGTCGTCTTCTGGCGATAAGATGTTAGCTGGCACGACTCGGAAATGCGCGAATTGCGGACAAGTAGGACATATCAAGACAAACAAGAGGTACTGGCACCACTGCCCTTCCCGATGCTGCCCCGAACCCTGCGAAGAAGAAGAAGGAAAAAAAGACCCTAAAAGAATATCACGACTCGCGCTGTACTCGGGCTGCATTGTTGCCCCGTCCGAGCTGCCAGAGGGTCTAGAACTTCGCACATACGGGCACACCATCGACAATTACACACGTGCTAATTTTGTGGTCTAGCAAATGTCCTCTGCTGAACGGCACGATCACGACCAGCAACAATGCTGCTGACCACGGAGGATTCGGTTCCTTTGGCGCCCCGTCATCGGTCGCGCAGTCGTCGGCCACCGAGTGAAAGGGAGGAAGAAGAAGGGCGAGGTGCAACGACCGCCTACCTCCTCCCCTCCCCAGATGGACGTCGCCCTAGTAAGCCATTCGCGATCGGCGGGACGGTTCGCTATCTCAATTGCTCTGAGTCTAGCCATAATACCCCTCCCCCCCCCCCTCCCCCTCCCCCTCTCGTCTCTATAATGTCGCCGACTCGCAGCGCCTCGCTGTCGATCTAGACGTGATTGATAGTGTTACTTGGGGTCAACATAGATCACCAGCATCACAAATCAACCACGAGGCTGACCAAGAGACGATGGCTAGTTTTGCCGTGTCATTTTCTATCTTCTCTCAACAGAGTTGTTGTTGACGCGAGGCGCCACCCATGTTGGGGCAGCAGCTCGGAGCTAAAGAGACGCTCCCCCCCCCCCCCCAAAAAAGAAAATCAGACACGTGTGTCTCGCTAGGTGCCGTTTAGATATACTAAGAAGGGGGGGTACAGTTTGATAGGGGGCGGCCCCTAATTCGGAAAGCATTTGCACGCCGGCGTTCAGACTCTCGGGTACGCAAGGGTAGGGAGGAGGTGGAGGTGATGGTGGTGGTGGTGGAGGAGAAGGCATGGTCTTGTGTCCGATACCCTCTCCTCATCCCCCCCTTCGCCTTTCCCTACATAGGAGAAATAGGAGAAATACAAAGATGGCTTGTTTCGCCATCATAATTCAACCACCCCCCCCCCCCCCCTCCCTGCTCAGTGCCCAAAGTGCTCATGTCTTTCCATCGTCTCGCCCTCGCTCCCACTCTTCCGACTCTAGCTTCTTCCTCTCTTCTCTTTCTCTCCTCCCACCTCCCTAAGCAGAGTTTTGCCCTGACATCCTGCCGCAGGGGCTCGACGGCAGACCCGGACGCAAAGGAGTCGCGCTCCCTGTTTTCCGCGCGGGTGCGTGGGTCTCTGGGAGCCAGAGGGGGGCAGGACGGGGCGACGAGTCGCGGGCGGACGCCGCCATCGGGACTAGCCTTTTTCTCGCGGCGTTCTCTCTGCGCTGCTCCTTTTTTTTTTGTTTGTTTGTTTGTTTTTTTCCTTCCGGCGCACGCCGCGCGGCGCTTCGAGAATGCAGCAGCACTGCTCACGGGGGTAGGAGGGTAGGAGGAAGGCACACACGGGCGCGGCCGGCGACGGCGACAGGACGCCGTCAGCAGCAGCGGGCGAGTTAGGGAGGACCGGGGGGGGGGCAGCTGGGGGAGGGGGGGGGGAGGAGGATGAGATGGGTGAGATGAGCGGCGGCGCTGGTGGTGGTGGTGGTGCTTCTAGAAGACGTCGGCGCACGTCAGACGCAGGCGCGGTGCGACACCACCGCGGCCACTACATAAGGCGGGCCATGTGCGACCCCTGCCTGTCGCGAAAAAAAAAAGGGGGGGGGGGAGACGGAGCCGCGATCCATGGGACGGATCGATGGATCGATGATGATGTGCTGAGGGGCAGGGCAGGAGGATAGGACGGGACAGGGTAGAGCAGGGCAGGGTCGGGCAGGGCAAGGGCAGGGCAGGGCAGGACAGGGCAGGGCAGGGCGAGGTGCGATGCGGTGCGGTGAGGCTCTCCTCGTCGCTAGCCCGGGGGGGGGGCTAGGCGTTGTAGGGTTTGCGCATGCGCGGTGTGCTATACTTAGCAACGGCGGGTAGAGAGTAAGGGTTAGGGGGGTGGTGAGGGGTGGGGAGTTACGGGTTAGCACGGTGAGATGGGGGTTTAGACGGTGAGGGGAGGAGGAGAGAGAAGCCGGGGAGAAGAGGACAGAGAATCAGGAGGATAATAGAGGGCCGGAGGTGGATGGACTTGCTGGCAGCCGAGTGGCCAGCTAGCCTGACAGGCTCAGCTAGTCTAGTCTCGTCTTGTCTAGGGCCATGTAGCTGGTAATACGCGCATGCGTACACACAGGTACATACATGCGTATGTGTGCGTGCAAGCAGGTGTAGGTGGATGGGATGGGCGCGAAGAGGTATGGATGGGTATAGGTTCGCGGATGCGGCGGCGGTGGTGGTGGATGCTCGACATCGATGTCGACACGGATACACAAAGCTACGGATATGGATGGGATGGGACGGGACGGGAGGGCTTGGGGTGGGGTACGTAGGTTAGGTACGTGGATGGGCACCGGTTCTGCGAAATATCCCCCAAGCGCTTTGCCCCGTGCTTGGGAGAAAGACGGAGGTGCGTAGTATCGCTACGTTATTTTCTTTGATTTTCCTGGCGGGGTTTTTTTCTTTCTTTTTTGCCTCCTGACCTGGATTCTGATTTGTTTATTTTCATTTTCGTGGAGGTGATTATTTTCTATGCTTCTCCGATTGTGCCGGCGACGCTTAAATGTTTTTAAAAATAAATCTTCGCTCCGGGACGATCCCCCTCCCGTCCCCGCTTTAGGGAAAGAAGAAGAAGGAAAGAATGTCGGTTATTCCAAATCCTTCGGCGCCTACGCGGAGGAGAGGGGGGGTAAGATTCGATAGAATAATGCACGTCAGAAACGCCTATATGCGTGCACTACGTCCATCCTCACATAACCCACGCGCTAGAGAGGCAAGCAGAAGGAGGAGGTGGAGGTGGCGGAGGAGAAAATGGGCAAAACAAAGGAAGGGGGGTAATGAAAAAAGAGAGGGAGAAAGAAAGAAAGAGCGCAGAGAGAGAGAGAGAGAGAGAGAGAGAGAGAGAAGAGAGGAGCCTGGAGTTCGAGAGGATCGGCGCGAGTGTGAGCTGACAGGCGGTGGTTATCAAATACGACGGTACCTGCACATGTGGTGGACGGGGAGGATCAACGCATCGTGAAAGCACGAGTAAGAGAAATGGCGGTACGAGTGCGCCCGGAGGAGAGGGGGGGTGGGAGACAAGAAGAAGAAGAAGAAGCAGATATCCAGTTGCGAGAGAGGAAAGCAGAGGGATAGATGCTACCACGGAGCAATGCCGACGGTGAGCAGACGGCGACACGAAGAGGCGGGATGACGAGGCGGACGTTACATACCCGCCCACCGACCGCCTTGCACAGAGCTAGGTTACCGTAGCGTCTGCCGTCTCTGCTTCTCCTTTTCTATCCCTCGTGTTTGTCGCTCTACTCGCTTACTCTCGCAGTACCGACTCGGTAGGCATGCGAACCCGGTGGGCTCGAGCCGGCCGCGTTCGCGTCGTCGCCCGCTCGCACGCCATGCACGTAAGGAAGGGTATGCGAGCACGTCAGTCCAAGCGCAGACGTATCTACGCCTTATCTCACGGCCGGCCAGATCCCGGCGTGCAACCTTGCCGTAAGGCCGGGGCGGTAAGAAAGTAACACAAGGACAAGAGAGGAGAGGACGCGGTAACTGCTAAAAATACAGAGCCGGGTCGAGGACGGGGGGGACGGAGAGGAGAGTGAGAGAGATACAGAGATAGAGAAGGGGGAGCCGGGGTGGGATGGCGAGGAGCCCAAACGGGGATCGACAAACTTGTCTCGTCTCGTTTTCGAAAAACGTACATACGAATGTTGGCATCTAGGCAGACATGGATGAAGGTATACCAACCAGGTGTACACAGCACGCAGCATCGCTTTGCATACCCATCGCGAGGAGCGACAGAGCGAAAGGAAAGGAAAGGAAGAAAAAAAAAAGGCGTGGGGGCCGTCCGTCCCGTCCGTCCTACAAGCGCCCGCAAATGTCGGGGCCAAAGAAGCATCTTCTTCTGGAAGCAGGCTGGGCTGTGTTCGCGACGCGGAGGCACGGTAACATTCCAGGCGGTAACTTTGGGGACCTGGGCAGCTTAGGTAGCATAGGATGGAAGCCTGTCGTTGACAGAGTGGAAAAGGAGATGAGGTGAGAGAGAGACGGAGAGGATAGACGGAGAGGGAGAGGATAGACGGAGAGGACACACAGTGGGAGGGGGGGAAAAGAGAGGGGAGCCTGGGGCGGCAGGCACTGCACGAGGCAGAGAAGGCAAGCAATGCTCGGCTCCGGAGTCCCGGTCCCGACATCTCTCTCTCACTCTCTCATCCTCTCACACACATGCATCGCTCATTTCTCTGACTATCTCTAACTACCTACCTAACGTAGGACACGAGGAACACGAGAGAGGAAGAGCGGCTTTGCTGTCGCGTCTGAGTTTTTTTTTTCTCGCTACGGTATTCTGCAGAGAGGCTGTTTATTGCCAATATTGCAACATCGATCCGGTCCAATCCGGTTCCACTCGTGACCTCCGTCCTAGTATTTTTTCTCCCCGTCTCTCTCACTTCTGCTTTTCTGTAACGCGCCCGATTGGATGCCCCTCGCGTGCTCCTTATCTGCGAGAGGAAACATAGGGTAGGTTGTATCTAGTCTAATGTCAGGTGAGAAAAAGGCTCGGCCGCTCCGGTCCCCTTTTTTTTCTTACGGTCCCGTGATCGGCGGTACAATCGAGAGGGGAGGCAGAGGCAAGGAAGCGAGGGTCACGCCCTGGCTCCGCCCCCCCTTCTTCTCCTCCTTCTCCTCCTCCCCCGTATCGCGTTCGGTAGGGATGCCGATACCGTACCCTGAGCCGCGTCGCCGGTACGAGCGGATGGAGGCGAGGCCTGGCCAGAGGGGCAGGACGTGAGGCAGACGGGAGCCGAAGTGTCTCCCGTAACATCCATTGTCTCGTCGAACCACAATCTGTCTTATTGCACACCGCCCACATCGTACCAAGAGACCTGGTAATGCCACGCCCAGCCGCCTGGGTAGGAACCATGTTCCTAGGACGCACCTGCGGTCTGCAGGAGCTGAAGAAGAACGAGAAGTGAAAAACCCCGGCGGTAGGTCGCCTGCCCTGCCGAGAGGGCCGGGATGGTATTATTCATCCGTCCGCCTAGCATCTCATAAGCCATCGCTTGGGCAAGGGAAGCAGATCAAAAACAGGGAAGCCTAGAGAGGGTCGGCCGAGAGGACGGCCTAATTGGCCCAGGTCGTGCGGACTCTGGCACGCAAAGGGCACCAAAGGATCAATTAGTCTGCTGCAGGAGAGAGAGAGAGCAACATCGTGGGATTCCTTCTGGGCGTCGCCGTATTACGTAGGCGTCATACCGGAGACGCCAAGCACGGGGTTGTCTTGTCCGGGACCGTTTGGCCTGTTGCTTCTCTTCTCGCTCTTCGCTCTGTCTCTCTCTGCCTTCTTCTTTGGTCTTAATTCCCGTAGGTAATCGTCTGCTGCTGCTGCTGCTGCTGCTGCAACCACCGACCTCTTCCTGGCCCGACGGGGAATCCTACCTACCTCCCATGCGAACTGTGCAGGTTACTGCGTGGGTAGTACTGGTAAGATCTAATAATGTCGACGATAGGACTCGGGCACAATACTGGGCTAATTAACCACATTCCGCTCTGTCGGGTTTTCGGTCAACTTCCGCTCGCCCCAGACTTTCCAACCTCTATGCGTAGGCAACAGCCGAGTTGCTTTCTTTCTTTTTTTCCTTCTCGCTCTCTCTCTCTCTCGCCGAGCTCTCGATGTCGGCGATGCAACCAAAACACACCTGCAGTGCAGTGGCTGCTGCTGCGTTCCTCTGCCTATTTGGGCGCGGTGGACAGGGGATGGGCTGACGAGGGGGTAAATTAGGGCCCCTCGGCGGTTTTATTCGGGCAAATTGCTGGCACTGTTACGTATTGGCGAGCAATTAGCCCACATTAATGTGGATCCTGGCACGTCTCAGCGGGCTAATTGGCCGGAAGAGGCAGCGAGGTGAGGAGGATGGATGGCTTGGCGGAGTGTCTATTAATAGCTATTTTTAGCGTTTCGGCTATTGTGCATGGGGCAGGTGGGGCGTGGGAGAGCGACAGGAAACGTCGCACAAGCCCAGTCCGGGTCCAGGGGCGGGGCCATGCCATGCCAACAGAACATCCTCGTCGCCGTCCCTCCGAGGGAGAGGGTGAGATGCCCACCATGCATGGAGGATGGGTGGCATGTAGGTATACAACACAGGTATTGCTTGCAGCACGAGGCCAGATAGCCCAATGGCAGCTCCCGCAGACCAGACTCGAATGCTTGCAAGCTCGGTCCCCTGAGCCGGCGCTTAATAGCGTAGCTCTAGATAGATAGATAGATAGAGAGACGTGCTGCGCAGTCGTTCCATCGGTTCCGAATGGCGAGGCCTGCGCCGCCGGGCGTGGGTGATCCCACCACCTGTCGACTGTTTTTATCCGATTTGGCATACCGCCGATCTACCGATTCGCATCTCGACGTCCCAATTCCTCTCGAATTGGCATATCTGTGTGCGACGGCCTGGTGCCCACACACACGCACATGAGCACACGAACACACGCATACCTACATGACGGGGGACGGTTGGTTATCCTATCCGGGGGACAATTATTTTAGCTCCTCCGGCCTGGCGCGACTGGCGCGATACGTCATGCTGCCGGTTGGCGTGAGGCTGGTATGGGGCGCTCGCCGGTAACGAGGCACCGGCCCGTGCCCCAATTGTCGTACCAATCTTGGGCTTGACGTAGGTACCGTGTGGAGTGCACACGCGAATGAAAGTAGAAAAACACTAGCAAGAGAGCTGGGTGACAATGGCGATGGGAAGCCGACTCTGCCTGTCTCGACATAGGTACCGGCGTACGACGGGCCATCCCTACGCAGGGTCTGTGTAGACGTGCATACGATCAACACCGCGGGGGACTAGATGCCGGGGTTGGGAATCGAGCCTGACCACGACGCAATTGAATGTAGGTAGATTGTTTCTTTGTTCTCTGCGCTCCAGCGGAAACCGGAAACAAGCGACCCAGAACCAAGACCAGTCAAGTTGTCGGCAGGAACTCCAAACTGCCACGCAGCAGAAACGCGGCAAGTTCGGTGTCACAGGTAGAGAGAGGAAACCCGAAATTGTCTGCTCGACGGCAGTGGGAGGAGATCGTTCTGGGGCCTTCCCCAGATCCGACGGTTGCTGATCTCCGCCACGGTGCAGGGCATGGCAGGGAAAATCTCCATACTTACCTGTCCATCTTCCCAACCTGCGGATATTATCCAGATGAGGAGAAGGGGGAAAATGAGCTGGTATGCAATCTACGTGGGCATTTCGATAGATTAAAGGGAGCCGAGGCTACCACCTCATACACGCGGTACATGGCATTAGACCGCGCCAGACAGCGGGACAAATGCTGTCTACAGGCTTTTAGGCGCGGCGCGCTCTTCCTTTTGCCGGATCCTCTCCCTCAAGCGACTTAAGCGGGCGGCAAAGCTCGCTCGAGGTGCTCGACGTGCCGGAGGTTGTCGAGGCGAGGGTGGTATCAAGCAGAACAACACATGGCGTTGACGCGCGCTCGGTACGACTCGAGATGTGCGAGAAGGGGTTTTTGGCAGCAGTTGGCGTTTCTAGCGGGTTGCGTCTGAGAAGTCGAATTAGCAGCAGCTGTACCTAGTAAATTGGTGTTAATTTACGACCTTGCTATTGTGGCGCATACAGCATATGAGTACCTATCATTTCATAACCTCCGCACCTCTCAACCCCACCAGACGCGAGGTACCTCCCTAGCCAGCGCCTAAGAGCCTGAGAGCCACGGGAGACAAGTCAAGTACCTTACGTACCTGGTATAGGGATGCATGTCGTAATAGCATCTGTTAGGGGGGAGATACTGCCCGCTGTGTAGGAGGCGCTGCACCTAGGTATGTCTGTAGGTAGGTAGTTTGGGGGCCGCGTTTCGGATCGGGGACAAGGGGTCGAAGGGGGGTTTACTTACCTACCCACCTCTCCTAATGTAAGGTAGGTAGTGGATAAGGATAAGGTACGGAGTTGCACATGGGTACGTATATGCATAGGTACTGCCACAACAGGCATATTACACCCATTGTATGTGCGCTACCTGCGTGTAGATGCCGAGGTCGGTACCTGCCGATTGTTGTTGAGCATCTACCTAGGTAGCTCAACCACGAGGGGAACGCAGGAGAAGGCGACCATGATGACCGACTGATGAGAGAGAAGCAATCCGTATAGGACCGGGAAAGGAACATGAAACCGAGCTGGCGAGCACTGCCAATTGACAACATGGCGTCAGCGCTCGCCAAAGAGGCGGGGCGGGGGGGGGAGCACATAGATCGATCTTTACCTTGCCGCGACGAGTTTCTGCCCTATTTAGCGGGATAAGGCTGGGTGTAACGAGCTGTCTGAGAAGGCGACCTTACGTGCTCCGATTTTGTGCCCGCTAAGCCACGCGGCATCTAAGCCGTGCATACATCGGTGCGAAGGTTATGAAGGCTAAATCCATGTGCGGTAATGCGTACCTACCTATGTATGTCAGTACGTCTGTACGTCTATACGTCTGCACGTCTGGGCGTATGCAGGCATATACACGTAGAGGTATGCATGTATACAGGTATGTCTGCATACTCAGTATGCACAACCCGATATATCCGGGATGCTTATTGGTTTTGCACTCTGATGTTGCAGCCTCCGCGCCTTTCCCACCCATCCCAGTCCCAGGTCACCAATGGCCTAGGCTACACAGAAAGAGGTGGTCGAAGGGCCCCGAACCAGAAGCCAAGTCCTCTCCCTCCCTCCCCTCTGATATACGCTGATTATACGGATCTAGGAGACAAGTACCTACCTCTAGGTATGTACATACCTACGTACCTAGGTACCTAACCTACCTAAGGTTATGTAGGTCAGGTTCAGGTCAGTCTTGAGGTTAGGTGGACATCTCCTCCTCACCTAGGTACCTAGCTACCTTGGTATGCACGTACCGACTGGTTGTGTGTCGCTTGGACGTTCCTTCAAAGTTAGGAAGGTGAAGAAGCAGTAAGTACCTATGGGGATTTCCGTAGGGAGCTTGGACCATTCGATGACCAAATCGACCGCTCAGACTTACGTAAGGAAGGGGAAAAAGGAAACCGATACAGCTGCGAAGTACTTGGAAGTGGACCCGCAAACCGTTAAACCTTACTACGACGCCGCATGTTGGTGCGGGCAGGCGCTGGTTTAGAGCACTAGGTAGGTACGTAGGAAGGATCTACTCATACCTGCCCAAGGTACCCGCCTCCCCGTAAGGTACTGCTGGCCGCACTCAATTGGTATCCAAAGTCCATAATATAGGCACAACCTGCCTGCCTCGGGTGCCTGCCCTAGTCGTGGTGGAGAAAGAGGGAAAGAGGCTCATTACTCATTACCTACCTGGTTGGCTTGGACCTTGTCAGGGAGGGAGGAAGGTCCTCTGGGTACCTCCCAGATGGCAGGATTCGATTCAATAGCAGTAAGTGTGTGGTAAGTTAGGTGGACGTTTCCTGTTTCTGTTTCTGTTTCTAAAAAGTGCTTGTCCGGTTTGGTTGGGCCCTGAGGGTACCTGGAGGTAGGTATTCGTTACTTCCATGCAATGGGAGCGTCCACCTAAGGTACCCAACTGGGGTGGCTTAACACTGGTACCTGCGTAGGGGGCGCTACTTACCTTAGGAGGTACTTAGCATCAGCCACCCGGGTGGGTTTTGCTTGTAGCTCCTGGTAACCCAAGCCAACCTGCCTTAGGCGGGTTAGGCTGGGAGGGTACCTCTAAGGCACGTATATGTACATAGGTACATACATGTAACCTCGAAACAGCCAGGCTATGTGTACATAGGTACATGCTGTATGATGTACCTCCTGAAAGAGAAGAGAGAGGGCATGTAACACCACCCTAATCCACATCCTTACCTGGCCACCTGCACTTACCTTATTCCCCCCCCTTCCCCCTCCTGGTAAGGTCTGGTCTTTGGTTCTTCCCTCTCTGTCGACTCTTCACCCCCTCCCCGTTTTCCTGGGCTTCTTTTTTTTTTCCCCCTCCCACTTTCTCTGCTTCCCTCCCGCGCGCACACACACACACATAACACTCTCACACACTCTCGCAAAAAACTCAGTGAACACGATTCGGTCTATTATTAGAACCAGGTTCAGCCCCATCGTCCTGCAAGTGCAAGCAGCGCACCGATTGATGTATTGGTATTTTGTATTGATGTATATCTCGGCAACCTGGTAATGCTTTGAGATGAGAAGCCTCTCTCTCTCCTGCCATAGCCTACATACATAGTTGTGTTTACTGCTGTGCTTTGTGCACATCGCGCGCTCTTCATCCCCAATTCGTCTCCGTCTATACATACACCTGGATATCCATCCGTCCTCCCATCCCTCCCTTGCTCTATATCCCATCCCGTGCTCTCAGAATATACATAGCATCGACCAACACCTCCCTCTCCCTCCACCGGGCCACTCCACCCGGGTACTACTACTGCTGCTACTACAACTACTACTATCATCATCGCTGCTACTACAACTACAACTTCAATCCCAACCTTTCCTCTTCTTCTTTCGTCTTCCTCCTCCCCTTCCTCCACACCTCACCTCACACATCCCCCCTCTCCTCCTCCCCTCTCCTCTGGTGGACATCCGACCCGTTCAGATAAATACCACCGGTGCCGTTTCAAGTCTTCAACCAGGAGATTCCTCCTACTACCTCATCATACTACCTAGACATTTGTCCATCCTGTTCGTCAGTCTGCCCATCTATTCACTACCGGGCGCTCCTTGCCGACCTCTACCTACCCTTCGGCAACACCAGCGACGAATCCTTCCGCCCTTCGTCGCCTGTTACAGTATATCTTCGAGTCGAACAACGGCCAGTATATACGCGCGCACGCCCATTACACAAATACGCACGCATACGTCTCACCAGCGACCTCGAATCTCCCCCCTGCCGAGTCAGCCTGCCAGATAGTATAATATTGTCTCGGGATCAAGACTTGGGAACGGCAACGCCTTTTATGTCGCCGCCCGCTGCATCGTCGCTGTCTACCGTGTCAAGGAGTCTATAGCTGCCAGCCCGAAATCTTCTAGCAAATAGGGGGCGAAGCTAATCGCTCACCTACCTACTTTTCAATCCCTTCTCGTCCTGGTTCTCTTCCCTTCATCTACCATAAATAAGCCTGCAGCGTGGTCAAGATGGGACGGAGAAAGATCGAGATCAAGCCCATCAAGGATGAGAGGAACCGCTCTGTGTAAGCTCCCTCCCGCCCTCGGCATCCCTCTCAGCCTCTTTTTTTCCCCCTCTATCCCTTCCTCGTTGCTGACTGAGGCGCCTATCTCTACAGCACGTTCCTGAAGCGAAAGGGTGGCCTATTCAAGAAGGCGCATGAGCTCTCCGTGCTCTGCTCGGTTGATGTCGCCGTATTCATCTTCGGCAGCAACAAGAAGCTCCACGAATACTCTTCGACCGATATGCAACATCTGATCACGAGATACCAATATGTTAGTTCCACCCCATCCCGTGAGACCGAGATAGGGGGAGATGATTGACAGGGGGAGTAGCACGGTATTCCGAACGAGCACAAGGGGCCACAAGATTTCAACGGCGGCGAGGATGACGACGATGACGATGTTGAGGGCACCCCCCCTCACGGCCATGAAGGGTCCGTTGAACCGCAGGTGATGCACTACCAAGGACAACCCTTTCCTCACCTGAGGCACCATACACCCTCCGCCTCGCCTCCCATCAACGGGATGCCCTTTGTAACCCGAGGACACACGCCGCAGCCCCAAGTCACGTCTAGACCATCGTCTCGGAATGATTTCCGACGCGACATGCGCGTAGCCCAAGCCGGCGGCCCGCCGGTTGCCAACGGGTACGCGTATATGCCTCAACCCCCTATTTACAACTCGCAGAACCAAGCAAATTTCCAGCACGGACTTCCGCCGCCGCCCCCTGGCCATTACCAATATCCCCCTCCCCAGCCGTCCGCCCAGATGCAAAACTACATGGAAGAACAGCGCCGGTCATCGATGCCGCCTAGCTACCCTCCGCAGGGCCCTCCGCAAGCACACCCACCGCCTCCGCGCCCGCAGCCCTCCCCCCCGCAGCCTCACCACCAAGCTCCTCCTCAGCCAACTCCCCACATGTCTCCTCCACGGCCGCCGCCTCAGCGCCTAGAGCCTCCGCGACATGCGCAAGAACAGCCGTCGCAATTGCCACAACCCAGTCTAGTCGAGCCGCAACAACCACCCGCGCCCATGGAGCCGAGACACGACCCGCAACCGCAGGAGAGGTCGAGCCAGCCTCTACTGGACACGGCGTCGGCGATAAAGAAGATGCCGCAGCGCAAGCAGCACAGCATCTTCACCCCCATCGACGAGAACAGATCGATCCTGTCCCAGCATCTGGCCTCGTTCCACGCGGAACCCCGCGTGAAGGACGATGTCACAGGCCGGTCGCAATCCGTGGATGTTGGCGCCGTGTCGCGGGTCAAACCCGATCCGTCTCCACCTCTCCCGCAGCATGCCAACGCTTCTAATTCCTCCCAATCCCGTAATTCCATCCACACAATCCCCGAGACCACATTTACGCCACCTTCACGCTCGAATAGCTTGAAGATGGGTGGTGGCGCGCGGCCCCGCCTCAAGGTCCAGATTCCCGACGAGCAGTCGGAAGCTGGCAGCAACGCTGGCGACTCGACGACACCCCCCTGCATTACCGCGGATACGGCGGTCCAGGCGACTCGCCGCAACGGCGACGCCCCCGGGACTGGTGTCGTGCTTCCGCCTCCTTCGCCGTCGGCGTCGGCCATGCTATCGGCGGGAGCTACGGGGCCGCCCAATCCATTCGCCAGGCCGCCCCCCCAGGCACCGAATAGCAGCATGAACATCGACACGCCCGTGTCGGCGCTGCCGTCCCGATTCCTCACCAACGATTTTCTCCCGAGCCCTAGCAGCTTCTATCCCGAGTGGAATTTTCGGGGAAGCGACAGCAATACCCTGCCGAGTCCCCTCAACTTCGCGACGCCGGTGGTGACATCGGGGCCCTCGTTTCTGAGGGACGAAATCGGGTCCGGCGTCGGGAAGAGGAAAAGTCCCGAGATCACGGGCGGCCCTACGTCAGACGGACCGGAGGGTAGTGAGCCTAAGAGGGTAAGGGTGGACGGTTAAAGACATCGACCGCCGTCCCTGCCCATTTAGCGACGTCAGCCTCTGGAGGACTGCCAGTCCGTTTCCATTCGTGTTTTATTCCCCCGCAACGTGCGACTGTACAACACCCCCCCTATAGAGCTGCTGCGGAGAGGGTATTTGCATTCGGACCCCGCAGCGGAAATCCTGGATATCATCTTCTTGGCCGTATAGGTCCCTTCCCCCCCCCCCACCCCATTACCTAGCATACGGCGTCTTCGACGTCACCTTCGGCGGACACGCTCCTTTCAAACCTTCTTGTATGGCAAACCATGCTTTTTATTCCCTTGACATCCCAGCATGGCGTGGCGCTCGGTGAATACTGTCATGATGGTGTTTTGTCGTTGTTGCTCTTATCTTGTTTTTATATATTTTGATATCTTTCTAGTCGATATCGGACTTTTTTTGTTTTTTATTATTTAATATTTTTAACGAATGAACAATAGGTGCTTTTCTAGAGTGGGATACGACGAATGAGTAACGGGGGATTGTCGACTAGTCAGATCAGCTTCGTGTCATCACATCTCGAGGGAAAAGTCGACGAGGAATTATTATTATTGTTATTACTCCTACCACCAACTAGTATTTCACTTCCCGAGACGACACTCGAGACGGCGTTGGGTGGGGCATTGTACACTAGCTAGAGATACCAGAGGTGGATGATCGTAACCTGGAAAAAAGAGAATAGGATTGAGTTGTTTTTCACGTTCCGTCCCTTGCTGTCCCTGATCTGGCCTGTTTTCGTCTCTGTGTTTTCGGCTTTAGAATGTCGTGCCCGACTGGCAAGTGTCCGACCCAACATCTATTAAGCACCACCTCGGTACGCTACTGCGCGTAGTAAGATGCACCTTAAGAAGAGGACACTATACGTAAGGCGTCGTGCTAGTTACCGGTCAGAGTTACTTTGCTGGCTGCTCGTAGGAGCTGCCTACCAACCTGGATACCTTAAAGAGGTACCTAGGTACCGAATTATGTGGTCCGAGGGAGGAGTATTACAGGCAGGTTGGTTAGAGGTAGGTACCTAACCTACCTTGGGTAGGTACCCGAGATACCCGCATGCGCTAATACCTTACGTAGGGACCCAAGGCACCTAGGCTACCTCCGAGATAGGTAGGTAGGTACCTGGATGTCTACAGATACCTACCTACCTAGGTGCCCTGTTAATCCTTAGGGGGGGTAAAGTTAGGTTAGGTTCATAGGTCAGGTACCAACCTCCTACCTACCTACCTACCTACCTACCTAACTGAATACCCGCACTACGGCTAACCTTAGTACCGTAGGTAAATATCTTGGGCGCCTTAGGTACCTGACCTAGGTAAATACCTAGGTAGGTACTTTACTGAGTTAATGGTTTACTCGCTACCTCTTGCACTCCAGAATCCATGTAAGCAGATTGACGTCCAGCTAAGCCCTTCCCTCCCCCCCCTTCTCCTCTGGGCTTCATTCACTCTTCTCCGCCTCGTTCTCCGTCCTGCTCCGTCTTCTCCGTCTTCTCTTCCCCCCTCCTCACGTGCCTGTCCGACCTCGCAGGCAGGTAGGTAGGTAGGTGGGTAGGTATGTAATGCAGACAGGTAGCGAGCGGCCAACCTTCTCGATATGGGTCGAGCCCAGCATGTGGGCAGGTCTGTACGTGTACGTGCGTGCATGCGCGAGTCAACCCCGTTACCCTGTTCTTATCCTCCTGCCCTGCCCCCCTTTTCCCCTTCCTTGGCGGCTCTCCCCTTCTCCTCCCGGGGGATCCACCAGCGGCGCATCTCGATTCTAGACCTTGATTTTGGGGGGGAGAGGGGGGGGCAGGATTTTTTTTTTTTTTTTTCCTTCAGAGGATTCCCTTACATGCCCTACCTACCCTACCCACCTACCTACCCGCCTACATACCTATGCACACGCTTCCCTGGCCTGGCCCGGCCTGCAGGTCATGCTATGCCGTGGGTAGGTATGGCCCAGCCGGAGGATTCCTCCGCCGCCACGAGATGAGCCCTGGTTGGGGCCGGGGCTAGGCTCGGCTGGGTAGGTAGGTAGGTGCTGTGTCTGCGCCAACCCGGCCAGTCGAGCCCAGCACAGCCAACGGATATCTACGTCTACACCTACATGCATCCATACATGCTACCTACTAGTAGCTGGGTAGGTACGTTTCCCCGCGGCGCGATTCGTCCGGCCCACGTGGTGCCCAGCACAGACAGACAGGCCACCACGCCCGTCCCCACTCCTCTCCTCTTCCTCCTCCGAGGGGACGGAGATGGGGGGTGGGGGGGGGGGGGGGGGGGGGGGGGCTGAGGCGGTTGCCGGGGCCGGGACGAGGCGCGGTGTTTCGTTTCTCGGGAGGGGCGACGCGAGCCAGCGGACCTGTTGGCTGGGCTGGGCTGCGGGATGGACGCACAGTGGATATGGGCGGGCTGGGGATGGGCAGATTTAAAAAAAAAAAACACCGCTTGCTAGACACCCGGGTGGGCGGGCACAGCTGTGTACCTACGTAGGTGGCTTGGGGGGAGTGGAGAGGGCAGAGGCAGGCAGAAGCATAGGGAGCTGGCTAGCTTACTGGGGACCTAGCTTAACGGGAGAGAAGGGGGGGGTGTCGGCCGGGTGGTCGGGCCTCGCATAGGAGAGGGAAGTCGGTAGACTGTATCGGCCCCACGGAGGCCACGAAGGCGGATACCAACCATCCTGCGAGTGTATGAGGATGGGGACGAGGGCATGGGTGGAGGATGGGGATGAGGTCGATTACGCCGATGCACACGTGCGTTCCGTAGATCGTATTGCGGCCACGTTTTTCTTTCCCCCTTGTCTTTTTTCTTTCTTGGCCTCGTTCGTTGGGTGTGTCCCTTCCTTCCGCCCTCTCCTGGCCTTTGGGCCTGTTGGGGAACCCTACCGACTCGTTACCGAGATAGACAGAGACGGCTGGCTATCTAGATGGACGAGTGGGCGTGTATGGATGGATGATGGGTGGATGCTCTGCTCTGCTATCCCGCTCTTCTACCGCGTGCTATTCAGCTCCCCCCGTATCTCGCGCCCCTCGTCCTGGACCTCTCCTTTTCTTTCCTACTGCTGTTGTTTCGGCTCTGGGCTGGGACAACGAGAACCCCTATCCTCTGACTGGCAGTTCGTATCGCTGTTCCCACCTCGGCCGTGATGTGGGTGTACACATATAATATGAGAAGGTGGCGGCGGAGTAAGGCCTCTCGCCCAGGGGCAGTGAGGCCGGTGGATGGGTATAAGCGCCAGGCCACCCACCCGCAGAGCCCAAGCTGGATGTATTTCGCTCCCAGCGGAACGAGGGAGGGGGAGTGCATGCTGGCAAAGAGGGGGGCCCGAGGCAAACGACAGCAAAACAAGCTAGAGGCGAACCAGCCGTTCCCAACAAGCTGGCTCTACGCTCCTATTCTCGTCTCCCCCCGCCCCCCCCCCCCTTTTGCTTGCCCCCAACATCTCTTGCTCCCCTCTGCCGCCCTCGTCTCCGGTGAGGGATCTGCGGTTACGACCGCACGCCGCAGGCTGCAGATTATGGGTCGAGGTTCGGTCTGGCCAGTCGACAGCGTATATAGGTAGGTACATGATGTATACCGGTTATATACACCTACATACGCAAGTCTGGTTCGGGTCTGCGTTCGCATATAGCCGCCCCTTTCCCCCTTGCTGCCCTCCCGGCCCCATGTCTGACTGCGTAGGGCAGACACGGCCCAGAGTGTCGGGACCCGCGCAGTTGCCGTCTTGCCGCGTGCGCGCCTTGGCTTGGCGCGCGCGCCCTTGGTCCTCGCCGTCCGCCGAGCTTCAGGCTGTGTGTAGAGCGAGGTGAGCTCACGTAAGGTACGGGCAGATAAGCAGGGAGGGGGAACGTATTGTAGAGTTATACCTATCTGACCTCGCGAAGCTGCCTGGCCCGCAGAGCCTGCTCTGGACAAGCGTCGGTGTCCGCCCGGGTGCCATGCCTAGACAGGTAGGGAATCCCATCCCGCCTTAGCGGCAGCAGGAGAAAGAGGGCAGCCGAGCGTCCAGGACAAGGGCGAGACGGGACCCCAGGACAGGACTGCCGCAAACCGACTCGTGCATATGCACGTATCTATACCTACGTGGCGCGTAGGGCTGACGGGAAGCGATCGACCAAGACCTACAGCTCCCCCCTCACTCGCTCGCTCGGGTCCTTCTAGACATCAGTGGTCGGTAGATCCTTCTCGTAATAGAAACTGCATATGCGTATTATATTGGCACCGTAGGCACCTAAGCACGACATATTCTCGAGAGAGCGGTGCACAGAGGGAGAGGGAGACAGATGGAGAGAGAGGGGGAGGGGAGATGGACAGACAGCCTGCTGCTTATCTCAGGACCGAGAGCGGGCGTGTTGTCATCCGGCTCCACCCCCCCCCTCCTCTTCCTCCCCGATCGATTCGAAGGGCCGATTAGCAGAACCGTGGCTGCGGGAGCATCATCGGGCGGCGGTCGGATCAGCACAGGCGTATAATATGCACAGGCAGATAAACACGTACGTACGAGAACCTCTGAGGGTGTGTGCGTGGACGCCGTGAGCGTCGAGTGCGGGCACGCAAGACGGTAAGGCTGGCTGGCTCTGCCCCTCCGTTGGGCGGCGGATGTCGTGCTCGCGCAGACGAGCCACTCGCGAGCCCGCCCTTCTTACCCGGCCGGCGCGTGCTTACTCGCCCGCGCCCTCTCTCGGCTGCTTACTCGCCCGACTTACTAAGGAGGGGGGGGAGTTTGGTCGAGAGCCGGGAGCAGGTGAGAGGGCCAACTCGCCTCCCTCGCCCCGGCTTCGTCGCTCGCCCGCCCGCCTGCTTACCGCCGCGTGCGTCGCCACCCCTCGCTCTGCCCACGCGGCCAGGTCGGCGCGAATGTCGTCGCGGCCATGCAGACACGGCCAGCGCTCTGCGCCCGCGGCGCACGCCTCGCGGGCTGGGCAGGCCTGTGTGCGTAGGTGCGCGCTTGCTCGGGCAGCTGGGAATTTCTGATTCTCCGATGTAAGCGGGGGAGAGTCGTGCGCCGATCGGCTGCGACGCAGACTGCAGAAGCCTACCTACACACACGATGCTTGGCGAGTTCCGTCGGGGTGCGGTCGAATGGGGTCGCGGCAGGCTGAGCCCGACGAGTCGCGGGTGCATGTGGCCGAGTAATAGATCGGCGAGCAGGACGGGCGAGGAAACAGGTTAAGTGAAGCGAGAGAGGGGGGGGGAGGCAAGTAGCGAAAGGGAAGAAATACATACCTACCTACATAAGCGCAGAGACGCGCGGCTAATGGGGACCTTTAAGCGTCTCGCGATACGACAGAGGCGCAAATGCGTGAGCGCGGATGGGTATTGGCGTAGGCATGCGGGATAGACCTCCGGCCCGTGCCCTGGGGAGGTCGCACGTCTCGAGGTCTCGACGGGCCACCCGTCCCAGAACCGGTCCCATTGGTCGTCTAAATAGCTGTGGCGGCGCCTCTTCTGGCGCCGATCCGCAGGCCTATGGCTGTCGCCGTCTCGTCTCGTGGGATACGCGAGAAGCGTACGGGTACGAGGCGAGGATATTCTGGTAGGTAGGGGAAGGACGCAGTACGGCCGGAAAGGACTCCGAGATGTCGAGTTACGGGTTTTTGGGCCACAGGCAGAAGGACGATGTATCGGGGAAGAGGCCTGAGTGGGAGGACACCTGTCTATCTACGAACTGTCTCGGTAATTGCCAGCACGGCCTCACTTAGCTTATCATATATTAGACGCTGCTCATATCAGTGCCGAGGCAGCATCCCCACTCGAGCTGTAGAATCCGAGGTCGGGTTCTTGCAGCTGATAGCTGCCAATCTGCCTCGATGGCGCTGCGCGCCACGGCGAGGCAAGTTCCACTCTTCAGCGTAGGGTCGAGCGAGCGACCCGAGAGGTCCTGTCGTTGTCTCACGTTCAGCCCTACAGCCCTCCCCTGGTGCGCCTCGGCTCCCTCCGTGCCGCTGGATGTCGTGCTTTCTGCACCATCGGCGGGAATATTGTCGTGTTACATCGGCACTCCCCATCGTATTTCTGAGTATCCCCCTAGCTGAGGCAAGCAGACCTCGGAATGCTACCACGGGTTGGAGGGCTATGAACGTATATGCAGGGAGGTTGGCCGAGAAGAGATAGGTAGGTAGACGAGGCATGCGAGACATAACACTTCCGTACCATATACTAACGCGTATATATGCCTACTCTCTACGGGCGTACATCTGCGCTGAGTCCCTCTCCCTCCCTCGTATGCGCATTAGCTCGTATGGTTGCGAACACCGCTGACCCCTCGTGGCACAATGTTTCCGAGAGATTGACTACGAGATACCTATGCATCACCGATACAACAGCGTAAAAAAAAAAAAGATACACTAAAGAGGGCCGGCTGTTGGGTGGGTAATATTGGCGGTCTTAGGCTTAGAGGGTAGAGTCGTTTGCAGCTCGACCCTCCACGTAGGTAATAGGAGATCGGAAGATGGCCCGGCCGCTACCTCCGGGGAAGATCCACTTCGGCCGCCGGGCCCGGCGCCTTAGTGCAACTCGGAATCATAACCCCTGGAGATTCGCGGAGCACCTATTTAGCGCGCCCCTCCGATGGCCGTTAGTGTACATACGCGATGTGTAAATCGATAAATATCTAGTATACTGGAAAAACTCAAGGCGCGCCCTAGCCTAGCGACGAGAAATGACAAGGTGACTCAGTCGCTCGTTACTGACGATGCCATCCGGACCTCTCCTGAGTAACTCACCTCACCTAGATACGCAATGTCCTGCTATGCGCTATAATCCACGCGTCTCAATATCGTATTGCTAACAAAGTCGAATTTTTGTTGCTCATATAAGGCTGTCACACTCAGATTATAGGCTGCCGTTTCAAAAGTTGCGACCATACACATTCCATGCATACATACGTATCTTCTGCCGTACGACATGTGCTGGCGCACATACTCTTGCCGATACTATTACGCCGCGTATTCAGGAGAGCTGGCGCCTCGACTTTATTATTACGAACCGGCTTAACCGATATTAATCCCTTACTTTATTAAAACTAAGTAAAGTATTCGGAGCTCTTATTACCGAAGATAAAAAGATAGGTAAGTCGGGCCTTTATATCTTAATTACGTATTAAAAAGCTACTTTAAAACGAAAAGCCGGAAGAAAAAAGCCGGAAGAAGTAACGTTAATAACTTTATGGGAGGTACCGGGTGTGAGAGCCTAATCTCCAGGAAAGCCATAGAGGCAGGAGCTACGTCTATGTTCTGGTGAACCAGGCGAAGCTTTGCGGAGGTCCGGATGCTTCCTCGGGCCATTAAATAGCCACTGGGTTAGGAGTCGAACGTGTTGAGTTCATAGCTAACGGGGGAACTATTTACGGCTACTTTTGGGGTAGTTATTTCAGAGCCCCTCGGGTAGACTGAAGCAAGGCGCATTATTCAACTACCTCTTACTGGTTAAAATTAGATGCCTATTTTTTTTTCCAAATCCGACACGGGTCGGCAGTCACCCGAAAATCCCATTTATTAGAGACTGCTGCTGAGTTAAAACAGCCGACGACCGAGTAGGAGATTAAATAGGGTAAGATGATTTGATATACACTACGACTTTATCCTTCCGCTAAAAGCCTATTCATAACGAAATGGGGAATCTCTATTACTACTGTCAAGTATTTTCTTCCCTCGACTGATCCGCTGTTAGACGGCTACGTCGGGCTAAGGCATCATTCGTCCTTCGCCACCTCGCGATAATCATCCGAAAACGGCTATAAGCTATGCGTTTTTATCTATCAAAATCTTCTTCGCTACGTTACCACATATACTAGCGACAAACCCAAGGGATTACCTTAAAAGAAAGGCGCGGCAGAGGAATAGCTACTGGCTAAGGATAGGATTAGCAAAGGCTTCATCTTCGAAACAGACGGGGACGCAACTGACTTCTCGCCACAAGGGGAGGCTGGCCTGGTCGATGGGGTCTCCTATACGAGAGAGTCATAGGGAGCAGGTAAGGCGTGCAACATCAGGATTACAACGTCAAAGGTAAGAAGGTAGAGCGTTCCGCCGTTCGGGGGCAGCTCCCGGAGAGGTATTCATACTTTAAACTTCTCCGTCATACGAGTTACACCTTAATCTCGACGGTCGTGTGCGGCCCGAGCGCGATGGTATCACCGCCGTCATTACACTAGGTAGAATGTGCAACTGAGATACCGTGGGCTAGCATCGCCATCGCCTCGGATTGGTGAACTAACCTATCATCGAGAGGCTGGGCTTTACAGGGGAGACTTCTTTCCAATCGCATACTCCCTTTTCGTAGGCGTCGCATTACGTAGGAATATTAGCGGGTCTACTATGCAAACGACCGCCACCACCCTTTCACACTAGGCCACATGTTATCCGAGACTGCTCAGGTCAGAAAGTTAGAGTTCATAAACACCGAAAGCGAAATCTATCAACACTGGCGGGAGGTTGCTGAAATACCTCTCACCGACTGCTCACTCACGTACATTTCGGTCAGGCTCCCAGCACTGTCAGGGCTGGCTAGTCGGTTCTCGCTGCGACTCAGCGACAGTTACGCGGCCGGAATCTGGCGACGTGATATTCATGCCAGCCTCTCGTGGAATGTCGCGCACCGCGACGGGTTCGATCCGAAGTTCCCGCATCTTCCCCTATGCTCATACCTGGAGTCCGCTAAGCGAGAGTATCTCAAGACTCTCCCTTCCCGGTCTTGGCTTTAAACCGGCTGCAGAATCTCCTTCGAAAGCAGGTCCAGCGAACCAGGAAGGATGCAGTCCGACCTTCAGGTCAGCCCTACCGAGACCGGTCCCCCGGGAACCAATTCGTCCAGTAACGTCAGCGGTGGCTTACCGAAGGTCAACGGTCAGATGAGGGATTGCATTCTACGCGCTAACTCGCGAAATCAGAACCGGTACAAGGGCGTATATGACCGGGAATCAACTGCCAAGGTGGCCGATTCACTTGCGGATTGCTAGCGTATACAGGATCTTCGTGTCACACGGGGATGGAACCATGCTCCAATAATCAGGTCATAAGAAGGTTAGGAGGATAATATCGGGCATTAAGGTTACCGGTTCGGCGACCTACCAAGGAAAGTCCTAAATAAGCCACGGATAGCTTCGGTATTAAGGTACTTAGGTACCAAGGTACGGAGGTACCTTAATAATATATTAGGACGAGAAAGGTACTAGGAAACTTAAAGAAGGCAAGGACCTAAGAAACCTTTTATAGAATTATTAGTTAAATTTAAACTTATTCTAAGTATATTTCTTTATTATAGATAATTCTATATTACTCTTACCTTATAACTTTATTATAAGTTAATAATAGGAAAAGCCTACGCCTAAGCCTGCGTTATACGTAGCCGCCGCTTTAGAACCGGTACTACTAGATTAACCTAGGCCCTTAACGGAAAAGCCATAGGCGTTCTTATTCCTACGGACGGCTACGTCCGGGCTAGTATCGATCTCTATGGCGGAAGTAGCTTAGATAGTAGCTACGATTAATAAACTAAAAGCCGTAATAGTAGAATTAAAGGCAAAGGACGCCGAACGATAGTAAAACCTTCCGGCGCCCTAGCTAAAAGCGACCCTAAAACCGGCCGATAAATCCCTCGTCGTATATTAATCCTAAGAATACGAAGTAGTTATAGCCGATACCCCGGAGATTATAAACTTAGGGGTAGTTATACGTAATCCTTTATAATAGATCGTAGATTTATATAAGTAAATAGGATAAGTATATTAAAGCCTAGCGATATTAGCGAATTAAGTCGATATAAGATACCGATAAAATACGATCCTAAAAGAATAATACGAATAATTACGATAGCTTTACTAAACCGCTACGGCTATATAAGCTATCGGTATCCGAATTACGAAAATATAAATCTATAAATTCCAGAAGTAGGTCGTAAAGTAAAGTACTTACTTCGTTTAAAACGTATAGGAAACCGTAGTTAAGTTTACCCGATAAAATAAAATACGAACGGCCGCTATAAACTAACTTCGAAACGCCGTACTTTAAAACTAACGAGCCTTAACCTAGCTACGCGAAGAATATAATAAGTTAGTAACGGACGTTAGTTCTTAGGTTACGTAAAAGGATAGATAAATTAACGAAATCCTTAGTAAGGAATACCTTATTCCCGGAGCTATAAAGGAAAAAACCTAGCTAATTAAGGACGACCTTAAGGCTTACGCGGCTAATTTAATTAAGGAATATTAATAACGACGACTAAGTAATAAATTAACGGATATCGAATTTATTATCGCCGGAGTTAATTAAAGGATAAGGATATCGATTCCCGCGCCGGCTATCCGTATTACGATAGCGTTAACCGGGAGATATATTAGTAGCGAAGCTAAAATAAAGGAAATTATTTCCGACGGCGTACTATAGGATACCGCGGTTAAACGTACCGCCGTATACGCGCGGACTTACTTTTAGGATATTACCGTAGGAGCCTTTATATTAAGAGGAGCCGGGTAGGAACTACCGTAACCGCTAAGGACCCCGCGGAATACCTTAGGAAACCTAAGGAATTCCGATAATTCGGAAGGCTTAGAATCCGGGGATCCGTAAAGGCCGCGACGCTTACTAGGTATCCCTAAAGAACCTTAAGAGCCTTTCGATCCGGCTAAAGAACGTATGGTTCGGGCCTAGATTAAAGCTATGAATAATTAACGAGGTATTACGGTAATAACTAACCTAGTATACCTTGTTAAGCCTACGGCTTATAACGGTAAGGACTTAACTAAGTTCCGATTATAATAAATTAAGGTTAAGTCCTACCTCGAAACTTACGAGGAAAGTTTTACCCGGGACGTTTAAAAAATTAATTAAATAGGATCGATACTTACCGAAAAGGCCTAGCTCTAGTACTAATAACGATTAGCTTAAGTAAAGAGGTTAATAGTCGTCGATACTTAAGTAGGATATTCCTAAGCCCTTTAAGAACGATTTAAGGATCCCGCCGAACGATATCGTAACTCTAAGAAAATATAAGAACTTAAGTACTAAGGAGATATCTCTTGGTACCTTACCGAGCTTATAAACCTTAACGACGTCGTTTAATGATCCGGAATTACCTTTTAGAATTATATCGCCCGTACCTTATCCGACGAAATAATTAAGCTAGTTTATTTACGACTAGGTAATATTCCCGAAAGCGATAAAGCCTTTCTTAAAATAATTAAAGAAGCTAGCTAAATCTATGAAAACATAATAACTAACCTAGGGATTTCGGGAAAAGGAGGATCCGCTTCGTAAAAAAAACATACGAAGGCGGATTAATAATAAAGGTAACCCGTAAAAAAGATTCGCTCCCGCTTAAGTTAACCGGTAAACGAACGTAAAAGTAAAGAAACTAAGAAACCCGTACCGGCTAAGGACTTACGGTAGATAAGTAATAAAGAAGCTTTAGCTAGAATTAACTAAGCCGTAATCGATTAACGAAAGAAGGATAAGAAAGCCTACTAGCGGTATAGAAGGAATAATTACTAAACCTTAGCCTACTTTACTAAAAAAGATATAGAAGAACGGGACTTACCTACGTTACTTAAGAAGGTTTTATCGGGAAAAAGAGAAAGGGGAAAGCCTAAACTATTACCTAATAAAAGGGCTAGAATCGATACTATTATACGATAGGAAGAAACTCTTTCCCGTATTATGGAACTATCCGATTCCGATAAGGAACGGGATTTTTAAATGCCCCCCCGTAAGCGTTAACGAAAGAAAAGGGCGATAAAAATAACGTAAAGATTACGGCTACGAAACGGCCCGGAACGTTAGAAGTAATAGAAGTAGTACCGATAGCGAAGAAACTACGAATCCCTTAGCGTAACTAAAGTAAACCCCGGTCGGATAAACGGTTTATTTATATAATATAAATAAAATATTAAGAAAAAGAATACCCCTTACGAGTCCTATTAAATACCGGTAGCGAGGTACCTTTAATTAACGCCGCTAAGGTCGAATAGCTACGCCTTTTTATTAATTAACGCTTAAAATTAAGAACCTTAGTAAGATTCGACGACTTTAAGATATTATTAGGAAGGCTTCGATATACGAATAAAATAAAGCTCCGTAACTACGACTATATTTACCCCGTCGCTTAAGAAGTTAGTAAATTAAACGAAGAGGTCGACGCTATTTTACCTTAATAATAGATAAAGAAATATCCTCCCTAGGGTTTATTTACGGAAAGACGATTATATTTTAACTTACCCCGATGCCGGAATTACCGCCCCTAGCCGATCCGTATAGGAATTACGCGAGAAAAAGACGTCCTATTATAAGTACCCGAATAATTCCGCGACTTCGTTTCCATTATAACCAAGGAAGCGGGATAACGGTTCCTTAATCGGTAACCGTAAGACCACGCTATCGAGCTTCGTTTAAGAATTAATCCCCCGTAGGAATCCTTATACGTTATAAGCGGACGATAGTTAGACGCCTTAAAACCCTAGCTCGACGAAATAATAACCATAAAAAAAATCCGGAAATCCAAGGCCCTTTATAACGTATTTATAATATTTATAAATAAGAAGGACCCGGACGCCCTAAGACCGGTAGCTAACTACCGGGGGCTAAATAAAATTATAATACCCGTCCGATACCCGATTCCGCTAATTAACGAGCTATAGAACCTATTTTAAACGGCGCGATGATTTATTAAGATTAATTTAAAGTCTAGCTTTTATATAGTACGAATTAAGGAAGGCGACGAATAAAAAACCGCCTTCCGAACGCGCTATAGGCTATACGAATATACGGTTATACTTATGGAATTAATTAACGCTCCCGCTACCTTTTAAGCTATAATAAACCATATCTTTCGCGACCTTTTAAACGTAGGAATTATCGCTTATTTAAATAACGTCTTAGTTTATATCGATACGCTAGAGGAATATAATAAACTAATTAAAGAAGTCTTAAAACGGCTTATAGAAAACCATTTAGCGGTAGTCCTAAAGAAATATACCTAACGAACGTAAGAAGTTAAGTTCTTAGGATATAATATAAGTCCTAAAGGTATTACTATATCTAAAGATAAAGTAAAAGCTATCCTTAACTAACGTATCCTAACTATACTTAAGAACTCTTAAAGCTTTATCGGGTTCGCTAATTTTTACCGTAAATTCATACGTAACTTTTCGGGTATAGCTAGGCCGATTATTAGCGCTAATAAGAGAAACCGTAAGCTATAAAAATAGGAAGTCGAAATAAAAAAGGCCTTCTAGGAACTAAAGGAAACCTTTATAAAAGCCCCGGTACTTATATATTTCGATCTTAATCGAATCCCGATTATTAAAGCCGACGCTTCGGATTTCGTTATTTTAGCCGTACTCTCGTAAAAAGGCGACGAAGGAAGACTAAAATTAATAGCCTTTTTCTTAAGACGACTTACCCTAGCGGAAATAAATTATAAGATATATAATAAGGAACTACTAATAATCGTTAACGTATTCGAGAAGTAGCGATATTATTTCGAAGGTACTTAGCATTAAATAAAAGTATACTTAAATTACTAAAACCTAACGTACTTTACTACGGTAAAAGTATTAAATCGACGATAGGTCCGTTAGGCTTAATAGCTTTCCTCGTATTACTTTATAATATATTACTACCTAAGGAAGTAAAATAAAAAGGCCGATATTTTATTTAGATTATTATAATATCGCCCTAAAAAAGGAGGAGCTAAGGACTAGCCGATAACGACGGTCCTATAGAAAAAGTATTTCTTAAAAAATTCAGGCTTACCTACGGTAATACTTTCTAGCGTACGATTAAATAGCGTTTTAATACCCGCTTAGACCCTAGAGTTCGTTAAATAGGTTAAAACGATAACTATATAGGACCCGGAGTATTAGGCCTAATTAATTAAATTATTCGGTAAGGAAATAAAGCTTTAGGAGGGCCTTCTCTACCGACGAAACCGTCTCTAGATACCTAAGGACCTATAATAAGAAGTAATTAAATCGGAATACGATATTAAAGTAACGGAATATATAAGTATAAATAAAACCATAGAACTTATTACTCGAAACTTCTAGTAGCTTAACCTAGAAGTAATAATTAAAGAATTCGTTAGGAGGTATCGCGAATATTAATAAAATAAGGTACCCCGATATACCCCGTTCGGATTATTATAACCTATAGAACTATATTACCGATTATAGTAAATAATCGCGATAGACTTTATTACGGACTTACTAATATTTAACGGCTACGATTTTATATGAATTATCGTAAACCTCTTTACTAAAATAACGTACTTTATTCCGCTAAAAAAGAACGGTAAAAAAGCCGAAGATCTAATACCTATCTTTATCCGTAATTACTAGCGGCTATATAGGATTCCCTTAGACATTATCTTTAACCGAGACTTACGATTTATTTCCTATATATAAAAGGACGTCCTAAAGCTCCTCGGAGTTAAGCCTAAAATAAGTACCGCCTTTTATTCCTAAACGGATAGATAAACGAAAAGACTTAATTAAATCCTAAAAGTATACCTACGCGCTTTCGTAAACTACGAAATAAGCGACTAGGAAAGCCTACTTCTTACTACCGAATTTACCTATAATAATATTACTTCGATAGCTATTAATATGTTATCCTTTTACGCTAACTACGGATAATACCTAGTAATATATAATCCCTTATTAAGTACCCCTAAGAATCTAGGAAGTAACCTTTATACTTACTAAATAACTAGGGTATATAACGAGGCTAAATAGTATTTAAAAAAAGTACGGCAGCGGATAAAAGGATATGTAAATAAATACCGAAAAAAAGAACCCCCTTTAAAAGTCGGATAGCTTATTATATTAAACGCCCGTAACATTAAAACTAAGCGCCCTATAAAGAAAATAAATAAGAAGATATTCGATCCCTTTAAGATTTAAAAGGTCGTTTCCCTTACCGCCGTAACTTTAATACTCCTAAAAGGTTAACGCATTTATAGTACCTTTTACGTATCCCTTATTAAACCTTACCGCGCTAATAATTAGGAGTTACCTAACCTTAATTAAGTCCTACGGAAGGTAGCCTCGATTAAGGCAGAAGATTACGAGGTAAATAAGGTATTAGATTCCGCTAGAACCGGAGAAGTTATTAAATATTTAATAAAGTAATAGGGATAACCGGTTAAGCGCTACTAAACTTAGGAACTATGGAAGTACTTTACTACCGAAGGGACGAAAGGAGCCGTTAAGTTATTCCATTAATAAAACCCTAATAAACCTATTAACCCTTAAAGTTTAGGCCCTTAATCCGCGCTTAGAAACGAGCTCCTCCGAAGAGGGGAGATAGTATTATACGGAAATGAAACCATGCTCTAATAATTAGGTCATAAAAAGGTTAGGAGGATAATATCGGACATTAAGGTTACCGGTTCGGCGACTTACCAAGGAAAGTCCTAGATAAGTTACGGATAGCTTCGGTATTAAGGTACTTAGGTACCAAGGTACGGAGGTACCTTAATGATATATTAGAACGAGAAAGGCACTAGGAAACTTAAAGAAGGCAAGGACCTAAAAGACCTCCTATAGAATTATTAATTAAATTTGAACCTATTCCAAGCATATCCCCTTGTTACACTTCGAGAGGTTAATCGTAAGCATAATAGGAACATCACAGCGTTACCCCTGGCGAGGTGTGATACTCACGGAGACGATGTCAGCCTGAGGTTGGAACTTGCTCTATAGCCCGTATACGACACCACAGGACGGACTTATGGTTGTATTGGGCTTATTGTATGGTCGTCCAATATGGATAATGGTGAAGCAGGTAAAACCTGGTTCGAAAACGGAATGCATAGTTGTTTAACTATAGTGGGATAGATGAACTAGGACTTCCTGACTAATGCGCCTACCTTCTACTTTTAAGGATCGTTATATGAGTATAAGCTAGAGCAATGTTGCGAAATCTTTAATATCTCTAGAAGGCAACTCGATCTACGACACGGATCATTAGTTCAGGCAGATATAATGGGCGATAAAACATAGTTGCGTACCGAGAAGGAAGGAGGTTTTAATCCTGTCTTAGATCGACTCAATCACAATCTTATCATTCTGGTGCAATGACCTTTGTACCCTTGGTTAATGGTAGGGTAGAACCGACCTCCACTGCATAAGCAACCGACCACGTATTTAAACGGCCCCGGGTCTGTAACCGTAAGATCCGGTGGTTTCGTAACCGGTTCTTGACCAGCTAAACTATTAGATATGATAATAAAGTAGGAAGGGCCAATAATGCTATGTAATCTCAGCCCATAAAGTTCGATTTAAAGCAGATTGTTATTTAATGGAGTTTATATTATTTTCCTTGATAGGTACGAGCTAATTATATATTAAAGCCTCTCGTAGGCTAGTAGACTTTAGATTTTACATTCGGGTAAACATTTCTATAGGAGTAGCGAGACGTCAAAACCCTTTCGTTCTAGTTAAGAATATACTTACCTAGGGCGAGTCCGCTAGTTCTTTGTATGTTGACTCGTAAGGCGACTAATATGAAGAAATGATCTTGGGTCGCGGGGATTATAGGTGAGCGTAGTGATGGAAAGCAGATTATGTCCTCTTGCCTTGTTTTCGATATATGCTTTCGGTATTGATATACGTGGGGTATATAAATAGTGCCGGGGAGGGGTGCCGCGTGCCTTAAGATACGAGAAGTTATCTGGCGGTTTAATTTAAGCATTCTCTAATACAACTGAGGTATAGGATGATTAGTAGCGACATGTCGTCGAGCCCGCTAGTAACACATGGGGGTCTCCGGTCCGGAGAATCCGTAGATAAGTTCCCCCCACGGCGGAGTCGCTAAATCTGCGGTCTAACACTGCCAGGTAATAATGTAATATACTATGAAATAGCGTCCGACGAAGCACGGGGTCATTAACCCGGCTTAAGATTGTATATGGTTGGATTAGGAGCTCAACTTGCAGTCGTTATTTATGGCCTTCGTTTGCTGTCGAGCGCCGTGATTCACTAGCGAAGCGAAAATCAGATTCCCGCTGTCTTTAAATGCACTCGGAGACTTAGCTAGGTGCCCGGAGAGGTCCTTCTCCTTGTTATCCTTCTGTATCTTCGACTCGAAAACAGACTGCCCATTGCTAATTTTGATGACTTTTTGTTGCGGACGCTGGAAGGCTTTCTCTCCCTCGCTGTACATGAGAGGTATGGTGACGGAGAAAAGGCCGAGGAGGCAGTAACCTAGATTTGTTAGTCTCCGGCTGGCCCAAAACACCCTCCCTGCCAGTAATATGAATCTCGGCGACTTCGGGGATCAGTTCTCTCAGGCGGTACTTTCGGCCGAGGCGTTTCCATTCGCCGGAATAGAAGACAACTTCGATCGGAGCAATGAGCTCCCATGCAGGTTCAACGTGGACTGAATTACACACAATCGACGTTCTTGAAACTAACGGCTCTGTTTTAACTCGCCCTCGCGAAAGCTCCAAGAACCCGAGGTATCGGAGCCTGTTTCCAACGGGGCCGTTTCCCAGTCTACGGAGTAATTAGTCTAGTGCGGTTGGTAAGAGGGCGGACGAAGTGGCGAACGTACGGGAACATGAGAGGGACCTGAGCGTAGTTCTGGGATTCTATTCTTGACTGAGACGTTACTTCGACAGGGATTAGTGAATTTAACGGAGCAGTTCTAGGCTAGCTCGATACCCAACACTTGAACCTGGTCTTGGTTAGGTATGTTCATTAGTCGCCATCGTACATGCATACTGATCGAAGTTGGCCATCTATTGCTTTTTTGATCATCTAAACTAACCAGCTGCCTTGCCAAGTTCGGTATACATATATTTACCACAGGTATAGGTGTTTGAACTGACCTGTAGGGTAAGTGTATTATGCAAGTAATATTTAAGACAATCGGGGTTGGGTCGACAAGCTAGCTCTCTGGACCACCATGTTGTTCTATGTCGGCACTCCCTGACGGTCAAAATGGACGAAATTACAAAGGTGTCTCGTAGGAAGCTATATAATAACCCCAGTCCTCCAAATTGGAATTAAGGTGTCTACGTCCTCCTGTTACGGAAAATGGTAGGTGAGCTCTAAACCAACAAGACACCGATCATCGATCCGCCTCCGTCGCGACCTCGCTATCAGTGAGCCTTTGGGATTCCTCGAAGTCCTTGCCGGCGTGCCAACGGTTATCGTGTTTACGAAAGACCCCGAAAAACGCCGCGCCGCTAAAGATCATGGTACCGGCCAACGCTGAGTACATAATCACCAGCCAGGGGTCCCTCGACACGGGGCCGAGGGCCATACCGAGCGCTGCTCCCAACGCCGCGGTGAATTGCTCGAAAGACTTCACGAGGGCTTTCATGTTGGTCGACGCCTCGGCGTACGCGAATTCGTTGAGAGCCACGAAGCCAAAGATCTCGCCGAGCGCGATGAAGAAGTGGAACGGGAGCTGGAGCCAGACGCTGACCTCGTTGGGCCGATACCGGACCTCGCTGCCGGCGGCGGTGCCAACGATGCCGGCCTCGCAGGCCAGCGGGTGCGAGTAGCACGGTCCGCGGCTGTAGATGATGTGCTGGACGCCGGCCGCGTAGGCCATTGCCATCGCCATCAGGACAAAGGAGAGCGCCATCCTGGCGATCGGGCCGAACAAGATACGGCGGCGCGAGAGGTACGGGAAGAGGACGTTCTGGATGGCGGGGTTGAAAATGATGTACAGGATAGCGTTCATGGACTGGACCGTGTCGTTGGATATACCCGACAGCTCCATCTGGTTGGCCTGCGAGATGATGTTGTTCATCGTCTGGTTGAAGCACAGGTAGAAGACGGCGAAGCAGACGACCACGCGGCAGGCCCGCAAGCCGCGGCGGATCTCTTGGACGAACTCAGACGTCCACGGAACCGCCCGGTGAGCTGGGCCATCTGGGGCGCCGGTTCGGCGGCTGACAGGTGGAACTTGGCTCGGGCCGCGACCCCGAGAACCCGGGCTGTGTGAGGTAACACATTCCCTTGAGCGGAAAGTTTTGCTGGGAACAAGGTTAATAAAGGTGAGATCAGAGCAGGTCATACGAAGACGCAGCGTACTCAGACGACCGTTCAGTAGCACGAAAGGTATCACAGAGGCGCTTAAGAAGCACAAGGGGAGTAAGTACGCCGCCCAGAACCCGATGTTCTTCTCCATGTTGGTCGTGGCAAGGGTAGCTAGCGCAGCGATATTGACCATCCTATCACGATAGTTAGCAGTTAGAGCCCGAAACCAACCCGCAAGCATTCTACCACTGACCAATAAAAGTAATTGAATACATATTGTATCGTAAGCTTTGGGTCCGTGACAACCAGCTCCCCTTTTTTGTTGCGGATTACTTTAGGAGTCGTCTCCGGTATTTGGTCCCCTAGATACTAGTTCAGTGACATACACTTCGCGATGCCAGTGCTGGTACCAACCTAGGAAAGGAAATATAACTGCTGAAGTGCCCCCCTGCCCTAGACCTATAAGAACCATGGCAACGACCAATGCAGGGTTTAACGACCACAGGGTACTGAATTGGGGGAAACTCTTTCGAATTGAGGCGGGTTTTCAGGTCCTCGACACTTTGCATCCGGAGGGCGACAACGTCTACGCTCGGCTCGATTTCTCGCGACCGAAATTTATCAGCTGAAATGACGAAAGACTCCGATGGCGAGGTCGGGAACCCGAGCCTCTCGCAAGCTCAGGCAACCCCGACCATACGCTTATTGCTGATGGTGGTAATGCCGCGTATTGGCCTTCCGTAGCCACGGATGGCGTCGACGAGGCGGTCTACGAAGCCATCATCGGGGTCGAGATTTGCCGCGATGAACCCCTCTCGTACATGATCCCACCTCGAGTCTTGTAGCCAGTGTCCTTCTTTGTCGATGACCACGACAACAATACCTAGCACCGAAGCAGCATTCCAGATACGCTCGCTGTGGTCCATATTGTATCTCCCTCTCACGTAAGCGATCCGTTTCAAAGGAGGGCAAGAAGGGGAAATCCATGGGAATGATAGGCGAGTGTCGAGCTCCGCCTCTGTCCTGGCTAAAGCACAGAAGTCTCTGACCGCTACTGCGCCTACAGCATGTGAGAGTATCTCTGTGAGCAGTGGCAGCGGACGAATATTTTCAGGATTTAGGTCGGTGGCGCGACTGATGCTTTGTCGGGGTGTAAGAAAACTCTTCGCTATAGCAACGTCATCAAAGCCAGCCAGACGCTGTTGTATGAAGTCGGAGTGAACGCAGAAGCCTGAGCTGTCGGGAAGAATAAACTTGGCTGAGACGGTGTTATCCCGCGCTCCGGCCTCCTCCACACGTTGTAGACTTTCGATTACGAAGCTACCCCATGGCGAAGTACTGTCTAATCGAATCGGGTCTGCTTCTGAATCATTGTAATCGCCGATTTCAAATAAGGAATTTGTCTTGTCATAGTCTGAGTCTGGCTGCCTCACCACCAAATCCAGAGTCTGACAGTGGCGCCGCGCAGAGCTAGTGTTGATTCCCCAATACGCCGGATAACGGCCTACAACACAGTAAGCAAGGGGACAGGATGAATTCTAATATACCACGTCGTACGTACACATATTTCCTAGTATATTGGCTGTAAGTACGCAGACATACGCCATCTTCGCCGTGATGGGTTGATGACCGCACCCTGGGTGGTGAGTCCTAAGAACCCGCAACCGAAAAGAAATAGGGGAAAGGGGGCTTGGCTCAATGATATGAACTCGTGGAAGACAATCATGCCCCTTCAGCCCTACTTAACGACGGATTATGACCATCACACCCATTGATCCCATTTAACTAACGTTCCTCCGAAAGGAGGGGATGCCGGCTTAACTGCCGTTGTATGTGCAACATCGTCCTGCCGCTGTCTGCATACGGCGAATCCTTTCCGCCCAGGTTACATAGCACTCGCCCGCCTACCCCATGCTCGACTGAGTTGGCGGTAATGTCACATTACCGTAATGCGAGTTCCTCTCACCAACGGAAAATGAAGAAGAGCGGCCTGATACTCGACCTGATGCTCTCCCTGCCTCTCCGGCGCGTCTCTCTTTTATGCGCAGGCGCCACCTGCGCCCCCGACGCTTCACTCTCCAACTTCAGGGTGCGAAGGTAAAGGGTCCCAATATTCCCACGTACGACTTGGGTCTTTACTAATCGGGGACAGGAACGTCGACAGGCCCGTACTTCTATCGTAGGATTCCTTTGAGCAAGCAAGTCTCTTCCCGCCACCGCCGGGCAAGTTGACGACGAAGTTTGGGGTCATGAACCCCGCTATCGAGCCGCGGATTGCTGCCTCAAGCGCCAGGATCTCCTGCAGCGGCGTCCGCATGTCCTCGATCCCGCGGACCATGTCGCACTGGAAAACGTAATACTGTGTCATGGTAAGCAAGCCGTCCGCGGCCATCCTAGTAGATGGCGAGTTAAGGGCGCATTTTCCAATCTTACTGGCTGGACGTTGAGTGACGAAAGCTGCGCGATCAACGATTTCATAGTGTCGACGTCGTTGTTGACACCGTTTAGAAGCACAGTCTGGTTTCTTACTGTGACGCCTTCTTCAAATAGCCTCTGGGCTGCCAGTCTCGTGACCCAGGTAATCTCGTTGGGGTGGTTGAAATGTGTGTGGAGAGCGACACCCTTCCCCAATTTCCTGCCTCGATGGGAGAGGTCGATGACAGCGCCGGCCCAGTCGTCGTCCGGGTCGATGAATCTGCTTGGACAAATGGCAAGCCCTTTGCTCGCGATCCGGATTCGCTCGATATGAGGAATCCCGAGCAGACGCATCCCTATCATTCGTATTTGGTCTGGGCTGAGCGTATAGAGGTCTCCGCCAGAGACGAGGATGTCCCGAAGAGCCGGCGTACGCTCGATGTAATCAAACATGGCCTCCCATCGTTTTTGGATGGGCAGGAACCTGGTTTTACTAACCTCCTCCGTATCCGCCCCAACACTGTACGATCGCGTGCAATTCCGACAATATACAGGACACACCGAACTTGCTAATCGTGAGGCGATCAGCACTCACTCAGTAACCAAAATGTTGTTCCCATACCGAGAAAAACGGCCCGGTCCGGATATCTGTGAATAACCCCCTTTACCGGGGAGTCGCCCGTCTCGTTAAGAGAGTCAAGACTCAGCTTCGGATGGTCCGGTCGAATTCGAGACCCCAAGGGTATGAACTGACGTGCGAGGGGATCACGAAGCGGGTCTGCCCAATCAATTAGACTAAGTATATAGGGAGTAATCTTGACGGCCATAGTAGACCGCCGGGTTCCGGACTTGATGTCTTCGATGAGCTCGGCAGCTGTCTCGGGACCCTTGCCGTCATAGCCGTTCCGGGGCAGAACATCAGGGACAACATCTTTCATGAACAAGGACAGCTGGCGAGTATTCTGCACCGTATTGTTTACCTGAACAGTATGAGAGGATCCCTGGCTCCGGGGCTACACAGCGGTTCACCTTACCTGCCATATATAACTTAGGAAAGCATCTTCGCTCACGTTTGACCAGATAGGTATTCTCTTCCAGTAGGGATGGCGCGCCGTTGCCGACTCCTTACATACCGAAAGACAACGCTGAGCGCGACAAGTTTTGAATGTATGGGCGACGTCGCGGGAACTGATTTGGAAGCACGGCAGCCCCCCTTTCTGTCTTCCGACTAGAGCCCGTGCTCGCGAGTACATCGCAACCAAACGACTGGTCTCGAGTCGCGCCGCGATAAACCAGGGACAGGCTTAAGAACGGGAGTAGGGACTGTTGATGAGTTGTTCCACTCTACGAGTGCCTGCGAGATATTTGTAGGACGCGGGGACTGGCTCGGCGAATATACTATGCCCGATTGCTGGTGATCTTAACTCTCCAACCCAGCACAACCCCCCGAGAGCCTCCTTCTGGGCTCCCTCAGCGGATACACCAAGGGCGGGGTCGACTGTAGATCCTACCGCATCCTACATATAGGTATGATATGAAGTGCCCGAGCATCTGCATCTAGGTTGCACTGGCGGAGGTATCGTCATAATACTGTATGCAGCGCTGTTCGTTTAGGGGCGCCTAAGGGCAAGGCTTCGCCGGGGCAGGAATGCTATTGGGTACAAGGTCCAATGTGTTTCAATACACGCTCACACCAAAACGCTATTAATGGAGCTGCGCATAGGTCGGCAAAGGGGGAAAGGAGGACGTGGCAAGAAGCAATGCCTGGCCAATATAGTATCATCTTGCTCATGCTAAGGTGCGTGTGCCATCCAGCCCTTCACGTGCCCAAGACGACCATTACCGATAGGCTTGGCCAGAGCATCGTCTCATCAAGAGATGCCGTGTCTGGGAGCCTATGCCATCATTATAGTGCCAAGCGGCGTACTGTCGACCGTCTTCATCCCGTGGAATCGTCTAAAACATAGGTTGAAAAATAGGGGCTAAACGAATGGCCCCTAGTAATAAAGGGCTGTCATACCCTATAGCGAATTTTTGCTAGGGTTTTTATTAACAGGTAATCCCAACATGTAACGTCACTACGGAAGAAGGCGTGTATTACCTGTTGGCCCAGGGGTGCCGAATACCTCTGACGCATCCGCCACAACTACATCCACATCCCGCTGTTGGTGTATCACACTGGCTGTTAGCTCCCTCGTACTAGCATAGTCGCTATTGACGCCGCCTTCGATTTCGTTATAAGTAGTTGTGGAGAGTCCTATCCCTCGTAACGATGGCTCAAACTTCTGGGACGGCCCGCTAGAACTCTTGTTCGATGTCCCCCAAGGACGAAGCTCGATGCGGCGGTTATTAGAGGTGTAGTTTCTCGGTATGCCCGAGTCGATCAGACTGGATTGGAGACTATCGAAGAACGGCTTTATGGATGGGATGCAAGCTGTTATGATGCTAAGGTGCGTCGTGATTCTGTATCGAGTAAGTGCCTGGACCGGCATAGAGCCTAGGTAATGCTCACTGATTCCATAAGCTGGGGTACAGATAGTCCCCTACGATGCGTTAGTAATCATCTCAACACGCATATTTGAGAAGATAGAGACTTACAAGTAGGATCGTCTCCTGAAAAGTAGTGTTTCGTGGTGCTGAGCTGAACGCCGGCGGTGGCACATACGCTGCATCATAGGTAAGCGACGGACACGACACAAGCGGGAGCAAAACCACCATACGCGAGACGAGCCCAAAACAACCCTAGCACGATGAGGATCTTCTGCTTGCGCATCTGGACTTTCCATACGATGAGGGCGGGGAAGACGGCGAGGAAGAAATCGGTTGCAATGTTGATGATTCCGTGTGCGAATAACAGGGACCTCTGATAATCAAATATTAATTCCGCCCCTATCCCAGTTGCGTCGCGCAGTTCAACCGAGACTCACTTCGTCAACACACGCGCTGATATCGAAAATCCGCATAGGAACGCGGGCTCCGCACTGAAACGAGATGGAAAGGACGTCGGATATCCCCCACAAGCCGGTGAAGACGGCAAACCAGCGGAGGGCGGTTTTTATAATATTAGACGGGGTGATATGACTGATTAAGGCGGCTAACGAGAGCTTCGAGAGAACGAAAATAAAAACGGATAAGATTTCACTGGCAAAAATGGCCTGGTGGGGAATTACTATTCGGCCTGGTCCCTCTTCGCTCCCTCAGGCGCCATACCTGGAAATACGACCGGATCTGATCCTGATCGAGAGCGTCCCTATGCCTCCCCGATCCGTACTTGACCGACTCGGTAGCCGATATGCTCTGGCCGATAGCGACAGCCTATATATTATGCAGCAGCCAAGTCAGCATTCGGAAGTCCGTGACTTGCCGATTGGAATGGTCTCTGTACACACCAACGCGGCGACTATTAAACCATTATCCCACCCGAAGTAGCTGGACGTCCAGGTTCGTAGAGCGACACGGACGGCGACGAAAAGCACAGATATACAGGCGAAAACCCAAGTGGCAATGACGACATACGAGCCATGGTTGTCGTCGGTGATGACGCCGTAGGGCGGATACGTTCCGCCTTTGATGGGAAACTTGGACCGACTCAACGCCATGAACAAAGAGTAGCCAATCTGCCGAGGGCAAGGGGAGGGATAATCAAGGGAGAGACCCCATAAACGTAAGGGCGCGATGGTCTAGGTATGTATACTCGTTAGAACCCGGGGTCCCAAGAAGCCGGAACGTCGAGTTCCTAGGGGAGGAAAAAGAAAGAATAAGGAAAAAAAAGAGATGAGTAAAGGCCTTGCCGAAGATTGGGCATGGGGAAATGCTTATCACTGCTATTATCACCATCATCGTCGGTGAAGATATACAAATGTGACTGCTGAGATTCAACATGTGCAAAACACTGCAGTGCAACGGTGATAAACAGCGATAGCAGCGCCTCCGCATAGCGCGGTGTTCAGGTGAGATGTTCACGTACGGCCGGCTGGATACTGGGTGTCAAATGTTGATTGAAGCAAGCGATAAAATGCCCACCAGAGTAGTAGATGTCCTAGACTCCAAGCCAGCCTCGTCTTGCTCCCCTGCTAGGTATGTCTGGCTCAGATTGCGCCCTGATCTCAGGCCGTCGCCGCCCTGCAGGCTGGCACAGGGGGTGAGATCACCGAGCTGGGAACGATCAGCAGGCCAAATAGGTCAGTTCCTCGGGGGAGATGGGTGCTTTCGGGTCGCTATAATTCCCCGGCTACGGCGCCTATTCATATACCGAGATAACCTGGGCCTAGACCGGGCATCAAGGTAGCCATATCATAGGGGCACCTACCGTAGGGGGGATGTACCTATATTTGGACTGATAAGTCAGCAATTAAGCAATTCATCGGGCAACATGTGGGCACCTCGCCCACGCTCGCCGCAACGTGCACATCCATCCCGCCCACAACAACATTTCTGCATTCCCAACATCTCAGCGAAAGATGCCGAGGATGGGCCATGGCGCTGCCGACCACTCCGCCGATTGGTGTTGGAATGTGCGTATGCATGTACGTACATTCTACGGGAGCAGGTCACAGTGAGACAGCAGCCAGTCGCCTCTTTTGCCAGCACCCCAGGGCCTGTTTGCCATGCTCTTGGGCATCGAACTCGCTACCACATCCAACCATACGACAATCTCGCTGCCAACCAGGAGGCACAGTCTGCAACGTGACGAATCGTAACGGGAGCGTTTTCCGTGCTATGGCAATGCGTCTACGTGCTGATAGTGCCTATAGGCATGGCTGGAGAGGTCAGGATACTTCGGGGATTGACGCTCGAGGCCATGGGACTTCTCATTTATCCGCCCAAGGCGTCCAACACAAGGTGGGTGGTGCACAAGGGCGGGCAAGGCCAGGGCCATGAGTCGCAGCGTGCTCCTCGTACTACCGTAAGCAAAGGAAAGCAATATCCGATAATAGAGACCCCCTCTCGCCGTAAAACCAATCCGACCTCGCCCTCTTCCTCGACCCCCTACACCCCGCGACCCCCGCGCTCGCAGCAGGCGACGCCGGCGTGACCTGTCGAGTTCCTTTGACGGGGGGCGAAGGCGGCGCCGGTGTGGCTATGAAAGTATCTGCGAGACAATCTCTCATGATACGGCAGGTGGAGAGTCATCAGCAATCGGTTCTGTAGGGGGGCACCGAACCGGGGGTGAGAAGCCTGCCCGCGCGCTCGTGAATTTCCAAAGCTCAGAAGGAAGACGAGAATGACAGAAAAATAAAATAAAAGACAAGGAAAAGCGAATCGACTGCCAAATTAGGTGACGGTAACGTATCCCACGAGGCTACAGCCTGGCAACAAGTAACCACAGATCGCCGTGGCTCCCCATCCTGCGTACCGAAGTGCGACCGACCCCTGGGTTTGTTCGGTCTTCACGGGACAGGGAGCGGGAGAGAGAGAGGTCGACATACACGCCTCATATGGGTGAGGCTGGTTAATCGCAGAATTCTACGAGATCTCCTTTCGCAGACTGGGCATCGCCAGCAGCGATCTACCTAGGTAATTCATGACTTGAAGACTGTGAGCTTGCCTCTCACACGAACACGAGCACAAGAACGACCTCCTCCAACAATCCCACAGCGCATTGCCTCCTATCCGCCAAATCAGCAATCATAACGACGGCCACGGCGACGACATGAATGCGGCAAGACTCACGTCGGATCAGCTGCGTCAGCGCGTCCTGTCCAATACAGGAACAGACGGGCGTCTGCTGAACGCGGCGTTTGACCTCGATGCGAGGACGGTCGCCATCCTCAGCAAGCGACACCAGATCAGCGTACGTACCCCTTCTATAAACCAGAGTACCTAACAATCGACCTACCCCTGAGCGGACAGATACGATGCGAATAAACTAACTAACGCGCTGGGGGGTAGAAAAGCTTCGGCTTCACGTCGATGCTGAGCTTCTCCACGACCGTGCTCGTCTCGTGGGAGGCCTTCGCAGTGTGAGTAAGAGCGAGGTCGTCAAAGTGTCGACTTGTATGGTTTGCGTCTCTAGTTAACAGGCCAATTAGGACCTTTCAGGGTGGATTGATGAACGGCGGGCCTTCTACCCTAGTATACGGATTGATCTTCTCCTTCTTGGGATCCCTAGCTACGGCGGCCTCGCTGGCCGAAATGGCATCGATGTTCGTGTCACGTCGAGACTGCGCCTGAGTTTCCCTCGAGTCCGCGACGGCTGACCATATTCTCTCCAGTTCTCCCACCTCGGGAGGGCAGTATCACTGGGTGGCGCTATTAGCGCCGGCCCGTTTCGCGATCCTCTTCAGCTGGTTTGCCGGTTAGTCGCAGCTCTTCCCCTAGCCCATTTCTCAAATGTTTACGAAATATTTTCCTATGCCCCTCTCTCTCGACGTCCCCACGGCGAAGATTCTTACTGCCCCGTATAGGATGGATCACGGCGTTCATGCGAATCGCGGTAACGGCCAGCGTCGCATTCCTTGCGGCGACGATGATCCAGGGGCTCGTCATCTTGAACTACCAACAAACCTACCACCCGGAGCAATGGCACGGCACGCTGATGTACTGGGCCGTTACCCTCATCATCGTGTTCATCAACATATTTGGCATCCGGATCTTCCCCTACCTCGAGACCCTGGCCCTTATCCTCCACGTCATCTTCTTTTTCTGCATCCTCGTGCCCCTGGTGCACCTGGCTCCACGGAGCTCGTCTGAGTTCGTGTTCCGCTCGTTCGCGAACAATGGCGGTTGGAGTAGCGACGGCGTTTCGTGGTGCATTGGCCTCTTGACTTCTACGTACGCCTTCTCCGGCGTTGACGGTGCTTCGCATATGGGTGAGTGGTCGGATCCCCGCTACGAGGCGTCCCAACAAGCCCCCGGCGACTAATACGGCGCAGCCGAGGAAGTGGACAACGCGGCAGTTGTGGTTCCGAGGACCATGATATGGAGCATTATTATCAGTGGGGTGCTATGTTTCGGGATGAGCATAGCGATTCTTTTCTGTATCGGCGATGTGGACGCGGCCTTGAACACACCGACTGGATTTCCCATCATCGAGATCTTCTTCAACGCTACCAATTCGTACGCAGCGACCAACGCCATGGTTTCGGCATTGATCATATCTATATTCTTCTCCGCTCTGGGCCTTCTCGCCTCATCGTCTCGGCTCCTCTGGGCCTTTGCCCGCGACGATGGGCTACCGTTTCCACGTTACTTCTCACACGTAAGTTTGCCCAACCACACCCGAGTGCAAACCCGCATATCTTACCAGATATAAAAATGTACAGGTTGACAGTCGCTTCGGCATCCCGGTCCGCGCCGTCTTATGGAGTGCTGTCATCATCATGATCCTAGGATTAATCAACCTCGGGTCGACGACGGCGTTCAACGCGATGGTATCGCTTGCCCTGCTCGGGCAATACACAACCTACGTGCTACCGACCATCTTCATACTGGCACGACGCGTGCGCCCCGGGAAGAATATCCCTTTCGGCCCGTGGGAGCTGGGCCGGTGGGGGGTCCCGATCAACGTGTTCACCATCGCCTTCTCGTTCCTAACGATCGCGTTCAACGTCTTGCCGCCTTCTTTCCCCGTCAATGCGACGAATATGAACTACGCCGGCGTGGTGTTCGGGGCGGCGCTGATCATCTGTACCGCGTTGTGGTTCCTCATGGGGCAGAAACATTACGCCGGTCCAATAAAGGAGGTGATGCAGAACGGAAACATACGGTCAGCACTCCTGAACCGCGAGATCGCGCCTACACATAAGCATGACTCGAAATATGGAGCGGTCTAGATCTGGCATCGAGGACACAGGCGTGGGTATAGGCGACGATAGAATAAAATCATCACCGACTAGCTTTCCCCTGTCGATCCGTATTCTACTCTTATCTCCTCCTTCCGCACCGCGTACCCCATCTCAAGCGACCTATTTAAAGGAGCACTTGAGTATTCATTTAGTTGCTGAGCGGTATGGCAAGGTGACTGCCCTGGTACGCACCTCCGAGCACCCTCGAACACTTGTAGGCAGCCTACAGTGCCACCATATGGTATATAGTTATGGCCTCTCTTCGTCACAATACAGGAGGTTACATACCGAATACTCAGATACTATCTTTCGGTAGTCCCCATGCCGTCTGTATACACGAGAAACCCTGCAAGGACTGGCTCCACCGCACCACTAGGCATACCTAATGCATTCATATGCAGGTATGGCCTTCACACCTATTTCTTTACGATACATTCATTCTATTATCATAAGCATGTCTAGCGACAACAGATGGCACCAGTTACAGGCAAAGCCATTCTCTGGATAGCTTCAATATAGATCACCTTCTTGTTGACCTTCGCTGAACGGCGAGCTTTTACTATTGCGCGCCAATACAATACAATCTAGCAGGCGTGGTAGGCCCTCTGGGAGACGCCCCCAACATCAAGTACAGCCATCGCAAGGACCGAATTTTCTGGGTTGCACTACGACAAATGACATAGGGCCTGTTCAGAAATCCTGTCTAACCTCAAGACCACATCTTCATACGTAGGAGGTACTGTGCCTCGTTAGCTACGTTACTGCTTAGACGGTCCAAAAGTCGTCGCCCAGGCATCATACGACGGTGCTAGCATAAGCTGTTGCAGATGTCGCCGTCTGATTCCCACGTTCCCCCCGTCAAAGATTGGCAGCACCATCGCGTTAGTGAGAAGCCCCGCGAAGGGTAGGCTATTATCGTATGCCGTACTACAGATATTTCGGAGTCAGCCTATCCCCCGCCGCCAGATTAGTCGTACTTACATTCCGACGGCATTGATTGCCTCAGTGACTGCCTTGACTGCGGCGTCGCTGCAGTACACCTTCGCAGCGAGCGCGAGCTCTCTTCGGGCGTCGTAGTCGCCCGGCCCGTTCTCTAGGACGTACGCAGCTTTCCAGACCAGGGCGCGGCAAGCTTCCGTCTGCATCTTGATGCCCGAAAGCAAATCGGCGACAGCCTGCCGCTCGAGCAAGGGGACCGCTCCGCGGCGGTCGTCGCTCCGGGCAAATGCTAGCGAGGCGTCGAAGGCGGCGCGCATCAGGCCGACACTCATGGCGCCCACTAGCACCGCACTGCTATCAAACGCGCCGTTGACAACAGCTGCCCCGTCCCCAGGCGCACAAAGCACATTCTTAAGTGGCAGGCGGACATTAGTGTACTTGATATGCGGGCCGGAAACCGACGTGTGTCCCATAGTTTCCACGTCCCCGACGACCTGGAAGGCATCAGGCCCGTTCCGTTCCAAGTCTGCCCGAGTCACGAGCAGGATCATGATGCTATCCCGCGGCTCCTGGTCGTCGCTGGGGGGGCTGGTGACATCTCGGCAGACGACACAAGCGAGGTCTGGACCCTTGTAGTCCCAGCCGGCGCTGTTCGTCGCCCAGAGCTTTTCGCCATTCAGAACCCACTCGTTGCCGTCTTTGCGCGCGGTGGTGTTGAGTCCTCTCCCGCCCCTCTCCAGCCAGTTGGCCACGCCGCCCGGTTCGCTGAAGACAAGCGAGGCGAGAGGGGCGCCGGCACCAGAAAGGAAGGGCGCCAGAAATTCCTTCAGCTCCGGCTTCTGCACGATATTGAGCGGCGACAGGCCCAGTCCGGTCGCGAAGACGGTAAGCGAGGCCGACGGCTCGACCGTGTAGCATTCCTCCACGAGGATCGCTGCCTCGACCAACGATCCGCCGCTGCCACCCAGCTCGGGCCGAATCTGGCCCTTGACCAACCCGCTGGCAGCAGCCGCCTCGTAGACCGGCCGGGTGGCCTGGAAGCGTTCGCGCTGTGTGGGGAGCTTAGCATAGAGAGAACGAGAGGGCCTCAGCACCTTTTCGGCGAACGCGGCCGCTGCGGCTCGCGTGCCAGCCTCAGAGGTGCTCAGCTGGAAGTCGATCGGCATGGTGTTCGGTGGGTGGTGTGCTGAAACAAACCGGACTCGGTGTGGGCTTTGGTTCTAGAGGCGCTCAGCAAATACGAAGAAAATCACGCAGCACGAGTGTTCTAGGACCGGGAATGAAAGAGGGGATGCTTCGATATCGGACAGGACGCTATTAGAGTTACCCGCATTTCCAGCATGGCAGAGGTACTACGTACCGTAGATATGCGATAGGCTGGTGATGATCCGGAGTGATAGGTACTGTCAGCTTGTCGGGAGTCAAGTTGCCCATGGGAATAAGATAGGTAATCCCGGAATCATGGCTCTCGGATACTACTTTAACGCTTTTAATAGTCTCATTATATAAGAATTTTATACATCAATACTCATCGTGAGCCGAGGCATACGTCGAAGTGTACAGGTTCGCATAATCGCGAGGCTTTGCGTAGAACCCATCGTGATTTACGACGTCTTGAACTCGGGGAATCACGGTATAAAACCAGGTGCCTTTCCGAGGCACGCCCTAAGAAAGGACTATTGTTACGCTCATCCGTATAAGGTGTCTCATCTCCACTCAGAGCTACGTCTCAGTAGAGCTTCTCGTTGTGAAGCTTCAGGTATTCGCCAGCAGTCACATGCCCGTACCTGGCCGGGTTCTCCGCTGACACAAAGTGCGGCAGCGGGCCTATGTCCGCGGTCGGCGGCGGCCGAAAAAACATGACGGCCGACCTCCTCTCGGGCACGCGCGCGGTCCCGTCGGGTCCCAACGCCGCATCCCGCCGCTGCGCGACGGGCGGCAAGCCTACGCGGTGGATGGCGGCGCGCAGGTAGCCGTTGGTCCAGCGCTCGAGCGTGTCGGACACGAGGAGGACAACGTCGCCCTCGGCGTCGATGGGCAAGGGCGCGAAGGCGGGGCTGTCGAGAGGCACCCGCACCTCCAGCTCGAGCCCGCTCGCGCCGACGCCGTCCGGGAAGAGGGCGCTGACGATGCCGAGGTCCGAGTGCGGCCAGATGCGCCGCATGGCCACGCCGTCGCCGTCGCCGGCCTCGAGGGCGCCTCGCTCGACCTCCGGGTAGAAGTTCAGGTTCAGCTCGGCCCCGGCGCCGCCGGCGGCTACGTCGCTGATGGAGTCGGCGGGCGCGCCCAGGCCCGACTCGATGGCTGCGACTAGGGCGCGGCAGGTCGCTCGGGTTTCAATGTAGGCATTCCTCGCAGTTCCGTTAAATCCCGGCAGGAGGTCCTCGGCGAGCTGGGGCGTGGGAAATTCGGCGTCGTCTGGGGGGCCAATCGCGAATTGCTCCCTTGCGTCGAGCAGGGTTTTGGGAGCTGTCCCGTCTAGGCCCGTGGGGGTGTTTGAGCGAGGGGCAGACAATGAAGCATTGCCTTTGGAGGTATTAAGGGCTGGCAAAGCGTGAAGGTCGGGCCTTAGTATGGCTGTCTTCTCATACGCCCACGGCGAGTAGCCCCTCGCCGGCGACGCGCCCCCGCCATGGCGGACGCTGAGTTTCGCGGGAAGCGGAAGACGGAAGAAGTCGCGCTGCTGCAGACGGGCGACAGCGAGAGTTAGAAGATAACATGCCGCGTAGCATCGTCAGGGAGGGTATCATTAAGAATATAGGCATAGATATAGACATCCCCAGGACGGTGCGCCACGAGAGAACAAACTCATACATATCTAAACAAGGCTGCGATAGTAGAGGGGGCGACGCCGTGATTGCGTACACGTGCAAATCCATATTGTCTCAAGTGCGAGACGAGCTCAGCGGCAAACGCATCGCGAAGACGGGACACCGAGCCGAACTTGTTCGTGGAAAAGATGGGAGAGGCGTCGAGGGTGGCTGGCCAACGAAACATCGGAGAGAGAGGGAAGGATATGAGTCAAGACTTCAAGAAAGGAGAGGCCGAATCGGTCAGTAACTCGGGTGTGTTGCGCCCGACACACGCAAGGGGTGGACCAGAGACTGGGTTGAGACGTCGACGTTCAACGAGTGGGACGGATACGAATCAGGGAGATTTGAGAAGATAAATGAAAAGATACGATTTCGCCGCTTTTCTATGCGACGTGGTACTAAACGGCGCCCAACCTGGATGATGTCAGTCGGGAGGGTGGCAGCAGAGGGAAACAGGTATTTGCTGGAGACTGACTCGCAGCGTCGATTCGTTGCCTTTCCCTCTCCCACATCGCGTAGCCTCGACACGCCCTCCCCTATACTGCTCACCCTCCCACCTCCCAATACCACCATACCGCCTACGTTGCATCCGCTGTCGACAACCAACGCGGCAGCTCAGACACCAATCTACCTATAGCCCGCGCAATTTGATCCAGAACACCATGGGGTCGCCGATCCAAGTAGAAGTCTCCCCGCTCTCCGACGACGAGATAGCCACGAGCTTCGAGGTGCTCTCGCAGAGCTTCGGCCACGACGCGCCCTTCGTCGACATCTACTTCCCGGCGCACGACACGGCCGCGGGCCGGGCGCAGGGCGCCGCGCGCCTGGCCGCGTGGAAGCGCGGCGCCGCCAACTCGCAGTTCCTCAAGGCCACAGCCGCCGCCCCCGAGGGCGCCGCCGACCCGACCCAGCGGCGCGTCGTCGGCCTCGCCATCTGGACCCTCATGAAGGAGGCCCCGCCCGCCGACCTCGCCCAGGTCGAGGACGTCGCGGCGGTCTGGCCCGACCGCGGCGACCGCGAGTTCATGACCCGCCTGTGGCGCAGCTACGTCGTGCCGCGCACGCAGGCGATCCGCGAGGCCCAGGGCCGCGGCGTCTACAGTAAGTCGCGCCCTGCGGAGCGCGGGAGCGGCCGAGGTGCGAGGGCACGGCCGGCTAACCGCGTCTAGTCCTCGAGCTGCTGGCGGTCCACCCGGGCTGCCAGCGTCTGGGCGCCGGCAAGGCGCTCGTCCAGTGGGGGACGCGAGCTGCCGACGAGCAGGGGGTCAAGGTGGGTGCCTATCTCGCGCACTGCATTTTTCTTCGTGCCCGCATCGGAAGCAGCTGCGCAAGTGGAAGCTCCATCCTGTTCTCGTCGGTGTGTCTGCTGACCACAGCGCGTTTCTACAGGCGATCGTCGAGGGCACCCCGGTGGCGCGGCGGCTCTATGAGCAGTGCGGCCTCCGCGCGCAGATTGAGGAGATGCAGTTTGACGTCGGCGACGAATTCGCCGGGAGGAAGATGCCCAAGCTTACGTTCATGGTGCGAGAGCCCAAATCGTAGATACGGCCGTTCGAGCCGGGTGCTCTAGGGTCCGACGATATCTGTAGCTACAGCAAGCATTGCTACGCGATAATATCAAGAACGCGCCGGTCAGTAGGTAATTGATTGGATGAACAAGTATTGAACAAGTTCCGGTGTGTGCCAGGAGTCGAGTGCAGCGTTGCTGTACACAGCACCTAGGTACCTAACTACTGCACTGTCAAACCGCCAAGCACGCCTAGGAGCCATGATTCTGCGGTTATTTAATTCCATCAATCCGATGGCTTGGCTTAGCGATACACTTGAGTACGACAAGTCCAAACCTCGTTCTTAGGTTGTAGCTATCTCTCAACAGTTCCCTACATGGTAGCTTCGGCTACCCGCTCAAGCACCTTTAGAATATTTTCTTGAACATGGAATAAGCCGCGAACGGGGTCGAACTTTAAGCACGTTTCTATCACGTCGGCAGAGGACCGCCCAGCCATATGAGACGTATCCTCCCGAACCACGCCCAGAATTTTTTTAAGTAGTCGATACCAAGCCGCGATTGCTCCTCTCTCAGTTTCTTAAACTTACTCGAACTCGATGTCTATTAAGCGATCGATTTCCAATTAGTGATCTTAAAGTAGACCGCACCCTAGAGATTATCGTCGACTATTATTACAGAGAATACTTAACTAAGCGTACCAAAGAGTTAACGCCATACTCTTTCGTAGATTTCATGAGCTTCCTCCATCTATCGAGGCAGTGGCAGGTGTTATTTCTTCAGGGATAATCCGAGCTCAAGTCCAAGAATTCGGCGTCCTTAAGGCGGGACCAATTAAACCCAAGAAGATACGAGTTGGCTCAATCCAGGTTCGACTCCTTCTAAGCACCGGAATTGGTCGGTTCCTTTGCCAGGAAAGGAGTTCTTGCTTTTCAACTCCTCGTGTACCCACCCCACGAGACGTTAGACCTTCAACAGCTATCACCAAGGAAGAGGCCAGCCTCGGCCGTAGACCAAGGGGAACTCGGGTTCTTCCAGGACTAGAATGTGTCTTTCAGCATCGCATATCAAACGCTGAGTCCAAGGCTCTCGAGTCCCGAAAGTGAATAGCCTAAAAGGACACGGAGACGCCTGCATTTCTTGAGTTAAGACATGAGCACCTATGTATACCCTACATGGTAGAATACACGCGCGTCATTTCTAGTCCCGATCGACAACGGGGACAAGACTAGTAATACAAGTCTCTCTGACGCACAGTTGGATAGTATTGCGGTCCATAAATAAACGGGGGACGAGGGGGTTAAGACCCCAATAATAGGAGTTACGTGAGCTAAGTAGAGTACCCGGAGTTGTTGCAGAATATCAAGAGCAAAGCGATCAACAATGATTTATTTTTATCTTATTTTAATACAGGGCGCATTTCCTATATTATACACCACCGGCGCTGGGATTCTGTGATTAGGTACATAAATACCTAAGATTGTAGGTAAGTCACGTGAACGCAAATCCGGAATATGGCCAAGCCCAACCTCCGATAGGCCGATACCTAGGACTTCTGTCCAGGTACCTGCTCCAGAGGGCGGACTAACTTGCTTACAACAACATACCTATCCAAGAGTCTCAGGCTTAAGCCCGTAGATCCCACTTCAGTTCAACTACCCACATAGCTCATCTACACAAGTCGCGTCACTATCGGAAATAAGGCATTCGCCTACCCGTGAACATGAGAAAACTAGCCCCCAGAGCCGTCAGTTTCGAGGGCGCGGAACCACTAGCTAGGCCGCTGGCACTCACGAAGCCCAAGCTCTCGCGTGCGAGCACACACAAAGTCCGGTCAGGGTGTATCACTTGCAAGAAGCGACACGTCAAATGCGACGAGGCTAAGCCGCATTGTAAAACCTGTGTCTCCAGGGGAATGACGTGTGAAGGTTATGTTGCTGGTGCCAAAAAGGGCACCCCTGGGCCTGCCGTGGTCTCCTGGGATTCTCGTCAGGTTGTTCCGGTCGCTTCTCCGACGACACAGCTCCTACTCGACCCCGACACCACCGATTTCCGAACCGGCGCCAGCCTGCTCTATTTCGACGAGTTTATAGGCTTGGTCCGGGGTTCATGGAATACCGCCACATCCAACGGCGACCTTTGGGCGGTCACCCTGCCTCAGCTCGCCCGCACCAACAACACCCTCCGCCATGCCGCCATCGCCATTGGTGCTCTTTGCGTATGGCATCGCCAATTCCCCTCCAGGCCGCTTAGCGCAATGTCAGTACCAGATCTCATGACTGCAGAAGGAGACATACATTACTTTCGGTCCATCGCTTACTACTGCCAGTCTCTGAAGCTGCAGAGCCAGCAACGTTCTACCCAGGATGCCGTTCTGTTGTCCGTGCTGCTATTGACCTTCGAATCTCTCCGAGGAAACATACAGGCCGCCTTGGATCACGTCGACCACGGCCTGGCTATGTTGCTTACCTTCTTGGCCGACGGAGATGCGCATCAGGCTATCGCGAAGCTGGAGCCGAGTCATAAGCCACTGTTCACGGCCGTGGCAGACATTTTTAACCATTTGGGAAAGCAGGGCCGGTCTATTTATCGCAAAAGGATTAACCGCGAGCCTAATCTTCGCAACTTTTCCAGGAGGCTCCAGAGCAAGAAATATACGGTAGAGACATTCTTCGTCTTGCTGAGTCAGATACCTCGCTCTTCCGTGGACACAAGTCGCATTCCGGCCGTTTTCAGTAACCTTGGCGAGTATGAGGAGTACTGGGTGGCGGCTCAACGTGCCCGGGCCGTCTACTCGAAGATCATGGCGGAAGTTATAAAACCGTCGGCCATTCTTCACTGCAATGACCAAGGCTCCATCGAAAAATATATTATCTACCTCCTAAGCCATCCTCGCGTAAAGGGGTTCTCTGAAGATTCAAATAAGATGATGAGAGCACTTGGTGCTGCGTTTCTACCCCTCTTCAACAGAATCCTCGCGTCTAACCTCGGATCGCCGACATACCTGAAAGCCATCCATTTGCGTCTACAGTACCTGGAAATTGACGTTTTTGAAGACCCCACACAGTTCCTCAGCATCGAGATAATGCAGTCGAAAACGTCTTCATTCCGCGAGTATCTGTCTTTGGCACAGATTGCTCTTCGTATCGCGAAGCAAGATATCAAGAACCCAGCTCACCACATGTCCTTACAGTGTGGAATAGCTTGGCACCTACTGGTTTTGTCTCTTTTCTGCCGCGATCCCCTCGCCCGCGACGAAGCAGTTTGGACATTGAGAGACTACCCAGGCCAAGACGGGCTATGGAACACCCGTGCACTGTACGCCATAGCCCTGAAGAATCGTGACGTCGAGCAGCTCAACGCAGCTGAAGGCACATCTACGGAGCAGTGGCGGCGGCTATGGCGACGAGAGTTCGGCTTCGAAGATGGCGGCCATCACATTATGTTCCGTTACCTAGAGAAAGACGAGACAACGGGAGAATGGGGGGTAGTGGAGGACGGCGCGGACATTCGGGGAGACTCCAACGAGATTCGTTGGAGCCGCCAGCCTCTTACAGAAGGATCCAGCGGCCTGCTCATGGTAGACCTGTATGTTGCCGAAGAGGCTCAACACGCCAAAAAGTAAAGCCACGTACTTCGGCACACTGCTCCAATAGGCTGGGTTCTATCTATATCGTATTCATCTACCCACAACAATTTTGCACTACTGCGAGAACGGCCAGAGATTATACAAAATCAACGCACACACTAACGGTGCTAGTGATGAGAATCAAAGGGTATTACGTAGGTCGGGAGAGTTACGTAGGGACTGAGGTTGCTCTGCAGTGGGAGCAACGGAGGGTGGGAAGAAGAGGGTGAATTGACTGACTGGCTAACTAGGAAGGAAATGAACAAAGAAGATGCGAGCTACCTATATATATACAATAGGGAGCTGGGGGCTAGGTTAGGGAAGCGAGCAACCAGAGAAGAAGTAGAGAGCTATGTATAGGTGGCTCTCTACGTGACAAAGGGTCTATATGAAGATGAAGGCGCCGGTGAATAAGTCAAAATTCCGCAAATCTCCATTGACGAAGCGCGACACGATCCCCGTTGATTCGGACATAGGAAATTCTACGAAAGTACGCTGGTAATATGATAATACGTGGCAACTGCGGTTAGGATTGGAGGAGACGGGCAAAGGGGTCTCGATATTCTATCTACTGATCTAAGGCCTGGCTCTGACACTGGATAATCATATGTTAGCCCGAAAACAACCGGGGACTGGGAAGGAGAACTTGCCATTTCCCAGTAAATACCTTGCCGCTTAAGGAGATCATCGTGAGTACCCGTTTCAACCACCCTTCCATTGTCGAGGACAAAGATGGCATCGGCATTCTGGATTGTCGATAGTCGATGAGCGACGGCGATCATGGTCCGTCCGTTGCGTGCGCTCTCCAACGCGGCCTGTACGACCTTCTCCGACTCAGAATCTAACGCCGACGTTGCTTCGTCTAAAAGTAGAATCTTGGGATCTCGGATCAAGGCACGTGCGATTGCCACCCGCTGCTTCTGCCCCCCTGACATCGAGACGCCCTTCAGGCCGACCTCGGTGTTATAACCTTCGGGCAGAGAAACGATGAAATCGTGAATGAAGGCGTCGCGGCAGACCTCCTCGACCCGCGCATCAGAAACAGAGCTAGGATCCTCGACGCCGAACAAGATGTTTTCGCGTATGGTCCCGCGGAACATTATCGGCTCCTGGGCCACGAGGGACAGGGTTTTCCGGTAGCTGTAGGCGTCGAGGTTGTTGATGTTGGTGCCGTTACAGAGAATCGCGCCCTGGCCCGGGCCCAGATCATAAAACCGCTCCAGGAGCGAAATAATCGTCGACTTTCCAGACCCAGATGCCCCAACAAACGCCACGTACTGGCCCTTATCGATGCTGAGGCTCAACCCTTCAAAGACGGAGACATCCCGCGTGGGGTACTTGAAATAGACATCCCGTAACTCGATACCGATACCACTATCCGCTTTGGGTACTCCCTCGCTGTGACCTGTTCTCTGCCGGTCAATGTTCGCTGATTTCCGAATGTCGAGTATGCGATTCGCTGCTGCTACCGCCTGCGCTGCATTGGGCGCTGCAGAGAGACTTTGGCTTGCTGCCTCTGCGCCCTGTATGATGGCCATAAAGCAGACCAAGAAAGCCTGCAGTGTATACTCGCCCCTGGCCAACATCCCGCCGCCATACCAAAAGACCAGAGCCTGACAACCGAGACTAGCGCTGTCAGCGAAGCCGAACATCACACACATTGAGCACGCCTTTCGGAGGGCTGCTTTTACGTGGCCATCTAGAAGCTTCTGGTATCGGTCGTTAATTGTGGCCTCCATCGTGAGAGCAGAAACCGTCCTGATTGCCCCGATGGCTTCGGTAGCGAACTTCGAGCTCTCGGTGAAGACCTCAGAGCTCATCTGGTTGAAATGTATCTCGTGTCTGAATTTCCAGTAACCAGAGAACAGCATCACGGGCATTGTGACGAACGCGGCAATGAGGGCGAGCTTCCAACCAAACACGAGCGCGATGGCGACGCAGCCAACGACGGAGAAAACCCCAGAGAGCAGGAACGCGAGGTTCATGCCGAGCAACTCCTCTAGCTGTTTCGCGTCGCCCGTGACACGTGAAGTCAGCGCGCCGTGCGCGTTGCCGTCCTCGTCGAAGAAGGCCACCTGTTGGTGCAACATGTCTGTCAGGTACTGTGTCTTGTACACCGCGCTGACGGCATACTGTACGTGCAAGCCGAACCATCCTTCGCAGAAGTACGAAACAAGGACACCGCCGGCGAGGGCGAGCCACATCAACCCCCAGAAGTCACTTCCCCTATCGAGCGCGGTGTCATCCGTCACCAGGAAGACCCCGAGCACCTGCGCGAATAGCCATGCCTGTAGGGGTGTCGCCGCCGCCACAGCCATCGCAGATAGGACGATGCCCAGGTACGAGACCCACTGCGCGCGCTGCTCGTATAGGAGTTTTCCGAAACTGCCGATTATGCCTCGGGGGCTATTAGCCGGCTCTCCTCGGGACTGATCCCCAGCATTATCGCTAGTGGGGGTATATGGACTAACGGCGTGGTTATGATCATCGAACGCTTTCTCTGTGTCAGAATCCACAACCTCCTTTAATGTCGCCTCGAAGTTTGCCTCCTTAGAGAGGGTCTCGTCAGCACGCGACAGCTGAAGTAACTGGGCCCGGACTAGGGCACTGTAGACGCCACCCGCGTCTTCGAGAAGGCTCTGGTGTGTGCCCTGCTCAACCGCCTGACCGTTTCGCATCACGATAATGTGATCGGCCTTCTTAATAGTCGAAAGGCGATGGGCTATGGTGATGGTCGTGCGATTCTGCGTGGCCCGGTCGAGCGCGGCCTGGACTATCTTCTCGCTCTTGGCGTCAATCGCGCTGGTGGCCTCGTCAAGAATGATGATCTGCGGCTTCTTGATGATGCTCCTAGCGATAGCAAGGCGTTGTTTCTGACCGCCCGAGAGCTTTGCGCCGCCATCGCCAACTTGTGTGTCATATCCCTGCGGCGGAAATCTCAGTCAGGATCAATAACGAAACTAAAGGGGCCAGGTCGGCCATGTCCGTGACTTACATCGGGTAGGCGTCTAATGAATTCATGAGCGTAGGCTTCGCGGCATGCCTCCTCAACCAGTTCTCTCTTCCGTGCTTCAGAGTCGTCTTGCCACTGGGTTCCTATCAAACCATTGGCAACATTGTTGAATATGGTATCGTTAAACAAAAACGGTTCCTGTTGAACGAGGCCGATTCGTGCCCTCCACCAATGGACATCGAGGTCCTCCAAATTGTGGTCACCGACCGTAATGGACCCGGACAGTTTGGGCCTGGCGGGAGGCTGCGATTCATTATCGGGCTGGTCGCCACCCATTTTCTCATTTGGCTGCGCGACAACCTCAGGCACCATGGGTTGGTCCTTCAAAGAGTACCAACGTGCCAACAACGCCACTATGGTGCTCTTACCGGAGCCAGACGGACCTACGACGGCCGTGTTCTGGCCTGATCGGATACGGACATTCAATCCGTCTAGGACTTGGACCCCGGGACGGGAAGGGTACTCGAACATGACGTCTCGGAAAAATAGATCTTCTCCACTAATGTCGGGTTTGAGGGAACCAGATGTAGGCAGAGGGGCGTCGATAAGAGTGAACAACTCACACGCAGCAAGCATCGCCTTACTGACGGCCATGAGCGGCGTTGCGACACGCTCGATGCTGACGAGAATCAACATGACCGACATCAGTACCACGATAATAGTACCGACGTTAGTGAGAGCCCCAGCCATATACCTCTGGGCCCCATACCAGAAAGATAGGCCATAGGCCCCAAATACGCCGAAGAACTACTCCCACGTTAGCTGACAAAATTCTCCGTCGATCTTGTCCGGTAGCCGGAGACGGTTGGAGCTAGCGAAACCCCATGTAAAAGAAGAAACGACCAAAGAGATGGATGCGTAAAACGTACCACCAAGCCGAACTGGAGCCCTGCGATCGGCGCGGTCTTTTGGCCGCTCTTCTTAGCCTCGAGCACCCAACGCTGATAACGCGAGATGGTGCGGCCCTGGGCACCACAAGCCATAACTAGCCGGATTCCTCCAAGGGCCTCACTGGCAATAGCAGTGCCTTCGGCATCCGCCCGACCGGTGGCAGCCTGACCCTTGACTATCAGAGGCAAGAGCAAGGCCAACACCACCATCATATAGACAACCAACGACGATGTCACAAGTGTCAGATCCCAGCTCCATGTGAAGGCGATAATGAGGGCGGACCAGAGGGTGGCGTTAAACTCGAGTAGCGTGCCGAGGCGCTCGGAAATTCCGATCTGCAGGGTGGTCGACGTGACGGTGATGGCGGTCGCGGGGGCCCCGGGGGGCATGGAGTCGACGACGTGGACGGACTGGGCGAACAGGGCGCGCAGGTAGTGGCCGAGCACGGCCGACGAGAGGCGGATGCCGATCATGCGGAAGCAGAACTTGTTGACAGAGCTTAAGGTCCAGCGCAAGAGGAACAGGGCCATTATGAGCAGAGCCTGCCGGGTCAAGATCCGGTCGAAGTCATCGCGCGAAATGGCTGTGGTGCCCCTAAAGTAGTCGGTGAACTCCCCCACTAGCTGGCCGAAGACGACGTTCATAAGCGGCATCGTGACGCCGGCGCCCAGAGACGCGGCCGACGCCACGACGTACCCGCAGAAGTCCCATTTCGTCGCGTACTTGAAGACACGCAGGTAGTCGGAAAAGTTAGGTGTTCGCTGCGGAGGTTTCGGGGCCGGCTCGGTCGCTGCGGTCTCGTCGGTTGGGGACGGGTTCTCGGCGGCCATGTTGAATACGGTGGGAGATAAGAAGCACTACGGAAATAGGACGAAGAAAGAATGAACTATAACTGCAGGGCCACTGCAAATTACCTCAGGGGAAAGGAGAACAACAGTACTCTCCTCACAGTTGAATCCCTAGAGCAGAATGGGGAGTGAGTTACAAGTTAGAATAAAAGAGCGCAAGAAGTAATAGCTAGCTGACTATCTACGAGCATATTTATCATGGGCAACACACTATAAACTCTCACATTCATACAGATCGAAAAGGGGCTGTAGGGTTTGCCGACGACACTGTCCAAGACCCTGCGCTGCAAGAGTCGTTCTATGCCCTACGACTCGGCCGCTTTGGGGTTTTTACGAGGCCAATACCGATTGCCGCTTTGGGACTTTTACGACTTTACGAGCCGTGTTGTGATTGGCTCCTGTATGATACGAGGCCTTACCAGGTCTAGGTTAGCGTGGTACTTGGGTATACTGTAACGACTCCGATTTCAGTATAGCCTTATCTATCACAAGTCCCTGGGCCGTATGAGTATTGAACAGCATGTTTAGTGTCGTGCCTGTATAAGCGCAGGATTGTGCTAGCTACAGGTGCGAAGACACGGCCAAACATGAGTTCTTCGCTATCTCGAAGCCGCGCCTCTTCCCCTTACGGAGAGCCCGCAGCTCGACAGAGTAGGATAGGTATCCGGCTCTAGTGCCTAGACACCGGGGAGCAGGGAATAAAAAAAAAGAATCAAAAACATACAACACCAGGGATTCGCTGGTCGTCACCGACCCAACTACTAATCTGGCGATATCTGGTTTATCTAAGGGAGAGCGGACGGGATCCCGAGTTCTCCAGATTCTATGGTCGTATGTGAGAGTTGCTTGCTCTAACACCGACTATATACTCGTCCAACCACCGGATTAACATCTCACGCTCCGGCTCCCGCACTGTAGATACCTCTCTATCCACCATTGCGTAGGTCTAAGTTTGATGAGGCACAGATAACCTAGAGGGGGCGCGGCCCGGTCTTCACGCAGACCAGCGGGAGGAAAGGCAGACAACGCCAGTAAAGGGGAAGGTAATAGTGCAGGGGTGTAGGATATGTGTTGTCCTAGATTCTACGTCCAGGTAAGCCTTGTTAATATCGTAGCTAGTAGTTCGAGTAAGCAGATGGAGCAATGCTCGAAGTCATCCTCCATACTGCACGGTGGTTTTCCTGGTTAGAATGATATTTTATCGCTCGCGACCTGTCACAGCGAATGGGTGGAAAGTAGATCAGTGTGGCAGGGAACCACATGCGACAAGTGACTGGCGCGTTCTGCCCGCAGACTACGGCGAGAACAAGGATGGGTACCGTTGTCACGGCCGGTAACCGCCAAAGGGCAGAGGACGAATGTGAGTCAGACCGAGCGACAGGATCACCGCCATGGTCGAAGCAGGGGCCTAACGCGTTTTGCGTCGTGTCTCGAAATTAGTTGGCCTATTGGCCATGTCATTACGCAGCGGGTAAATAATGCCGTGCCATCACAGCGAGAGAGCAGCTCCAGCACGCCCCGCTCGTCGTGTGGGATAGCAAAAAAAAGCTTCAGCAAGATTTAGATTAGGAGGTGGAATAACTCCTGATACCTACCTATATCGGTTCATCCTGTTCGCGAGGCGAAACTAGTCGGGGGATACCGCCTGCTGAGGAAAATGAAAATACCAGTCCCTCCAAAGGCCCGGGCAACGACTGTGAACACGACCGTTGCAAATTCCCGAACCTTCCCATAACGTCCGATAATACGACGAGGTCGGGGATCACCGCATAAGCAAGGAGAAGAGCCCAGCAAATCCTGCATACCACGGGTTGGTTTCGTTGGCCATCTATCAGCGCTCAGAGATACGGTCTGTCCGCGTCCCAACCACCCACCATCCTGCCCACCTCGACGGTTTACGAGTGTCAACGGAGCAGCTAACTTCAGGGGCGTATACTTAGCCCCAGTAGCTGCTTTGAGGGTAAAAGATTTCTTTGGAGGTAGATTCACGGTTGGGGGAGAATTGGGGGTCGAAAATGGGAGACGGGCACGAGAGATTACGGGAAGTCGTCTGGCTAGATAAGATAGCGGGAGGTTGAGGGGCTGAGAGAATAACTAATCGACCCAACATTCCGCTCTCTAAAGGTAGCCTGGGATATTCACTACACGTTAACATAAATTGAATATGCCCCAGGCTATTAAGTATCGAGACAGCAGCGAGCCTACCTGTCGTACGGGGATGTACCCTACGGCCAACGCGTAGGTCAGGAGGATAATATTAGGCAGATATTATACGAGTTAGGTAGCTAGGTCGCCGGTACGGCGACCTACTAAAGGAAAGTCCTAAATAAGCGCGAATATCCGCGGAGAAAGGATATATAGGTATAAGGGTACATAGGTATAAGGGATATATATTCTCCACCGGACGATCTTTCGAAGGGGGGAGGGACCCAAGGCTTTAGGAGACTCCCTATAGAATCATTAGTTAAATAGAACTACTCCAAGCATATCCCCTTGCCACACTACCCGCCTAGATGATAACCCAGCCAGAGACACACCTCTGCCCCGCCATTGGGAACCGCGCGAGGCGACATTATGACACAAAGTCGCAAATACTACGTTCACGCAATTATAATACGGCGGAGAGAGTCATAGAATGAGAGAGGCGTCGCGAGGAAGTGATGCCGACATCTTCGTAAACACAAAAGGTATATTTAGTTGTTCGTGTGCTCATTGACAAGGAGTAGTGGTTTTTTATACAATGTACCCGAATATGTGATTCCCCTGAAACCCTGTTCAGGGTGTGGGGACTGGACCGAAGTAAGTGGATGATAATCTAATACATGCCCCGTCTTAAAACAATACATGCGAATTTTGAACCTCGGTCGTCCACGGAGCCGACAGCGACGTCGAAGATATTGAGGAGAAGGACGACGATGATGTGGATGACGACGATGACGACGACGATGACGACGAAAGTAGCGTAACCTGCGTGCTGGGCCACGACAGACCAACCTGCTGCTGCACCCACGCCATGGGTTCGGCCCACTCTAGGGCTAGGTCAGGATGGTGGTTGTGTATTATGACGGCGGCCTCGATGGTCAGGTCGGTGGCTATCGAGCTCGCCCACCACCAGATGGTGGAGTCGAGCCTACTCAAGAGGACGCCCCAGTGCATGAGGATGAGCAGGGAGAAGGGGTCGGACCGGCTGACGAAGGTGGTGTAGTGCTTGCCGGCCAGGCCGGGGAAGGCGGTGCAGAAGGCGGTGAGCAGGCCGCGCGCCTCCTCGGCGAAGCACATCTCGAGCCCGTCGATGACCATCTCGTAGAACTCGTGCTCGCGGACGACGACGCCGACGCCGCCCAGCTCCTCGACCACGCCGCCGTCCCCGCGCGGCGCGGCCGACCCGTACCGCAGGTCGTTGACGGCGCGCAGGCGGGCCAGCGCGGCGCGCGAGTCGGCGTCGATCAGCTCCTTGGGCGCGCCGAGCCGCGACAGCAAGACGCGCAGCGGGTACGCGCTGTTGAGCATCCAGGGCATGCCCATCATGCCGATGCTGGTGCTGCCGCTGACGAGGTCGAAGGCGACGATGACGAGGCGGAGGGCGTCGCCGCGGCCGCGGGGGCTGGACAGGTGGACGGCGACGGCGATGGCGGAGAACATGTAGAGGACGAGGCAGTTGTCCGCGTTCATGTTGGTGAGGTGGGTGCGGAACGAGATGCTGCCCTTGTTGTAGAGCTCGAGGCCGGCGTTGACGTACCGCGCCGACTCGGCCGCGCCGACCGACCGCGCCACGTGCAGCGACGAGATGGCCATGATGCAGTTCAGCATGAAGTCGTAGTTGAGCGCCGCGCGCGGCAGCAGCACCTGCATGAACTCGTGGTCCTCCGGGATGCCGCAGAAGGACTGGTACGTCTTGGTCGACCACTGGTGCATCAGCTCCAGCTCCAGCAGCCGGGCCGGGCCCCCGTACGCCCCGCAGAGCGCCCCAATGTCACCTCGCGGCCGCTCGAGCATCGTGCGGAGCGCCGACGCATCCGCATCCGCGTCTTTACGGCGTATAGCCACCACGCCGTAGCTGCTGGCGTTATCGGCCCTGGGCCGGGTGTAGACGCAGACAGCCTTCCGCAGGGTGCAGTTGTTGCATGGCGGCCCTTGCTCGTCGCATTTGGTGTGCCATTTCTTGCAGTTTTGACAGCCGTTGCGAGACTTCTTGTGAGACCGTCGCTTCTGCATCGCCGTATTCTTCGTAAGTGGTGACGAGTTCCCGTCAGCGTCCATTTCTCACGCTCTCTCACTCACTCTCTTACTATCGGTCTCTCGCGCTCTCGCGTGGCCGGTTTCACGTCATCCACGTTGTGGAGTTCCTTTATAGCAACCAGGAAGACGGCGGCCCCTGTGCCATCGCGGCTGTGTAGACGCACGCGATTAATAACCAGAGCACCCCTGGCCTCGAGATTCTGAATAATGCCTGAGCAGGTCTCGCTGCGCCACTACGCTCGATCCGGGTCATCTCCTAGCTGAAAAAGGGGTTTATGTGGCTAGGCTAACCAGCGATGTCGACTCCTGGTACGAAGAGATCGTGAAGCTATTGGATGGACAAACGAGCGGCCATGAAAAAAGTACCGCCCCCCTGCGGAGAATGGTTGATCGATCGTCATCAGAGGGCAGGACGCCGAATCACACGCGTGAATTGGCCGGCTTGGCAGATTAGGTAGCCATGCCTGGACAAAGAGCGCGGGAATCCTCCTCATCGCCCTCTCAGAGTCACAGTCGTGGTAAGAATTTCTAATATCGCTGGCCGAATCACGTTGGAGGGAATGCTGGGGCCTAAGTCGTGTTATCTTTCGATCGTCGCTTGGCGGTACCACACCCGCAATTCCCAATGCGCCAAGGCACTCCGACTCGTCGCTTGGTAAGTCTCTCGCTGGGTATAAGTCGCGTGTATTGTCTTCGAATGGCGGTGACACCCAGCGTCACGACTCTCCCATCCATGCAATACTACGTAGCACCTCTCTACATTACTTACAGGATACAGACAGAGTTAGTAAGGGAGAGGAAAATACATGAATATCCGTCGTTACGATACACATCGCTATCAACCCGCGCCCCTTCTGCTTTCACTGCCCGTCGAACTAGTCTCCCTACGCCACAACACAACCACGCGACTGTTTCTCCGGTGGCCCCCTCCCTCCAGCGCGTCTACGTGCTTCGCCCTGAGACTGAGCGCAGTTCAGCATGTCCCAGACGACAGGCCCAGTGCGGCGTCCTGGTGTGACGCATGAATGATTAATAAATATAGCCGTCGAGCGGCATAAGCGATGCGCACGCCATGCTGTGCCTCCTGTGTGGGATGGCTAGCACTGGGTCATCCCGTCCTCCCCGCGCGGTAAGGATTCTAGAAGTTCGGCGGTGCCATCTTACGTTGGGCACGGGATCGCCTCCCCAGGAACTAAGCACCATTCACAAACTCCCTACATACCTATATATTTATGTAGGTACACCTGCCTACATCATAGACGAGGCAAGGGGCAACGCTTGTTCCAGGATAGATCCTTCTAGTCCCAGGATTATTACTGAGGCCGAGAAACCGCCGTATACTCTTAAATCATGTTGAATTCCGAGCGCGCGTGTGAGTAGGGGGCGAGGTCGCTTTGGAAGTGTGAACTCGCGACGCCGACAGGAGACCCCTCTATCTAGGTGAGCAATATATCCCTCATAGCCACAAAAGTGAGCCCATCAGCCCTACCAGCCCTATCCTACGTAGCATACATATACAGACTTAGCACTCGGGATGAGATCCACATTTCTAGCTGAAGCAGTGCCATCGAATCGAGTCCTACCTACGAGTCTCGCCCAGACAGCCGGAAGATGGGATGCCAAGAGTGGGATCGGCATCGATCGCGGGCTACGGTTACAGTGGCATCACATATTTCGCTCTCCTGCCACGTGCGGTCGAATGATGGACGCCTCGCCGAGAGCAGGTATATCCCTCAGTCAAGGCGCTTCTACCCTGCTTTGCTACGAGTGATAAAAAGAGTTAGCCCCAGAGTCGAGAAATTGCGTCGATAAATATCTGCAATACCTATAACAGTGCCCGACGGGCCCGTTGCGATCCCGCGACGACCGAAGACGCTCTCCGCGCTTCTAGTCCCGTCGGTTGCCTTTCGGTCGGTATACTGTAGACGATACTCGCATCCACCTACACGCAACGATTTCGCACGACAAGCAGCATTGACGCGATACGACGAAACAAGATGATTCCCACTCGCGGTTACCAGTGCAAGGCAAAAATCACCAACTCGACGTCTTCTCACATCCATTCTCGGGATCGACTAAGCTTCGTGCTCTCTTGCGAAACCGACGAGGGCCTCGAGAACTCCCCCACTATTATGGTCGACGGGACGAAAGCCGACCGAGAAACTCGAGGCGTCTCTCTACCTTATCCCAATAGCCATTTCTTCCGCACCAGCCGATGCCCGAGTTAGCTCTAAACACATATATACCCAACTCTGACATCTCGATCTATTACTAGAATCGTCGGCTCGCACCCGCTCAAGAACGCCAGCTATCCCGCGCCCACACGATCGTCTTCCGAGAAGCGCGCCCCGATCACACGGCAGAGGCGCCTTCTAAGTAGCCCGTTTGTGAGCCGCCCATCATATCCCCTTCCTCGCCAACCGGATGCGATCCTCTGCGCTTCGACGTGTAGAACGCTACCATGTGTGTCCGACTCCAACCGAGTCGCATCATCGATGCTCCCCGCGAGACGAGCCGGCAGTCATGTAGGCACCTCGTTCCGACGCTCCGCGGCTCATCCCAGCCGTCAGCCGCCCGGCCGATGTCGCAACCTTCCCCCCAACGGCCAGGAGGATGCATACCGGGGTGGTCCATCATCACATGCAGCTTGTCCGCGGAGCGCTCGCGCGCATCTAGGAGCTTCATGCAGCTATGAACAGTTGGGAACAGCCAAGGTACCCGTCGCGCAATGTTTGATGACTGCGATCTAAATCTGCGCCATCCTGCTCGAACCCTACCTCCCGACTACGCCCCGATAAGGTGAAGTTGACGCGGAGTGCGACTCGCTGGGATGCCTGTAAATGTCCCCCGGCATAGCACCGCCGACACCACCGCCCTAAATAGCGAGCAACCCAACTTCCCCGATCTTCGAGGGGGTAAAAAGCTAGGCAAATTGCCGCTGTCGCCGCTCCACGATTGAAGGATGGAAGGGAGAAGAAACCTGCGTAGGAGTCGAGGTCTTAGTTCGGACCCTCCGGTCGAGATCCCTAGGCTCTGTGCGGTTCCGCGAAGCTGAATACTCCCATCGCAGATGCTTGAGTTCTAACGCGAAACAGGCCCAGCTGAGTGACCGTTGTTTCCGTAGATGGGCTGGACAGCGTCCGTAGCCCTTCAGGGTAGGAGAAAGGCAATTGGTCGCCGAGGAGATCACAGAAGCGAGAGATCCTGCCGCATCAGTGCTTGCATCAGCGCTTGCATCAGCGCCATACAGGCAGACCAACTTCAAAGTAACACCCAGCGCAGAAGCTCTCCCGCACCCCCTCGAAGCAAACGCGAAAGGCGACCCTAAGCCTTCACACAGCTGTCACTGCGATACTACCCTTGGACAGACACGCATCTCGAAGAACCGACACGCAGAAGAAAAGAAACGCATCGGTGCTACGAGGCAGGCGAGCACGGAGACGTGCGTATGGTGTGGGTGCTTCAACATCGCGATGCAGTCTTGCGACCCGACACGCTTCAGGTTCGGCTACTGCGAGAGGGCGCAATCCAGGTCATTCCCACGAAGTGTTCGGTTTGGCTACGGGCCACCAACAAAGCCGTAAGAGTTAAACGTGGTACACAATCTTCTCTTGTGAGACATCTGTCCATAAATGTATCTGTAGGAGAGATTGTTATCGATTTCACCAGTCAAACCTAGGCATTGTTCCTGGCTGTTGACTTAACCATGTATCGTGAGATTGAGAGATAGCCCGAAGTGCAGAGGAGGGAGGGACCACGTCCAGCTCAAATACATACGAACGTTATCGATCCTGAAACGAGTCGAATTGGTGCTGATTCTCATCGTTGGCTTCTGGGATAATAAACCTGAAAACCAGCGCAACAACTTACCCAGCGACAGACAGGATGAAAGACTTGCCCGAGTACGTACTCGCCCCCACAGGCCAGGACTGAGCCCTGTAACCCCGGAGCGGTTCTTCGGCAAGTTACCTAGCGTTTCTCGTCTCCACTAAGCCTTCATGAACACTGCAAGTATTTATCGATGCTGGAATAACGACAGCCAGTTGAATTCTCTTGGTTACCGGGTAAGTGGCTAACTAGTTTCACTTGGGGCCTGGCTCTTCTCAACTTGCTTATGTCGCCGTCGGTAAGCCGGCACTCCGTCGGCCCTCACCTTCGTCGGCTAAGAGATTTCCACGTCGGCAACGATCGACCCTCACTAAAAATTTTTTTAATTTAGCAATTTCACCCAGATAATTCGATACGACCACGGATGGTATCATCGCTAAGGGGGGGGGGACGAGAAGAAAAACACTACGCACATCGCAGATCGGTGCAACGCGGTGGTACATGACGTGGGCGGAAGATTCGAGACGGGTCGGACCGGATCCGTGGATGGCCACCCTTCCTCTCCTGCTCCGGCCGAACGGAGCTCCCTTCGTCGTTTCGGGGAAGTCTGGTTCGTGGTCCCGCTAGGGGGAGTCTGGCCTTTGTGAATCATGTCATAGCGATCCCGGTTTTTCCCGACGATATCCTAATGCTGCAACAGACGGATTCGGTACGCTTGGCGCCCTCGCTCGCCAGCAACCTGACGATCTCGCAGAATACACACTACTTACTCAATACCGAATACCGTGGCGATGAAAATGGCCTCCTCGGGCGCCGGTTAGGTAAGCGTATGCGGTCTCTGCCAGTAAGCGGTAAAGGAAAACGCTTGCCGGCCTCACCACCGCTGCCAGCTAGCATGTCCCAAACACGCCAAACACGCGGGGATCCCCATGTGGCCTGCCCGATTCCACCTTAGACCTCGGCTGGGCACCAATCGTCACTTCTGGGGGAGAAGATGAATGCGCTATAGCATGTACGTATGTACGCATAAGGCAGCATGATTCCGCGATGTGGCTTGGGCGGCCTGCGACTTGCGTCAACGGAGCCCATTCCAAGTATCGCGAACGGTCTGATTGGCCCTCTCGCCGGTCCTTTCAGGCTTTCGCCAGCGAGGATCGCCTGTCAGCAAGCCCTGTCAGTAGCCCTGGTAGACCCCCCGGAGCGACGGGAAATGTCGGAAGGGCTGCTGCTATGGAATGTCCACTAGCCCAATGGCGGGATCAACTTCGGCAAGGGTGCCGAGCGCGCGATGGGGCTGGGAAATGCGTGTAAGTGCAGAAACATCCCGGTCCTGGTCCCCCCGATTCCCAAGGCGCATGGGGTCGGGTGCAGCAGAGATGCCATGCAAGGGCGATTGCGCGGCGCACTTTGAGGCGCGTCTCGCTCATCCTAGTGGCATCGTGACTCTTGGCGGCGCTGCGAGAGGGCAAGAAACCGTACCCAAGCACCAAGCACCGGGTGATTTCCATGCAGGCTGATAACAGATGGAAAGACTCGGGACGGCGTCGGTGTGCACATGCAGGGGTGGTTTGACGACAAAGGGGCCGTTAGGAGCCCGGCCCAGCAGCTCGAGCACCCAACAGGCTCGTAGATGGCAACCCAGACTACCGTTCCCGTGTAAATTTTACGTGTATCGGAGGAAGATTGGGAAGGTAATATTGAAAGGGGGAATTCCCGGGACGTGGACCAGGAGAGGTCGATCTCCCGAGAGAATACCGGGCTACGTGTCGTAGAAAGGACCACATATCCGCTGAGGAGAGCAGGATGGCCTCCAACAGTGCGGTAGGCAAGTAAACAGTATTATCGCCGACAACAAAACAAATGGCAGTGGCGATAGCAACGGCAGACACATCCCCCCTAAGACTGACAGACAGGACAGACAGACTCCGGCACCCCCGTAGGCAACTAGCCAGCCGGCTTCTCCGTCGTGACAAGTATTGCCCCAATATGGCGACGATGCCGCCACTTGCCAATAACGTAACGAATAATACGATTACTAGCGTACCTTGACAATACGATCGGAGAGAAGCCCAGAGAGTCCATCACGAGGCGAGAAAAAAAAGAGAAAAAAAAGCCCCCCTTTCTGGGCTCCAGCGGTTGACATCTCGCTCCTCTATCCCCGATCCCTACGTACATACGGTGGAACCCATGTAGGTAGCCAAAAACTTATCCCGTCAGTCGACCTCCACCTAAGATCAGAAGTCGATGTTCCTGGGGGTCACGCAGTTACAGGGCTATCGTCGCCCAACGCTCTCCCGAGGTACATGAAACCTCACCCCTGCTGTTCGCCTCCCCTTTCCCGAGTCTACCCTTTTTCCATGTGCCCTTCCTGCGGAGTCTGTAGGTAAGAAGCTTTGGCGGGGAACAAGCTGCCGCTCCTTTTGCCTCCCTGCCTGGCCCTACCCTACCCCGCCATCGCGTGCCGCCTTTTTTTTTTTTGTTTTTCGTTCTCCAACTTTTCTTCTTTTTTTTCCGTCTTCCCCCTGATTCAGGTACTACCTACTATACGGTAAGGAAGTTCGGCGTGAGAAGGCGGTCAGGTCAATATCGGCAAGATAATTTCTTGGAAGAGGTACCGAGTTACCCCGTGCCCGAGGATGTCGATCTTCCGCATGAATCAGGTCAAGGACGAGACGAGACGCTCTGCCAGCAACGGGCGTGCGTGTGGATGTAATTACATACCTGCTATGGCCTGTGGTTATACCTACCTAGGTAGCCAGGCCCTCTAGACCTACCTATGCCTACCTAACTTAGACCAGCGGGCGGATCTCGATGCCAACGCGAAGGAGAAGGCGAAGGATGGGGAAGATGGGGAAATCTAGACCGGCAACCTGTAACCACCTAGGCCGCCCAATCCTCGTTGCGAGGTTCGCGGGCGTAGGGCGTCAGAGACGTCGCCGGGGAGCGACCAGGGTCGGCTAGGCCAGTTGGGTCCGTTATGGAGGCTGAAGGGGAAAAAACGGAAAGGAACAATACCCAATCGCAGCCCCAACCGGCGCGCCCGCACGCGCTTCCAACGCCGACAGGGCACACCTCGACGGGAGACTACGTATCTGGGACTCTGAATACCTGCACATCCTAGTTCCGTTACCCCACCTATCCCTAACTGACCCACCTCCATCCCAGACTAACCTCGTCCAAGATCCTGACGACGGTGCTACGCCACGATAGATGCCAGAGAGCACCTCAAGCTAGAGGCGAAGGACGCACCAAGACGGGAAACAAAGGCCGGGCTCAGCTTGCTCCAGGTCGCCTCTCCCGACCATGCAGGGCGGTTTGCTCCGGTTTGAATTCGTGCCTCGACGCTCAGTCAACGATAACACCGGCGGCTGGCCAGTGGAATGTCTCGGTCTAGTCTCGCCGTCTCCACCTCTTCCCTCTCTCCTATATATCCTCGGGTTCGGCCCATGACTAGCAGACCACAAAGTCCCTTCAGGCCCATCTGCATTGCCGGCGTCTCGTTTACCACCCCGTTTAATCAAATTAGATATCCAGTTTCCCCATCCCACTTCGGGTGCTACTCTCCCCTTAGCTCCTATCTTCCCTTCACCTCCCGTCTCTCCAAGGGCTTCTTAAAGACCGTCATGCCCTCCCCAGTCCTCAGAACCGCTTCTCCTTACACCGATCCCTCAGTAAAAGGCCCCAAGTCTCAGCAGCTCTCTGACGGCCACTCCCATCATCATACTCTTCAGCACATCAAGAGTAAGCCAGGCCCTTCACCCGCCTCCCTCTGCCGAGGTCTCCGAGGGGGAAACGGCAGCGGAGGGAGGCACCGAGGCGATCCCGCAAGTCGACACAGTCTCGCTAACTACCTTGACCGTATCAGTGACTCCGAACAACAAAGTCAATAAGACCTCTCTTCACCCTGGTGGCGTTGAGTAAGTGGCCAACCTCCTGCGACGATGAACCCCGGGTACCGTTGCTAACATCCGTCCGTCCGCCCGTAGACCCCACCATGAAAGGGAACACACCGAACTAGGTACGCGATGAAGAGGAATGCTAGCATAACTCCTCCGGATTAGGCCTTTGTTGCTGCTGTTGTCTCATCACATCACTAACATCGAGCCACTCCAGAGGAGGAGCTACATGAGAAGGCACACATCGACTATGACAGAGTCGCCATCGTGAGTCCCGATAACCTAGATAGACAGCCTCGAAACTCCCCTGGCGAACGCAGCGATTAACGAACATTTCCAGATTCCCAACCCCTCGGTTGCCGCGTTATACGAAGATGCTCTCGTAAGAACAACCCCCCGTCCACCGAGGCACGCGACCAACTCTTCTCGGCTCTTGCTAACGATATCCCCTCTAGGTTTACGAGATGGGCTCAGCCATCGCTTCCAGCGGTGCACTGACCGCATACTCCGGCGCGAAGACTGGCCGATCCCCTTCCGACAAGAGAATCGTCAAGGAGCCGTCATCGGAGAACGATATCTGGTAAGAGTCCTAGCGCCCTCTCCTCCTCCTAGACACACACGGCCGGTATTCGGCGCAGCTTAATCTGGGACGGTGATGGCTGACCTGGTATCGACTTTTAGGTGGGGACCTGTCAATAAACCGATGGGACCAGAGGTAAGACAATCTTGGAATCTCTGTCTCTCCCTCTCTCCCCTCTCGCCTTGCCTCTTTTCTATTTTCTCTTCCACGCGATTAAGCCACCGTCAATATCCCATCATCATTCTCCCCTGGTACCCACTTATCCGTGACCCCATCAGCGGGGGAAAGGAAGCGAATCTTGTACTGGATCCCTTCCTAGGTGCGGTTTTGTCCGGCCTTAACCTGCTTATGACGGCCTCTCGACATCATTCGTGGCGCTCTAAGCTCTGCTCATCAGAGAGGCTACCTCATTCTCGGCAATTCCCCCAGAATATCCAGGCTAGGCCTGAATCACGAGGTGTCCACCAGCTAGTTCTAGATGCTGTGGCTGGAACTCGTACCCCTGCTATTTTCTTACGTATCTCCCCATCCCCTGGCGGCTCAAGATCCGTCAGTATCCTGCACACCGCCTCCCCCAGATCCGGGTTACATGTTACTGTCTGCGCCCCACAATGTCCTCACGTGGTAGATTTCTTTGGCTTTCGACCTGATGACTGCTGGTTTACCGACCCCGGTCCGGGCGAGTGGGCGGAATTGCCGAGCTAATACGAGGACTCTGTCTGCTTAGGTCTGGAAGATCAACCGCGAACGTGCGATTGACTATCTCAACACCCGAACGAGGATCTACGTCATCGATGGCTATGCCGGCTGGGACGAGAAGTATCGCATCCGGGTCCGCGTCATCTGTGCTCGCGCCTACCATGCCTTGTTCATGCGCAACATGCTCATCCGCCCCTCGCGGGAAGAGCTGGAGCACTTCCACCCCGACTACACGATCTACAATGCCGGAAGCTTCCCCGCCAACCGATACACCGAGGGCATGACCTCGGGCACCTCGGTGGCCATCAACTTCGCCGACAAGGAGATGGTCATCCTCGGAACCGAGTACGCCGGCGAGATGAAGAAGGGCGTCTTCACCGTCCTGTTCTACGAGATGCCCATCATTCACAACGTCCTGACCCTGCACTCCTCCGCGAACGAGGGCAAGAATGGTGACGTGACGCTTTTCTTCGGCCTGTCGGGTACCGGGAAGACGACCCTGTCTGCCGATCCTAACCGAGCCTTGATCGGCGACGACGAGCACTGCTGGACCGATCGAGGCGTCTTCAACATCGAGGGTGGCTGCTACGCCAAGTGCATCGGCCTCTCAGCCGAGAAGGAGCCTGATATCTTCGGCGCCATCCGCTTCGGTTCCGTGCTGGAGAACGTCGTGTTCGACCAGGATACCCGAGTCGTAGATTACGACGACGCTACCCTTACCGAGAACACGAGATGGTGAGTCTCACAAGTCGACCAACCTGTGTCTACCGAAGCAGAAACTAATTACAAACCCCGCAGTGCGTACCCCATCGAATACATCAGCAACGCAAAAATCCCCTGCCTGTCGGAGAGCCACCCTAGCAACATCATCCTACTCACCTGCGATGCTCGCGGCGTACTGCCGCCGATCTCCAAGTTGAACAGCGCCCAGACCATGTTCCACTTCATCTCCGGGTACACCTCGAAGATGGCGGGCACGGAGGACGGTGTGACGGAGCCCCAGGCCACCTTCTCGTCGTGCTTCGCGCAGCCCTTCCTGGCGCTGCACCCGATGCGGTACGCCAAGATGCTGGCGGAGAAGATCGAGAAGCACTCGGCCAACGCCTGGCTGCTCAACACGGGCTGGGTCGGCGCCGGGTACGTGCACGGCGGCAAGCGCTGCCCGCTCAAGTACACGCGGGCGATACTCGACGCCATCCACTCGGGCGAGCTCGCCAAGGCCGAGTACGAGACGTACGACGTCTTCAACCTGCAGGTGCCCAAGTCGTGCCCCGGCGTGCCGTCCGAGCTGCTCAACCCGCGCACCGCGTGGACGGCCGGGTCGGACAACTTCAGCATCGAGGTCAAGAAGCTCGGCGCCCTCTTCATCGAGAACTTCAAGAAGTACGAGTCGGAGGCCACGGACGATGTCAAGGCCGCGGGACCAATTGTTTAAGCTATAAAAAAAAAGCAAGGCGCTCACGGATTGCTTTTCTTTTTTTTTTTTCTTTCCTCGACCTTTTCTCTCATAACGATCCCCACCCCTCCCCTTCCTTCGGGGATCCTAGAGGGGGAGGGGGGGCGGTCAGCGGCCTTCGCGCCCAAACCAAGTTTTCTACCTCTCGTATTCATCTTTTCCCTATATATCTTTCTGTCCCTCTCTCGTTTTTCAACAGGAAAAGCACGTAGAAGGAATGAGGTACCGCAGCGATCACGCTGAGCGGTAAGGAACCACCATTGGCCGGGTTAGGCAGAACGGGACGCGGCCCCGCGATCAGGGAGCCAGCTGTATAAACTGGGATGCGCACTGGGAAAACAAGGAAGTATGTAATCGCGTATGCTGAGATGACTCCCTTTTGCGGAACATTGTCTATATATACATGGAGGGTAGTGGAGGAGGAGGAGGAGGAAGAAGAAGAAGAACGAGAGAAGGAAATTAGATCGGACACGGAACATGGGAATAGCCGCTTGTTCGAGACTTGAATAAAAGGACGACATGAAGACAACAGATTGGACTGGTCTTGTGCAATCGACGACTTTGTTGAATTGCGATGTTGGCAGTTGTAGGAGTGGTAGAAATGTGGGTAGGTACCTAAAGAATTACTACATACTCATGAACCCCATCAAGACTTGTTCATTAATTGATCGTGTTACGCTGCGCGACGAAGGACCAGCATTCTAGCCATCATATAACGCCGTCGATTGTGCACTGCAGGGGTTTTCCCCTGTGTGCAGCGCTGCGGGGCTAGCATGTCTACTCAGCCATGTCGGCAGCATCTCGCGCCGATGTAAAGGTAGGTATCGCTATAATGCATACTTGGATGGGGTATGCATATATGCAGAAACAGCCACAGCGCCACCAGGTACCCTGGCATGGTACCCAGAGACGGAGACAATAGACCTTGGTCGATAGGGACAGCCTTGAACCCCCGATTAGATAGCGGGCCGCAGGGGACCAGGCGAAGTGGGATAATTGGCACAATAGCAGCACACAGCTTTCTTTGACTTCCCTTGTTTCCCTCACTCTCCATTCCCTCCTCCTTCTCCTCGCCCTCCTCCCCCCTAACCTCCCTCGACTCTCGCCAGGACACGCAGCGCGCCTTGGCCCCGCGGCGCCTGCGACATATCCTCCTTTTATATATCCCCGCTCGTGTTAGGAGCTCGGCAATGACAAGCCGCCAGCATGGACGGAGATTGGGACGAGGTATCTAGTTTCATCCCCTCCACCTGCCTTCCTCGCATCTGTCGCGCTCAGAGGGAGTGATGTCGAGTTCAGATCGCGATGGGCGAGTAATTGATGAGATGCCGTGCTGACCTCGCCGTCTGTTTCTAGGTCGCGCGCATACCGTTCCCCCCGCCTGGTCTCCGGGCCTTGCCGACGCCCGTCACTACCCTGGCCTTCGACACCAGCCAGGAGCTCCTGTGGACCGGGAATGAATATGTACGAGTGCTGCTCACGAAACCTCAAATACCCCAAGAACCGCGCTGATCGTTGCCCAGGGCCGTGTTTCCTCCTTCTACGGCTCGAAGCTGCAGCAATACACCTCCTTCAAGGCTCACGCCTCGCCAGGGGGACCGGTTCGCCAGCTGCTCTTCAATGACAAGGGCGTTATCGCGCTCGGCTCCCGCGGGGTACACATGGCCCTGAGGAGGGGCGTGCCGCTATGGTCGATCAGGTGGGAGCCGCTCGCTCCGTCGCCGCTTCGATGCCCGTTAACGCTCATTACGATTGTGTAGGCACGAGGATATGCAAGAGCTAAGGTGCATGAGCTTCACGTCCAAGGGCACCGCCGAGATTCTCGTCGCGGGCGAGCACGATAAGATGTTCGTGATCGACACGAACAAGGGCGAAATTACCAAGCAGGTATAGCCCTAATTCTCCCTATGCGCCGTAGCTGTGTAGCTGATTCACCCCCTTCCCCCCAAGATACCGACAGAGCACAGATACAAGATCATGAGGAGGAGCCGGTATATCTGTGCGGCAACCTCGAGCGGTGCTGTGCACATTATCGATTCGCTCAATTTCCAGGTCATCAAGGTCTGGAATGCGCATACGGCCGCTATCAATGATATGGACGCCCAGCACGACTTCATCGTCACCTGCGGATACTCGATGAGGCACCAGGGCAATTACATGCCCGACCCCTTCGTGAACGTTTTTGATCTCAAGAACATGATCTCGATGTCCCCTATCCCCTTCCCGGCCGGTGCTGCCTATGTCCGGATGCACCCGAGAATGTCCACCACCAGTATTGTCATGTCGCAGATCGGACAGATGCATGTGGTTGATCTTATGAATCCCAATACAAGTAATGTACGCCAGGCAAACAGCCTGTCGTATTTCTCCATGATAGAAATCGCCTCTTCGGGCGAGGCCGTGGCCCTCGCTGATGGTGACTGTTATATACACCTTTGGGGCTCGCCGAACAAGATTCATTTCTCCGAGTTCCCTACGCCGATAGAAACCGCCGATTCCACATCGGCCACCCGGATCGACTTCGATACTCCCGAAACGTAAGTACCGTCAGAATGGGAGCATGGTGACACCTGCTGACGGCGTCTTAGGCCATTGAGCACGATCGGTATGCCTTATTACCGCGACGTACTGTTGTCGGCGTGGCCTAGCAATATGGTGACTGAAGTCGGTGCCCCTCCTGTAAAGATCGATCCGCAATTCCTGGCGACCCTCCAGGAGCGAGACTGGGGCTATTTCGGTAAGAATACGCGCCCATTGCGGCGGAACCAGGTCGAGGATACGCGAGGCGCCGAGAGCCCCCAGAGCTCCCTGAAGCCGCCCAAGTTCTTGAGCGAGAAGGCGAGGGAAGCCGCCAAATCTCCAGCGGGGACCCCAGCGCCCGAAGAAATTGTGCGCGACACTCCCCAAGTCCTACACGACACCAAACTAGAAAGTCACAAGGTCGAAGTGCCCGAGTCGTATCAGAATGTGGAAATAAAGTATAGTAAATTTGGAATCGATGATTTCGATTTCGGGTCAGTCCAGTCTGGTTCCCTTTTTTCCTTTCTTTTTTTTAAAAAAAAAAAGAAGTTCCGGAGAGGCCACGCTGACATATAATCCAGCTATTTCAACAAAACCCAATATTCGGGCTTGCAGAATCACATTGTAAATGCCTACGCAAATCCACTACTGCAGGTGATGCATTACACTCCTCTAATCCGGAATGTCGCCCTGCAACATGCGGCAACGGCTTGTGTCAACGAGTTGTGTCTCCTCTGTGAACTGGGGTTTCTCTTCGACATGCTCCACAAAGCCGAAGGGGAGGCTTGCCAGGCATCGAATTTCACAAAGACACTCAGTTATCACTCTGAAGGTTGGCGCCCCTCTAGTTGCCTTCTAACCATACACTAATTTATTTTCTGGTAGCGGGGAAGTTGGGTCTGCTTGAGGAAGAGCCTCACTCGTCGCGGACAGTCATGCTGCAGCAGTTAACCAGGTTCCTCCTCAGACAGATGGCTCATTACCACGCCCTAATGACCCAGAATGTGCAGCCCTTTGTTGAAACACCCAACTCTGGGGCGTTCGAAGAGGTAAAAGAACTTACTTTACCACTCCAGAGCAATCAAAATGTCGTTAACTGGCTTATTTAGCTCTTCCAAACATCCGCTACCAGTTCCATTAGGTGCATGAACTGTAGAAGTGAGACGACAAAAGCTGACCCTACGATGGTAAACGAATTGATGTACCCGCAAAATGTAAGTCCATACATGTTGGTTCGGCAAGGTCAATAGGCCAGTTGCTCATTCAATTAGAAACCGGGCCACCGAAACGCAAGAGTACGAGGGACGACCTTTTCGCAAGTGCTTAAGATGAGTGTGGAAAGAGAAACTGCCAACAAGGGTTGGTGTAATAACTGTCGTAGATATCAGACATTAGCCACCCGCAAGACCATACACAGGGTGCCTAGCGTGTTGATTCTCACCACTGCCATCAACAACAATGATCACCGGCGGCTCTGGGCCACCCCCGGATGGCTCCCCGAAGAGATTGGGGTTATAGTCGATAGTGGGCAATTCTTCTGTTTCGAGGGCGAAGACCTAAAGCTGCATCTGCAACGGGGAATCCATAGCATCACAGTTTACACCCTAACAGGGTTAGCTGTTAATATCGAGGGTGGTCAACAGCAGCGATCCCACCTCGTAGCCATGGCGAACAGTAAGTGGCCGCAGTCGTCACCCAAAGGCCCAAAATATATGAGACTGACGCGGAAGTACAGTTGCACATTCTGCCCCAGTGGCCCCTGGGCAGAGCCAGTGGTATCTATTCAACGACTTCTACGTCAAGCCAATTCCAACTCAAGAGGCGTTAACATTTAACACATCCTGGAAGACGCCATCCATCATTGCCTATCAGGTCAAATCGGCTAACAACAAGCTTGATTCGAGCTGGAAGCAGAGCCTGGATTCTAGATTTCTTTACGTTGACCTTCAGTCAGTTTTGGATGAAACCGGGCGATTCTCACCTATCCCGCTAACGTCTTGCTAGGGGGGACCGGCCGGACAAGACATACCGCACGCTCGATCCACGGACTGAGCCGGCGGGGCCCAACACGATCGTGGCGATAGACACGGAATTCGTGAAGATCTCGCAACCAGAGGTAGAAATGCATTCGGACGGCGATTCCAAAATCATCCGACCCACGGTCCATGCTTTGGCCAGGAACTCAATTGTGCGAGGTAGTGGTATGGATGAGGGGGTTCCGTTTATTGATGATTATATCACCATCAAAGAGAAGGTCGTAGATTACCTTACCTCTTACTCTGGAATTACCGCAGAGGATCTGGATGAGACGGTAGCACCGCAGAGGGGCCATAACCTAGTCCCGCTCAAGATCGCGTATAAGAAGATCTGGATCCTCCTGAATCTGGGGTGCAAATTCCTCGGGCACGGGCTGAAGCAGGACTTCCGGGTGATCAACATCCACGTGCCGAAAGCCCAGGTCATCGACACGAGCGACCTATTCTTCATCAAGGAGCGCCTGCGCAAGCTCAGCCTGCAATTCCTCGCGCACACGCTGCTCAAGGAGGACATCCAGCAGGTGACGCACGACTCGATCGAGGACGCCCGCACGGCCCTGCGGCTGTACCGCAAGTACCAGGAGTTCAACGAGGCCGGCATCCTCGACGCCATGCTGCAGGAGATCTACGCCAAGGGCGCCGCGTCCAACTTCAAACCGCCAGCCAAGGTCGGCTCCGGGTCCGGCGGCAACGGCAACGGCAACGGCAACGGCAACGGCGGCAGCGTCCCTCGGACAGACACCCCACCCGCAGACACAGCCGCTCCTGGGCCCTCGACGCCGTCCCGGAAGCCGGCCGTCGCTGCCGTCGGGTCGGCGACGCCCACGTCTACGCCCGGGAGAGGGTCAGGCTCTAGATGACCCCGTCAGCCCGAGGGTCCCCCCCCTTCCTCCCCGGGGGCTCGGCAGCCAGTCCACTCTACCTGGGCGTTTGAGAAAGGCAGGCCAGCGTGAGAGGAGGAGCGGGGTGGGGCGCCAAAAGCACGGATTCTTTTCTTGAAAAAATCCCTCTTAGTTGTCGCAGAGTATCTATATCACATCCTTCCCCGCCACGCGCGGATCTGTATTTGCCTTATCATGATTTCGACGCGTCGCGGCGTCTATGTCTATGTCTTATATGTCTCTGTGTGTGTTAGCCATGGGTTGGGCCGTCGGCCTGTGTGGAAGTGCGCGGACGAGATGAACATGGCGGGAATGTGTGTGGGCAGCCGAGGAGAGAGAGGAAAAGCTAGTGTGGACTATTGGCTCTGTTGGCTGTCGACGAGAGTATATAAGTACCTATCCCATCCTACGTAGATAGATACCGAGGGATAGGGGAAGAGAGGATGGATGGAGGGGGGGGGGGAGTATCGCAATGGAGCTAGACAGCTAATACGAAGCTACGAGATGTGAAACACACATTCATCGTGACCCGTCGTCCTCGCCGTCCTCGTCTTCATTTCCCTCTAGCGAATCCGGGTATCGGTTGCTCTCGCTCAAAGCAAAACTTCTTTTTTTCTCATGCTTCTTCGTCTATCAGGGCGGTTATATTATACATGTAGATACGCGCACAGACACAAGCCTAAGTTGTCCACCCCGGCTTGCCCCCCGCAAGGTCGCCTCTTTTTTTTTTCATCCGTTTCCAACTCGGCCTTTTTTTTTAAATTCTCCCACCGGCCTCCCCCTGGCCTCCAGATATTCACATATACATATATACACCTCGGCCGGGCGTTAGGACTAGCAGGCGACCTCGCTAGGCTCCCGCGTCGCCGTCCGGGTCCGGGGTGCGCGGCCTAGTCTGCGCGTCCGGACGAGAGGAACGTCGCGGGGCGGTTGGGTGGGTGTCTCGGGGTAGGAGGGGCGTCTTTTTACTTCTTGCGCTTGACGACGGCGTAGTGGTTGAGGTTGGCGCGGGCGGCGGTGCCGAGCTTGTGGACGAGGCCGCGGCGCTCCCAGACGGCGGAGCGGCCCTCGACGACGGCGACGACCTCGTGGGCGAAGCGGGTGGCGAACTGGAGCCGGCCGGAGCCGGCGGAGCGCTTGCGCTCGACGACGTCGAGGATCCACGTGATGGCGGTGCGGCGGCGCGCGCGCGCGGCCAGGGGCTCGGGCAGCTCCAGCGCCTGCCCGCCGCCCGCCGCGCCCTTGAGGCTGCGGATCCGGATCAGCGGCGCCACCGAGTCGATCGCCAGCGTCAGGTACAGCAGCGGGTTCAGCGGCAGCTGCTCCGGCGGCGGGCTGCCCGGCAGCAGCGGCCGCAGCGGCGACACCTTGGGCGCCGGCGACGTCCGCAGGATGTTGAGGATCATGCTCATGTGCTGAGCGGCGGGACGGTGTCAGCTGCCTCTGCCCTCTGCTTCTACTTCTGCTTCTCCCTGCCCGCTTAGGAAGGGGGGAGGGGGGGGGAGGGGGAAGAGGTGCGTACCCGTTGCGCCTTGCTCAGCTTCCCGTCGCGCATGAGCAGCTTCGTGACCTGGTCGATGACGGGGTGGTAGCGGTCCTGCAGCTGCTGGTCCTTGCGCGGGCGCTCGGGCATCTCGAACAGCAGCCCCTGGCCGCTGTGCATGTCCTCGCCCGCGGCCACCTTCTCGAGGGCCTCAATGGCCTGGGCGTTGAGGAAATTGTTCGCGAATATTTCGATTGGCCTAGGCTCGTACGGCTTCGGCTCTGCCTCGGCCGCGGCTTCGAGCCGTGACAAAGAATCGGACGGCGGCGGCGGGGGCGACGACGAACTGGGCGGAGGCGGCGGTGGCGGCGGTGGCGACGACCTGGGCGGAGGCGCCGGCGGTGGTGGCGACGACGGTTCGGGGGGAGGCGGCGGCGGCGGTGGCGACGACGATTTGGGCGGAGGCGGCGGCGGCGTGTCGAATAGGGAGGTGTAGTCTATAGGGTAGTCTGGAGGCGGTTCCCACTTCTTATCCGCCATGCCTCTCCTCGCCACGAAGGGCACCGCCACCCGTAATATCGGCCGGTCTGCGGCCGCGCGGGGTCGGAGCGCAGGTAGCGTAGCCAGCCGTCGGGTTCGCATGGCGAGGCTGCGGACGGCGGTGCCGCCGGCGCCCCGAGGCGTCAACTTGGGAGGCATGGTGTCGGTTCCTCGTGTGTCCCCGCGTGCGTGCGCATCGGCTGGGAGCAGGTCGGTCCCGTCTAGATCCTTCGATGCCCCGTCCTCGTCGCCGATTGGGCGTTCACAGGCTCATGGCGCTGCGTGAGCAGATTTGGTGAATGGGGGGGCTCCCGTCGAGGGGGGGGGGGGAAAAAATGGCATGAGAGCTACGATGATGCGCATGGGTGGGATGGTGGATAGATAGAATTGACAGCTCGGGATGTTCCGATGTGTCTCCGCCTCCAGCTAGGGTTAATCCGAGGGTCCTGCTTACCTAAGGATTGACCAAGTCTTACGTAAGGGAATCCTGGAAGAAAAGGCTCCGACGCCCCGACCTGGATAATCGCATGAGCAGGGAACGCCACAGGAGCACAGCCTCAATCCTCACGTACCGCCTCTTTCATGTAGGTAGAGCATGATCCGCAGATTTGCCGCCATCCCGATTCTGCTCGGCGGCCAAAGCCCAACGATGCCGAATCCTGTCTCAGATCACCCGGGTGAATCTCGCCGATCTGCCCATCTTGTCTTGCCATGCGCCGTGAGACAAATCTCACATACCTCATTAGGGCTGCCACGGGGCTGCATATATGCCTCATCCCCTTTTCGGTGCGATTCCTATTCTTCCTTGGTCGTGACGGGTTTTTCGTTTTTGTCTCGAGCTTCCTTTTTTTTTTCCCCTCCCTTCTCACGCTGTCTCTCCTTTTACTACAGCGGTCAGACATTGACTACCAGAACCCAGTAATCCGGAACCTCCCCCTTTTTTTCGCACCATTTCCTCTCCCCCCCCCCCGTAACCAATTCATCACTATCCCATCCCTGGATACGACCAACCCGCGCGCCGCGCTCCCTAGCCTACTCCAGATCCCTCTCCCCTCCCAGCCCCTGAACCCCATCCTCCCCCACGCGGGAGATGGACGGGACGATATAACTAGGGGTTTTGTTTATATATGTAGGCATAATATACATCTGTATGTATGCTACGTAAGTCTGCGTGGCATGATAGGTATAGCTGAGCATTTATAGCAAGTCAATGCGACTATGCCCGCGCGTCTTGGTCGACCGACTCCACCACACCGGTTCCGTTCCCATACCTAATTCCGACTTTACGCCTATCAAGAGGAGGGAGCAATAAAGCAAAGAGAGAAAGGACCCAGTTCGCGAGATGCGATATGAGACAAGCCTCCTCGCGTTGGCTAGCCTGTATAACACGTCCTTGGTCCTAGGGAACCGCCGCATCCCCGGTATGTCGGTTGTATTGCCCGCCCTACCTGACGCCGGCGCGCGCTTGGTCGGTTCGAGAGAGGAAATCGGCGTCCTGTGCACACGCACCAAACACACACACCGGCGTCGCATGTCTTAAACGGCACCACCCATAAGCTTAACATGGGTCGGGTGTCGCGAGGGCCAGTCTTACCCATGTACTCAGCTACCTACTAGCCAACCACCATTCCCGCAACGTGATTATCACGGCTACTAAGACGTGTGTCTTCCGTGTCTCGAACTAGCCCGGTCTAGATAGGCCGACGGAATGGACACGTCTGTATGCCGTGGGTGTGCATACGTCGCCTGGGCATGGCAGACAGGTCCGGGAAGAACCAGAGATATCAGTCTCCGCGCAACGCGCTACGCCAGACCGCCGGACATCCCCTAGAGCGCCGGGAAAAGAAAAGAGAGGGAGGAGAAAAATAAAAATAAAAGCCCTGGGCTGCGCCGCTCGTGCGCCTCCCAACACAGCTAGGTGTCTCCTCTCTCTCTGCCTCGCTCTCCGTCGCTCTCTCTCTCTCTCTCTCGTCTCCCAAAATCTCGCGCAGACTGCCTAGGTCTACGGGTACAGGCACGATCCGCGCTCGTCCCTCCTCTAGGCTCCCCACCCTCCACCCTCGAACCTCACCGGAAAGGGACGGGGATGTGGGAGAGGGAGGGCAGGGAGAGGACAGGAACGACGTCCGGGCCACCCGTTCCCATCCGCCGTCGGCACCCGGAGCCGCACCCGCCTGGGTTTAAAGGTGTAGGTATGGATTCGTCTTTTGGTGGAGGGGAGGGGGGGGAGGGCGGCCCCTCTAGACAAGGCAAGTCTGGTCATGCGACCAGAAAGTAGGGACGACGTCCCCGCCGACGCGCGCACGCACATACCCTACACGCAGCGATGCCGTGTTGGTTGGCAGGTAGGTATATACCTAGAGGTAGGCAGGCATGTAGGTACGCGTGTAGGTGCATGGACGCGCACGCAACCACCCATCATCCACCCACCCACACCACCGCGCCTATCTAAATATCTACATAAATTGCCCGCCTACATACGCACGCACGCGCGCATGCATATATATGTTGGTCGGGGTAGCTCACCGGTCAGGAGGGCGGCCGCGTAGGGCGGGTAGAGATGCCTGCCGAGACCGGACGGGACGGACAGGCAGGGAGGAGGTTCAGTAGGACCGCAGACGTGCGCCGGTGGTGAGTCGCAGCGGCGGCGGCGGCGGCAGCAGGCAGTCTCAGCGGCCGATGAGGCTCGCATCTAGAAGCCAGTTGGGCTCAGCCTGCGTCGCATCTGAGTAACCCCGGAGAGGGGGCCCAGCCCGCGAGACCGGCAGATGGCGCAATTCCCACGTACTACCTACTACGAAGATGCTCCCCTGGGCTGTCTCGGGCAACAGGTACGCGAATATGCAGATCCGTAGCGAGAGCGCGTGTGTGAGAAAGGGGGGAGAAGGGAGGGGGGGATGTATATGTAGGTAGGTAGGTAGGTATTGATTGCGGTAGGCAGGTTGCCAGTTCATGTCGGCACAGGTAGGCAAGTAGGGTGTTATACCTACGTATGTATGTATGTATGTACGATGCCCGCAGACGCTCGCGCATCCCATCCACACACACGCACGCGCGCAGCACCGATGCGCAATTGGCCGCTCATTCGTTCGTCCTCAGCACCTGACCCGGCCGGGATGCAACCAGGGGAGGCGTTCCAGAACAGAAAGGAGGGGGGAGAAGCGATGGTGGAGGGGACGGGGTGCCGCTTAATATTGCACGCATATATCTGCCTATACCTCCCTAGTACGCCTATATATACCTAGGTATATGTGTACACATATATATATATATAGGCATACGCGGAGGCTCGACCGGGTTACCTGGTAAACAGGGCCGATGTTGCTGCAGTGCAATGTCGGGCTGCTACCCTCCCCCTTCTCACCGTGTGCGCGAGGGTGTGCCGTGACGATGACGGCCGGCGCCGCGGCGCCAGGGCGAGAAGGGAAAGGGGAGTGGATGGGGATGGGCCGCATCCGGAATGGCTGATCAGCCCTGCTTTCTGCGTGGGCCGCGAGCGGTAGGAGGAGGAGGAGGAATCGAAACGCGTCGAAGCGCCGCAAGATGAGAGAGACTGAGAGAGAGGACCCGGTGTGACGAGCCGTCGAGTGAACTAGGCGTGCGTGTCATCTGCGTAGGTCGGTATACGTGGATGTATGTATGCGCGAGCATGTAAGTACGCGTAGGTATGTTGTCTATGTGTCTGCCTGCCTGTCTGCCTGCACGCATATGTAGGTATGGATGCACCTACGTGGATGGAGACGCAGGTACGTGTGTCGCTGTCGCTGCTGATGACTTACACACACACACACACCCCTGGACATCAGAGATTACGGGCATGTATAGGCATAGCCAGCCCCCTCCCACCCGGGCTGCCGCTACGAGGAATGGTCGGGTGGGTAGCACACAGCTGTCGCCTCTTCAGGCTCGTGTGGAATGGATCCGGGCGGCGGAGTGCTGTTCCGACACGCACGCCGCGACGACGACGGGGGGGGGCCAAGGTTGATGCTATCCCCACGTATGCAGACCCAGCGGGATAGGGCCCAGCCTAGCAGGTGGTCTCTGCTACGTGAACAGACGGGCGAGCCAACGGACGCGCCGGCAGGCGAGAGCGCGCCTAACGTATCGGTCCAGCTGCGTCCAGTCCCTGGCCGGCGCTGTGCTGCGCTCGTGCGTGCGTGCGTGTGTGTGTGTGTATTTTCGGTGCGTTTCGCCCAGAGGGCGTATTTCAGGAGTGCATGCATACGCATACTACAGTAAGCAGGAACACAACCCGAACCCGCGCTATTCCTCCGACGCAGGTGTTTCGAGAAGAAGAAATGGAACCAGCGTCACCTATCATCGCCGAATCGCGAAGGTCTTCCCGTCTTCGTTGTCGCTGATTGCATGCTAATATTTCTTTTTACTAATATCATCCTCTTTTTTTCTCCGTTCTTCTGTCTTGGGTCTGTCAGAATAGTATAGAGGGAAAAAGAAAAAGACGCCGCCAGAAACAAAAGAGCTGCAATGATAGGAGAGCCCACAGAAAGATCGACATCGCTCATTATATCTCCGAATCGAGACCAATGCCATCCTTTCCCTTCTCCTGTCTGGAGACGTGACTCTTTTGGTTTACCCTCCCTCGTTTTCCCACCTCCCCACCCCCTCGTCCCCCTTCGTCCTTCCCCACCGTCTATTCTTTTATTGCTCCCGCTCTTCTAAGCCTGCGCCCTCCGTCAGTAGCCCTCCCTCCACCTATATCGGCTTTCCAAAATCCCATCCCCGTAGCTAGGGGTCATGAGGGGGGTTTTTTTTTTTCGTTCGGCCACGTGCTCGGCCAATCTGTCCTCGTGGGAGGGCTGCCGTTCGATATCCGTCCTGACGTGAAATCAGATCAGTGTAACCCCCGTTCAAACACCAACATCCGAATACCGCAGGTCAAGATAGGAAACGAATCCTAGTAATCCATCTCGAGACCCATTTCTGAGAAACGACGAGATGTTGAAGTAAGCAAGGTCCTGCGCCTGGTCCCTCTCGAACCCCTGTTTTGTTTAAATTCCCTTCCTGGTGATGATCCCCCCCTCCCCCCCGTTTCCGTGATAAGAAGTGTCATCGTTACCTGAGAAATGCGGATGACGGGCCAGAACGCAAAAGAAGAAAAGCCACCATCCAAGAAGCGCGTTTCCTCGTGAAGCTAACCAACGAAATTGGGACAGACGCCGTGTCCGTAGATGCCGACGTAATTCACCCCTTCCTGCCCTTCTCTTTATCTCTCTTCTCGCCGTGGGGCTGCCAGATCCTTTCCTATAACTCCGATTTGTTGGTATCGTACAGAACAGGCAGTTCCGAGGCGAGGAAACACAATTCGTCCCAGTAAAACAAAGTAAATACCGTTGTCAGGGCCAGGGGAAGAAAATAGGGGTACTGAAGTCAATCAATCGCGCAAATGGGGAAAGAGAGCCGAAGGAAGGGGGGGGGATGTCACGCGTGTCAGCCGAAAGACACTAGTGTAGATCGAGCGTCTGCGTTGCGGGTTGCGTGCTCGGTGAGCCGCTCACCAGTTCGAAGCCAGGTGATTTGAGAGCCAGGTGAGAGCCGCCTCCGCGGCATCCTCTCGGGCATTGGTTATGTTCCTCCCGTCGTACCAGTAGCGCGCCTCGATCCGCTTGCCGTACACGGTAACTATACTCGACCAAGCAGTGCGGCCACCTAAGCATCGGTGCGCGGACCGGTTAGTGACTAGCCGCCAGGACTAGGAAATAGCGTCGAAGCTGGTGCTTACTCACCTCGTCGGTCAGAGACGATTTGGAAGTGAGGAGCCTGGATCTGGTATTCACGGCACGCATCTGACCCGACAAGTTAGCAGCAGTTCGGCCGGGTCTCCTTCTCGTACCGTACAGAGAAGGGGTCTGGGTGTCTAACCTGCCAAGCGGTCTTGCCATGGCGTAGTGGAGGGCTGTTGGTGTGGCATGGTGACTGAGTAGTAGTAGTAGTAGTAGTAGTAGTGCTGCTGAACGCTGAAACGAGTGGATGATATGTCGACTCTCGAGAGCTTGCCGTCGGTGACGAAGAGGCGTGGCGGTGAATGTCGAAGTTGTGTTGTACAGATGTGAGAGACCAGTAACCCAAGCCCGGGAGGAAAATCGGGCTCCGTAGACGCCTTTTATACTCGAGGCAGGCTTGCTGTCATCGCCCCGTCTCGATTAGGAAGCGAGGGACAACACGGCCGGCTGCGTGGACGAGATGCTACCTGCGTACACGCATCAAGAGAATAGCAAGTGAGGTCACAACCGTGACTCGTAGTGAGGCGAGGAGGTGATGTGGCAGGAAAGGATTAGCTAGCGTATCTCTAGCTGTTTGCGCAACAGTGCAGCGCGGCTGTGAAAGGGGAATTTATTTGGCAGAGACGGCATCGTGCATCGTGGATGTGTACGTGTGGTGGGCGGGCGACATGTCTAGTTTCCAGGCTGTGGTGAGGGTGGTGGGCGAGGACGACGAATTCGACCAGGAATCGAGACACTTCCATTGCCGTTACCAATTTATCTCCATATTCCTTTTAACCATAAATCAACTGCTTACTAGGGACCCGTCGGGGGGCTCAGGTGGGAAACGTGTGTAGCAAGCAAACTCGATCGGGGTGGGTTAAAAGGATTACCTGTTCGTTTCGTTTCTTTACTTTTTGATCATTACCTACCTATTGTTTTTTCCTTTTTTTCAACAAAAAAAAAAGAACGCCCTGTATCCTCCGCTTCCCACCCTCCCCTCTGGTCCCCCCTCCCTTCCCCCTTCCCCCCCCCTTTTTTTTTTCTTGCTCCCTGAACCATCCTCATCTCGTTTCCAACGTCTTATAGGGAGAGGGGAGGAGGAGGGGGGGGGGGGGGAGGCGAGGCGAGAGCTACCTGTCTTGGGGAAAATGCCATTGGTAGACGTGCACCGGGCTCGGCTAGGCTGGGCACGGCCAACGTCAGAAGTGTAATAGGGCGTGGAATAAGACAAGAGGAATATAAGTGGACAATGTGGTGAAAAGCAGCTTGTCCTATGCCGAGCAGTTGAAGGATGAAGCTAGGGGGGTACCCATAGCTATCCCAGGAAGAAACGGGTGTATGCACGGAGAATAGACCCATGTAGCAGGAATGCGGGTTGACGATAGCGTAGGTTGCCCCATAGCTGGGTAGCGAAAAGCAGGTTGAAACGAAGTAGGCAGAAAAGGATACCGTATCATTGACAGTCCGAGCCGGGGCGGGGCGAGCTCGTCATGGGCGTGGTCTGCGACGGACTCCCGCGACTGTCTCGCAAACACCGCCCAGGCGCATAAGATGAAAGGCGGAGCAGACAGCCGCGGTCGAAACTTGACGTAGTCTTCCCGTCCTATGCCATCCTTGCCCAGCTCGGAGATATTTTCTCAACTGAGTCGCACCGCGCCGCCGTAGGTAATCGATATGTATGCAATACGCAAGTGCCCACTTACACGGTTACCTACATGTCTACCCTGATCTGGTGGGTGGCTGACTTGTGATTCAGGAAGCTTCCTTTTCCCCTTCGACCCGCGACACAGCAGGATAGAAACTCCCTCGGCCAATGAGAGATGGCGGCCAGCTCCTCTCATGTCCACCGATATGCGTTATGTAGGATGCCCGGGACAGCCAGGAGCAGGAGGATACTACTCGATAGAGAGAGACGGGGGCGTAGATGGCTCTAATGTAATATTGCGTGACGATTCAGACCCAACAACGCGGATGAGGCCGTGCCACGATGGGTTGCTGCGGCGGCTGCGGCCCTTTGGCAGTTGTGGTCAATAAAAAAGTCCCGAGTCTCGCTCACGGCGTACGTGTACGATTCGAGTACGCAGCTCGGCTTCATGTCTGTCTGATCCCAGCCATATGCGTCCGAGTCCGACTACATGCCTTTGTTTGCACGGAGGAATCGTGCTCTTATCATTAGATTAGGCATGGGCTTTCTGCCTGATTAAATTTCACTCAGCGTGCTTCGACATCCCGGCGCAGCAATGCCAGTCGACAGTATTATAGATGCCTATTCTGCTTGCTGCTTTTTGGATGTTTGCTTATTCTCCGACAGGACGGCGGCCAAGGGAGGGGGGAGGGAGGCCGCAAGAGCGGTTTCGACCCAATTGATCGGGACTATGCTCGCGATTGGATGATCCGGGACGTGAGCATGCAGATTGATCGAGGGACGGCAAGTGACATGACGACGACGGTGAGGTACACGGAACCTCGTTTGAAGAGAACCCGACGTAGGCCGGGAGACACGAGCCATCGGAGCGCCATGCTGCTGTCCGAGGTTCAGCCCGCCTGGGCGTGCTCGGTCCCTAGTTGGGCATGAACCAGGCGTGATGGCACCTGTCGTCGCTGGTGTCCGCTTGGAACGCGTATGAAACTCCAGATCGTAGGTTAAGAACGTGGGCGAGGCAAAACCGAGGAGGATCCTTCGGGCTGTCTAATAGGCTTTGCCACCCCGGGCAGCTCGCCACAAACCCCGATAACCAACTTAGCTGGCATCACCCGGCCAGGCACATGACCCCGTTGATCGGCGAACGGGGTTTCCGCGGGTCATGACTGGCTTACATCCGGAAAATATATAAATAGAAATGGCCAAGTAGCCCCGCATGAAGGCAGAAACTGCCGTGTTGATATGGGAAAACTTCGAGGGCGAAGCTATACCGACGTCACTTACCTCTCCCTGCCCACGGCCGCGTAAGTCTCTGAGACAGAAAGGCCATCCGAGAATCAGCAGGTGATAGGTACGGTGCCCGTCTTGACAGAGGTATTGGCTTGTCATGGCTGGAACACCGGTACCGAATCCCAAGACGCATGACCTAGGTAGTATTCAAGTGATTGGGAGGTACGAGATGCACCATCGCCATCCCCTACGATACCGGTGGAGATGGGCTAAAAATACTAAAAATACTACCGTCTGTGATGGAGGTCGGCGATGGACAGAGTGGGCGGGAGATCGTCGACCTTCTAGGAATACATATCAGCCCTGCGCTGCTACGCTGTAAGTCTCCGGCTTGTCAGACAGGCAGTTGTGTTTGACTGGTGGCTTTGCAAGCAAATCGGATGGCGTATGATGGGTTTGCACGTGTAACTCCTGATCAGCGATGGTCTCGCCAGACTGGTTCGTCGGGATCTCGAGCAACGTGGAATGGTGTGGTGTCGGAACGGACGCAGAAGCCCTACACTTCCCGTATTACGTGGGAAGATGCTTCGGCCGAGAGAGAGGCCTTGAGGGAGAAGCAAAATCCAAACCTATCACGGCCCACATGCCCTATGGCAAATAGTGTTGGCGGAACATCCCTGTGGAAATCCATCTGGGTGCTTGGTCCGAAGGTTAAGTATTACAGGCGCGGCGTGACAGTCCTGCAAGGATCTTCTGTGTGTTGGTGTGCGTGCGCGCACGGAAAAGACGACGGACGCTTCCCGCCCGTAGCTGTATAGCCACCACCTGGTAGACCGATAGTGGAATAACGGTGCCAACAGGCTATAAGTGGCGGACAGTAATAGGTAATATTCGTCGAAGTGTGGAATATCCACCACGGGCTAGCACAGCAACCCAGCAGGGGCGTAAATTGCCGATTGGCTATGGTCGCCGTCACAGCCCGGAGTAGTTAGCTAGCATCCCGCGGCAGTACTGAGCATAGGTATGCGCTTGAGAAGTCGGTGGAAAAGCCGAGCTGGGCTGCGTTCATAGATGTATGAGTGATACTTCCGGACCCCACTCGTCGCGCGTGTCCCGATTGCCCCCATTCTAGCTAGCTAGGTGCCCTGTCGGTCGGTCGGGTAAGAAGGCCTAGGTTTCAGATATGCTGGGACTGATTGGGACACAATAGCTAGAGGGTCGAGCTAGCAAGAGCGCGGCTCACTGTCGCGAGTTCGTCGGGAAGGATGACGGCGGAAGGGTTCTCACATGGAGCAATCCAGATCGTCATCATCAAAACTACCTAGATAATCGCCACTTTAAGAGGTGCCCTGAGGAAGGGAGCTTTACCGTCGGGCCCAACCCGTCCGTTCGGAGAGGGACGCTCAATATTGAATGGCAAGAGAGGTGCGGGCCATCGTTGCAAGGGGGAGTCTTGTCAAATGCCGTTGAGGTATCGAAAGAGGCACGCTAGGGGAAAGGACGGGCGGGCCGTGTGGCACGACAGGCGAGTAGTGAGTATTAGGGAGGGATTCCCGCTGTCACCCGTCGTGCGGCTGCTCGCCCCCCGTCGAAGCGCTTCAACGGGGGAGGCCTGGGCTAAGGTCAATGCGAGCATCTCGATGTCTGTTACGGGCGGCCCGGATAAGAGAGGAGGAGGACGGCACGCTCAGGCGAAAGCGGAGACGGTGACGAGAAGTAGGGTGATCTACACATACCTAGTCGAGCACGGGAACGGGGCCTAGGCTGAATGCTCCCCCCTGCCCCCCCCTAGTGGCGACGACGACGAGACGACAATAAGAGAATTTGGATCGGTTTACTAGATGTGTCAAGAGAATTGAAGGGTAAGAAGTCGAAAATCCTGTGCTGGCGAAGAGTTTCCCGGTTTTAGAATCGAGGTTGAAGCTGGTGGCGTGGAAGTGACCGACGCAGTTAATTAAAACAGGCCATAAGGAGCAAAAGGATGGATTATGTAAGACACGCCAAAATCCGGGGCCCTGGAATACATAGGTGCACGTGACCCTTCCTTCGCGGGGTGAAGACAGCGGACCTCGGATGTTGGGGTCTACAGAGGCACCCGCTCTACCCGTTCGGCACTACCCTACGCAAGTACCTAATGGCTGTATATGGTACGGAATTCGAGACAAAAGGATTACGCCAATCCCGCGGCACAAGGAAAGGGAGTCAACAATATTCCCGTGTTTTCTCGGTATAAAATGGCGACCGTTGTCCTGAAAGAGTACTGGGACGGTGCACGGAAACCTGGCCACGTCGAGTTTAGGTAGGCTGGTACCTGACCTATTATACGTGGGGTAAACGGCCTCGATACGACCTTAGATACGCACTACCATAGTTCTGGGGCGCTACTAAGCCACTATTCTAAGGGGCACAACCCACCCACAGAGATGGGTAGGTACCTGGGAGGCAGCACAGGGGCGACGCACCATTTTAGGCGACGTAAGAAGGAGGCATCGCAGGGCTTCGTTTGTATCTCTCGAGTGCCAGATAGGAGAGGTTAGATACCTCTGCCTATAAAGACCCAGGTCTTAAATACCTAAGGCATGCCCACTGCCTTCTCTTCTACCGTACTCATCGGCCTGCCTGCTAACATCCTAAGTTATACATGTACCTACATAACCAGGTAGTTGGTACCTAAGGTAGGTACACATCCAAGGTAGGCGCGGTAGGGCTTAGCTTCAATCTGCCATGTACTCTCCAATCCCGAACAGGGCGGGCCTCGACGACTCGTACCTCGGCATCTCCCTCGCGTTGTCAGCAGCCCCGTCGATGCGTGAATCCTTCTGATCGCTCGTCGCCCTTTTTAAGAGCTTCGCTTCTACCTCGAGATTCTAGTGGTGGGCGCGTCGTCACCTCAATTTTCTGCCGTAAATTGCACGCTCTACCCCCCTTTCCCTCTTGCGGTGATATCGGTGGCCTAGTAAGAGCTGAAACCCGCTGCGACCCCGAGTGGTGAGAACCGAGCGATACGCAGATCAATTCGTCGTCATCGACAAGAGAGGAGGCGACCAATCCCGAGCCCAGCATGCCTTTTGATACCGAGCTGACGCGCCGCCTGGGCATCAAGATTCCCGTGGTGCAGGGAGGTATGCAGCACGTAGGGGTTGCTGAGCTGGCCGCTGCCGTGTCGAACGCGGGCGGGTTGGGTATCCTCACAGCACTCACGCAGCCCACGCCCGAGGCGCTGAGGAATGAGATCCGCCGGTGCAGGAAGATGACCAACTATCCCTTCGGCGTCAATATCACTCTGCTGCCTGCCCTCGTCCCGCCGGACTACGCCGCGTACGCCCAGGTGGTCATCGACGAGGGCGTCAAAATCGTCGAGACGGCCGGCAACAGCCCCGGGCCAGTCATCACCAAGCTGAAAGCCGCTGGCATTATCGTGCTCCACAAGTGCACCACCATCCGACACGCCCAGAGCGCCATCAAGCTCGGTGTCGACTTCCTGTCCATAGACGGCTTTGAATGCGCGGGGTGAGTAGAGCAAAAATTCCCCCCCCCCTTCTATTTTAGTGCCGATATTCTCCTCTTTCTTCTGCTCGTTCGCACAGCTGAAACCAGTCTTCGATGACGGCGCAGACACGTGGGCGAGTCAGATATCACCAATTTCATCCTGCTCAGCAAGGCGCGCCAGACGCTCAAGGTGCCCTTCATCGCCTCGGGGGGTTTCGCCGACGGCCACGGCCTGGCTGCCGCCCTGTGTCTCGGGGCCGAAGGCATCAACATGGGCACGCGTTTCATGTGCACCGTCGAGGCTCCTATCCACCAGAAGATCAAGCAGCAGATCGTCGAGGCCCAGGAGACGGACACCGCCCTCGTCATGCGCAGGTGGACCAACACGACGCGTCTGTACCGCAACAAGGTCACGGACGAGATTATCAAGGTCGAGCGCGAGAGCAAGACGGGCGAGTTCGCAGAGATCGCCCCCTACGTAAGCGGCAAGCGAGGTCGCGAGGTCTTCGTCAACGGAGATGCCGAATTTGGCGTGAGTCATCGCCCGCATCCCCCCCCTTTCACCGCCTGCCCCCGGTTATTCCCAGCGGGAATACACAAGCTGACCGATGTCGCGAACTACAGGTCTGGACGGCTGGGCAGGTCATTGGTCTCATCCACGACATTCCGACGTGCGCCGCCCTCCTCACCAGGATAGAGAAGGAAGCAGAGGAAACATTGACGTCAAAGCTCGCCTTGGCGAAACCCCAGAGTAAGCTATAAAAGCCCCGTCTAATAGTTACGTGTTACCGTTGCAGAGCACTGTTGGTCTGGTTCGATCTTTGCACCTATGTGGCGGTGTTTTGGGGGTGGTTGGTACAGCGCAATACGTATCGCAGCCGGCCTACCCGGCTTCAGGACGAGACACACGGCACAAATAGGAATATATACCGGGTTCTCGCCGTGTTGTTTGGCCGAGCTACGCCCGAATTTACAACCCTAGAGTCGTGAAATGTTCCCGTGACCGATTATACGCGTTCTTGAAAGGCCTTTGGCAATAGTACTCCGGAGAGGTTGCTCCGGTGACCTAGCCGTACCCATCATCATTACCATCGTCATCCCATCTCTTCCTAGTCCCGACCCCCTTTCTCTAACCCCTACGGTACCGAGAGGGGTCCACAAGCACAGCAGAGCACACCTCCGGATCCGACGCGAGCTTTCCGCAGCCGGCCCTAGAGGCGAGGAGAGCCGGCGGAGGGGCGGGAGGAGGAAGCACTCGCCACGTCCAGGAACAGGGGCGCGATTCAATCTTCATGCATAACATATTTGCATTGGGTTGCCACGCACGGCACGCCTAGGTATCATCGCCAAAGCGAGTCATCGGCCCGCCCCGCAGGATCCTCCCCTGTGGTCTGCAGGCAGCAAGTACATGTGCCGTCGCCGCCTCCGCCGCCGCCGCTACTGCAGCAGCAGCAAAATCTGCCCACAAGTTCCCGCGTGAGGAGGCGCGGACGACGCAGCGCGCCAACGAGGGCCGCCCGCTCCTCAACACCCCTGGCCGCCAGCCCGACGCCATCTAGACCGAGCCCGGCCCCCCTCAATCGATGCCGCCGCCCTACCTAAAGTATTACTGTTGCACGGCATCGATCGGGACCGGTCGACCCAGGTTGAGCCCAGCCGCGGGTGTCCTTTCGTCAGCACCAAGGCGCCCATACCACCCTACCTCCCCCCTCTGCTTTCCAGGCACGCCAATGGGAGCCTCCGTCCGTCCCTATCCCATCTCGTTATCCATATCCCGGGGCCTGCTCCCCGATGCCAGCTCACGACCCGCGCACGGCATCACCCCCTTGCCCACCCTCTTTCTCATCCCGTCCTTACACTGCCGCTACTCTATATAGTCGACATCCCTACTAACCTAGTTGTGCCCCCCCCCCCCCCCCTCCCCCCTGCGCTTCCACCGACTTTGACGCGCGTACAACTGCATTTCCAGGCGCGCGCGCATCATACGAGTCACGAGACTCCTCGCGCATCCCTCGCCATAACAACTACTCAAAAAGCAAAAAAAAAAAAAGCAAAAAATCACACCGGAAAACACGGCATAATACACAGCCTGGAACTCCCGTCGCCGTCGACAGATTCCTCCAGTTAGTTTCCGGCTAGCCCCTGGCCTGGCTGGCCTTGTCCTATAGGGATCTGGCGGCATATACCACCCACCCGGTTCTCGCAACCTTTTCCCCTTATATCCTCCTCCTTCTTTTGCTTGTCCGCTGCTACTACCGCCTTGTTACGCCCACACGCGCGCACAGTCACGTAGCATTCGCAGCACCATTACTAGTTCTTTGTGGCACTGTCATTAATACTAGCACATAATGTCCACCTACCTACCTACCTAGGGGAGGGGGGTGTCTTGGACAGGCATCGAATACACAGGTGTATACAAGGGGAAAGACAAGAAATGAAGATAACACGTAGTTCACGTAACGATGGGTAGGTCAGGCGTAATTTCCCCAGGCCACCCGGAAAATGAGGTCCGTGACGAGACATACCCCCGAGTTAGTCTGTATACACGCAGAGAACTGATTAGCGAACCTACATAGGTTATATTCCAAATGTAGGATATAGATCTCGTATCCGACCGAGAGGCTTACGCTACAGCATACCAAGTTCACGACATCAACATGCCTTCTATATCTCGCTCTCGAGTATATTCAGCATCACAGATGTGCGAGTTTGTCAACTCGTGTCGTTCCATCTTGCCAACTGAATCTATTCTTCGTCTTCCGCAAGCCAGCAACGTACAGGATTCGAACTTTGACGTCCAATCTCAACGTACGCCCTGTTACGCAGGGAGAACCCCCATTCACCGTTATCTTCTCAAAACCTGTCTACTAACCCTAGCCATTTAGGCAGAGTCGTCAACGATAAGCTTGATAATCTTGCCGATAGCAATGGTTTGACCCTAAAATGGAATCAGTTAGCAACACTCGCATACTCCGCATACAAGGAGGTCGACATACTTGATCTCTCAACGTAAACCGGCCCATCTGAGGATAATCCTCGAACTTCTCGACGCAGACCGAACCAGCACCCCCAGTAATTTCCATTCTAGCGATGATGCTATCCCCCTTTTTCGCGTGGGTCGGGGGAACCTTGCTTTTTCTACCCGTCCCTTTTTGCAGCTTGTGTAATAACGCCGCAAACGTGACCTCTTCGACAGCCGAGTGCACATGCAGCACGCAATTGAAGCCGGCGCTGAGGATGCTCTTCAGTTCGAGAATTCTGATCTGGGCTTCGAAGGCCGACACGTTGTGGACTAGACGCTTCGGAGAGCAGAGGACGAATCCGGCCGAGATATCATCCTCCTCGATGCCTCGTAGCCGTATTCGTACTTGGTCACCACATTGGGCAATCTGTATCTCATCCTCTGCCTCGCCGTAGAGCGCTGTGACCTCGACCTTTTCTCGGTTCGGCATCATGATCAAGCTCATGCCTTTCTTGCAAACGCCGGCTTCAATCTTGCCCTCGACCATGGTACCCATGTCCTTGTATTTTCCGCTGACAGCCATCATGAACGGCGCGTTGGTCTTGCGCTCCAGCGCTTTCATATTGTCGAGATATTCGAGTAGCGAAGGCCCCTTCCACCACGGGGCGACGCCATCGGGAACGCGATCTTTGATATTCATCGTCTGCTGCGCAGCAATCGGCATGAAGAAGACGTCGGTCTTGAGGTTGTACCCTGTGCCCTTGAGAAATTGAGATAGTTTTGTCGTGCATTCCTTGTATCGGTCCTCGGACCAGTTGACAGTTGGGTCGTCCATCTTGTTGATAACGACCACCAGCTTGTTCACGCCTTGCGTTTTGGCAAGCATAGCGTGCTCACGGGTCTGTCCGCCCTTTTCGAATCCGGTCTCATACTCTCCTTTGCGCGCGCTGATGACGAGAATGCCGACATCCGCCTGCGACGCGCCACCAATCATGCTCGGGACGTAGGTCTTGTGGCCGGGAGCATCGAGGATACTGTATCGTCGCTTGTCCGTTTCGAAGAACCCTCTGCCGACCTCGACAGTCTTTCCCTTAGTTCGCTCCTCCTTAGTTAGATCGAGAGCCCAGGACAAGTACCAGGTCTCTCTGCCCATGTCCTTCGCCTCCTTCTTGTATTTATCCATCGTCCTCTCGTCGACCATTCCAGTCGCGTAGAGGATAGAGCCGCCAAGTGTCGACTTGCCAGCATCGACGTGACCGATGAAGATGATGTTGACGTGTTCCTTGCCGTAGATTTCCTTTAGGGTCTCGTCGTCTACGTCGGCAGCCTGCTCGTTGGCTACGGCGTCGGCATCGCGCGGGGTGCCCTTGCCGCCTCTCGAAGGGCTCGACCGTCCAGAGGATGGTGTAGGAGACGTCTTTCCACTAGAACTTTTGGAGGCTTTGGTGGTTTCGCCGGTTTTCTCGATAGCTTTGGTAGCGGTTACCTTCGCTCCAGCTTCGGCGGACGCAGCCGCTTTAACGGGCTTCTCGGGTTTAGGTTCATCCTTTGGCGGCGCCGAGGCGCCGGTAGATAAGACCTTGGCGCCTTTCGGTTTCGGGGGCTCGCTACTGATGCTCAAGACTTTGACTCCTCCTTCTTGTTTGGCGGCCGGCTGTGGGGCATTGGATGGAGAGGCAACATTAGAGGCACTGGCGGGAGAAGCCGCTGAAGCTGGTGAGTTCTGATCACCACGCTTGGCAATGGTAGGTACGGCTTGGGGTTGCTGTGTCGGTGGCTTGGGCGTCGACTGAGATTGGGGTTGGGACTGGGGTGGTTGGAATTGGCCGTATTGCTGTTGGCCTAGGTAAGGTTAGCACATGACCTTTGATTCCTATTTTCACCTTCACGGGAGGGTTTCGAGAAGGCTGAGAGATATAAGCTATACCATATCCTTGGTTGTACCCGCCTTGGCCATAGACGCCACCATAACCCTGGCCGTACTGGTTATAGCCGGGTTGCGCTCCTCCGTACTGCGGGTAATAGTTCTGGCCTCCGTAATAACCTTGCTGGTAGTTGGGCATATAACCGCCGCTGAACGCTTGGCCAGGCTGAAAGGACTGAGCGGTGGGCTGGAAAGATGCGGCGCCCGGTCGGAAAGTGGGCGCAGTCGGATTCTGAGGCTGGTTGTTGAGGTTCATCTGATGGGTCTGTCTTGAAAGACTGTCATCCTGGGCGGCGGGGTCGTCTTCCCACGAGTTGAGGTCTGCCATGACGTTGAGTTCCGATAGCCGTGGGCGGGGTGGTGGTGAAAAATCGAAATAGGTGGGGAAGGCTCCGAGGGTGGAGATTGGCGGATATGCGACCTAGAGTTTAGTCGAGGGCGAGGGAGGTCTCAGCCACACGGAAACGGGGGTGGTGGGCGTGTAATATCGCGGGGACAGAAGGGAGCTGCCGGTGGTGAGTGAAGGTGAGGAGGAGAAGAAGCAGGAGGATGAATATAGTATCGAGGGCGTGGAGAGGGAAAAATTGAAAAGAGGCGCTGACGAGCGGATTGACTTTCGGAGCCGGTAAACCACGACCGGCAGTGCTGTGCTCGTGCTCGTTCTGGCCACGAAACTTGACGATGATCGAAGACGGACGAGAGAGGAGAGAAAGTGAGGAAGGGAGAGAGAAAGGCAGAAAAAAGTAGGCCAGCAACAAGGGTTAAGGTAAGTGTGTGCGAGTGAGTAATGAAAGTATGTAGGTAGGTAGGTATGTATGTAGCGGGGTGGAGGGCTGCCCCGCCGGTCCATGATAGGCAGTATGGGTCAGCCCCGCGACGAGCCTTGCCAGGTACCCCCTAGCTTGGATTCTAGGTACCGCGTAGAGGCTTTCCCGCGAGCGGAGTTACATATTCCCATGTTAGCAGGTACCTCTTCTTACCTAGACCTCTACCTACCCGTACCTACAGGTATTTAGGTATAGTAGCATTGCTACCTTAGGTGCCTATTATGCCTATAAGGCCATCTGCTTTCCGGATTGTTGCCTACCTTAGGTACCTACACCTGCAAATAGGTACTACCCAACCTTGTATCTAAGGTGTATCTCACCTCGTCTCGCTTCACGGACGTCCAAGAGCGTTTCGCTACTTATGCCATGACCTGACCTTAACCTTGACCTTGACCGCCACCGTCGAAATAGGTTGAGCGAACTCTTTTTTTTTTTTCTCCTCTTTCCTCTTCCTTCGCTTCTCTGCGTCTGTTTTTCAGCTCTGGTTACCCCATGAAGGGTCCTGTCCAACTCCGTCATCCACCGTATCCGCCCATCTCCCACTCTCCATCGTCTCCTCTGCCTCTCTTCCCACTCGGCATCCCATGCATACATACTTAGGTGTTCCGCGGGCGTAGATAGTCCGAGACAAGATTGCCCACGCAAGCGCCGCCGCTCGATGCCGCCGCCATGGATGCATTCCTATCCAAGTTATCTTACCACGCCACCAGCTATGCAATCCGGTCATGCCTTGCCTTGACTTCCACTTACGTGATCCAGCAAGGGTCGCGATTACTCCAGGTATGGCGATCGTCAACAGCTCAGACACGCATCATCCCCAAGCGTCTGCTCCTGAACGCGAGCCCACTAAGGCTGGCTAGAAGCGAGAGCCCCCCCCCGGCTGATCGTTGCGCCTCCTGTCTAGACCGTTGACGATGACCCCCTGCGCGCCGAGTTGAGTCACCTACAACGTCGCCTAGCTCGCAAGATAGAGGTGAGTCACATTTAATAAGGAATTAGAATGTGTCGGTAGGCTGCTCACCGATGTACTATCGCCTCGCGTTCTTCCTGTTAACCGTACCTAACCGGACCAGCTCGTCTCCCCCATACTAGAGTCCATCGAGTTCCGCTACACGCGAGGAAATTCGGCTTTGGAGGCCGTGGTGCGAACAACACAGGAAATCCGCAATAACGTGGACTCTCTGGGGGACCGCCTTGAGGCCGCCACTGTAGCCGACGGTCCCGGGAATGATGGCAGGGTTAGGACCTCTCCTACTTCCGCTGCTGCACGACGGGCCGAGATTCAGAGCATAATCGCGGATATCAAACAGCTCATTGTCGATATCGATGACTCTATACCGCTTATCAACCTCTGGGTGTCTGCCATAGGAGGCATCCAGGCACAGGCTTCGGCGTTTTCACCCTCGCGATTGTTACAAGCGAGTATGCTGGTAAATGTTGGCGACACCCAATTCATCCTTGATCCGCGCCGACCCATGCAGATCGGTCCAGACTTCACTCTGTCTCTCTACATGCTCTTCGGTGCGCATGCTTCTAGCGATCCGGGGGATCAGTATGGCGTAGAAGATGGTCAGCGGAAGCCGGTATGGCAGGAGGCAATACATAGGGCTCGCGTGAGACTCTATCGAGTGCCGGAGGAGTGTGACGTCCCTAGCACGGTTAGCCGGCTACAAGGCAACCTCTCGCACGTCAGCTATGCGTACCAGCTTCAGATAGTCGAGGATCTAGATGACGGGCGTGTGCATACTTCTGAGGATAATCATGCTCGGCCGGGTCCCTACGATGGCGTTCCCCTCGCTGGGATACGAGAATTCGTTCCGGTTCGTCAAATATCGAAGATGTTTTACGCCGATGTCGGCAGAATCCTAAACATAAATAACGAGGAGGGCGCGTCAAGCAATCCCGTGCTATTGCTTAAGAGAGATGTGAAAGCATCGCCCCTGCATAGGGCACAAGCCCACGATGTAGGTCAAGACGACCGCCCACATCTCATCGAAGCCGCGGACGAGAGCAGCGTTCTGTCAGATAGGACGCTACCAGAAGGAGATTCGCAGGACGAAATTGACCACCAACTCAGTGTAGAAAGCGGAGGCGCTAAGACGACGCGTCCTACTCCTACGAGGACATCACCTGAGACATTCCGGTCGATGGCTGCAGCTGATTCCTGGAAGCTTCCGCCAGATCTAGACCCTGAATGGATAGCACTGGAAGTATTCGAAATAGACGACGACGATGACGACGACGGCAGCGATGATGCGACGGACGACGATGAAAATCATATGCAAGAAGGGGATGGCGGCGAAGGCCATTCGAGCCCTCCATCCCGTCCTCGTCGCCTGGGGGCTCCCTCGCGACCGTCCGCCGATACCAATCTAGTCACGCAGCTCCAACGAATGAGCATCGCCTCGCGTCCGTCCTCGAGCAGCTCCGAAGTCCCTGACTCGGACCTCAAGTGTTTTAGCACCAACGAGAGCTCGCTTCTTGAGCGTTCCCCCTTTGGAGCTATCCACACGTCGCTCTCGCTCCTCGAGATGATGCTGCGCCTCGCCAGCCTCCAAGAATTCGAGCAGATCACACACCTCTCTATCCCGGATCACGTGCTCCGATTCTACCTCGACGAATCGAACTCGCGAGCGGATGCGGATGCGGCGCCCGTGCATCATCACCGTGGTGGCGGGAACCGAGGTTGAGCAGCCGATCTTGGGGAGCCGAGCGCAACAGGTTGCGCTTGGGGTAATGCTGAATAGGAAGAAATAAAGAGAGTAGAATTATTCCAGCATTGTCGGAGTTCCCTCGGTTGATTTAGATAATACCTACACAACGACTAGCACTTATACATAGATACGACCTGACGGGCCATGCAGCGGGGCCGACAATATGATGGTACGGTCCAGGACGGATTGGATTTGGAAGAACTCTTCTGGAGACCGGCATGGTAGACAAGGTATCACATGGCATATGGCGTTCACGGGCGACTTCGGAAAAGGACAGACGGTCATGGCAATGGGGATTACGAGTTAATACGGCAATACTAATACCAATTCCGGCCTGAAGAGAAGCAGTCGAGCATCACATCTTCTTGCGGGAGAGAAGGTCCTAGTAGTACTCATGTTGTCGTATTCGCGTTTCCTATCCTGCCTAGCCTGGTACATAGGCATAAGTACGTGACTGACTGACGGTGGATACGGAACCACATGCCACAACTCACCGTCTACATAGAGCCAGGCTTCGGTTCTTAGCAGATCGGGACGCCGAGCTGATCTCCGCCGGGGGGTCCCCGGCCTCCGGGGCGGGGAGTCCAGCATTTCTTTCTCGCCGGGGGGGGGGCGCGGGTTCTTCTTGTCTGTCTGTCCGTCCCCGGACCAACGCACGCCCCAACCTAGAGAAAAAGTGTCGACGTTGAACCGCCCGTCTCCGAGGTCCTGGGTCACGTACCTACTACTACTTCCAAGCCGCGCTTCGGCAGCGTCAGAGAAGCGCGCCCTCTCCTTCTTCTTCTTCTCCCCCCCCCCCCCCCCGACCTCACCACAACAACAGACCCACGGCCTTCACGCGCCGCTGTCACGGGCGCCCGCCCAACGCGGTCGAGACAGCGTTCGCCAGCGCAGGAGCGCCCCTACGCCGGACGGGGCGGCTGCGAGAGGAAGGAGGGAGTCGCGGGGCGTGGGCCGCGCGGAGGGGAGGAGTGGAGGGGCCCAGGGGGGGGACTGCGCACTGGGATCGCGTGTAGACCCCGGCTTCGACGCCGGAGGTCGCGGCTAGAGCAGGCCGGTGCGATGTCGCGCGTCCGCGTCAACACATGGATACCGATAACAATCACTAGATAGGTCGGAACGAGTCCTGCTTTCTCCGCTCGGGACAGGGTGTGCCTGGAGGACGATGCGACAGCGTAACTACGCGGAGCGATTACTGGCCCATAGCTGCCTACCCTTCCGTATACCCGTATCCAGGCGGATGCGGGGAGGTGAGACGCGGAGGGGTCGTAGCACCGGGTCCCTTGATGGACCGCCGACGTAGACTCATCTGACGTTTTTCTCCGGCTGCCGCCTTGTCGTCTATCTGATTACGTGTCTGCGACAACTAGCCCCCTGTCCCCGCCTCTCGTGTCTCAGTATGTCTTGCCCAGACCCCCGCGACCCAGACGGTCGGATAATGGGAATATACATATATAGCACCAACCGCCGCCCCTCGTCCCCTCGCTCCCGCCCCCGCCCCCCGCACCGGCCCATCCAGATCTTCTGCTGGTGCGACGGCCCGATCGGAGCCGGCCTAGTTAGGTAGCGCGCGCGCGACACCTTGGGGCCTCAGAAGTTCTCCTTCCCGGAGAAGCTCTCGTTCTGGACGATCTCGACCCAGTAGCCGTCCGGGTCGAGCACGAAGGCGACGTTCTTCATGCGGCCCTCCGTGAGCCGCTTCTTCCAGCCGACGCCCAGGCTCTCGAACCGCGCGCACGCTGCCTCGAGGTTGTCGACCGAGACGCCTTTATCAAACCCGTTAGCCCCGTCCATTCCCGAAAACGAAAAGAAAAAGAAAGAGGCAAACACCTACAGATGTGCCCGAAGCCCTGCGGCTCCGCGTTGCCGTCGTGGTACTTGAAGTCGGGGTCCTTCTCGGTACCGTAGTTCCACGTGAGCTCGAGCAGGCCCTCGTACTCGGCCGAGAAGCCGTCGGCGGGCACGCCGCGCTCGCCCGGGTACCCGAGGAAGTACAGGTTGAACTTGGCGGCCGGCTGCTCGCTGGTGCGGAACAGCGACATGCCGAGCACCTCCTGGTAGAACTTGAGCGACTTCTCCGCGTCCTTGACCCGGATCATGGTGTGGTTCTATTGCCGGACGCGAGGAAGAAAAAAGTCAGTCAGCTGGCCATATCCCCCCCCCCCCCCCGGAAAAGAATATTACTGCTCCCATCTCACCCTGTCAGAGAGTAGGGAAGAGGAAGAAAGGCAACGCAACGTACCATCCTGTACGTCCCCGGATCGCTCACGAGCGCCTTCGCCTCCTCGGGGTCATCGGCCCCTTTGCTGCCGGAGCGGAGACTTATGATCTCGACCCAGTACCCGTCGGGGTCGAGGGCGAAGGCGATGTGGCGCATGCGGCCGTCCTCGAGGCGCTTCTGGAAGCGGTAGCCGGCGTCCTCGAGGCGGGCGCAGGCGGCCCGGATGTGGTCGACGGCGACGCAGACGTGGCCGAAGCCGCGGTGGGGCTCCGCGTTGCCGTTGTTGACCTTGTAGTGCGGGTCCGTTTCGGTGCCGTAGTTGTGCGTCAGCTCGATGAGCCCCTGACGGTCGAACGTGCTGCGGCCGGCCGAGGGCGCGCCGGCCCCGTCGTACCCCAGGAAGTACAGGTCGAACTTGGACTCGGGGAACTGCAGCCGCTTGATCACCTTCATCCCCAGGAACTCGTAGAACTTGACTGTGCGCGCATCCCGCGGCGGGCGTGCGTTGCTGTTAGCGAACCATACAAGTACCGGTCGGTCGGGGTCGCCTGCCGCGGCGGCCGCGATGAGGCGAAGGGACGGCAGTCATACCGGATTCCTTGGGGTCCTTCACTCGAATCCTACGGTCCGGGTTCCTATGGTTAGCATCGTGCTGCCTGCCACAAATATCTTGTCTCTCCTTCCCCGTCCGCCGATCGATAGGTCGCTCTCATATAGACTTACATCGAGTGGTTGAACTTGTAGTTATTCGTGTCGGTAGTCGTCGCCGCCATGGCCGCGAATGTGCGCCGAGCACCGATACCTTTAGGTGAGGGGTTAGAATAAGTAGTTAGAATCGCGGCGCTGTCGCCATTGAGGGGGTCTATGGGCCGTAGCTCCAGCTCTACATATATCCAATAGAGGGGAGAGCAGAGGTGGGCACACGTAGGGAGGAGAGGGTATACAGCTGGAGGTAGCTCGAAGTATGCTACGGGAGACGATGAAGGGATGGCTCACCTATACGTTGAGGAGCTGGACGTAGAAATAGGGAACACAGCGGGGTTATCCGACTATGACGATGCAGCGCGCGAAGACACGACATAAGCAGGGGAGGGGGTTGAGGAGGAGGAGGAGGAGGAGGAGGAAGATCGTAGTGATGGTGGTGGTGGCAATACTAGCCGGAGTAGCAACCGAGTCTTCTGCTGTAACGGGTTTCCTGTCGCTACACCAACTAGCCTTAGGTAATCCTCGCTACTACTAGGAGCAGTCAACTGGCAGGTTACCTTAGGAGGTACCTAAGGTAGGTAGCCAAATGGAGGGGCAGATCTGGTAATGGAATTGACGCAATTGGGCAGTGACCATCCCGTGCTCGGGGTTGGGGAACAAGTCGCACCTAGGTAATAGGTGAAAAAAAAAAAATTCTACAGCTATATGCAACACGCAGAGGCGGTTAGATTCCGCAGGGCTCAGATACGATGTGCCGACGAGGGTGAATGGCAGTTTTTAGGAGGTGGGTAGACAGATAGGTAGGTGGATAGCTAGGCAAAGCACACAGCAATGACGTCCTCGGCCGCCTTGCTACCCCTCCTCCCCCTCCTCGACGGCGCCCCGCATCGGACCTAGCGGGCCATCCGCAGCCGAGGCCGCAGGGATTGGCGAGTGCGAAACAATGGCACAACCCGCCCGTCTTCGCACAATGGACGGCATAGATGCATATCGGCTGCGCCCCCGGTCGCCGTAGCGGACGGCAGTTGCCTAGTAATGAAGTCGGTGACAATAATAAGTACAATTCATCTATCGCATGAATGACATAGCAGACCCCCCACCCCCCTGACAACCCCCCAACGGAACCTCAAACCGAGACGAGAGAGACGCGTACGACACCGACCTGCCTGCCCACTTACCCAACCTTCCCTTCCTTTCCCTACCACGGGTAACGAGGCGCGGGCGGCGTGTGGGCAAGCCGTGTCTCTCTCTGCGCGTCTTCCTCTCCGAGTCCCCGCTACCGAAATCGACAAACGAACAAACAGAATCGCAGACGGCCACCCGTGATATAATAAAGAGCTTGCGCCGAAAGAGCTACGTCGGGTGTTCTCCTCTTTGCTTTCCATCTTCCCCGTCTTCCCTTCGCCCCAATTTTTCTCTTCTTGTTTTCCCACCCCCTTTCTCTCGGACCCGGATTACTAATGTACACTGATCGCGATGGACAATTAAGGAAATATCGGCGGAAGCCGTCGGTTAGGAGTATCAGGCTTCTGTGCCTCTCGTAGATGTATGCGTGTATGTGTGTGCGTGTGTGCGCGTGCGCGCGCGTGTACGGGGGCGCGCGCTCCCCTCGGTATGAACGTATGGATATTGAAAAGTAGTATAAGGGCGTAACGAGACCATCGCAATCGACGGCCGTCAGCGGAGCCGAGGCGCCCTTCGAGGGCAGAACCGCGGCGGCCCAGAGAAGCAGAATATAGAAGTGGCGCGTTACGCGGACTGGAAGATGCTAGCGATCTGGCCGACGGCCCAGTCGGCACTGAAGTATTGGCTGGGTGTGACGAAGAACGCGAGCGCGATTATGACGTAGAGCGCCATCAGCTGGTATAGACATGTCAGCAAACGCCGCACCGTCACGTCCACGGGCGACTACGCAAGACAAAAAAAAAGGCATGGCTTACCATGGCGCCTTCGAGGTAGTTCGAGTTTCCGTCCTGGACCGTGTAGATAACGACCAAGACAGACAACGCAAACGCGACCGTCTCGACTAGCAAGTGTCAGCGGAAAGAAGGCGAGGAGAAACCAAACATCGGCCGGGCTTGGACGATCGGGCCGACTTACACGTCTCGAAATGCAGATCCATCTCCCGGTCCATGATCCACCCTAGAACGACGAGGAACGGGGTTACAAACAGGGCGATCTGGATACTGGAACCGATAGCGACGCCCATAGCCTGTTTTTACATTTAACACAATATGTCAGCGTCCAATAGGCTTAATCCCTTATATGTATATATATACATATACACATATATGATTTAGAGTGGGGTATCCTCTTACCAGGTCCATCTTGTTCTTGATCGCGACGACGACGGCGGTGACGTGCTCGGCGGCGTTGCCCACGATGGGGATGAGGATGAGACCGATGAAGCTGCGGCTGATGTGCGCGCGCTCGACGAGATCGTCGATGCTCTCGACCAGGTAGTCGGCGCAGATGGAGACGAGCACCGTCGTGACGATGAGCACAGCGCCGGCGGACCAGGGGCTCATGTGCGGCTCCTCGTCCAGCTCGTGGCGGTGGTGATCCTCGGCGATCGCCGACAGCCCGTGCTCCGCCGTCCCGTTCGGTAGCACCCCGTTCCCGTTCCCGTTCGCGATCGGCTGCGACTCCGGCTGCGACTCGAGCACGCACTCGCCGCTGAATAGGTTGTGGTGAGTCCGCAGCTGGAACCATAGGTACAGCACGTATAGGAGCAGCAGGATCACGGCCGTGCCGCGCGAGAGCGAGAGGACGATGTGGTTGCGTTCCACATCGTCACCTTTACCGCCGTTGATAATCATGAACAGCTGTGTACGCGCGTGCCGCCGTTAGCCCTGTATGACCCGGCCCACGAGAACGGAGCATGTTTCCGGATCGGAAAGGAGGGGGGGGGGGGGGGGGGGCAGGGGTGGCGTTTGCTTACCGTGCCGGGGAGGACTATGGAGGCAGCGGACAGAGCCATCAGGGAAGAAGTCGTCTGAGCGGTGATAGTCCGGAAGCTTTGCTCCTGGCCGTTTCCGAGCTCGTCCCGCATGTTGACGATGCCGCCGAAGAAGAAACACATGCCCATGACCAGGAGCAGATTCGAGAGGATCGAGCCAATCATCGACGACTTCACCACCTCGATCTGCCTGTCCCTCAAGGCGATGATGCTAACCTGCAGGGGAGGTTCCGCGAGGGTCAGTACATCAACCAGAGCCATATACGTAGATATGCATGGGGCCGGGGGGTATCTTTAGGGTTTGGGGGCGGGCCAGGGGGGGGGGAAGGGGGTGAAATTTGGGGGCCAACCTACGATCAACTCCACGGCATTGCCAAAAGTGGCATTGAGCAGGCCGCCCAGGGCCTCGCCGAGCTTGGCCGATATCTCCTCGGTCGCGAAGGAGAGCACGGCCGCCAAGGGGATGATGGCGAAAAAGTTGATGACGAAAACGGCAATGGGGTCCCATCGGGCTTGACCAGCAACGATGCCGATTGGGACGGCGAAGAGAAGGATATTGACCGGGCCTGCCGGTAAAACACGTCAATTTGAGCTCTCATTCACGACATCCCCCTCGCGACGCGCGCTATCGCAACCCCCTCCCCGATCCGGCGACGGAAAACGGGAAAGGGAGGAGGAGGAGGAGGAGGATCCACAACCGGGCCGGGTGCACACGTACTACTCAGCAGAGTCGCTTTGGTGACATGCCACACATTGGCCGGATACTTGACGACCGGCTTCGGGTGATCGGTGCCGGGGGTATGTCGCGAATTGAAGAAGAACTGCCAGGCGCCGCCGCGCTGGAAATGTTGGTGGATGCGGTCGGCGGACCCGTTCGTGGGGACGCGGCCGTTGCCTAGCAGAGCGGTGCGCTCATGCGGCTCCCTGTTCTCGTGGTCGTGGCCGGACATGCCGGTTATGGTCTTGCGTACTCTTTCCTGGAAGCTCGGCAAGGCTAGAGAGCGATCCATCGTCAGCCCGTCATGGTCAGCCAACCAACAACTCAGTCTGCGCGCGACTCTGTTTTGTTACGGAGACGGGGGGGGGGGGGGGGACAGGAGTAGGATATGGTGCGGTTACGGTTACGTGGTATGATGATGTGTTATGGTAAAAGGTCAGGCAAGGGGGGTCTGCGCGGCCGGGCTGGTTTAGGGTCTCCGCGAGGTCAGGTACCGCATATTTCTCTCTATCCGAAACACGGGTGCACACGCGCGCGCGCAACAGGAAACAGGAAACAGGAAACACGGCACGGTGCGGAGCAGGGAGGCGGGCAGAGTGAGGGTGCGAAAGAGAGACGGAGAGAAGGGAGAAGAGGAGAGGGAGAGGAGAAGGCCATAGTTTGATTAGGCTTTTGACGGAGTACAACGGGCAATTTTAGTACTAGGCACCGGGAGAAGAGGGGCAGAGGAGTTGCCGGAACGACAAGGTTGAATCGAATAGGGGAGGGAAACTGGGGGGAAGCCTCAGAACAGATTGAGATATTACTTACTCGCCATTGGGAGATAAAAGTCTGAGGGTGGTGAGGCAGAGAAAGCTTGCCCAAAAGGATGGGGCACAATCTAAGCAAGGTCTGAGTCGAGGCGCAGACGGCTTGGGAGCTTGATCAACGAAAGCCTCTTTTTTTTTTCCCCTTGTCCCTTCAGAGGACTTGTTTCCCTTTTTTTCTTACTGGTGTTTCTTTTTTCGGTGCTTATTCTTCCCTGAGGAGGGATGGGAGGGATGAGACGGGTAACTAAAAAAAATGAGGATAAAAACTAGTGTTAGTCGAAGGCAAGAAACACTACCTACCCTTTTTTTATGTTTGAGTGTTTGTTCTCTTTGCCTCTCTCTTCGGCGGGCGGACGGGTACGTACAAGTTCCCACACGACAACAGAGCAGGTCGGGTCTCGTCGCGATCTCGGTTGGCTTGGCCGTATCGGGCTTGCGATGATTATATGTAGGTATTGCGCTTGTCTGGCCTCGCTGTCTTGGCTGGGCGCATGCGGTATGGGAAGCTAATCAAAGCGACGATGGCAAGGAAATAACAAGGATAATCTGTGTCTCCCCACCGAGAGAGGCCTTCAACCGAACGTAATTCCAATTCCAATCGCCGTCCGTCCTACTGGCTGGGATCGGCCGGACTGGGAATAGGAGGCTGCCTGTTTTGTTTAAATCCTCCCGAGGTCTTCTTCCTGGCGCTGTTTTATCCCTCTGCTGGCAATTCTTCCTTTGTCTGACAATACGCTCTGTCTCTCTATGTATGCGGATACGCAATACCGGGTGGGGTTAGGTATACCATCCGCACGAGTAGACACGTTATATATATATACCTACCCAATCCATGTAGGGGATTGTGCGCACTTACGTATGTGGGCGGTGGCAGACGTTGACGTCTTCTAAACTCGATCATGATACACCACTTAACTGACTAGTAACAGGTTTAGGACGCAGATGGGTCGGGGTAAAACGCCCTCTCGACAGAGACTGGCCCGGTGAGGGAATGCAACCCTTGGGTTGGGTACATACCTCCTCTACCTACTCATAGGCTCATAGGTCGGTAGATATTCCGCAGGCTACTACCGAGTACCTCCTGGTAAAATCCCTCCCCTGCAGCAAGACGTGGCGGGAGCTCTGACGGCGCGCTACTAGAGACCGACCTGTCGGCCACACCAAGCTAGATACTTCGGGTATGTCATGCTATGTAGGTAAGGTAAGGTGTAGTGAGTGTATACACGCCGCGTACATATATACCTAACCTCCATACGAACGGGGGTGTTGTCTCCCGCACTTGGGTGTATGCGTGTGCATATGTGCGTAGCATAAAGGTCCGTTGGCGCTCCGGGGTTGTGGTGTGTCCTTCCGTCACGATCGTGTGGTGTGATGCGGTGGGTAGGGATAGCCTTCGCCTGCCACCTACCTACCTACCGCAGCACCTGTTTATCTATCAGATTTATCTCTCAGACGCCTGTCCACATCCCGCACTAGCAAGCAGACATGGACGTGCGTGCGTGGATGGGAAGCTCCCCGTCAGCAGGTTCCCGATTCCGATGTGTTCTGGTATGTGGTAATATCGATGATGATATCTCCCATCTAGTCGGATCGTCTCCGGCGAGCTCGGGAGGAAATCCAGAAAGGCTACGCGGTGCGCGGTGCGCGGTGCGCGAAACAGCGCTCAACCTGGGAGCAGCAGTGCGGCATATCGTGGCTGTGTCGGCAGACACCCAGTCCTACCGTGCGACTCTGGAGTTTACCGCCAGCTCCGGTTATCTGTTCACCCGTTCCTCGGACTCCAGAACCTACCTCCATTCGACGGACATGTTTCCCCATGAGGGCTGCACGCCAGCTATGCACCGACGTACTGCGCCAGTGTCTGCCGAATGTGCACATAAGAATGTGAGATGGGTCGGTGGGGTGGCCGTACCTCGAAAAGTGGAGTGGAGGAGGACGGAGCGCTGCACTGGAAATGGAGCCAGCCCACCAAAACGGCACAGGGAGGCCTCCTGAGGCGCCGAGGGGGGGAATGGGGGGTGAGGAGGCCCCCGTCTCCAACACGAAAAGGGGCGCCAGCCCACGCGCCTCTTGCGTTCCGACGACGAAGAGATGGCATGGCATCCCTGGCCCTGGGAACGGCTCCCCCAATTCAAGACGCAAGACAGCTGTTCAATCGATAGGCCGGCTAACGTCATTTGCTGTTTCTGCTTGTTGCTGACCCATGTCACCGTCACGTTGCCTTGCCTTAGGTATGTTAGGTACCTACCTACCACTGCTGTACGCCGAGTGGTACCTACCTATACAGCACTGCCCGACCTGAGGTACCCGCCTCCCTGCCTGTAGCTATGTACAGGTACAGGTAGGTTCGCATTGCCCGCGTGCATATCCCCGGTACCAAACATGCATAGCTTAGTACCCAGGCAGCCGTGGCCTGTAGATGCATCCTCACTGTAGGTACCCGAGGTTGCCCGTGTACATATCTCCCACGTTGGCTGGTCCTAATGCGCGCACATCCCAACCGATCCCTCCCATCCGCCGTCTCTCCTCCTCCCAGATCCTGCTCGCGTAGGCATATGTATAGCGCCAGCCGGGCTATAGGAACCGGACCAAGACGTCACGGCTTATCACGGTATGCCTGCCAATCAAGTCAGCTACGCAATCGCACCGCTCACTCTAACCCCCTACATCGTCAAAGGGGGCATGGATCCTCGAAATGAAATCCGTGCATCGTAGCCGGCAAAGGGGCGAGAGGCTGCCTCTCGTGTGGGCGTCGCCCTTCTGCGCACGTGGCCGGACAGGGCCAGCCAGCCCGTCCGGCAAAAAAAAAAAAAAAAAAAAAACAACCCAAAAAAAACCTCGCGCTCCTGTCAGCTTCCATATAACGCATTTCTGCCGTCATCGTTTCCATCCACTGTGGAAGAGAAGAAATAATTATAGAGGGTCAATTATTCTCGTAGGGCAATAATGCAGCGAATTGCATCGCCAGTGCTCGTAAAATCTATGACTCGTCCGGTCTCGGCGCGAAAGCTCGGCACAAGTAAGTACATCCATCGGTAGACCTCGACCGCTCATCGCATAAATGCTAGGGCCATCGTTAGCCCACTACGCGCTCTCGGAAAAGGGGTGGGCTGGGTAGCAAGACTGCAGAGTCCAATACGCCGGGAGAATGCAAATACGGGGCCACTCACCTGCACAGTACGCCATGTACCACGTTGACGAGGCGCCTCCGTCTAGCCACTCAGGGTCGAAGTCCTCCTGCGTGAAGAAATCCCACGCTGCCTCGGGGTCGACCGTCGCCAAATTTCCGTACAGCACCCCCCTCCATCCTCCCTTCACCCTGCCCGCCCGTCCCCGATCGAAATACGTCCTCCATTCTTGCTTGACGAACTTGGCTGGCCGGGTGAGTTTCGTGCTGGGTATCAGCGGCAGCATGTGAATGCCCTGGATGTACTCGATCTTCCCCCCGAAGTAAGTCGTGTGGTCGCACTTGTTCTCAAACAGGATGCCAGCAACCTTGTTTCCCACAAACTTGGGCGGCTCTACGTCGTTGTCCTCGGTGTAGAGGTAGTACTGGTTTAGGGAGCGAGCGATGATGGATAGCATCAGGTTACCTCTAGGAAACACGCTCCGTTAGTTATCCGGCACGACGGCCCTCGACGAACCCTGCCTTACCGAGCCTCCATATTCGCGTCCTTGATAGTCCTCCCCCACATCTTGATGGCATACGCGTGCATCGCGTCTTCCGAACTCGACTCCTGATCCTGTATGCCGTCTTAGCATCGTCGAATCCCGCACCGGCGACCGCTCTTACCTTTCCGTCCGTACTTTCATGTAGCCCTTGGGCCCAGCTGTGGCCATGGTACCAGTCAAAGTTACGGAAGACGGGAAAGTGTGTATCTGAGACGGAAGGGTTGGCCACATCTCGTACTAAGGCGTTGACAAAGTCGATGTTGTGTCTCGTCAGCCAATCCGGGTCGAGATAGCCGATGATAGCAGCGGCATAGATGAAGTAGCCGTAGTGGAAATGGTGGTCGTTGTAATAAGCGTTCCCAAAGTCTGCGCCGTCGTCACCAGACAGGTAGCTCGCCGAAGAGACCAGACCTCCCCAAACAGCTTCCGACATCAGTCAGATCCAAGTTCCCGGGGGTCGGGGTCCTCCTCACCGTCATAGTATAATGGAAACTGCTGCTTGTTCGCCGAGAACCGGCTGAACGCGGCCGTGAGGTTCGCCAACCCGTACTGAGCAAGCGTCCGGTTCTTCAGTAACTCGCTTGCCACGAAACATATACCGGCAAATTTGGCGAGCGCCTATCCCAAGTATCAGCAGTGCATTAGCGTGGGGTGACGGTGGGGTCGTAGGTAGAACCTTTCCACTGAAATACATCGAGTTTTGGTTTGACTGACGCTCGACGCTCTCGGCCAGTTCCTTCGCCGCCACCGGGTCGATGGCCTCCACTGCGGACTGGCTCAACGTTCTTTTCGGTCCGTGGACAGGATCCCAGGGGGCAAATCCCATGGAAACCGGCATGTTCGGCTCGACCAACGTCCACGAATCGGCAACCACCCCTCTCGCCAACCCCTTGGTGGTGGTTTGTAGCTTCGCTGTCGAGAGAGCCTTGTGGGTGGCCTTATCGAAACAGTCTACGTGATGAGGCAGAGCGTACATCAAAAGCGTCACGTTCAAGATCCCCGCCTTGCGGAAAGCGAATTGGTACGTGCCCTTCGACCTGGATGCCATGCCGGAAAGTGTCACGCCAGTCGGAAAGGCTCCAGACGCCTTATCTATTACGGTCTCTGCACCACCTGGGACCTTCGCCACCTGAATAATGCCGTGAAATGGTGTATCTGCCTTTGCGAAGGTGTCGTTGATAAGGGTTAAGTCGAAGGTGTTGCCCTTTGAGGAATGCGCGTAGAGGTGCCATAGTTTCCCGTCTTCCAGATGAACCACGAATTTGCTTATCCCCGGCCTCGGTTCGTGGGTCGGCTTTGTGATGGCCTTGAAGCGAACTCCAGAGTTGATAGCTGGGGTCCCTCCTTTGTAAACCGCGGTGACGAATCCCATGCCCTGGACTAAGGGGAATGATACTAGGGGGCTGGCTTCGGAGTTGACGTGCAGGTTAACATTTGCTGAATGCGCAGTCAGGCCGTCGGTTGTCAGGACGGTTCTCGGTCCCAGTTCTACCGCTGAAAGGCACAGCGACTGGATTCCAACGGGGTTAAAGAAGAATTTGGCAGCGCCCGTTTCCGGTGATGCCGGGCCATATACAATCTGGCTCAGTTCGGTATGCGAAATCGCTAGTCCCCAACTGCCAGTGGCCCCTTGACCCTTGGACCACGAGACGGAATATGGATGTACATACGTGGGTGCAGTCTGGTTGCCGAGGAAGAAGTTGGCGTAGAATTTATTCGTGCCTATGGGTGCAGAGCCAGCAATCCCACGCCGGCGTACTGGGTGCTCTTTCTGGACCGTGAATGACGATGGCGGGGGGCCAGTTGCAATCGGCTCCCCGAAGATGTCCGGCAAAGTGACTGCCGGCCCCATCACGGAGGTCCTCGGAAAACTCGTCTCGGGCGGAGATGACGGGCGAGCAGCCGTCGGGTTTGATGTTGTGTTGGGTGGGAAGGCCGCCGTACTTACGCTCAACCGCGAGGTGACGGCACCAGCTGTGTCGAGCTGAAGACCAAACGCTGGAGGGCTCTGTAAAACTACTGAAGACGTAACACCCTTGGGGCCAGCAAGAGTCTGGTAACCCTCACAGTGAGGATTTATCCTCCGGAAGGTGGAAGCAAAGCCCTCTCGGATAGCATCTCGTCCCCCTAGTCCTTCCTCACGCGATGGCGCAACCCGGCCTTGCAACGCCTCTATTCGCGCCGTCAACGCAAGGTGTACCTGGAATAATATTAGTATCGAATACAATAACATGCCGGCTTGAGAAAACGTAGAAGATACGGAGGGTGAGGATATATCAAGGGAGTGGCTTCTCAGCAACTGGCTCGGTTACAAGGCCGAGTTAAACGGTCCCGAGTAGCTAGTGCCCGACCACGAACAATAATCGGTAGAATGGTTTCCACTGGGAGTCATGGATAACCATAAAGCTCATGATGGCGTGGAAGTAGCAGGGCAAACGGCAGGCCAGAGAGACATCGGAGGGAGGGGCACTCCGATTCATTTGTAGGGAGGGCAGCTTTGGCCATCCCGACACGGACGACGCAGCAAGTGACAGTGGTTACGACATGGAGGAATGGCATCCGCGTGCCGGGCGACAAGCTGGATCATGGCTGTTGATACCAAGCAGCGTGTAGCGTATAGGGCACAATGGCAAGCATGAGGAATGAACTGTCTGAGACGGATGGTGAAGGGTCCTACCTATGGGCCGAACATGAACAGACGAGGGCCCAGAACGACGACTGGAATGGGGAGACGGCCTGCGACGAGAAGCTGGTGCTCTAGAAGATCATGGCCAGGAGGGGCTAAGCGTACAATTCGACAATCAAAAGAACAACCAGAAGGGATGGGAATGCGGTATAATGGTGAATCGAAATCTCGAGGTCCAAGGAAGGGTTCGCAATAGGTGGAGAGGAGAAGGGAGGTATTGTTGCGAAGAATACACAGGTGGTGGGCGAGGGTGGGAAAAGCGAAGGACAATGGATTTCAACCAAGCCTGGGGAGGGGACACGTCCCCCTTATCAGCCGAGGGGAGATACTTGGGTACGCTCGCCCTCGCGGCCGACCCGTGCCTGTCGCTGCTCAGAGCCGACTTTCCGGGCCGTGCAAAGGGTGAGAGAGCAAGTCGAGCGAGGCGCAACTTACATGGATGCCGTTGAGATATTATTCGAGGTTCGCGGCCGGATAACGGCTCAGAGGGACCCGCTTTTCTTGCTGCTGAGAATAGACACACCCCTACCTCGAGGTACCTCTACCACCTCCCAGCGACTACGTTGGGTTAGGTACCAGGTAACCTACTACTGTCCCAGCAGAGTACTGTACATGCCCGCACCAGTCCGGCCAGGCATACCCCCTCAACGTTGCTGAGATGGGGAGGGCAGACGGGGGTGGTGCGCAATCCCCTCTTCTGCAGTGGTCTGGGTCTAGGACGGCGTAGTGTGGATCAGATGGATGTCGCCGGTATTGTCACGTTTACTGACATGCATACAGACGCTTTCCCCGGCCGGATATGGTACGAGAGATGTGTATACGACCTCCCCGAGGGCGGTCGGCTCGGCGGCGGTTGGTCACGACGAATCGGCGCCAGCACGAGAGATCCGTGAGGCCTGTCAATAGGTAGGTATATAAGCTGTTGTTATCTTGCCATGCTAGCCCTCAGTATGTGATTTTCCTGCGGACTCGCTTCTCCTCTCTCTGGTCAAGCTGCCGTCGGCTGAGAGGGTCCCTGGCCGCGGCGTATCCGTTTCCTACCCTCTTCTTCTGCCTCTTCTCCTCCGTGTCTACGTCGGCCGTATGCTGCTTCTTGCAGCGACGGACTTCTCTCCTCTCCAGCACCCAAGGTTGGCTGAGCACCTCCCTCCGGAACTGGCGAATCTTGTCCCAGAACTGAACTTCCTGGCTCGTGGACCTGAGCCTCCGGATTTTATGGACGGAAATCTCCATCTGGTCCCTGAAGAGCCTCGTGCCTCCCTTGACCTCGACCACCATGCCTACATCGATACCCGACGCTGCTTCCGAGAGGGAGGCCGGAGCCGCCGCCTTCTTTTCGTCGCCCGCGTCGTCCGGCGCGCTCTTGGCTGGTCTCACGATATCCGCGCGGCACTGGATGCATGCACCGGTGCTATCATCCACCGTGTAGTACCGCCACCCGTAGAAGTCATCGATCGCGACGACAACCCCGACGATTCGGACCCATCGGATAGGGTGATTCAGGAAGAAGAAGACATTGTCGCCTGTCCCATGCCGATACGTTAGCCCTCTGTCATTCGCGCACAGCGCCGGCTTCGCAAGGAGGGCCACCTTCAAACCCAGGCCGGCCTTCTAGGCGGTGGATGTCCGTGGCGCGCAGGGGGCACCACTTGTTAATGGTCGGAGAGAGGTGGAAGCAATAAGCAGGGTAGTATTCGAGCGGTCCAGCACTTGTCATCGCATTTTGGTCGCGTGCCGGCGTTGCTTAGACGAGGTTTGCAGGGCCGTCGCGTAATGCCGTCTCGTGTGTTATTTACAGCGACGAAGCCGGCCTGAGCGGGACCGACGAGAAGAGGCACACTAGCCACCTACTCTACCTGTTATAAAAGGTCGAGGCCGGGTCCGTGGGGCTGACGCGACCGCGCTAAAGCTCGAGGGATCCGGTGCCTCATTTATGCTATATCCCCGTTTGATGCATGGCCGCCAAGGGCTCATCGATGCAGTCGGACAACACATTAGCTTCCTATAATGCTGTTCTTCTCGCGAGTTCATTCTTCATTTCGTCATTCCACCCAGTCATGATCTAACCTCCTGTGTTTGATACTAACGAAGGGCGCACCCATCTTCCGAATGCAATGCGGACCTAACCTGACCTGATCGATATCGCCCTTGCCTCCGATACCTTCCCCGACACCGACCGCAATACGCCGAAGAAGACGAACCATACCAAGTAGAACGAACACATACTGACTGCCCTTCTAGCCTCACTTCTTCCTGCCCTTCTTCAGTCGCGCGGCGGCCGCCTGGAAGGCTTCCTCCGAGGGTTCCTCCGAGGGACTCGCACGCTTCTTACCCTTCTTCGTGCTCGTTGTCGCGCCATACTTAGCTGCCAGATTGTCCAGCATGTCTTCCCGATCTCGCTGTCTGCTGCGAATAAGCGCTGCTAGATCATCTTCGGACGACCCCTTCTTGCCTTTCCCGTCCTTTTTAGTCTTATTCCCGAAGAGTTTATCGTGTATTCCCAGCTCCTTTGCGTGTTCCTCGGCCTCGACACTCTCCTTCTGCGCCTTCTTGACGCGTCCTTCCCGCGATTTCTTGCTCTCGTGCGTGTATGACTTGAACGCGGGTACCTCGTTCTTGGCGATCGCGTCGTCGATGATGGAACGAAATCGCTCGTCATCCTCCTGGACGTCGCTGAGCATCACCGTACCGTAGATCCTGTCCATCTTCCCCTTGCTCTCTCTATAGGCGGCTAGGAGGTCGTCCCTCTCTTCGTCGGAGCCCTTGTATTCTTTGGCAAATTCTTCGACCGCTTGGGAAAGGGTTGTCGCATCGAACTGGCTTCGGTAGAAATCGGACCAGCTAAAGCCGTCGGAGTCGACAATGGACTCCGAGGTCGACCCCGTATCGTCGTAGCGTTTGCGTCTTGCCGGGTCGGAGAGCACAGCATATGCGAAGGCGATTGACTGGAAGAGTTGGTGGGCATTTTGTTTCTGGTCCTCTGATACTTTGTCTACGAAATGATGATGATGAGAATCAAGAAGTGTGGTCTGTCTACTCAACGCCCCGAAAACTGACCTGGGTGGGTTTTAAGAGCGAGCTTTCGATAGGCGGACTTAATCTGGCCTTCGCTCGCCGTGCGTTCAAGGCCCAGGACCTCGTACGGGTCGATGATTGGCGGTTCACCCGCGAACAAGTCTTCTGAATCGACCATGATGACCAGGGCGTAAAAGACAACCGAGGCTGTGGAGAGATTGAATATTTTCTGGTCCCTTCACGGGATGGTATATGGCGCGCGCGTCGAACTATTGAGGTAGGTAGCTTAGGCAGGTAGGCAAATGATAACGGTCAAGAGACCTTCCCCTAGACGACGCGTGAGACGCGTTTATCACTTAGAGCAATGTTATCGATAAATGTTATCTAATCGCACGTACGCAATTGCGGGGCGCCCAGAATTGTGACGATGGGTTGAGAAGGTACATGCGCCAAGTACCTCCATGCCTACCTAAGGTCGGTACACACCTCTTCCCTACATGTCGAAGTCACCACCCCCTTGACCTGTTCGATCCATTGAAGAAAATTTTGCCTCCGATCCTTCAGCTTGTAGCTCTCCCTAAGCTCCGTTCAGTAGAGGCTTGGTTAGAAGATGACGGAACGCCATTCCCCGCAAGCCCAAGGCGTAGAAGCGGGAGATCATCAGGCGTACATGAAATTGGCTCTCTCTTTGGCCACCAAATCTCCGCCGAAGCCCACCAACTACCGAGTCGGAGCTGTCGTGGTGGATACGGCAACGAATACGGTATTGGCTACGGGCTACACGTTGGAACTTCCAGGAAACACACATGCCGAACAGTGCTGTTTTGAGAAGCTCGCAGAGAAGTACGGCGTCGCGGCAAGCCATCTAAGCGAAGCGCTTCCGGGCGAGGTCATACTTTACACTACGGTGGAGCCGTGCTCCCAGAGGCTGAGCGGGAATCAGCCATGCGTGGACAGGATATTAGCTATAGGGAACAGGATCAAGGCGGTCTACGTCGGCGTGCAGGAACCAGATAAATTTGTTAGCGATAATTCTAGCAAGAGGAAGTTGGAGGGGGCCGGCATTCAGGTCGTTCACGTCGGCGGTCTCGAGAAGGAGATACTACAAGTTGCAACCGCAGGGCATAGTAACGTCATCTAATTCCCAGGTGCATAATATCTCCTCTTATTTCCTGTTATCGGATGTAGTGGAAGCTATGGGAATCCCCAAGACCCGGAGCTTATAAGGAGTATTGTGCAAAGATGGGTGGTGCAATGCTTGCTCCCAGTCCTAGGCAATTCAGAAGAGGCTGCCCGACAGTATCAAACTCACCAGATCAAAATAACATGATTCATACCTAAGTATCCACCTACGTTACGTAGCTCCCATCCCTCGTCGAATTTAGGTAGGCACCTTAGAATAGAGAGGGGGAAACAAAAAAAACGAGTTGGGGAGAGTAGAGAGAGAGACCAAGAAGAAAAAAGAGAGAATGGGCGAGGTAGACGACGAAAAAATTTGGGTTGCAACTCCCAGTAGACTGGGAGGCATCAGGAATTGAGCCCGATGCGGGGGTCGAACCTGCGACCGTTAGTATCCGGCTAACGGATAAGCGGCTGAATTTCATAGCGAACTTACCCGCAACCTTGAGATTAAGAGTCTCACGCTCTACCGATTGAGCTAACCGGGCTTATACTGGAACCGGAAGACTGAGCTACCCGGGATTCTTCGCCGATGGTCGACGGCTGCTTTTTTAACTATGTAGGGACAGATTATTTTTGGACCCCGAAGTTGTGCCGGGCAGTCGTCACGCTGACTAATGATCGACATCTTGCACTCCCTTTCCTCACGATACGGCGCGGCCCTACCCAATTCAACATCCCTCATGGGTGGGAAGTGCCCAGGTAGGTATATGATATGTACGTACGCTCCTACCGTCGAGCCTGAGAACATACCTTCCTACCTACCTCCCTGTAGGCTCCGGCATCGTTTAAGGAAAGACATATTGCAACATGTAAGCATCTGAGCACAGGTGAGATACCTAGATACTTGAGGTCTCCTGCGCGATGGATACTCAAACGGCGATGGGCAAGGCGTTTGTAAAACACTGATTTTCTGCTCATATTGAAACCCAGCTGTTCTGCTCCTTTAGACGGTGTTTACTCTCAATCAGACTCCTCAGCCGCCTGTGCGCGGCAAGACACGCCCTACCGAGGAGCACTTCACGAGTGCCGCCAACTTCCTACGGATGTCCGCAGGCCGACGTGGCACACCTTCGTGACCGTGAGGTTAAGCTATGCGTCTAAATACCGTCGAAAAAACGAGGCAGCGGGATCCCGCATCCCTGCGTTATCCATATGCTCCCTAGTAGGCTCGCAGAACTACTCGTAGTATGAAGTCGTCTAGACTATTAAAGCGATGCCATGGGCTCGAATGCAGCGGCGGGATCTGGTCCGGATATGGGGGGTTAGACAGGAGGCGGGTTATTAAGAATGGGCCGTGTGGAATCAGCGTTATAAATCAGACCTAAACGAGGTAGATGTATGGATTTACGAGATTAATCGAGAAACACCATCGCGAGGCAGATCCCAAACGATCTTGCCCAGAGCTGGACCAGAATCACGATGGCGATACCTCTTATGCCATGGAAAGACGACCGGTAAGATCGTAGCCGCTGTTTACCGGCTACTAGTCTGATCCTCTTAGGCAGCATGATACCTATGTTGCCGAAACTACCTGAGCTACTTCTGATTAGTAACGTTTTGCCTGATGTAAAGTAAGTTGAGTACCCGAAACGTCTTATGAATGCGCACTGGGGACAAGCTGCAATGTACAAGCAATCGGCGGGCCGAGCCGTTCCTAAAGTTTGAGGCCGTGGGGCCTTGAATCCTAGAACATACCTATCCTAAGCTTAGATGATTATAGGATTCTAAACTTTCTAGCTTTGAATACTAACACCCTACAATTCAGAGATGACGAGGTTGCTGCCTGTCGGCCTGCTCTGGATATAGCCACGGCTTCACAGGCTCTGGTGACGGATGATGAGTCTCCACGTCAGTCAGCTCCCCTAATTCGGAATCAACTGCGTTCCAAGGCATGTTGACCGATGGCTTCTTAGCCCTTCACTACAACCCTCCTTCCCCGCCAGCGGCGAATCCTTGGGTCGAGATGCTGCTATCTTACCTATGCAACCACCAAACTCACGGATCGCCGGCACTCCGTGTGGAGAGATTGGGATGGCACGGTCTCTCCTTAGGCTCCGACGTGCATAATGCATAGGTAAGGAAAGCCTTCGCCACAACGGAGCCGACTAATGGGGTCGATGAGGCTCAAAGTTCATTTGCTGGAGAATGGCTGTGTGATTAACGACCCCTGCTTCCCCCCTCCCTCTCTCTCCCTCCCCTATCAGTGCACCATAGGTGCAGACTGCCAAGACATTGCCACTTGTCAGGACAATGGGACGACTACGCTAGACCAGACTTAACCGGACGATGACTTAAGGTGCGGGGTGCATGATGCTGAGAGCATAGCAGACAGGTTAGGGGTGGCCATGGAGGCAAAGTGAGCAAGAAAGCAAGGAGAGGGGAGGGAATCATGTAGGTAGGTATGTGTTGTTCTGTGAGTCATAGAGTCGGTAATCCTCCCTCTGGTCCTACCCTGCGCCTAAAGGGGGGCGGCCACGGAGCAAAACCCGGCTACGCAACCACAGTCGGAAGATCGAAGTCCTTTTTGCCGATTTTTCTCATGATGGAAGGCAACTGTGCACTGCGCTGTCTTGGATTTTGAGAAACCCAAAATATGGCAGCAGCTGTGACTCAAAGGACCGAAATTGCATGCAGCCGACATGTAGAGTGGGAGGACAGAGTCGCTGGTTGGGTTCTCGTCAATGTAGGGTTAGGTCTTTTGTTAAACACGAAAACCCTACCAGCCTGTGGGAGTCTTTGCCAGAGCTTGCTAGGCTTGTCTGAACAACATATCCGGGTGCCTAGGTACCGATGCGGGCATGCTGCGAGCAGGTGAGCGCTGCTCCGGTTTGGTTGCCGAACGAGACCTGTCGTATCCAGGCATACCTCTAGGACTACGCGTGGACCAACAACAGCGGTGGCGGGAAGGTACTTCATTCCCAGAGGCCCTGGATGGACTCGTCTGTTTGATCCTACAGGGGGCGAGGGAGGGGGGGGGTCTTGAACCAATGGCCGTAGCGACCTGGTCGAGGCATCGACGTGGGAGAAGAGAAATGGCTTCTGGTTCTCCCCTCTCTGTCATGACTTGGCGAGCCTTACACCCTCTGCCTCCCACGTAGCACTCAATACCTAGCCTACATACACTGCCGCCCGACGTAGTCTGTGAACGAGCCAACCTGGGACCAGTATAGTATCACAAGTACTTCGGCTAAAGCAGGAATGCCTAGAAGAATCTGTCAATCCCTCTCGCGTGTTCGTTTGTTGCCTATTGCCGTATGTGGGCTGATAAATGGTACTGGTAGAGAGAGAGAGAGAGAGAGAGAGAGAGAGAGAGAGAGAATGCTATATCTCAAGGATTTCAAAGAATTACTGATGTACATCGCGACGTACCTAAGGTAGGAGGTACCTACCTACCTGGAATCGAAGGTAGACACAGTGTGAGGCATGCCTACCTCATATATTGTGCTGAATGGCAGCGGTGTTATGGTCATACGCAGGTGCTCTTCGTGTGAAATGCTCATGAAATTCCAGCTCGTTTATTGTTCCCGTTTGGGGAAGAAGCTGTCCGTAGTCACGGTAGGGGAATGCGAGAAGGAAAAGAAAAGAAAATGCCTTGGCACCCAACCCTGCGACGCACAGTGTCTACATACATCCTATAAAACACCGTATGCGGGCAGTGGAATACCAAGGTCTAGCGAATTTATCTGGGCCCTGGTAAACCTCACAGATCCATGTCCACACCGCTCATATAATACGTACATCCCGCAGAGGAACGAAAGAAGGATGGTAGGCAGAGATAACTCGACACGAGGAGGGAAGACGGAACAATGCATTAGATACCCTAGGTAGGTAGGTACATAACCAGCGTAGGTACATTGGCGCATACCTGATGTGCCGAATGTAGGTAAGCTGAGAATATCTGATATGTGCACAACACTTGCAATAATAGGTATTGTCCATTTTGCACTACACCGATTACTCATTTGCAACGAGGATGGCGTTTACATATTGTAAATACACATATCTCGTAACAGCCCGCGGACAGACATACATGTATAGCATTTAATATATATAAAAAGCGCATACGCATAGGGCCAGGCCGGCCACTGCAGTCCGAGAACTCGGGTAGGTACCCGTATACGGACATAACCTTCGCGCAACATGGCTTGGGCGTTGGCTGGGCAGCAGTAAGAAAGGGCCATGAATATGCGCGAACAGGTAGCTGGAGGACAGCAGCTTACCGAAGCTACCTGTTTACCGAAGCTACCTGTTTCCCGTGGCTCGTTGGCTAGCGGCTGGCGACTGGCAGGTACTATGCACGTTTGGTGCATATGTAATGCGTATGTGCATGCCTCGACTCGCTCCGCCCAGGTATAGTATGTAGTTATCCGGTGCGTGGCAGGGGCAGCCCTACTACCTCACACGCACCTAGCAAGTGCCTAGTACCTACCTTAGTACCTCAAGGTAGGCCTCAGCTTTTCCCAAATTCCCTCCTCACTCACTCACTCGCCGACCACCACCCGTCCAACTTTCGGGGAACACGGTCATTTTTCGTCATTGTCTGACAGACCACCCCCTTCCCCCCTCCATACTGCCTTTATATACCTGTCCACGCACATCTGTTCCACTCTGTGTCTCTCTGTGTCTTCTCCTTTTGCTCTCATACTCGTCTTTCCAGGTAAGTGAAGGCTTTCGTCAACCCCTTCAGGACCTTCGTCCCCTACCGCAGCCACCGCTCCTCTCTTATGTTGAGGGGCCGGTTGTCCACCTTGTCCCTTCGGCCGCTAGTGCGAGATCGATCGGCCGCCCGCACCGGGTCATGAGGCGGAACCGGGACTGTTCTCTCTTTTTCGTGTCATGGTATAACCTCGTCTGCCTTCTGTATACATAGAGTATATGTATATGCTGGGAGGATTGCCTGGCAAGGGTCTTCGTACACACAGGCGCCGTATCCTCTCCCCTCTTTTGGCCCGTCTCCTTTGTTTCGTGAGAAACCTGAGCCATCTATCCTCACGGGCTGCCTTGGTTGTCCAACCAGGTCCTGTTCTGTTCTAGAGCTGTTTAAGGAGCCCGCCAAGGCGATTCCATAGCCTAGGCACGCTGCCCGCAAAGAGATTCAACCCATACCACCCTCCCCCGATCACTCCCTTCATGCCCATCTCTATCTTCTGAAGGCCATCTGACACCTCTTTGACGCATCAACATATGCTGTCCCTCTATATAACAGAAGTTTGTTACACTGGGATTTGTCGTCGATAATTCTATATTTTCGTTAGTACTGGCGAGAGCTAATATATCCGCAGACAAGACCCTAAGTTATTACCAGCATTCAACTCGTTCTGGTCACCGATCGAATGATCAGTTGTCCGTCTTCCTTTATATACCGAATTGTCTCCGTTGGCTGGCACATGTATAGCCGCTCCTGACGAGGCCAAACTGCAAGCTTCGTTTTCTGCTCCTTATAAATCCAATTTAACCAACCTCACTCGGCCGGATTCCATACTGGCCATTTCTCGCCTACCACACTAGCCTCAGCATGGCAGATCGCGGCAGAGGTAATTTCCGAGGTCGGGGGGACCGTGGTGGAGGACGGGGCGGTGATCGCGGCGGCGGACGAGGTGCCCCCCGCGGTGGCGGCGGACGCGGGGGAGGGGGAGCTACATTTTCTGGCATCGGGCAAGGGGGCGAATATCGTGGTGGTCGTGGTGGTGGTGACTATCGCGGAGGCCGAGGCGGTGGTGACTTCCGCGGCGGTCGAGGCGACTTCCGTGGCGGTCGAGGCGACTTTCGTGGCGGACGGGGAGGCCGAGGTGGGTTTGGCGGAGGCCAGTTCAGGGACGAAGATGAAGTCTTCAAGTAAGTATTGCTTTCTAGCGCTGACGAGAACCTCGAGGCTAACAGAGCCGTAGACCAAATGCTGCTCCTCAGCCGGACCAAAAGATCACCCAGCTCGAAGACAAGGTCCTCACAGATCTAGGCATAGCCAGCAAGATGTCGTCCCTCCAGTTGTCGGCAAAGAAGGTGGGGGCAAAGCAACCCGTTGGAGATTACTTGCCTTGTCGACCAGCTTATGGTACGAGGGGTACGGAAGTAATCTTATGGGCAAACTATTTCACGTTAGACGTCAAGGCGCCCACTCTCTACAAGTATGCCATTGAAGTAAATTGGAAGGGGGTGCCCAAGACGGAAGACGGGGACGCCAAGGAAGAGGGCAAGGGGTCTAAGGGAAAGAAACAGCCGAAGGGAAAGCAATTCGAGGCCAAGGGGATGAAGCTTCATTCCATCGTCAAAATGGCCTTGGAGCGAATAACCCCAAAGACCCCCTGCGCCACTGAATTCAAGAGCCAAGTCATCTCTGTACGCCCGCTTCCGCTTCCAGAGGACCAGACCATCAGGGTTCAGTATACAAAAGAAGGGAAAGATGACACCTACGAGGTCAAATTCAACGGCCCGAACGACGTGCGGCTCGACGCGCTAATGAGCTACATCAGGACGATGAACGATCCATCTGGGGATACCGCGTTCCCCAAGTTTACGGATGCTATCGATGCCATCAGTGTCATCACTGGCCATTGGGCCAGGCAAAATAACCAAGTCAGCGCCCTGGGGAAAAGTCGATATTTCCCGTTGAACCTGGATCCCGAAATATCGTCACTGGGTTATCCGGAGTTTAACTCGGTGATCCGTGGCTATTTTCAAAGCGCACGGCCGGCGACTGGTCGCATTCTTTTGAATGCCAATGTCTCGCACGGCGTGTTTCGGCCCTGGGGAAGGGCAGCCGACGTGATTAAAAAATACGGTCTCAACCAAAATGCCAGGGCGCTAACCAAGTACTTAACGGGGCTTCGTTGCCGTTGTAAGGTCTTGGCTGAGAAGACTAAGGCCGGCGGCGGCAAACAAGCCAAAGAGCGAATTATCGAGGCTATTGTCAAGGGTGTTGCCCTACCCGAAGACGGGTCCAATCCGAACAGGCCGAAAGTGAAGCAGGCTGGTGCCGGACCGTCAGACGTGTCATTCTTCCTCAGGGCCCCAGCACCCGCTGGCTTGACGGCGGATAGCTACTGCACTGTTGCGGAATATTATCAGAAGAGTACGTGCCGCAGCCCCTTCGGGTTGGTGCTGGTGCTGACGGTTCTATAGAATATGGCTTCCGCCCGGATCCCAACCTGCCGCTGATAAAAACTGGCTCGATCACAAGGCCCTCATACTACCCGGCAGAGTTGGTAGAAATACTCCCGGGGCAGGCTCTCAAGCGCAAAACGACACCGGATGAGACCGCTCAGATGATTCTAGCCGCATGTCGCTCGCCTTTTGCCAACGCCAAGTCCCTTGCCACTGTCGGCCGCCAAACCCTCGGCCTCGACGGCGGGAACGAAAAGTTTGTGAGTGACGCCCGGTGCTCTGTTAAGTCGACCCGGACGGTGTTGCTGATCTGTACAGGTCGAATTCGGTGTTAGCGTCGGCAAAGAGCTCCTGACGGTAAGAGGCCGGGAGCTACCCCCGCCTAGTATCGCCTACTTGGACAGTAGGAATGCGAAGCGTAATATTACCGCAATCGATGGCGGATGGAATATGAGGGATGTCAGAGTTGTCAAGCCCGGTCGGCTTCTTACCAAGTGGACTTGGATTCACGTGGACTTCGAGGGAGCGCCCCCACCAAACCACGCGAGCGTCGTCGACTCTGTGGGAAAATGGATTACTTTTATGCGCAATAATATGGGCATTGCCATCTCTCCGACCCCGCTCAACGGCCTTGAGGCGAGGCTAGCTGTGAAAAGGAACGCGCCGATCAACGAAATTCGGCAGAGGTTCAAGGAATTCGAACGGATAAACAGGCCCGAGTTTGTATTTGTCGTCCTTCCTGGAAAGAAGACCGACACGGAAATCTACAACGCCGTCAAGTACTTGGGCGATATAGAATTCGGCTATCACACGGTCTGTGTGCTTCGGGCGAATATATCCAAGCAACAGCCCCAATACTTCGCAAATGTTGCCCTCAAGGTCAACTTGAAGATGGGCGGCACCAACCACAAACTGGGGAACGACCTAAACATCATCAAAGAGGGGAAGACCATGGTAGTTGGGTACGATGTCACGCATCCAACCAACTTAGGAAGAAATGTCGAAGGTCTCCCGAGTTTGGTCGGTATGGTGTCGAGTATCGACCGAGACCTGGCCCAATGGCCAGCCGCATCTTGGGCCCAAGCGGGAAAGGTTGAGATGTTGGACGAGACGCTCAAGTCGGCCTTTTCCAGTCGCCTGGACTTGTGGAGAAAATACAACCAAGCATTGCCGCAGAACATCATCATCTTCCGGGATGGTGTCTCGGAGGGGCAATTTCAGCAGGTGATCGATATCGAACTTCCTCGGATACGGGCAGCATGCGATGAAAAATACCCCCCGAAGCAGAAGCCGAAGATTTCGGTGCTTGTCTCCGTGAAGCGTCATCAGACGCGCTTCTATCCCACCGACCCCAGCCATATGACGAAATCGCGCAATATCAAGAGTGGTACTGTTGTGGATCGTGGGGTCACCCAGGCCAACGTCTGGGACTTTTTCCTGACTGCGCACCAGGCGCTGCAAGGTAAACCATCCTCCCCTCTCCTATACCCGAATTCTGTCGTCGGGTTGCCCGCTTACCCCTGTCCAACCGAATCCAGGTACCGCCCGTCCCGCGCACTACACTGTGCTGCTGGACGAGGTTTTACGCCCGATGCTCGGCGTGCAGGCAGCTAATAGTCTCGAGACCCTGACGCACGAAATGTGCTATCTGTTCGGCCGGGCGACCAAGGCAGTCAGCATCTGTCCTCCCGCATATTATTCCGATATCGTCTGCACCCGCCAACGGGTCTACATGGCCGACCTTTTCGACCGCTCCGACACGGCGTCGGTCACCAGTTCGAATGTGCCCCAGATGCCGCCGATCCAGATCCACGACAACTTGAAGGATACGATGTACTATATCTAGACAGTAGCTCCCCGCTGCCTTTGTCGGCGGACACTTTAAAGAGGCTTTTCGTATCGCTGTTCGGCATTCATCTTTAGGGTGCGCTTCTTGTCCCTCATGAAGGGGATCCTGAGAGGGCTTGGCCCGCGGGTCGTTGGTGGTATCATCAGGCCGCGGAAAAGCATGATTGGCTTAGTGATCGGATTGTCTATGTGGGGCGGGGCGTAGGGTTTGATGAAAGCGAGAAAGCTATATGTTATCCAATTTTCTGGTGGCTCGTTGCCGATGGCTTTAACATATTATAGCAAGTTTCTGGGGAGTGCCGACCTTGTATCACAGGGAAGTAAAAGACAGATTTAAGTCGATGACAAAATACAGTAAAGCATCCAGTAATGAAGCACCAGCCCACGCACGGGTCGAGCTGCTCTCTGTGACGACTCTCTTACCATATGGTCTATCGATTTGCTACGGTATGTGGTAGCATTGGCGAGAGAGCCTAGTCGACGAGACCCGAGGTTGCCTTTCCGAAGGGTTGGCAAGAAGAGGGGTAGGTGTCATATATATATATGTATATCTAAATGTCTCTGGAGGACAAGGACGCCGGCCAGCCAGTCGGAGTATATGTAACACGCACGCACGCGTGACCACCCTACTTCTTCCCCAACGTCGTGGCGCATCGGGGTGCGACGCACCGGCGCCCTCCGCCGCCGCGCTGAAGCCCAACTACGACTGGGCACGCCCCGGACCCCCAGTGCTCGTCTTAGGTATTGCAGAGTTATCCCCGCGCGCGCAGGTAGCTACGTCGAGCGCCTGCCTGCCCGCCCGTCTGTCTGTCTGCCTTGCTTTTTTTTTTCTCTCTTTCTCGTCGTTTCGCAAGGGGTTCGAGAACATTAGGGTTAAAGGGGCTTGGGGGAGGGAATTGGGGGTAGGGCGAAGGGGGGGGGGGGGAGGAAGGTGATGCGTGAGGGTCGAAAGGGGGGGAGAGGGAGGGGAAAACGCACGCGCGCGAGAGAGGATGTTATGGCGAAGTGAAAAGATGGGCTACTATGCGCGGAGCCGGAGTACGTCTGGAGGACGTTAGGGGTAGCGAGTTGCCGCTTCGGGAAGGTTGCGCGGAGCGGGACCGGAAGCGGGGAAGAGGGAGGAGGGGGAGGAGGATCTGGGGTTGGGGCTGGGGCTGGGGAAGCGGGAATACGTGCCCGTCCGCCCTGTCCCGTCTCAGCGCAGACAGCCAGTCCCTACCCGCTTTCTCTCGCGGCCGGTTCCGGGGACGCGGGACCTAGGGTCTGAAGGGGGGGAGCGCAGACGGTGTCGGGAAGGGGGAAGGGGACGGCGAGGGATCCCCCCTCTTCGCCGCCGGGCGGGCGTGGCGCACCGGACGAGATGCCGGCTCGTCTCCTAGGTCGCACAGATGCGCCAGGCAGGTGTCGAGGCGTGCGAAGGGGAGTGATTAGCTGAGCGAGAAGGTGCTGGGAGGACGGGGGTGCGGTGCTCGACTTCGGGGTATTTATGACGGGGCAGTGTCCGCAGAGACAGTGTATTGGTGTAGTTGTGTGGCGTGGCGACGTTATCTTCCCTGTCTTTGCAGAGAGACAGAGTGTGTGTGTGTTAATCTAAGAGTCTACCTAGCTACCTATGGAGTCGAAGGGCTCCTGTTGGAGCACTCCACGGAACAGCGAGACTGGGGGATTCGTGGTGTGGTCATAGCCTGGGGTATATTGGAGCTTCGCGGGTGGCTTAGACTGGGTAGTCTAGGACTGGGTGTGTTTTCTCTTCCGATGGCGGGCTTTAGGATCGCCGTCCGGGCGTTTGGGAAACACACAGGCTTATGCCGAGAGTCCTTTGGGGGAGAAGAGACATTCTCTGCTAGGAGGCCCGGCATCCTAGGTACAATTCACCCCGCAAACTGCGGCATCTTAATTCTTCACCGAAGCCAGCATCGACTAAGAGCTAGGTAGTAGTAGGCCTGCGAGCACGACCTAACCGCAGTGGACAACGCGAATGCCGGGGCTTGACGGCGTATTCACAGCTTACCCCGCGTTGCCCGCTCCAGACGAGTTTCCACACCAAGCTACGACAATACGCTTCCGATGTAGATAGAATAGGGCCATCCGAAAGCTATCCCGGGTCCTGGGGCGCCTTCGAAACTGCCTTGATTTCTAGAGGCGCGCGTTGTCATTCTCGGTTCACGACGTGGTAGTCGGGTTACATCGTCGCATGATGACTAGGTAGGTATGTCTGCAGCTAGCCAACAAGCTTGCCAGCTCTCCAATATGTGCGTCCTTTCTTCGGGTCCTTCTTGGCTCCTCGGTTCCCGTGCCAGACGTTAATAAGCATTGTGGCTGTCCAGAGCCGCGAGGTTGCGCTGCGCCCCGGACTCGTACCTTTAGGCGGGGAAGAACGCCCTGTTAGCGGTACTCGCTCTACTGGTGGACAAGTGGACCCCCGATGGAGCTCTTCTTGGGACGGAGCCTAACTAGAGCAAGGCCATCCGATCTGCGCTGCCTTCAGCCGGGTCTTGGCAGTAGGAATGGACTTCTGTTTCGACCAGGGGTCCTCCCATGCGGCTGTACGAGCCCAACGCGCTCCCCTGTCCCGTTAGTAGGGCTGGCTGACCCCCTTTGATATCTCGACGGACGATGGACATTGGCGGTGGCGTCCCGGGAGGTGTGACTATGCCCGGAAACAGAATAACCCTCTCCATGGGTATATCAGCTTCTGGGCTGTTATGACTTACCTACCTACCTATTAACTTGGATAAGACTCCCATGCCCAGGTCCACCTGGTCTAGGGGCGAAGTTGCTTGATCTCCCCATCTCGGTAACTCTCTCTCTATAGCCTTACGCAGAGGCTTCACTAAGCAAGAACCACATCGGGGTGGTAGCGGCTGTACACCGCATACCTACTACTTTTACTTGCGGCGCCATGCGTTGGGGGCCTTTTTTCCCAGGAAGATGGATGTGATGAGTGCACCTACCTACATGCTCACTTGCAGCAGTGGGACCATCCTCTCTCGTTCCGACGGGGGCACTGATCATCCATGGGCTTGCCACACAATAGGCTGTAGGCAGGGGGCTTCACAACACCGAAATTAAAAACAGAAGAGTTACCTACATTGATGCCAAGTAGGTTGGACACAAGACTAACCAAGGCTAGTGATGGGATCTTTCTGACCGCGAATAGGATGTCCCACTTGAGGACTTCTGGAGACGAGGTATAGAGCCCACTACGTTGATCATCGGGACAGTCATACGGGTGGGAATTCGTCCGAGTTCCCGTGCGCCTACCAAGGCCGCCAGTACGAGGAATACGATCATACTCGAGGTCCCAGCACCATGGCGACGAATGGGCAGGTATACATCGTCACCCCGTCTCTGCAGCTAGCTGTGGCCTGCCAACTAGGTTGGGCTGTTGGCTTTTCAGCCCTTCCCGGCCCGCTCAGCGAACTACCGCGTCTCTCAAGGCTTTTAATAAGGCGAGCCTAGGTAGATGGGTTTATGATAAAAGGGGAGAGGCCTCCGTGAGATGCGTGCATAGGACTTTTCTTCAGGGGCACATCCCCGGCTTAACCTCACACCGCGAATCTAGCTCATCAAGGGCCTTTTTGTGGTCCACTACCAAGCTTGCCGATTCATCTCGAGCATCCCCTAAGCACGATGCGTGTCCCGATTCTTCTCCTGCTCGGCGTGCCGGCCGCTATGGCCACGGCACCGCTGGCGCGGGAGGGCCTGCCTCAAGGCTTTGCCCAGACGTCCAACCTAGTCAACATATTCGCGGCGACGTGTGCGGCGGGCAAGGTCCGGTGCGAGAGCGGCTGCATGCCTCTCAACGGCGTGTGCTGCAAGGACGGTTCGAGCGAGTACTGTCTGACCGGCTACTACTGCATCCCCGGTGCTTGCTGCCCCTTGGGTAAAGTGTGCAGCGGCGGAAACGTCGGGCCAGCCACGTGCGCCGTAGGCGAGAAGACATGCGGAAAGCTCTGTATGCCCTTCGACGGCACGTGTTGCTCGGATGGGCTTCACTACTGCCCGAACTTCGGCACGTGTACCAGTGATGGGAAATGCTGCAAGCTCGGCGACAACTGTGACGGGAGCACCCGCACGACCACCCGCAGAACCACCCGCACGACTACCCGCACGACTACACGCACGACTACCCGCACGACAAGAACAACCACGCGATCACTTGACGACGCCGAAACCCCCATCACCAGCACGAGAATTAGGACGACATCGACGAGCTCAACTTCCTCCAGCAGCAGCACCACCACCACAAGCACTCGCTCTAGCTCTAGCACATCCACCAACGGCGAGGCACCCGTGACGGCCGCCCCCGACGCCGTCACGACGAGCGTCTTACAACAGGCTGGCGGCATCTTCACGGCCGACGGCAGGTTGGCCGCGGGTCTCGCGGTCGCTGCTGCGTTGCTCGTCTAAGGAACATGACGTTCTGCTGGGAGACTTGCTGGCTACGAGCGAGAGCGCGCGGCGGGGGGTTAATTTTGGAGGAGGGCCCTAGCTAGGTAGTAGGCGAAGATGACGATATTACGAATTATACCCAAATATGTAGACCTTAATGAAAGCGAGCCATCTCTCACCAGGTACGGATTTTAATGGGACGAATGCGAAAGCCGGCAATACAGGTGTCGTTCCTTCGGGGTGGGCGTTTCTTTTGTCATAGTCTCTTCACGCCGAAGCAGTGCGGATCGCAAGTCGGTAAAAGCACGGCAATTGGTATTTGTGTACGCGTGGGAGAGGGATAAATATAGGTAGGTAATTGAATGCCGATTTGATGTGGTTGATGGTGAGCCTTCTGAGCCGGAGCCAATGCTGAGCTAGATATCAACGTCGCGCGGGTTACGTGACGGTAGCGTAACTTTGTTACCTGTCGATACCTGAGGCACTGAGCACGAGTACATGACGTATCATAGGTAAATCTAGCGTAACGGCAAGTCTGCCCTAACGAAGTACCTAGGTACCTTAAGGAGCACCAATGGCCCGCCGAGGCGATTCCGTGACGTCACCAGTCGCTATCATGGAGAGCATGTCCACCTCAGTAAACAGCTACGTCTGGTGTCTTCGAGCCCTCCAACATCTGACTTGAGGGCCAAGTACCACTGTTTTTACTGAAGCCAACCCAAGGTCTCAATTGTTGGGAATCCTAAGAAGCAGCCCACAAGAAGAAGAGAGAATACCTGCAGGAAACAGGAAAGAGAGAGAGAAAGGGGGAGGGAAAATGCCGACTATAACGACTGCTACGACTCTGCGCACCGCTTCCCGCGCCGGCGCCAGAGCTCTCCTACGGCAACCGACGGCAGGCCGTCGACTACTGGCCACGACCGCCGCGCTGCCGACGCGCCCGTCCGCGGCAGCGCGAGCGCCGTACAAGGACGACATGGACCGGGAGTCGCTGAAGCCGAGGTCGCGGGAGAACACGCAGAGCGGCACGGACGACGAGGTGGCGGCGAAGCGGGACGCGGCCTACGGCCCGCACAAGACGGACCCGGACACGGAGCGGCGCGCCGCGGCGGCCGAGAGCGACGGGAACCCGCTCGACGAGAGCCCCGCCAACAAGGAATTCGCCGAGGCGGGGCGCGGCCACGCCGAGGACAAGCCTGTCGGCCCGCAGAAGCAGAGGAAGGCCAGCGGTTTCGGCGACGCGCCTGAGAAGGGGAGGCCCATGTGACGTCTGTGCGTCGGCCGGTCTGGAGGCGAGGCGGGACGGGCGGATATCTAGCGCTGGTGAAAGGGAGGAAAACCTGATGCTGTACATTCCCTAGTTATACATTGTATCGCAGCAGATTCTTGCGCCGTGCTATGAATCACCATCGCATCTTCGTGGTCGCATGCACGCATCTCTTTCGTCATCGCACTCTTCGCGAGGTATGACCATAGGTATCTAGTCTCTCCCTGTCCCCTCACCCTTCTCCCCGCCTCGAGCGCCGCCCGTAATCAGCCGTACAGCCCGTCCACGTCGTCGAAGTCCTCGTCGTCGTCATCGGCCGGTTTCGGGACCTCGACGGTCTTCTTCTTGGTGAGGTCGGCGCGGCACATGGGGCAGGTGCCCTTGCTCTGGAGCCAGGGGCCGACGCACTCGAGGTCGAAGCGGTGGGCGCCGTGGCAGGGCAGCTCGACGACGAGGGGGTAGGGGTCGTCGAGGAAGCGCTCGGCGCAGATGGGGCAGGCGTCGTCGGCGGCGGCGGCGCGCTCGAGCGCGCGGCGGGGCACGCGCTCGAGCTCGTCGAGGTACGCCTGGCCGACGCCGCGGATCGCGTCCGGCGGCGCGCCCACGTCCGCCTCGAGCGCGCCGATCAGCGACTCCAGGAACCGCCGGTTCTCCGCCGTCGGCGCGTCCGCCGCCAGCGTCGCGAACTGGTCCTGCACCAGCCGGAACAGCGCCGCCGCGTCGACCGGCGTCGGCCCCGCGGGCTCCCGCCGCCGCTGGTCGCTCGCCGCCGCCGCGGGCGGGTCCCGCGAGATCTGGTGCAGGTGCGACGTGAAAGTCGCCATGTCGGGCCGTCGCCGGTGCGGCGGGCGCGCCGGCGCCTTGATGTTGTGCTCGACTGCGGGACGGAGAGCAGTTAGCTGAGAGAGCGCAGAGGAGGTGTGTGCGGGTGTGGGCGTCGCTGCCTCGCTGCCAAGACAGCTGGGCTGGCTGGCTGGCGTGTAGCTGGGACGGTCGCGGGAGAAGACAGCTGGCGCATACCTTCGTAGGGGTTGCTGGCCATGACGAGCGAACCACAGGCGGAACACCTGGCCCAACCTGGTTCGAGATGAATCGGGCGGTCGGTCGAGTTGGCTGTCTACGTGGGAAGGGAAAGGGAGGGAAAAAAAAAGGATACGCGGCAGCGCGGTTGGTGGAGCTTGAAATTGGCCCGAGAGCGGCGGAGTGGACGTAGGTAGATAAGGCGAGAGCTTCTCGCAGGCAGCCGCACCTCTACGTAGTGGCATCGCAGACAAGAAAGGCACTTTCGTAGGTAAGAGTGCGTGCGGCTTACTAACACAGGTCCGCCTAGCTGCAAGTCCCTTTAATTATCTATCTATGCAAGTATCGGGGGGTTATTTACCTAATGAGGTCTGTCCATCCCCTTTATCGTTCATCCCTTCGTGAAGGCGACCAACAGTCGACAACTTGACCGCATTCAGGACGTAGTTGATCAGAAGAAGCAAATTTGTGTCGGTAAACCACTCTTTGGGCTATATGACCGGCTCTCGTCGACCTGATCCTATACTGCCTCGAGGCGACCGTTGGTAGCGTTGTGATTTCAAGTACTCGGGGACTCTCTCGATGATACCCAAAATCGCCTTCCTCTTCCTCCTCTTCCCGCGCTATCGCACATCATATTGTAATTATTTGTCACAGCAACAACGAGATTGCGTTTAGGTGTTCATGGTGGACCATATCAGCATCCACCGAAAGCACTGTGTTGCGACTTCTTAAAATTGTCTGCCCGCCAACACACCGAAACGTTCACCTAGGTATCTTAATTCCTAAGGGGAACCAGTTCGCGCTGAAAGGCCTGCTCCCTAGCTCCTAACGAGCTCATTGTAACACTGCCTATCCTTCCGGCCCGGTGCTATGATACATCTAGAGTCCCAGAGATGAGAGGTACGGCCGCGCAATAAAAGAAAAGAGGATATAGTAACCGATGGGTGCCCCTTACGTATTTGCTAATCGATGGGAACACCAAGGTGTCCCGGCCATTCCTCGACGAAGAGGCTAGTTGAACAATTGCCTTTATGCCCCGGGAAACTCGGTTCCTGCAATTACTAGCTTTGGGGATCTTCTCGGGAATTGCTTGCTTACCAAGGTGCCGTCAACACTGAGAGTACGTGGCGATAGACATCCCCTCTTTTCCTCTGTTTCCTCCGCGTATATCCGTATTGCTAACGTTGTGACCCTTCTATTGCCCTTATGTGAGTTCCATTCACGAGGGTCTAACGGCTGCTGGTCACCCTTCGTCCTTCGTAGTTACGGGGTACAGTTGGAGTAGCCTAGAATAGCGTGTACCAGGTCGGGTTTTATTGCGTACTACAGATTTTAAGTGAAGTAGATCCTAGCAAGGGGGGATAGCTTCGCGAAAAGGCTATGCGTGTATGCCCCTATAAAATAAAGGTGATATTATATTGCCTGATGGTCGTGTATCATGTTATAAGTTGCTGCCTCGGGTTCTTACTACCATGGTCCTTACCTGACCGCTAGGACTCGTCACGAAGATCTTGTGCCTAGGTGACCTTCTCTCTGTCCACAACTCAGGGTATAATCGGACGTGTAATCTTAGCCGATATGCCCACATTGTCTCTGCTACTATTTTCTTACACGGGGTCGAGTCTGACCGTAGGGCCTGGTATTACTTACCCGTGCGGGTAGCAGTAATTCGATTAGCCTCAGCCTCCTCGTTATCCTTGTCTGGCCCGTTCATGATCTGTGTTTGTGAAAAGGCCATCCAGGTTTCAGATTCGCTTTGCTTTTCCATATGGAGCCCGATAATACTTACATATAATGGGTTGGAAGGGGGTGAGGAGACACCAAACGTCGGCTGGTGACATATCGTCCCTACCAGGCAAGGAGCCGCCCTATATTTGTCGACAATTAGGGGGAGGGATTGGTCAGCGTGGAAATTGTGGCAGGATATACACGATAAGCATGCCTGTTCGTTGCCTCCAGGTCCTTTTAATAGCACTCTCCGATGAACACCAAGAAGCAGGGGTATGCATATGTGTACGTGTCCGTGTCCGAGCGAACCGAGAGCAACAGCTCACAGATTTTGCTGGTCCTCTGAGTATTTATTTATATAATAAGGGGGAAGGATTCGGCACAATGGCCGCCGAACTGCCTCTCATGGAAACCATTGCTGCTACAGCGACGCAAGGCAGTTCTAGACGCTTGCGATTTCGTATCTGGCCTAGTCGATGTCGAAATCGATATCGACACAGGCCACATCATGTCAGGGTGGAGTGGGACTCCGTAGATGTATGTGCGCGTCTTGCTGCTCATCACCATTCTTGGACCGTCCGAGGCCTGCCTACCCACAGACTCGGCAACGCTGCAATATAAGATGAAGCTATGCCAAATCTCGGCCCGAGGCTCTACCCGTTTGTGCCACCGCTCTTTAGGGGGGGGGGGGCTGAAGAACGAAGTGGCGCCGCACACGATGGCTTCCGTTGATATTGTGATGACCAGGGTTATCCAACACAAGTAAATGGACCAGCAATGTGGATTCGGAATTGTCGCGCACGTCGCGGCCCGTATGCTCGGCAAGGGATATTATATCTCTCAGTTGCCTGACGGCATTTAGCTGAATTGCTTTCCAAGCCCTCTAGTCTGTTATTGTGTTTTCGCAACCGGGGATACATGACGCTTGATTTTCTCAGGAGTGTGTCGTGGTGGATGAGTATCTAACTTCTTCGTCTGTTTGTCAGGTCGTCTCGCGGTCGTGGAAAGGATATTCTTCGATCCAGCTGTTGTCGACATAGCTGGGTATCCAGGCGCTAGATAGCGCAGTATTCCGCGTCTGGATCTCGTTCCCGAATCTTTCTGCTGTATACTAGCCAGGAATTCGCAAAAGAGGATGCATTTCTTCGGGTGGGAAGCATAGTCTTTATTAGCCATTGATTCAACCACCACCGCTCGCCGAATACGTCGGTGATAGTGTGCTCTTACTAGCCGGTTGTCGGGTATACTTCCATCCTGGCCGATTCCCCCCGATAGCGATATTTTCTCGAGAGTTTTAATACGCGGGATTCCTCCTGCAGCTGCGAAGTTCGCGGTGAGCGAGCGACCTATTCATTTCTCTGGCGTATAGTTCGCATAGACGATGAGAGGTAGTTGTGACTTGTCGATCCTGGTTGTTCTTTGGGATGTGGTCTCGTATTCGGCGGTTTTGAATAGCGCAGGCTCTCTCTCTCGGCATCGGTATCGTGACCTTGACAATACATAGTTAGCTATCGAAATCTCGCGTCGAGCGCTCGCACATAGCCGGTTGATGGATGGTGGCTTGCTCACCCTAGACGTGATACTCGAATTGAATGCCTTTTATGTCTATGCGAAAGCCAGAACCATGGATAGGGCCGCCAACGACTCCACAGCGCAAGACGACGAAATTTTTTTTTCTCGTTAGACCCGAACCAGAGTAGCGTTAATATGGTCACGTCGCATGGCCCTAGCCGCCCACGGCGCGGCTACTGACGTGATACTTGGGGTTTGTCCTCGGCGTCGGTAAGATCGATGTTAGTTGGGGATGGGATTTGGTGAAGGAACCGTTGAAAGCAGTTGGCTGGTACAGGAGTAAACTACCGGAGCGGAGCACGAAATATCGTTACATCGTCTATATTTCACACACGACTACCAATTTAGTCCTCCCCAGCAGCAGTAGTCCCTCGACGCGTCTCAATAAACCTCTGCGACTATGTTTCTCGATGTGTCGCGACAAATAATTACGTTTCGTCTCGCGTGTATTAGGTTTCTCGATTTCGCCTTCGAACGATCCCGGGTTCTTTCTACTTCTCGACGAGTAATCGGTGTCTATTCAACGTAGTGCTCTGGCACAATGGAGTATCCCGTTTCAACGCCTAAGGTATGATATGTGCCATGTCGTTATGTCCTCATCTGATGCGAGAGCGGTTACCAAGATTAGATCTCGTTCGACCATCGAATGGCCGTAGTAGATGACGTTGTATTCCAAGTCCTCAAATTTGCGTAGGGATTCGACACGCTAGCGGCAATTCGGCAACCTGCGCTAATTTCCCCCTCGCTTTCATCGTCGGCATAGGTAGGAGGCAGACCCTCGTGTTATGGTCGTTATTTTCCTCGTTGACTAGCTCATCGTGACCAGGAAAGAAGCAGATACCCGTGGCGGCTTTCGATAGTAAGGGGAGAGTTGATCGTAGAAGAATTTACTCGGAGATAGAGACTGCCTAAATTGGGACTATTTGTAAGCATTTACCAAGATCTATCAAAGCCTTCTAGCTCGCTGTCGCTTACCGTGCCGCGAGTCCAACTCCCCCACACTCGTAGATATGCGTACCTACGCAGAGCCTCACCAGATAACGAGGGTGGATATGTTATCACAGGCACGCAAGAATGGTATTCTGGGAGGCCCCATCACAGAGGTGAGACACAGTACCACACTTAAGAACCAGCTGGGTGGTATTATATCATCAACTATTATATCACGTACTGATCAACCACACAGACTACTCTGCATATACGTGTAGCATGGAACTCTGCGCGCGCTGGGACCCCCCCTACCAGCTGCAGAGAAACATACGTGTTTCACTAACGAGCCTACGTTTCTATGTAGCAATTCTGTACGACACGTCGTCCGTTCTGATGTTGGCAACGGAACCGATGCTCCCCGGCATCTGCACATGAAGAAAAGAGGCATACGAGATGGGGGCACGGATTCAACAAAACGGGAGCTTGCCGGCAGTTGGCCAGATTCTTTCTACCTTGCCTGCACGTTAGCGAAGCCGACTTCTGCCGGACAGGCGGATCAGGAGGCCCATCCCCTAGAGTACCACGGATTACATCTCAACAACCTTCGTTGCAAAGCTCGGCACATATCACCTAAATCTCTACTACTACGCTGCCGAAGCCACGTAACGTCCCCTCTCGTAACCCTACCTCGCACAGACTTAGACGGTACAGAGGGCCTAGAAGCCTAGGAGACAACTGAAAGCCCAAGAGGAGGGTGGCTGATTTCCAACCTTCTCGCAAAGCTCCGTT